TTGAACGATCTGTTTAGTTAGTTGAATGTTGATCTGAACTTGCATTCAAATTCGTGCGAAAATGGTTGATTCGTCATCAATTTGGCTGCCAAATCTATTAAACTGTCCGGTAAAACCTCTAATAAAAATGTCTGTTTCTTGTGACATGTAAGTTTATGTATGAATTTGAAAATTATTTTTGCACACTTGCATGATCTCTAGTTGAGTTTTTTTCTCACGAGAATTTTTACATGACACAATGACATATCCTGAGTTTTTAACACAAATCAGCAGATATTGCGTTCAGGATGGAACCGAGCAGATTGAGAACATTTATATAATTCCCCGTCTACAGGGTGGTTAAAAGAAAAATTGATTGTTTCCCTTAAGGAGCATATAAATGAAGAATTACTGAAATTAATCCATGCTATCAGAAGTTATGCATGTTTATTAAAAGAACCCATTTTTACAGCTGTCCACGGAATGCCATTGGGAAGCAGTTCAGCTTAGTGAGACCAGACACTACAGACATGCATTCAAATTAACATGAGATCTTAATAATTTGAGTTTAAACTAAATGTTTTTTTACCGTCAGATTCTGTTTTTGTATATGGGGTAAAAAAGAAGAAGAAGAAGAAGTGATAATGGTGATTTTGGTCTGCTTTCCGTTGCAAGTTTTCGTTCATTCATGGAGGAAGGAGTTAGTTCAATGCATTTAAAGAGTATTCATCAATGCGTATAGCACGGTAAATGATCAGCTGAATTTTGTGATATTTGTATTAAAATTCAAAATATTCGAGTGCGCATAGAGTATGAAAAACGTGATCACAGTCAGGCCTACTATATTCAGTACATGTAACATGTCCTTTATTCCTATGTTCTTTTATTTTGTTAACTCGGTCGCTTTCTTTTGACTCACCCTGCAGCCCATCATTAAACGGGCTTTGAGAACTATGCTTCTATGATGCTCAAGCGGCTTGCCTCAGATTTGTACAATGGTCTAATTGAGTCCTTTAATACATTATCATGCCATTGCAGATAGCATCAGAACCACAGCTGCCGCTCCGTCCATCCTCCCTGATGAGGTGAATTCTGTGCAAAATCAGTTTGGTTCGTGGTACTTTATCAGCGTCTCGCCCATGTCATTCCTCTATGATAACACCCTAGTTCTATGATCAAACCAACCCTCATTAGCAGGCTGCACACGTAAACCACTAAACAGCATGTCATCATCAACAGCCAATCAGGAAAGAGCCAGCAATGAATAAACGAGAACCCTCGAAAGTGATCCTATGCGTATACGTTGTATGCAAACCACACCAGGTCGCGTCACAAACTACGCAGCCGCAAACCATTCAACAGACTGACGACATCCCATCCAATCAGAAGTGAACCTGAACTTGAAATGATGAACGGAACGTTTAGGATTGGTTAACGTTCACGGCATTGGCACTTATACTGGAAGTAGGTCAAGTTGTAGCCAATGTGACAGCAGCGTATCCAGCTTTTGATGTCGGGGGGGGGGGGGGGGGCAACTGCACATCCGCGCCGAACTTGCCCTCCGTAAAATCAAAAAGTTTGGTACCCATCTTTCAAAGGGGGGCGCTCTTCAAAACTGACCATTATTATGCATAGGCCTACTACATATTACATGGACTCTTTTCATGCCGCATTTTAATGGTTGTTGAGCGGGTTTTCTTTGGTGGGATTGATGTCAGACGAACTCTATAAACATTCATTTAAATCATTGCCGACAACAAAACAATTGTGACAAAAATCCGCCGGGGGCAAAGTGTGCCCCCCCCCCCCCCTGGATACGCCACTGCAATATGAAGTCTCTGGTCTGGGTGAACAAGACATTGTATTCAAATTAAATCAATTACCATCAATGGCGTAAACCGTCAAACATCCGTATGCAATAGCGCGGTACTGCATGCGAACAAAAGGTTCAGCTTGCAGTGAGCATAGAATTCATTTAAAGCAATCAACGTATCAAGATCACAAGCGAGTACGTCGAGTACGAGCGAACATTGACACCAGAATCAAAAAGGCGCTTTAGATGCAAGAGGGCGCACTTTTTACCGTCTGTTCCGGTTTTTCTTTTACTTTCGTCGTTTTGTAATATTCTTTTCTGTTGCTAAATGCCATTCCCAGTCTGTATATTCTGTATAGGCTCTTGTCAACATGCCATGCATTTGGTGTATGAACAAAAATAAAGAATTTAGAAATCAGTCTTTTGTAGTTTATCGATTTGTTTTAATTTCAACAAAAAAGTGCGTCCTTTTCATTATACATTTTATTAACGGGTACACGTTAATCCCGGTTAGATGACGTCATTAGTTAAAATATTGTAAACAAATTGATTTAATTCAGAGAGTTCAGTTCAGTTCATTAGGTGACAAACACGTTTGAAAATCTGAAATTTACAATGAATGTACAATTAAGTGTGTGTACGCCCATCAAATTTGATGACGTCACATCATCAAATTGCCTCAGGCAATGTAAATCTAATTACAAAAATGAGAACGGTACTACATTCATGTGAAATGTTATGATACACTCAACCAAAAAAGAAAGTCCCACACTAATTTCTGTTTTTGTCTAACTCAAAAACCACTAGCTATGCACCTCTCGCTCAAATATGACTAATTCAGAAATTCTTTAGTTCTCCAGTCATACTCTTTATTTGGCCCAAAACAGTGATAATGTGTACGGAATTATGCAATTTAATGACACCGAAAAGCAGTTGCCACTTTTGTATCTATGTGCAAGTTGAGTGTGAACATTTCGTCTCTACACAATCTTCCAAAAAAATAAATCGCTTGCAATTATACACGTTGACGTCATGATGACGTCACAAAGCATTTCAACACTTCGAACCAGAGTTAAGGTTCATACTTTAATCATCATCCCGTAAACCGTTGGGAAGAAATGTCGGTTTGTTTGGATTTGAGGCTCACGAGTATATTTTAAAGTCACTTTTGACCTTCGGGGAATCCCCAGAAGTAAAAAGTCAAGCAATTTCACGTAGCCTATGCGACCAAAACATTGAGTATTAATTATTCTGTATGATTACAAAATCATGGCCAACTTTATTGATAATTTTGTTCCGGAGTTCTAAGTGAAAGAAGTCGGCCACTTTTTCCTATTAAAATCGCATATAATTTGATATGTAATGTATTGTGCTTACATTTGGATCAGGGATGATGTTTGTTCGAAGTTAAAAGTCAATACCAGTGAGAAAAAAAAGACTGAAAGAAACAAATATATGTAAGGAGACCAAGTGCGCCCTCATTGTCTGTACGCCTAAAAGTTTTGCAAGTGATTTGCATGTTTTCATTAAACACTTTGAGTTGCATAATGTGACCTTTGTGCTTCCCGTGCAAAGGCAACTTGTATCAAGTTTTTTCCCTGCAGATTTCGAGCAGAGAAGACCGATACTAAATTACGCTGTAAATTCTCTCAATTTGGTATGGAGCATGTACGATGGCTCCGGCCGCGTATTCTTTTCCCAGAAGGGTTAGGGGCAATGTCATGAATAATTCAGTTTTTCCTTTGAATCATTGCAAGACATCGGTTCTCGTTCTCTTTTGCACAGGAATGGAGATTTAAAAGTAAAATCGGGACGCTGATAGAAACAAAACCAAAACGCTGAAAATGGGTTAAACAGGACGAAACTTTTACATCGGGCAAACAGAACCCTGGCTACGTACCTGTGGTTTGCACCCGTTCACATATGTAATACGTGGAGGTCAATAATAACCCCGTTTTCACAGTGAATGTTTGGTCCCAACCATCGTTATTATTAATATAAAAATTGTGTTTTTCCCCATGAAATGAGAGCATACCAGGCGCTACGTTTTCACAAGGTGCTTCCTATACTATCATTTACAGTCGATCAGGTAGGCTCTTTCTAAATAAGTAAGCAGTTGAGTTTTTTTCGAAGGTTTGCAAATGTTGCATATCACCTTTGAAGAGGCAATCATGAATTTATCAATCACCGTGACGTTGTTTGAATTGAACATACCTATTCTTTACACACTACGCAACGCAAATCTTTACTTTATAACTATTGACAAACATGCAGACTATTCCTATACTTTATCAGACCTGTCACATGACATCTTGATGCTCAAACATCTCCTGTAGCCACCTATCATCACGGGCATCGCCAGAGAGGTGGGGGCGGGGTGTTACACCTCCCCCTCCCGTAATCGTTTTTGTTGGCAACATCGTCGTTTTGTCGGCAAAACCTTATGCCTGTTGGCAAATATGCCACCACGATTAGCGCCACGTATTGTCCGGTAGCGTCCATTGTGGTCCGCTTTAAACAGTGCCCCAAAGGAGCAATTTATGAACGAAACCAGGACATTTTTTCCCTGTTACGCGGTTTTCCCTTCGTTAAATCGAAAAGCGGGAGAGTGGTCGTGGAGTAGTTATGCACGTATATACCATCTTCCAAATGGGGCGTTTTGTCCACAAAAACGACTAATGGGAGCGCGATACATAGGGGCATTTTTGAAATCAATGGCGGATACCAGCTTCTAGTAATCAGAAAAACTGCACATAAGGCCAAAAAAAAAATAAGTCGGTCTCTGGTCAGCGCGCGCGTCGATTTTAAGCATGCGCGTCGATCTTTTTTTTTTTCCAAAATGTTCTGCGGTAGCTCCAACAGCGCCCTCTATTTCCGCACCTCCTCATTTTTTTTACCAAAGAGCACCAAGGAATGGAAAATTGCACCAAGGCAAATGATCGAAAGCACCAAGGCAAATTATGCAGGACACCAATGTACATGAGGACACCAAAAAAGCAAAATAGTACCCACCTTGTCTGTACAATCGAAGCTTGAAGAAAAAAAAAAAAAGCAAAAAAAAAAAAAAAAAAAGCCGCGTGGCCGCGTCAATTCCGGAACTTTGGTCTGACCAGAGACCGAATATTTTTTTTTTTGGCCTAATAATAATAATAATAATAAAATACAATAGGCCGATTTAACACGCAGACTAGCAGTACCCTTTTCTTACCGTTTGAACGCACATCGTTCCACGTCACCTTCTGGTTGGTTGTGCTGTAGAGTATGTTTGGGTAGGGATGTGCTGCTGTTGGTGTCTGCCAAGGGCAGGTTGTTCTGAAGCCGTTCACAGCCAGCCAGCCTTTATCCACCTCGCATGAACCATAGTAGTTGTTGATGTAAAATCGCCGACCCCTTTGTTTATTGCAAATGGAGAGATAGAGAGAGACGTAAACGAACGATCACGCACGGAGATCCGAACTCGTCACTTTGTGGCCAACACAATCTCCTTTTTGTTGTTGTTGTTTTTTTGCACCAGTCCCGACTAAAATAGCTCATTTGTAAGGGTCAAGCTCTATCATATTCCGCCAATAATCACCAAAATCAATTCATCACTTATGAAGTCCTGTCATTGCCCGAGGTTTCCATCTTCACTTTGTGTTTTGGTTATACCAATCATTAAAATCTTTCCAAAAACACCTGATGATAATCAGTGAATTACTCAATTGTTTTGTGTAAATGGAACTGATGATCAGACGACTGACTACACCGGAGCTGTAATCAAGCCCATCCAAAGTCCATTCTTATTCAATCAATGATCAAGTCTCAAGTAATGTCATAAGTAACAGGGAGAAAAAGCAGCAAACTACAAACGTCGTACAAGACGCAACACAGCACACAACGCATAAACAAGGGGAAAAACACAAAAGCAACATCAACAAATAACAACCCAAAACAACAACAGACTATACTTACCGCACAACATCACCGTCGATACTGAAGATCTGACCAATACGTCCAGTAAACGGAGCCGATTTGAGATCATCCCAGGGAGATGAAATCAAGCGGGTCTGAGTGAACCAACTCCTGATGTCGGAGCCGGCTCCATTGAAGATCAACTCGGCTCTCACAATTGCGCCTTCATACAGGGAAAGCTTCACCTTAGCAGAAAAAGAAGCGTGTAGTAAATATGTCATTTTCTTTAACTGCAAGATAAAAATAGAATCGAGGTCACTCAGGGGGCGGATCCAGGTTGGCCTAAGAGGGGGTTTACTTTAGCTGATAAGTGTGGGGGTGGTGGGATATTTTTCTGTTATTTCTTTTTTGCTGATGGGCGGGGGGTGTTAAATCCCTACTAATTCTCCGTAGATTCGCCGCTGTCACTGGAGATGATAAATCTTTTTTTCAAAGCATCTCTTGTTTTGTTTGCTTGCACAGTGTTAAACCACGGACCCTCTGTTTCGTCGTCATGATATACTTACTCGTCGGACATTCAGCTGTCCGTTGCGCCAGGCTTGGTAGAGGGAATTATTACGGCGATGGCAACTGGCTTCATAACTCGAGTTCCAGTCCATTGTGGTCCACATGTCATACAGCTCGACTCCAGTTCCTGCCACGCCTTTGAACACCAGTCGCCACTCTGGGTCTGTAATAGAATATTTCCCCCTTTTCAATTCTCCCTAATGAACAAGACTTCAAAATGTACATGTATACTTTTACCGACACATAATTAACTTTAAAAGCCCATCCAATGGCAGATTGTGACGTCATGACTAAATCAGTCTTTGGTATACAGCAATCACAAACAGACGCCGCCAGTTGTGGTTCTGATTTAGTGCCTGTACAAGTAACGGCCAAGCTGTCAATTAATAAAATATTTGTTTGCCAGGAAGAAGCAAAAATACAAACTAAGGGTAAATGACAAAGATCTAAAATAAGTGAAACAAAACATTATTTGGCATTCTTTTGGGGGCGAGGTTTACAAGAGAAAGTACTTTGCACACGGTCAAACAAACAATTTATGCAAAATTAAAATCTGACAAAATGGACTGCAGTGTCCACTGAAAACGATACTTTGGCGAGGCCTTTCCGGTAACGATCTTTTTTCCTACTGTAAAATATGATTATTGGTGAGCTGCTGTCATTTGATGCAGTTACTCCGGGAAAATACACAAAGAGAGCTACAACCATTAACGGCCTGCTTCCTGCCTCGGCTGCTCGCCCAAATGTCAATTGAACATCAATGATAAGAAAATGAGTGAGGTTTAGTCCCGATCATAGTTCATGCTCTTCAAACAAGGATCTTTTGCTCCTATAACGAATTTTCAATTTGTATGTTATATTTAAACAAACAAAAAAAACCTATAGCCTAAATTCCGATTTTGCAATCCTCTGAAAAAGGGATTTTTCAATCTGTGCACAAATAACCTACCCTGCGAGAGCCGAATTATTGTCTGGCAGCCAATAATTCCAAGTTTGTGAAGAAATAATTCAATATCTAAACGTCAGATGATTGTGTTTGTTCTATGCCTCATTCAAAAGTAAGTAACTTTTATATTGCTAGGAAAATAACAATTGCAAAAAAAGCAAATCTATTTTTGAGTTGAAACTCAAAAATACAACGAGAATACAATCTCTAAGGTCATTGGCGTCGCCAGGATTTTTTCTAGAGGGTGCAAAGCACATTGTCCCCCAGAAATCCCTATACTATTCCAGCTTCCAGCATATTCTCGTTTTATCATTTTTGAGGGTGGGCAGGGGCATTTGCATTAACGGCCTGCTTCCTGCCTCGGCTTCTCGCCCAAATGTCAATTGAACAAAGATGACAAGAAAATTAATGAAGTTCCATTAACCATTTCAATTGTGTACTTAAAGCGCAATGCTACCTTAATCCTAAAAGGGCTGGGGGCGGAATCCGTCCCCCTCCCCCCCCCCCCCCCAACATTTTCCGCGATAACCTTGAAAAGCATTTTCGCGACCCGAGCTGTTATGACTTTTTAGCCTCGAGCCTTGCGCATCTTATATACCAAAAACATAAAATTTTCCGGCTCTACGCGCCGTGAAAACTGAATTTTCCCATATGCGTCGTGTACACAGAGCAGAATTGCCATTCGTAAATTTGAATAATTAATTATTGCTGTTCCCTAATCTTTTCGTCTTGACATCTTTTCCCTGATCATTATATTTGCAACAATGAACACCATTGGGTACCGAATAATGGATTTTTATTTAATAAAGAAGATAATTTGCAAATTCTCCCTGCAATAACTTTCTGTCTTATGACGTCATTCCATTCCAATTCACCAATTCTAATATTCAAATTCGTCCAGGAAGAATTTTACATTCCTTTAGTATAGGTTTCCCCGCTATTTTAAAACATTTTTCGTTCGAATTCAACGATTCTTTCAAATTTGTCCAGCAACATCGATTTAGTGCACTTCCACTATTTCATTCCGTCTTTTGTCAGAGCCTAAGTCCAAACAAATTCAAACAATGAGCACACGTTTTCGCCCAGGAGTCCCCCCAAGAGGTTGTCAATTTTGTTTTTAATCGTTTTTAGTCCTACGATTTCACCGTGGTGATTATGTACGTGGCCTATTTTCGAGTAGTGTAATAGGGATGTAAATGGCGTCATCAACGTCAAATTAGTCCGTCCACCCAAAAAAAATAAAAAATAAAAAATTGGCGGCAATGTTTTTTGCAAAAATGAAGAAAACAAATTGTGAGCCCCCCAAGCCAAATCCTCGGTGCGCTACTGCTATGCATAAACTGACCTTGAATGACCGAGGCGCGAAAAGGAGCGATAAGAAACGAATTTGCCTTTTCAATTAAAATCTCCACATGAGACGAATTTCCCGAAATTTGGACGAATCAGATTCGCAAATTAGACTGGACCAAATATGAAATATATTGGTGTAAATTCGAAATCGGAATTATCAATGGAGCCCAACGACGTTCTGGAACGAAACTAAAATATCTTTCCATGGAATTTGAATGATGCAATTTATTGTGAGGCCTACTGGGAAAAACCTATATAGATTAAAATGCTTCCGTTTTCTAGTTTATCTTTGCACTTTTGATATAGCCCCAGACGTTAAGTGGCTTGGTACCCGGGAATAATAATGTTCCCTGAGGCTAAATCTGATGACGTCGTGATGACGTAATACCAATTTTTCCCTGTATCTTCGGACAAAGGTTCATATTCACACCAGGTTTCATCATCCTCCCTTACACAGATTCAAAGAAATGTATTTTTATCTTGACTTATATAGGCTTCCGTTGATATTTTTTATTCACCTAACATTGACTTTCCTGCACCCTTGAAGTACACGACAATACGCGACATTATAAAATGACAAACGGTTACGCAGTTACATCAATCATGTGATGTAAGCATATCTCGGCGCTTACTTTGAATTAACCATTGACTTACCTGTACTGTCAGCTGTGGTGCACGGTTTCTCCGTAACAGCTGGGGTAGGTTGCCTCCTTCCCGGACAACGCTTCCGGATCTCTCGCATGACTTGCTTCATCCAGTGCTCCGGGTTATCAGGATCAGGTTCCGGTGGGGGACCGGAGTAACACACCCTCTGCTGGCTCTCCACACCAAACAGGAGCACTTTGGAATAAAAACAAACAATAATTGCACTGTGAATGTGGATAAACCACAACATATTTTCGTCATTTGCGAAGAATCGACGCTAAATCTGTTAGAAACAAACTGGCGTTTTCAGAAAAAAATTTTTTCTACCTAAATGTTGTAAAACACAGAGATTTTCCAGGCCACTCCCTAGTTGACGATATGTCATTCGGTTTAAGTGATCATTCAATTTAGCAGTCAGTTTGGTTGAGGCTAATTTGGGTAAGAATCTTATTTTCGTTTTCATCTCCGCGCATTCTATTTAGTATTTGGTGTATTCAAAATAAAGAGAAACGAAGGCAAGATTCGAGAAATTTAATGTTCTTAACTTTAAGACTGTTCGTTTTTATTGGATTATAGTTTGTTGATTTTCAAAGTTTCTGTTGCCTGTCTTTTAAATCTAAAGAAGTAAAAATGCAAACTAATGATACGAGAAAACTAAACATGAAAGTCGACGTGTAAGCAATGAACGTAGGAAACAGTAAACTTGAGCGATCTTTTCCCCTCTTTTTATTGTGTTCACATGCATATGTTCTTTATTTTTGCTCTTTTATCTTCTTTTTTTAAATTGCGATCTGGTTTTTTTTTTAACATCGCTAACATTTTTCTCAATTCGCTTTATGAACTATCTTAAACATTTCATTTCAGTAACATCTGATTTCTCTGTTTGCTGTGCAAGAGAAAGAAAAATATGATCAATATGGGTATTTTGTGGCTGCTGTTTTGTGGCAGGATTGGAAATGGCAGTGGGAAACAGTTCTTAATATGTACACTCGATTTTGGAACAAAAACACTCTGTTGAATTCTGACAAACAAACTAATATATAACATGAACCGGTTTGGAATTCATTTGTTTACATTCACAAATACTTGGTTAATGGCCAATTCGAGTGACCAAACTGACGCAACTGATGGAAGCTCCGGTGAATTTGAATGACTCAATATGAAAAGTTCAATCGCATGCTTTAACATTTAAATTGAACGATCTGGTTAGTTACCTGAGTGTTGATCTGAACGTGCATTCAAATTAAAGCGAAAATTGGCGATTCGTCATCAAAAGCGCTGCCAAATCTATATATTGAACTGACCGATAAAATCCATAACAAAAATGTATGTATCTTGTGACCTGTAGTTTTATGTAGGAATTTGAAGAACAATTTGAATGATATCTAAAGTAATTCTTTTTTTTTCTCACAAGAATTTGTATACATGACACAAGGACATATCGTGAGTTATTAGTTTATAACAAAAATCAGAAGATATTGTGACCAGGATTAAACCGAGCAGACTGAGAAATAATTAGAAGTTGAACTGAAGTTTGTTATATTTTTATTAAAATTATAATAATGTGCGTATAGAGTATGAAGATTACATGAGATTTTCACAGTTACTTGTAACATGTCCTTTATTCCTAAGTGCTTTTTTTAATTAACACTCGGCTACTTTCTTTTGGACTCACCCTGCAACCCATAATTAAACGGGCTTTGAGAACTAGCGTCTATGGTGCATGCTGTAGCAGTTTTCATCAGACTTGAACAATGGTCTTGAGTCCTCTTTACAATAAATATCATGCATGGGTACTTTCAAAGCATCGTGCCATGTCGAACTATATCAAATTAAGCGTGATATAGCAGCGTGTGAGCATGGCGATGGTTAATAATAAATCAAGTAATATTATTCCCGTAGGAAAGCTATACTGATCAAGGCCAAAGCTGTACTCGTGTTCCTTATTGTAGTCCTTTCGTTGTCAAGGCCCTAGAGAACGTAATTATCTGCCTGTGGATTCATCCATGCCAATAAACTCCCATAGACACCAGTGTTAATTTCCCTTGTTTCATAATTTCCCTTGCTTCCTAAAAGAATGATGTTTCCCAAAGTGGAAGAGCCGGCAGCCATTTTGGAAAAAAAGAATCACCTCAACAACATGGATAAATAGCATTTCTTTCGGGCTCAATTGCATCCAAAATGCTCGGAATTGGAAGCCCGGAGTCCGGGCCAGAGGTTCATTGCCATCTTCAATTTCCCAAATTCCATGGCTCTCAAACTCTTTTAAATAAAAAATGAGTGTATAAAGTCACTTTATTCATTAGCTCGATGGACCGTTTTTGGCCTATTCGCAGGGTTGCACACATAATGGGTCACTGATCTATATTGTGCTGGAATGACAGAGGTCAGTGGTATAAGTCTTTAAAAATGCAGTCACCATATATATGCGTTGTTTGCTGATTATGTCTGCATGCCGCATTTTTAAATGAACGATAATATGAGCAATGTAGCGTGGCGCGGTTTTAAACATCGTGCTACTGGCGTGTCGAATAATTTCAAATTGGCCGGCCAACTTCGAATTGAAATTATATTGGACGCGGCAGTAGCACAACGTTTGAAACAGCGCCATGCTACTGCCGTACTAAGGCCAATTAACATTGATTTTTAGGTTTTCATCAATGCAAATTGAAAAAAAATCGGCCAGGATGGTAAATTCCACTTCTTCACATACAAAGTGAATGGAGGGGACGTCAGATAAACTTAAAAGCAACACAACAAATTTAAACACTACTTAATTTTAAGTACCAGTCAGCTGTTAAATGACCTAGGGTTTGTGTCTAGAGTTTAGAAAGGGTAATGAAACTCACAGTGCGACCTTGCCTGTGGATTTGGTGAGAAACTTGTCTGGATAATACCCTTTTTTGGAGGAAAAAACATCGGGCGGGAGTCAAAATCGAGGAGGGAGGTGATGAAAACCTCAAAATCGATTTTTATTGGCCTAAATGGATAAGCACGGCAGACCATATCGAGCTACCCTTCTGCCGAGCTGAAATCAAATGATAAGCCAAATTGGTTTCAAACGTCGTGCTGGTGCCGTGTCGAATAAGAAAACTCAAGTTTCTTTCTATTCGACATGGCATAAGCTTGACGTCTGAAACAGGCCTTAGAATATAAAAGTCAAGCTTACCTGCCATTGCTGATAGCATCAGAACCACAGCTGCGGCTCCGTCCATCCTCCCGGCCAGATGCAGTGAATTCTGAGCAAAATCAGTTTGGTTGATGGAACTTATCAGCGTCTCACAAAATCCTTTTTCTGTAATTAAACCCTAGCTCTATGATCAAACCAAACCAACCCGCATTAGCAGCTACACACGTTAACCACCAAGCAGCATGACGTTATTAACAGCCAATCAGGAAAGAGCCAGCAATGAATGAACGAGAATCCTCGAGAGTGATCCTATGTTTATACGTTATATGAAAACCACACCAGGCAGCGTCACAAACTACGCAGCCGCAAACCATTCAACAGACTGACGACATCCCATCCAATCAGAAGTGAACCTGAACTTGAAATGAGGATCGGAACGTTTAGGATTGGTTAACGTTCACGGCATGGGCAGCAGTGTTGTAGGTCTCGAGACCGGTCTCGGTCTCGGTCTCGGTCTCGAGACCACTTTTTGCCGGTCTCGGTCTCGGTCTCGGTCTCGGAAGCTGTGGTCTCGGTCTTGGTCTCGGTCTCGGTCCCCTTTGGTCTCGATATTTTGGCTGGTCTCGAGTCGAGACCAGCCAAAAAGTGAGGGGGGCGGATTCCGCCCCGGCCCTTTTAGGGTTAAGTAAAGAATCAGTTTAGGGCAAATGTGACTGCAGTGTGGTGCTAATGGACATGTCTCTCTTCACTTTCTAGTGAGTGAGGCATAGTCCAATAACCATTGCTCCTCTTCTTATTTCTCGTTTTTATTGTGGGATGATCTGTTGAAACAAGCACTTCATAGCCATCCTCATTGATTCCAAATACAACTGAGATTTAAATCTTATGAATCAAGACTGAAACATTATTTTTACCGTCAGATTTTGTATTTTGAATATGGGAACAATTCAACTCTTTTTCCCTAGAAATATTGGTGATTTTTTTTCTATTTTCCTTTTCAATTTTTCCTTTATTCGTGGAGGCGGGAAAACGTTTTTTTGGTCATTATATTTATTAATGGATATTTATCAATTCGTAGACTGTTAAATTGGTATTAGTGGTGGACAGCTGAATTTTGTAATGTCTTTATTAAAATAGACACGACTTGGGAATAGAGTATGCAAATTACGTGAAATGTTCACAGTAAAGGGAATAACAGTGTGAGGAGCCGGTCTTCACTGCGTGATAATGACCGGGTGTGGGGGTGACCGCTGTTAATGGACTGAGACGAAGTCGAGGTCCATTAACAGCGGTCACCCCCAAACCCAGTCATTATCACACAGTGAAGACCGGATCCTCACACTCCTTGATCGGCCATATTCTCAATTAGCTTAATGACGATGATGACGACGGGCAGATTAACAGAAGATAGATCAGGCAAATAGGGTTCATCAATCTTCTATAGTATATGTAACGTTATTGACATTAAACAAAAATAAAGTGGCATTACATTTCAGCTTTAGCCAGGCCTTCTTCAGAGGTAAATGACAGAGGAACAAGAAACAAACATGTAGGGGACACACAAACATGCAGGGTTGGAAGGAGAATCACAAAGAGGGATGGGGGGGGGGGCAGACCAATCCATATCTGGCTACCATCTCTCAATTTTTTGGTCTACATGTACAAATCCATATTCCATGACTGAAATTTTAAAAAATAAATCAATATTTTCTTGCTCCAATTTTTTTTCGAATCAGGTTTACAAGGAGGTCCAATGTTAAATTAAAGTTGCATTTAAATATTCGTTAGTGGTCATTGCTGAAACCAAGGGGTGGCTGTGGAGTTTAGGGTCCGAGTTCCTATAACAGATGAAACATCCACCTTTAACTTTTTACTTTTGTCAAGTTTCAACATGTTCAAGTTTTGCAAAAACTAGTACAAATTGTCGTACTCCTAAGTTAGAGTTTCTTCATCAGATTTACACTTCATAGTAGTTAAACAATTTAAAAAAAAAAAAATTAAAAAGTGACAAAAATATATGGAGTTCATCAAATAAGGTTTTCCACTTCTTTAAATTAGGTTGTTTCCAATTTTTTTAATTGATTGTGACAATAACAAATTCTGTTGCCATGTTGTAATTTATGGCATGAAGCAACACGAAGAGCACTCGCATGGCACAATTAAGCAGGTACAAGTGATTCCTAACTTTCAATCACTTCCTTCACATCCCCATGAACATCAACATCTCAAGGACAGACTGTTCAGCTGTAATTAGTGTCTTGTTGTTTATTTAGATTATTGTTATTTATTATCCGCGGTCTCGGTCTCGGACCATTTCGGTCTCGGTCTCGGTCCGCCTTGAAGGGGCTGGTCTCGGTCTCGGTCTCGGTCTCGCAACTTCAGGTCTCGGTCTTGGTCTCGGTCTCGGACTATCCGGTCTCGAATACAACACCGCCCATTGGGCGGTACTTATGCTGGGAGTAGGTCAAGTTGTACCCAAACGTGAACTGTCTGGTCTGGGTTAACAAGATGTCGTCTTTATATTGACTTAATTACCATCAATGTCAAACCGTCAAAAGTCCATAAGGATGCAACCTTGCAAATAAATTCCCATAGACGCTAGTGCTAAATGCCCATACTTCAAAATTCTTTTGAAAATACTCAGAACTATCACAGGTATTCAAGCTGCACAGAAAAATGATGATCAACATGTCATCTTTCGTTTTCTTTTCATTTTTTGGTGGGTTGACCATTGACTTTTCAAAATATTCTCAACGAAAGAAGACGACCCCCTATTTTCCCCAAAGCTGAAAAGTAGCCAACTTGAAAAACGATCCCTCCACAACATGGCAAAATAGCGCCACTTTCGAGCCCAATAGCATCGAAAATGCTCAGAATTGGAAGCCCCAAATCTGGGCCAGAGGTTCAATACCATATCTCTTCAATTTCCCAATTTTACGGCGCTCAGAACTCTCTAATATAGAATATTTTGAGGGTATAACTTTTATTCATGAGTTTGGCGGATGGATTTAGGCCTATTTACCGGTGTGCACCCATAAGCAATGGCACGGTACTGAACAAAAGCTTCATTATCCCAACGTATTATAAGCACATGGACACCAGAATCAAAAGGCTCTTTTAATGCAAGGGGGCGCCCTTTTTACAGTCTGTATCGATTTTTTTTATACTTGGGGTCGTTTTGTAATATTCTTTTTTGTTGCTATAAATGCCGTTTTTAGTCTGTACACCAATATTTTTTTTTTTTTTGTCGAACTAAAAAACTACTGGGCACCTCTCGCTCAAGTAACGACTATTCAGAAATTCCTCATAAGTCCAGCCATACTCTTTATACTCTCCATACAGTGATAATGTGTACGGAATTATGAAATTTATGACAAATGATATTGAAAACAGGTGCATTTTGTATACGTGCAAGTTGAGTGTAAACATTTCGTCTCTAACGTAATCGTTCCAACAAAAATGTCTTAAAATTGTTTTCTTAATTGTTTTCACCCTTCATTTACTTCATAATTTTCATGTTTTTCGAGGTTAAAGTGTTTTCTTGATGTAAGGAATAAATTTAAGTTCAGGAGATAGTCGTCACCACTCTCATTTTTTATTGCATATTTTGAATGTTCGTCCACTTTAACTAGAGGAGCGTTCCTCCTTCCTTCCCCCTTTGACTAGGGTCATTGTCCATTATAAATGAACATTTATTCCAGCAATTCTAAAACGGTGAGTGGGTTGTGCCCGGTCACCTAAAAGGTCGATCGGCCGATCACTGAATAAAGAAGAGTAATAAATATTAATTAAGACTGGAAAATGAAAAGACAAGAAATAATTTAAAAGAAGATATATTCCAATAACTAACTAAAATGGTGATCAGGTTTTGCCCGATAACATCACTTAATAACAAGTCTTTAGATAATTCATTGAAATAAGAAACGAAATGGATTTAGTATTGATTTGAAATGGGTAATTCACCTGTTTCGTTCTTTAAATCTGCAGACCAAATAATATCTACTCTTCGCAAAATCAAATCAACCAAGAAGTTGTAATTGAATATAGAATTTAATTTTATTTTGTTTTCATTCCCCCTGTTTAAGACTTGTTCAGTTCATAAAACACATGTGCCTAATCTTCCATACGTTAGTTTCAAAAAATTTCAAATCGATTAAAAGCGAAACCGTCATGAAACAGTTTCATTATCCCAGTTCATGTTCATTTCTTTGTTTGGTCTAATATCAAATAACGCAGTGATATCAATTATGAATCATAAACTACAATCATAAATTGGGTACTCGCAATATTGGTACTATTTGAAAATACACCAGTTGACTAATCCTAAGTATTGTGATGTATTCACTGAAGATGCATTATGTTCGGCTTTGTTCTCAAAAATGTTTTCGACATAAATTTAAAGTCTGACGTTGTATTGTGCTGTACAGTAAAATAGAATATGTTAAAGAAAGAGGAGCATGTCTACAACAAGAGATGACATTTCCCGCATCAACAAGGTGACAAGTCATTCATTTTTTTACACAAAAAAATCACAGTCAAATAAACGACATAATCCTTACTCGCGTTTTCAAATCCAGGGCGTTAAGTCATCGTTTTTCAGCCGTCGATGGGCACAGATACTCGCGAATATCTGGAGAGGGTTCATGAAGCAGTCACTGTTTGGTGGATGTTAGCCAATGAGCGAAAATTATATCGTTGGTTTTGGCCGAGGTGATGAACAAGGCACTTGCCAACACCATGACATTGACGAAGTTGCTGTTTTGTGGAAATTAGCCGATGAGAAAAAAACACCGATATGGATGTTGGGCTATACAGGTGTAATCCGATGGGCACAGACATGAGCAATTACAAAGCTTCCAAAGCTTCCAAAGTAAGGACATTGATATATGATAAACAGTGGATGTTTTGTGAACGTTAGCCGATGAGTGAAAAGTGATGTGGATGTCAGCAGATGGACAGTTAGCCGATGAGCAAGATACGTACGGTACACGCAAACACATCAGGAGGTATATATGGACGTTTGCCGATTAGCGAAAAAGTGCTGTAGATGTTAGCCGATTGGAAAAGGTAAGATACTTGCGAACATTGGGAGGTACATGAAACAGTCGTTGTTTAGTGTACGTTTGCCGACGAGCACATGTAATGAACAACCAGGTACTTGCCAACATCTTTACAAGGGTCTCCTCCAAAGAAGTCGTTGTCGGCAAGGAAGGCGCATTGAGGTCTTCCCTGACACGCTTGCTGCACCTTCGTCAGTGACGTGGTCGGATTGCCGCATGGTACAACATTTTCGCGTGGACAATCAATGGTGCCACTTACGCGTCCGTAGAGGGCCCACTTCACGTCGATGGTTTCCACGTCACAACTGATGTTAAACGGGGAATACTCACAGACGAGTTTCTTCAGTAATGCTTCAAAGAAAAAAAATCATGAAATACGAGAAAAATAGAAATCAGGAACCAAGACAAAAACATACAAAAGGATCATACTAGACAAACGGAACATTGTTGTTCAAGGCACTGGTAACGGATACGCATTATGAATGGTGGGGGCGAGCAAATATTGAAATGAATCTTTGTAATTTTACTGGATGAAAGATCGGCCCGTAGCTGATGGGTTTTTTTTGCTGGGGGGGGGGGGGGGGGAGTCAAGCTGCTACTTTGGCAATTCTGCTCAACCCACCCTTATTATTATTGATTGAAATGCAGTTTAGGCCGAATAAGAAAAACATGTTTCTCGTCCGGGTTTTTGAAAAAAAAGGAGGAAGCGGGGCTTTTTATTTTTTATTTTTTTAAAATTTCCTGCAACTGTTGGTGTTTCCACTGTTCAAAGACACTTTTAAAAATGAAAGACAAGTTGACAAGAGAACTGAACATATTTACAGTGTCATATAGAGTTATATTGGTCTCTAATTAACAGTTTTAGATGCATTTGACTTTTTCGATTTTACTGCATTTTTCAAAAATAAAAAACAATAACAAATCCAGGCTGCCTCCAAAAAGGAAGCGGGCGGGGACGAGAAACATGTTTTGTTTTCCTTACTTCGCCTTAGGTCAAATTTTTTTTGTTCAAGTAGAGAACGAAATACAATCATGACATTTTTATAAAGCTAAGTTTGGTTGGCTGACTCAGCAACTGCTGAGACTTTAAAATCCATTTATTTATTTGTTACCATCAAACCAAACCGTACTTAAGTTACCGATGATTGATGCAATCCACTTATTCTAAAAGGATGAATAGTTATGCCAACGATGATGATGAATGATGATTGTTATCTCCTCGTGCATGGTAGCCCAGACAAATGGTGCTCAATATTTGCACACAACAATGCCATCGGGTCGTTTGTTTTTAATTAAAAATAAAAGGCTTCCTATGAGTTTGATTAATTTTGTGGACGAAAACAAATTATATTTTAATGGAATTTGAATGATGCAAATGTTAAGCCTAAACTTACTGGAAAACCTGTAATAAAATGCTTCCGTTTTCTAGTTTATCTCTGCACTTTTGATATAGCCCCAGACTAGGTCAAGTGGCTGGTTCCCAGGAATCATACTGTTCCCTGAGGATTTCATCCCTTGCAGAGATTTAAAGAAGTTATGTTTGTCTTGATTTTTAGGCTTCCGTTGATATTTTGATTTCACCTAACATTGATCTCAAGTGCGGATCCGGGGGGCCAAGGGGGCCAGGATCCCCCCGGAACCCATTTTTTTATAAGTTTTTTTTTAGTGACGGAGTCGCTATAAAGGCAGGCACTGCGTACACCACCATCTTTTCCTCGAGAAACTTGGTCAAAGTGGTCAGAAATTGCCTCAGATCACACAACACAGCATTTAGGATCAAACAAATGTTCGCGACCCTTTTTTTTTGGGGGGGGGGGACAAATGTTTACTTTGTCCCCCAAAATTGTGTTCTGAATCCGTCGTTGATTGATCTTCGTTACCCCAGAAGTACACTACCTAACATAATGATCACGGTTATTAATGACAGTTGTCGTTTGATTATAAGCACATTCCGGCGTTACTTTGAACCATTGATTTTATACCTTCTGGGGTAGGTTGCCTCCTTCCCGGGCAACGCTTCCGTATCTCTTGCATGACTTGCTTCATCCAGTGCTCCGGGTTATCAGGATCAGGTTCCGGTGGGGGGCCGGAGTAACACACCCTCTGCTGGCTCTCCACACCAACCAACAGCACTTTGGAATCAAAACAAACCAACGATAATTGCTCTGTGAACGTGGATTTTTTTTCAACAGCTAAATGAAGTGATTTTTCTACCCATGATGTTGTAAACTATGGATTTTCCCGGCCAATTTCGCCAAAAAATAGCATTCACATCATTATGATCATCATGATAATGACCCATTTGAAGCAAACCTGTTGTCGTTCCCGTGGCTCGTATTAGGTTTCAGACGTTCAAATTCGTTTTCAGACCTGTCATTTTCACGTTTAACACATCGTAAGATGAAGTTTTGTCAGTGATCATTCAATTTAGCAGTCGGTTTGGTTGAGGGTTATTTGCATGAGCTCATGTTTCCATTTTCATTCCCGCGCATTCTAGTTAGTACTTGGTGCATTCAAAAGTATAGAAAAACGAAGGAAGGTTTGAGATGAATGATCTGTTTAGTTAATTGAATGTTGCTCTGAACGCGCATTCAAATTCGTGCGAAAATTGGCGATTCGTCATTAAAACTGCTGCCAAATCTATTAAATCTATTGACCGGTAAAATCTATAACAAAAATGTATTTTCCCCTTAAGAAGCAAATATTTAATGAAGAATTATTGAACGTATCCATGCTATGTATGTTTATTAAAAGAACCCTTTTTTACAGCTGTCCACAGAATGCCATTTGGAAGCAATTCAGCTCAGTGAGAACCATGATATTTTAATAATTTATTATTTTTTACCGCTAGATTTTGTTTGGTACTTGACAAGAAAAATTAAGTCTTTTTTTTCTAAAATGGTGACGGTGATTTTTGTCTGTTTTCCTTGGCATTGTTCGTTCATTCGTGGAGGTATGAAATAGTTTATTGATTTTAAAGAGTATTTATTAATGCGTATAGCACGGTGAATGATCAGCTGAATATGTGATGTTTGTATTAAAATTAAAATGACGTGCGAATAGAGTATGAAAATTACGTGAGATTTTCACAGTTACTAGTCAGTACATGTCCTTTAGTCCTAAGTTCTTTTTTATTACTAACACGCGCTTTTGACGAACCCTGCAGCCCATAATTAAACGGGCTTTGAGAACTAGCATATATGATGCATGCTCCAGCGGCTTTCTTCAGACTAATATGAGTCCTCTATACAATTACTTTCAGACATGCCGTGTCAAGTACAATTCAATTTAGCGCGATATACTACGGCGTGAGCAAGGCGGTGGTTTCAAACGTCGAACTCAATTACAAACGCCTAGTCGAATGCGAATACATCCAACATGGCAGACCAACAGTCACAGCAAAGAGAAACGTGATTGTATGCTTAAAATTAGCATAAAGAAAACGAATTTGCTTCAGCATGTACTCCCTAATCATTAATATATTCCCGGAGGAAAGCTATAATGGTGTGCCTTATTGTAGTCCTTTCGCTGTCAAGGCCAAAGCAATACCGGTGTGCTTTATTGTAGTCATTCCGTTGTCAAGACCGTCACGCGTCTTCCTCATCTGCGTATGGATTAACCCTTGCGGATACATTCCCACCAGTGCTAAATCCCAATGCTTCATAATTCTTTTTAAAATACTCAGAACTCTCACAGGTGTTCAGGCTGCACAGTAAAATGGTGATCAACATGTCATCTTTCATTTTCTTTTCCATTATTGGTGGGTTGAACATTGACTTTTCTAGCAGTACTCACCCAAAGAAGGCCACCCCTAAACGAATGATGTTTCTCAAAGTGGAAAAACAGCCATCTTGAAAAAAATACCTCCACAATATGGCTAAATAGCGCCACTTTCGGGCTCAATTGTATCCAAAATGCTAAGAATTGGAAGCCCCAACAGTCATGTGGTTGCTAGGGCGAAGCTTCTAGCGTTGTTAAGCAAAGCTAATCCGATTACGTGCTTAAGAGCAGTGAAATCCTTGCACCCCAAAAAACATGGCTTTTGAACATGTGTTTCTCAGAAAATATGCTCAGTATGATTGAATTGTTAAATTACAACGGCAGACATTCTAAACTTCATGTCAGTGAAAAAAAATCTCGGTCATCGATGCCGAAACGTCAATACTGGTTACTGGTAAAGCTGACCTTCAAGTCTGGAAGAAATTGTTCGAAAACTTCCCCAAATGCATGTATTAATCTCTATTTCTAGGAATCTCTCCAAGTTGTTATTTCACGAGTAGTTCACCACTTAGGCCTAAATCATCTAAGAATGTTCCGAATTTCAGCTTAATCGGTTGTTACAAACGCTGGTATACCAATTAGAATATTGTTGATGTACCCTAACGTGGCGCGGCCCCTAACGTGGCGCACTTTGATTTTTCGCCTGTAGCGCCTAGCTAGAGCAAAAGTTTTAACTGAAATTTCACAGAAAGTGAAATTTCATCAAGTTCTAAACACTCCCGCTTATAAATCGCGAGTTTATTTACTCATTACAAAGTTGGAAGAAAAATTTATTTTGGCGTGATTTTCCGATTTTATTTTCAAGTGCAAAATGAACCCTTTGTAAATACCCCGAAAAATAAGAAAATAATTTTTTTAACAAACATCTGGATGGGTATGTAAGTAGAGATAATAATTATTTATCAGAATTTATCAAGTTTACAGAATTTCTTAAATGTTAATTTGGAATTTTCCGAGATTTATTTAAGTGCGCCACGTTAGGGAACACTCCGCCAATTTGTGCCCAATTTCCGGACGCCACCGTTTTGGAATTTCGGATTAAATTGTATGAAACCAAAATTGTTCACAGAGGTTAAATAGCAAGCATTAATAAGGTAAAAGTACCAGTATTTCACTGCATGAATTTGAGGTTTGTCAACAAAGAGGTTTGGCAACACTACACGAGGAAAGTTGGGTAAGCTTCGAAGTGCGCCACGTTAGGGAACACGACTATATATACATATTTAAAAAAAAAAAAATTTATACGTTAACTTTAATGACTGGATGTTGTTTAAAATTGTCCTATGTCAATTTTTCGGTATACTTATGTATACTATGTGAGTACATTTGTTTACTGTTTGTATTTTACCTGTTAGGCCTATCTAGAGATCCCTTTAAAAAGTGATTTGTTTCGCTTTTGGGAAATCCTCGGGTCTGTTTGTTTTTAATGTTTACATCTTGTTTGCCCGATAACAAATAAATTAATAAATAAATGAATAGAACCATCTCCATGAAAAATTTCGACGAGGATTTTTCAGCAAAGCGCCGTAGGCGCTACTGGTGACCGAGTATAGTAGATTAGCATATTCATTAGCGTCATTCGGCGTGTTTTGGCGTTGGTCTCGCTATCGACCAATGGAAGCCGGCAAAGGAGGCTTTTCTCCAAATTTATACTGTATACCACAATGAAAAGGAACCTTATTAATATTTGTGAGTCTTGAAAAGATTGACAATATAATATTAGTATTCTAATATATATTAGTATTTAATGTCATATCTTGTTTTTTAACTCGGTAGGCCTTTAACTTTTTTTAAATGTATTTTTTTAAATGTAAATCACGTGCAATTCAGCTGTGGCTGCTATTCGTGATTTGTTAATAAACCATGTTGAATGAATGAATGAATGAATGACAGATATTGCAAACGCTAGTCTACCAACTTTCAAAAGTGCACGTAGCCAGGCCTATATTTCCAATTTCAACGAAAAGTAATGAACACATCACGACGATTTTTAGCACATACTTGGATCATTAGGAGGGAAGTAAACCCTGAAAGTTGCATGAAAATACGGTCTTCCAAACTGGAGAAATTAATTTTTAGAGATTTCGCCCGCCAACGTGAACATGTAGTTTCATTCAAAATGAAGTGTTACGTAACCTTTAGAAATCGCCCTTAGCAACCACATGACTGCCAAGTCCGGGCCTGAGGTGTATTGCCATATCTCTTCAATTCCTCAATTCCATGCATGGCTCTCAAACTCTTTTAAATTGAACAAAACATTTAGTGAATATCTTTTATTCATGAGCTCAGCAACGGACGGAGTTTTGGCCTGTTACAGGGTTGCATACATTATGAGTCACTGATCTCTATTGTACTAGACTGATAGAGGTCAGTGGTATGAGTCTTGAAACGTTTAAACGTAGGCTAAGTCACCATATTGGTTGATGCGTTGTTTGCTGATTATTTAAGTACTCGATCGCACACACGTTGGCGAGCATGCCGCATTTCTAATTATGAACGATGTTCACGGCAGTAGCACGGCGCGGTTTCAAACGTCGTGCTACTGCCGTGTCGAATAAAATTTTAAGTTGGCCGGCCATACAACTTTGAATTGAAATTATATTCGACACGGCAGTAGCACGACGTTTGAAACAGCACCGTGCTACCGCCGTGCTAAATGCAAAAGCACGGCGGACCCTGTCGAGCTAAAGTCTTCTGCCGAGCCGAAATCAACTGCCGAGTCAAATTGGTTTCAAACGTCGTGCTTGTGCCATGTCGAATAAGATAATTCAGGTTTATTTCTATTCGACACGGCATAAGCTCGACGTCTGAAACAGGCCTTAGAATATAAAAGTCAAGCTTACCTGCCATTGCTGATAGCATCAGAACCACAGCTGCGGCTCCGCCCATCCTCCCGGCCAGATGCAGTGAATTCTGAGCAAAATCAGTTTGGTTGGTGGTACTTATCAGCGTCTCACAAAAGCCTTTTTCTGTAATCAAACCCTAGCTCTATGATCAAACCAAACCAACCCGCATTAGCAGCTACACACGTAAATCACTAAACAGCATGACGTTATTAACAGCCAATCAGGAAAGAGCCAGCAATGAATAAACGAGAACCCTCGAAAGTGATCCTATGTTTATACGTTGTATGCAAACCACACACGGTCGCGTCACAGACTACGCAGCCGCAAACCATTCAACAGATTGACGACATCCCATCCAATCAGATGTAAACCTGAACTTGAAATGAGGATCGAAAAGTTTAGGATTGGTTAACGTTCACAGCATGAGCGATATAGTTATGCTGGAAGTAAGTCAAGTTGTAGCCAATGTCAACTATCTGGTCTGGGTTTGCATGATGTCGTCTTTATATTGAATTAATTACTGCGTGCGAACGAAAACTTCAGCTTGTAGTGAGCAGATCTATATGGGGGGGGGGGGGGGAAAGCGTTGTATCTAGGGGAAGAAGACGCTATGACTGATGATACTGTTATCCCTTGTTGTTTGACCATCGATTCCACTTAAAGGGAATATACATCATTGGCTTTTGCTGTAATGTTCAGAAATGAACTATTTGAGGGGTTAGTATAATAGACCAAATATTGTTACACTCACATGTTTGAAGTTTTGTGTTCGAAAATGCTGGAAAAACCAAGAAAAACAAAACTGTTCAAGTAGTCTGGTTCCCTGACTCCACTAAATATAAAATGGATCAATTTACAGATGCCGGAAAATCGTAAGGTAAGGGTACTAGCTGGCCTGCACCCGTTCATGAGCATGTAACCAATAGCAAACAAAATTTGGACTGAATTAATGGTAAATTTGGAGCAGTAATTGAAAAATAGTTAGGCCGACCACCGCTGGAAATTTTTACAAAAATACCATTTCGTTGAAAATGACTTCACACCAGGTGCCATAATTTTACAGGATGCTTTAGACTGTCATTTACCAACATCCTATTAAGGTATTTTGCAAAAACTTGGTAGTTTTATTTTTTGATGTTTGCAAATGTTGTATTTTCCCTTTAATGAATCAATCTGTTCTCACATACTATTCCAGAGTCCGTGCAACCACATTAGATGTAAGTTTTTGAAAGGTCTATTTTGTCACCAGAGGATTGTGTAGCACCAGATGTGAGTACAAAGATTACAGCAAAGTGAAACACAATTATTTATGAGGAAATGTATTTCTTTGAAAGGTCCCCACCAGTATAAGTATGAAAGTATTTTTTTCATTGATTCTTGGTGATAGAATGATTCATCTACTGGTTTTCTTTTGGGGATTGGGTTTCAGTTTTATTCTCTGAATCGGTAGCGTGCAATTTTGTTTTGATATTGTGATTGTGCAATTTCTGCGTGTATTGCAATTTAAAAAATAATTACATAGAGAGAAGACATCATGTAATTTCCAATTGTTTGATTTAATGAAGTTTATCTATCCATCTAAATAGTATCAATCTAGGTAAGCAGTTATTCTTGTTGATATTTATCATACCTAATTCAGCCTGCGGGCTGCTTTTATCTGTGTTTTAATAAACCACAGATAATATTAATACATTTGCAATAGTAATTATATGAAATTACAGATAATTGGTTATTAGGAGACATTCCCATAGACTTGTGCACACATTTTTTTCCAACTTTGATGTCCTTTAACCCCAATTTGACCTTGTCCTAACCCCACGACTGTTTGTAGTTTTTATATATTGGACCAAGAGCAATCGATGTAGTATGTGCGACATTAAGACTTTCCCTCAAAATAGAAGCTAAGGCATGAGAGAGATAATGAAATGTCTCCCTAAATCCACGTCTCCCAAAGGTATACCTTGTGGTCCTTTTGTGTTTAATTATTGGATTTGGCATTGTCGAACTAGTATAGCTATCTGAAATTGCCAAAAAGAACGAAAAAAATATTCCTCTCTTTTAAGTGACAAAGTAGTTTGTATACAAGATGACTTTAGTTTCAGTACTTCATCTAGATATTTGACCTGAGGTTTTTTGGCTTTCGCATCACCCTCTCTATATATTTTTAGGAGGGTTGTCGAATGATTACCCAATATGTTTTAATCAAAGTGATTACTTTTTAGTACACTTTCCTCCATATTTTAATTCTTATTTCACGCTCTCTATCCTAGAATCTTGACAAGAGAAAACTTATAGTTTCATAGTATTCCGACACTGTACACAAGAAGTTTGATTGGTCACAAGGACGGATCCGGGGGAGGGGGCCAACGGGGGCCACCCCCCCCCCAACGAACCCCTACTTATTTTTAAGTGACGTCGCAATAAAGGCAGGCACTGCGTATACACACACCATCTATTCCTCAAAAAAATTGTCAAAGTGGTCAGGAATTGCAACAGATCGCACCACAAAGCATCTAGAATCCTTTTTTTTCGGGCACCTTAAGCGGGCCCCGAACTCCACGCCGTCTTTTTTTTTTACCCATTTTTTGGGGGACCCAAATTTGTTTGGCCTCCCAAAATCGTGTTCTGGATCCGCCCTTGATTGGGCATGCCCAAAATTCATATCAAAACTGTCATGGCACTCATTTTAAGGGTTCAACACATATAAGTGAGCACGCACATTAGTGTTTAAAACAAACAATTTACAGTGAACCATGAAGAAACGGTGTCAGTCTGGGTATATCTCTTTCATCAGTAAATACTTTGCTGCATAGTTTTTGAGACGCGGAATATATCCGTGGTAACCACGGTATACTTGTTGGATCACACCACCAACAAAACAGTACACATGCCCATTACACACTTTAAATTTGTAACTTTGGAATCTTATCTGATTCCTGATAATTTCACATAATTATCTAGGCCTACAACCAGTTTAAAAGCGGACATTAATAATCAAGAAAAATATGATAAGACAATTAGAATTATCATACAGCTGCAATGAATTATTTCAATGCTAGTCAAAGTTTTAACGGACACGATGTTTTCATGCAATGCCAAAATGGCCGGGTTAAAAAAAAGCCCGGAAATTCTCCCTAAATAGCCAATAAACTGAAAACAAATTGGTAAGTAAAATATTATGTACATAGACCATGCATGAGCGCTGATTAAGGCTCGCGTAATTCTACATATAGGTTCACTTTTAAGAACCGAGCAATCAAGGTGTGGTTCCAGCGATGGGGGCCACGTAATAAGTATGCCCAGAATTTCCCAAGTTACAATTTCACCTTACAATAAATGAAGGTGTACGGTATAATCGAGATCACCGGCCCTCTCTGACGTGTGCTCCGTCACCAGCACTGAATGTCTTCTTGGCCAAAGACCTGCCGGCATTTGGATACGATCCCTGGTCGTGCCGTGATGATGGATCCCCGCCGACGCCCGGCCTCCCATGCACGGGCTTTGTTGTCTCGCTTCCCAAATTGGTCGGCACGAAATGGACCCTCGACGACTTGTCTTTGCTAGCATCAGTGTCAATCTTACCAGCCGCATCTCGGGATGACTTTTGTGACTTTCTGCTTCTGCCGGCATCGCCTTTGAGATGACCCCCACTGCTCTGGTCGACAGCAGAGGCAGCAAACGCCTCCTTCACCTCGTTGGGTTGCCTTTGCTGTCGTCTCCTACCATCTTCCTTCCCGCCATGCTGAGTGTCACCCACAACGACAAATACATTATTGGGCGAATTGACACCAAATCGCCTGCCTCTTGAAGTGGGACCCGCTTCTGATCCTCCGATTTTACTCTGCCTCTGCGGGTTTCTCGAAGGTTTCCCTCCGTGGGGAGGTCCTACAGCCCCCGGGCAGCACGTGCACGCACACCCCATACAACCACGGCAGGAACAGGGGCGACTGGCTCGCCAGCAGAGATGCTTACTCGGAGTCGTGCAGCACCGGCCCATCTCGCAGCATCGCGCCCGTCTAGTCGCACCGCAGAGCCACGGGATGTAACCCGGCCGCCAACAACACCAGTACAGAAGGAACGGGATCGTCAGTGCTGCCGTGCAGGCCAGGGAGATGAGAAGTGGCGTCCAGTCAATGTCGTACGTCACTATATGAGAAACAATTAAGAAAATGAAGAACTTGAAGTTCGAAATAAAGGACTGCAAATTCGGAACAGTCAACCAGGCCCGGATTACCTAATAGGCACAGTAGGCACTGGGCCTACGAAAAATTTGGAGGCCTTCGAAAACTTGGGGGAGGGCCTACGAAAAGACCGCAGTGTGCCATAAAACACATAGGCCTACCCACACGCACACAACCTTACACAGGCATAGAAGTGGGGTACTTCCTTTGTTCTCGTGTACTAAAATTTTGCAATGTCGCACACTAATTTCAAAATGCCCTTATATTAACCAGAATTAATTTCCTGGGCTGAAATTAGGACTTAATTTCCCTTTTCTAAAACTCTTCCATTTGCGACAGATCGACCCACCTTGGAAATTCCTAGTTTTTTTAGTAAAATCCATATATCTATTTCGTGAAAAAAAACTTGTGGGGTACCAAAACGGTACCCCTGAAGTCGGTGGGCATTCCTTGTGGGGTACCTCCCATTGTTCCGGTACCCCATAAGGCAGTGTTTATACGTTCACCCACACGCGCAGAGAAAAGTTTCACCAACTGACGCTGTACAGCATGTATGCATTGGCCCTACGTATAAAATGTACGTGTAAAGTCTGTCGTTCTGAAGCACGGTGCCAACCATGGGCGTCGATCGGTGGGGAACGGACTGATGTCGTTCCCCAACGATTTTCGTCCCTGAATAAAAACCTACATTTGATTCTATAGCTCAGAACAGCTGATTTAATGGCTCCTAACTCGAAACAGATGTTTAAATGATGATATATGATGATATTTTCAGGGTCCCTTAAGCGAGCCCCGAACCCCGCGCCGTTTAGGCTTCGCACTCGCACAATCAGTACTGATCAAGATACACACCCTCGAGAATTGGTGCCAACAGGCTGTTAGAGCTGGGACCTATACCAGTTTGTCCTGGATTGATTTGTACAGCCCCCCCCCCCAAACAAAAGTGTGTTCTGGATCCGTCCTTATACCCCCACTCCCAATAGGCCTAATCTATTTTCCGGTTCTTATTACATGATTTTCCTAGTGTATCCAACTGTAGGCGTTGATTACTCATAACATGGTTTTGGGGGACATTCCTCATTTTGCCACATTAGGTCACAAATATGCCCCCTCGAGATGAAAATAAAACAGCCCTCAAACGGACATGAAAGCATTATGATCGCGTAAAAAAAAAAAAAATCTCCTCTCTTGGAATGTAAAAGTGCCCCTCAAAAACACAAATACCCCTCGCGCATTAACAAGATTGTGAACCTTCTCGAGATGGAAAACTATCCCTCGAAAACACGAATGACCCCTCTCGCAATAAAAAAAAGTTGTGCCCCTCTCAAAATGGAAAACTGGCCTGTAAAGAAATAATAGTGCTCCTCACGCTTTTAAAATGTAATGCAAACATAAAGTGTATATCAATGTTGGTAGTAAATTTTGCTCTGGGTAACATGTATTCCTTGCAATGTGAACGAAAATAGTTACACAATTTCAAAAAAAAGTGCCTTTTTTTCTGAGCAAATGCCTTTTTTTGGTGATGCCCCCAGTTTTAAAAACGTTCCGCCGCCGATTTGCGTATTACATGTGCAGGTGTTAGTAAAATGTATACTCGCTTGTTATAAGTACACAATATGACCCAAATTTAGATCGTTCAGTCGCCAAAGGTTCATGGATTTGCTTTGTTTCATCTCAAAGGCCTTTTCATGCCGTAGACTTGAGTCAAGGCGTATGCCAACCCGGACACGAAAAAAGACCATGCGAGTGGCAGGCTCGTTGGCTCCGTGCGCCGTCATCAGGGTCGTAATTCCCGGGGTGGGGTGTGTTGGGGGTATATACCCCCATACATTTTGACCGGGGATGGGCTATTGAATCACCCCCGACTTTTTTGCGATGAGAAAAAAATGAGGATTTTGAGGTATTTTCCGAACGTTCCAGCAACTAAATGTATTCAATAGCACTGGAAAGTGGAGAAACAAAGTACAAAAGCTTTTAAAAATGTAAGCGCGGGTATACATAATTGATAAAGAGCGTCCCAGCATAATGTGGTGTCCAGCCCCCCCCCCCCTTCGAATGTCCACGGCCGGGCAATTCGGGCGTTTCATGTGCCACCAAGAGTTTGCCACGGAGAGTTCATTTTTCTAGTGCATTGTGGGAGATGGTCGACAAATTCGCAGCGCGGGACATTTGAAATTGTTAGTTTTTTCCTGTCAGTAGTTTCGTAAGCGTATGATTCGAGTTTAAATTTGCCTTTTTCTTTTCTTTGTATCACAATGGTGTTTTTAGTAAGGCGGCAGAACGCTATACCCAAATTTAAAGCCAATTAGCTAAAGTTGTTTAATGACACTCATTCAAATGGGCCTTGTTTTGTCGACCGTAATTTGAAAAATTGACTCTCCATGGCTAACTCTTGGTGGCGCACTGCATTGTGAATCGCCCGAATTTTATGATTTTGGTCATCCCCCATCCCCCCCCCCCCCCCCACTCGCTGGCACATATTTACGCCACTGGACGTCATTGCACTCGCGTGGTCACGATTCTAATCATGCCACTGGCTGACGTTAATGTGACATTGTATTATAATGGCATCATTCCCTAGACTTAGCGTAAGTACAAGGAAGGATGAATTTTCCCAAGGATGAATTTTAGCCAAGCGATTTGAATTAGACTCAGACAAACAAAATTCCCTCGTTAATATTTGTAAACGGGTCAGTAGTTTGATATAAATATAATGAGGTAGGGGAAACTTGCTAGAATTTCTCTCAATCAGCGCGACATGTCAGTGCCGGCCGCAAGACGCGCGACGCGAAACAATTGATGCGACAGAATAAGGACGAGCTTGGTAAGGTTAATTGCTCGTAGTGACTCTGAATAGTCATCTGCTCGGTACATAAGAAGATTGGAGAAAAGAGTTACGTAACAGCATTCATGTGTATAGCGCGATGCTGATGCATCTTTCGTGCAGCTATGAAACACAAAGTAACTCTCCTACGGCAGAAATAAAGATTACGTTTTAAACGCAAAGAGAAAAGCACTTACTGAAACAGCTTGCTCGTTAAGCTGTCTGACAGTGGACCCAGGGCTAGGGGTTCGAAACCCGCTTGGTGTCGTTTTTTGGTTTTCGATGCCCACGGTTCAGTCATTTAAGAGTATTAATTTCCCGTCGTCATTTACCAACAGCAGTTAGCTCGGTCGGTCGGTAAGCTGACTCACAAGTTGGGACTGTCTGCGAAGTCCAGGTTGGCATCTGCGTATAGGTACGGGGTTCTTTTGCTGACTCGGCAGCAAGGCTTAGGGTGCCACCTCGTTTCCTCCCTTTATGGTGCCTGACTTTCGAGTTACATGGATGGACAGGGAAGGAGGTGTGGTGGGCCGGGTACCGAGACCCAGAAGAGTTCTATATGGAAGTCGGTAAGGGGCTCATTGAGTTAGGGTCATAAGTCCGACTCCTGAAGACTTGGCCATCGCCACATAACTTTTTGTTTTATTTTCTTTCTTTTCTATCGGAGGACAACTGCAAGAATGATAACTTTGTTATATAAGAGCTTGTACTGCAATCGTTCGAAATTAATCTTTAAAATTGCTCGAAAATACAAAATTCAATCCAGCTATAATTTTTTTACTTCATTGTCGCAAAACTGCATGTACATGCTCAGTACCTTTGCGCATACCTTGTTCAAGGCCTGTTCCCTGATCCCAGACAGCGAGCGCTAAGCCCTGAAGGCGTGGGGTCCGGGGATGCTTAAGAGCCCTGGGAAATTTTTGGATTGCAGATGCTCTGTAGCGCAAATATCAAAATTGTAGCTTGACTCTTTTAAAATTGCTCGAAAATACAAAATTCCATCCAGCTATGATTTTTTTATTTCATTGTCGCAAAACTGCATGTACATGCTCAGTACCTTTGTGCGTACCTTGTTTAGGCCTGTGTACCTTTGTGCGTACCTTGTTTAGGCCTGTTCCCTGATCCCAGACAGCAGGGAAGGGGGTCTTTAAATCCTATAGTAGAATGTTTTGTATGCGAGCGCGAAGCCCTGAAGGCGTGGGGTCCGGGGATGCCTAAGAGCCCTGGGAAAGTTTTGGATTGCAGATGCTCTGTGGCGCAAATATCAAAACTGTAGCTTGACTCTCTATCGAAATATGCCCTCGTTATTTTGAGTCGTCACTAATAAGAATCAGCTCAATTCGTAACTGTGCGAGCGAGCACGTGCTTGTGTTTTGCACAGCTGTAGCTGTCAACCTCCGTATGTGAAGCGAATTCGCGCGGCAGCTTGTGCCGACATGACAGAATGTACAATCTTTTGCCATGGGTTTCAGAACCTGATTTTAGCTTCGCGGAGTTTTAAGCAGCAGTGTTTATTATTTACATTCTCCACTTTGTTCTTATTCCCTCTTCCTTTCCTCTTGCTTCTCCATTCTTCGGAACACTGGTTCCTAGGGCCTACGAAACACTTAATCCGGGCCCACAGTCAACCTAAGAGAGGCATTACAAAAAGAGACGGGGACACGCCCAAATTTTGTCCTGTGCCCGCCCGCTCCCTTTGTTCCCTAGCTCAGATTTTGGAAGACAAAAAAAAGGTGGTTTTTTTTTTTATATATTCGAGTTATCTAGATATAAAAGACACACAATATATACGAAGAAAACTCTTTTTCTTACCTGGGCAGGAAGAGGGCGCTATTTCGTTGACTTGATCGCTGTAGTCCTCGTCACCGCAGTTGGACACGCCCTGTCGGTCACATGACAGAGCCTTCGAGATACACCTATTGGTCAACTGGCAAAGAAGGCGTGGCTCTGATTCTTCAGTGCTTCTGCAAAATGAATCTGCAAACAAAATTAAAACATTGAAAATTACCATGCGTAGAAGCAGATCGGTTATTTGCTATTTTTTTTGGAGGGAACAGAAAAACTTGGAAATTATTTTAAATTGATTTAAAAAAAACCCTTTTTTACCGTTACTGAATGAAGAGTATACCGCCTTGAAGTCGACCACACTCAGGTTACCGCTTGCGTATATTTGCATAGTCAGCGCTGATTGGCTGGAAGTAAGCAACGGGAGGCGTTGGCTTCCACACGTTGTGTCACGAAGTACGGGTGACGTCATATCAGGGCCGTCGTAGAATGTCACACTGGCGTGTTCGCACGACGGGTCATCAAAATATCTGGCGATACGAATGGAGTTCAGCTTAGAAACTTGTAATGGCGATACATTAACAACAATACAAAAACATTGCATACGGGTTTATGGCTTCTGACTGTCGACTTGTGAACAATACATGAACAAAATAGGAAACGTGATTAATTGGGCATTATTTTTGATAATTCAGAGCACATCTTCCGATTTCAGCAATTATTGATCTGGTTGTTAAGGTAAATCTGATTCCGTTTTGCTAGCGGAGCAGACAACATGATTGGTGTGTTAGTCCCGCCACTTTACAACGTTTGGCCTGAATTTTTTCCAGAATGCCAGGCGAAGACACCGCAGCGTTTGAGTAACCTCATTTCGTGGCTTCCTCGCGCGTAAACTCCGTTATACGGGGAAGCTACTCGAACGCACCGCAGTGCTATATGTAAGAAAATGTGGAACGCTTGGCAGAGCATAAGAATGCAATCGTTTTAAAGTCGACAGGGGGCTACAATCCTCTGTATAAAAAGTTATTGAAACACCATAAGGTACATGTTTATAGGATTAGAGTCCCAGTCAGTGACAAGCGACTCCACTTTCACCATTTTGGTGAAAATGTGAAAGTCTTAGTTTGAACATCAACATTGTTAAGAAAGGCCTGTGGTGTACAATCCATTCTGCAAAGGATTGTAGCTCATGTTTGAGCTTCTTTTTTTTTACAGTGGTATCGATTTTATTCTGAGACCAAAACTGCATTTCTTTTACCTGCGGGACACATCGAACCACCTGAAGTCAAGCATCACCCTCTGAAATGGTTGCTTGGCCTCGATGACGTATACGCACATAATGCTGACGTTGAAGATGTCCTGTGACTTGCTTGCGTCATGAGATGATAGGATCTTGCCATATTGATCCGTGCCGCTCCCAAGGGTCATGCAAGAGCCGTCGGTTGGTTCAATCACGGTCTCTGTTATATCAAATGGTTGACAAAACAAGATTAGAACAGATAGGCCTACGCGAATCAAACAATGATTAGATAAATGAAATTCGTGTTTTCATTAGTAGTCGACTTATGACTTACTTTGGCGTAACTTCATCATCGTAAAAGATCAAATAAAAAAGCACCTGCTACGATCATAATTGATCGTAATGCACAATCCTCAATACATCCATAATCAGCTTGATTTATGTCTGATAAAACATTTGTAATCGACCCACCTTCTTCCAGCGACGTTCTGCTGCTGCGATCAGCTTTCGGATTGACGCGTCGACACCCTAAAGTCTTCCCCAGACACACTAGAAATACTATCAAATGTACCGTGAAAGATGTCCTGTTGAGAATCATGATGAGCTTTAGCTAGTCAGCTATCGTTCGTGGATTTCCACTGCTTGATCAGGCTTATCTCGATTGAATTGATCACTTTGCATACAATTACGTTCTCCCGTAATAATTTTGCTTCATACAACCCAATCCTCCGCTGAACAACTGATAAAATAGTCCCCCATGCAGACCTTAGTACAATGTATATATACCAGCCTTTTGAGTCCGGTGAACATTTTTTCCGCTTAGGTCTCTGTTACCCTGGCAACGCACAGAAGCAGCCAAATCATGTTTGCATGGGTCCTATATTTGACGACAGGTATATAAAGCTTTTTGACATGGACATTGCATAGACCGCTTGCATCTGACGTCAGACCTGAGAGCAGCGGGTCTTTGTTCCTCTGTGATATGCATGCGTAGACGCATTGTACTTTCATTGTCACTGTATTTAAATGACAAAACCTGCGCTCAATGAGGGCGCACCATGCAAGGAGTCTTTTCTCCTTGATAGCATGGTATATGGATGACAAACAATCGCACAATTTATGCACAAACCCATCGGGCAGTGCCAAAAAAAACCTGTTTTTCTTAATAATAGATATCAAAATGAATTGAGTATTTCAAATATGGATGCACAGGTCTGTCACTGATACAAAAATGCTACAGAAGCAGGAATGTAATTGGTTGTGCGAGCCTGTGATAATTGTGATCTTGATTCTGATTGGTCAATAAGAATGACACTCTATTTCTTCCAGTTCCAAGCAGACGGTTTAATCTTTAATTGTTTGTCCAATGAGGGATATCTCCGAATTTCTCCGTTGCCATGCATTACTGTCAAGTTCAAATTTATATCTAGTATTAATTCACTAAGGAAACAATACCCAACGAGATTTGAAATAGTTTGAAATTTGTAAAGTAATTACTCCATAGCACGAACATTACATCCGATTAAAGACAAACATTGTGTTCCTGCATTACTCAGTGTGTGGAGGGATGGTCGTTCCCTAAAAGTTTCAGCAACTCAACAAGTGAATAAATAAGAGGCAGTTGCCAAAGTTCGTCTCCATGACGATAACCTGTAGCTAGCCCTAGAGGCGAGCAGCCCCACCGGGCACAATAATTCAATCATTTCAGACATGTCATATTTCCTGGGCTGACGAAATGTGAGCGGTTGCCATAACAACCCAAGCATGGTTGGGTTTTGGGTATTTTTTACGCAACGTCTTTTATGACCATGGTGGTTCAGTTAGATCAAGTCGCGTTATCACGTTATTGTTCACGTTATCTATGTTGATATATTAAAACTCAAAGTTCATTCCGGGTCGGGAGCTTTGATTTGCTGTGTACCTCCCAGTCGTGTACCCTCAGACGGAATACAAATACTAGATTTTGCCCATGGAGCATTTTCGGCTGCGGATTTTAGTATTTCAAGATGGAGATTTTCACAGTGTGTCTCGTTCTCGTGGTAGTGTTGGCGTTGGCGTACGTGGCAGCGAACCTGGCCGCGCCGGACGGGCTACCCCTGCACGGCGTGTACGCTGTGCCTAGCCGGTGGTACACGCTCAAGTACCTGGTCGCAAAATGCATGCTGAGGTGGAGCAAAGGCAGGAAACGCACCATCAAAAAGAGGACGATGGACTACCACATGTTGCAGGACAAGATGAGGGATATCGGCGAGATGGAGTTTTACAATGGAATTGAGAAGGTAAGCTCAAGTTTCATACAGTATATTTTTCATGGAAAAATAAGTTACCACTCATGTACAAAAACATTGTGGTCCTAATTTTATGCAATATTAAGTAATTTTTAAGTTCGTTTTTGAGACATTTGGTTATAAATAGGAGCGGGATAATGTCTTTTTACCAGATCATTCGATCTGAACCCAAAATAAGTCATTCTTATTTACTTTTGCATTTTTATACTTGATGGTGCTTTCGTACGCTGCCTAAACATGTCACATACATCCACAAATCTAAACATGCATGCCATTGATTCAAACATGTGAAAAAGTGGGTATTATTCAAGTGTTAGAAATGTATTCAAATCTAAACACAATGCTATAGTGTAGTATACCAATGAGCCTACATGACATGTTTCTGCATACACAGGGTCAGAATTGCCTGTACTTCAACGGCAGCGATCGGGGCGGTGCAACTCGCCTAGCCGTCCGGGTCTCTGTGCTGCCCAACGACCGCCGAGAGGTCTGCTTCCTTCTCCGGATACCGGGAGTAGGCGACCTGGTGCTCCCAAGCCATCCCGACTGCATCACAGACAATGTACGCCCTGGGGAAGGGTTCAGCGGGGCGGGGGTGACCTGTACGCCCATCGAACCTTCACGGACTTGGAGGATCGTGTTCAACGGTCTTTGCAGGTACACACTCTAAAAAAAATCCCTGGTCAGATTTGAACCGGAATCGTGGTTATTTTTTGGTCTAATACATTTCAGGGTCAAAAAGACAGTTTTCCGGATCAAAACGACACTTTGCTGGTTCATTTTCCGTGCATTTGACGTTAAAGACGGGGCAGATTTCAGTTTTAGATTATGCCCTTGCAGTGCCTTTTTTGTATTGAATAGGATTATTTAATAATAAAAATCAAACCCAGTAATGCAACAATCACTAAACACAGTTGTAAAACCTGTTGGTAAATTTGTAGTATGTAGCTTTCCATTTGACCGTATTTCAATACCAGACCACATCAAATTCGATATACACCCGATCTTTGGATCTGATGCAATTAATTAATGCAGCGTCATTCATGGTTCACCTGTGATATATAACCCACATGTGGAGACATATAATATAGGGGTCCTGCTTCCAAGACAATTCTATGAACAAAATCGTGGTCTCTGATGGGAGTACATTTTAGCTACAATGTCACTTTCATTGCTGTCTTTTGTTTTGATTGACCTTTCGTACATCTTTTCATTTTGTAAATGAAATGTTTTTATTAAACACAAAACAATTCATGAATTCAATACTAGGCGATCTGATTATTATCTTGATGCGGCCAAATGGTAAAATATTTTATGAAGTTCAACAACCCGAGTTTGAAGTTTGAACCCTCGTCAACTGTTGATATATCAACCAATTCTAGTCGAGATAAATGATAATTATTTATATAGCATTCACATCGTTTATTGACACTGCTGGGTTGAAATTCGAGGTGAGTGTTTAAAAGCTTCGAGTGGAAATGCGTTTATTTTTCACCGAGCAAACTTGATATCTGGATAACCTTTGACAAGGAATATTTTGGGTGGATGCCTCTGATAATTTAGTCGTGTTCTATACTATTTCTTCCTTCTGGGCTGTATTTTATCCACAAGACGGGAATTTCTCAAAGTTGAACATTTTTGGTTTGATTTTGTTTGTTTTTGTTTGGTTTGGGATGGGATGGGATGGGTTGGGTTGGGTTTGGTTGGGTTGGGTCGGGTCGAATTTGGATTGGGTTTGGGTTGGGTTAGGTTAGTTGGGATGGGTTGGGTTGGGTTGGTTTTTTTTCTTTGGGGGGTGGATGTACAACAGGAAAAGGTTTGAGATTGAGTTGAGTTGATATCGATGATCTTTTTCCCCTCATGCCAGGGTTGGTATTAGGAATGAATGGAGTGCAGACGACCAAAGACCAGTAGTCCATCTCCGCTGTAGTCTGTTGTAAGTAGATGTGCACCCAGAAATCACTAGCATGGACGTAGATATTCTTTCTTCTCCTCCACAGTCCAACGAAGCATAAAAAAAAGAAGCATGAACTTGGTTTGAGCCTGGTCACCCTACACCTCCCCACCCAACCCCCTCCCCCGCTTAATTCAATAGTCTGGTTCCCTTAACAAACGATCACCTTATCGTTCTAGACGACCGTTGATCAGTAACCGTCACATTCAAAAATAGACTTGGAAAAGCCCTATCCTCATCCGAGTGCATACTCGAGGCGCATACAGTTACTGTGCACAATGCCATGCTTTTGATTCATTTTTTAAATGCGAACCTTGTTTTCGATAAACTAAAATTTTCCATGACCGATAACAAGCATGAGAAGTGCTGTGTTGATAAATACACCACTTGCAACTTGATAAAGTAGTTGTTGCTACGAAAGCTTTGCAAACTGTAATTTTATATAGTCATTCAAAGTGCTACCTTACTTTTCCATTTGATTCTGCCTGACTAACACGACTGCCCATCACTGTTACTCCTGATACAACCGAGCTATCGCTAAAGTACCCGAGGTCAACAATAATAAACATTTGTTACACATTCTGTCTATTCATACAGGTGGAGTGCGTTTTCAACATTCTACGACTTTGCATCTGACACCAATCTCGGCCTAGCTGCAGATGCCATCGCCAGAGAACAATGGACGCCGCAGTTTGTCACCAAAATACAACAGTAAAATATAATTTCCTCAACAATTATTAATGGACATGCATATAAGTTCATAAAGTAATGTATTGTTTCTGTATCACTGCCATTTGTGCTTTCATCATTTAGGTACAAAATGGCAATGATCAATAAATGTATTATAATTAATATTTATCCATTTCAGAACGCAACGGGTCCACTATGCCCAGTTTGGCATGATACACGGGGTGGTCCAAGTCGGTGACCAGGAAGAAAGGTCACTGCTCATGCGCGGTGTTAAGGAGCGTCTGATTGGTAAATAAGTCTATACTTTTCCTAATTTGCATACATAAATCATTTTCATGGTATTTGAAAGTTAGAATTCGGGATTTGTGAATATCAAGGGAAAAGGTTTAGTTAACAGGGTATCAGTACTGGATGACTGAAGTACCACAATGGATCGTAAAAAAATATAAACAAAAGCCCACTTTTTAAACATTAATTTCTTTCGTTTCAGGTGGCAAGCAGTTGAGTGATATCCATACTCAAATTTCCAACTACATCGTGTTGGAGGTAGGCCTTGTTGCTTCAAGAATGTGAATTCATTTTCCTCTTTATCCGGGTTTCCTTCTCATTTTTTCCTCTCAAGTAATAATCAATACTATTTTTTTGAAGAAGGAAAACAAATAAACGAGATCTTTATGATTACTGTTGACGTCTTTACTTTATTTATCTTATTTGATTTTCCCCCTTTTATTTTGTTTCACAGAATGGGAAATGTCTATATGCCAACGCTTCCTGCATCCCTGGATATCTGTCCAAGTAAGTCCTTTTTGTGTTTACTCCCCGGTGTCATATGAAATCTGGACTCCTATGAAATCTGGTCTCTTTTACTTTATATGGACTCAAACTCTAACCCATGACTTTTCTTGTTTTCATTTTGCATACCGACGCATGCGCAATTCAACCAGTGAGTCTTTATTTCATAGAGTCTAAATTTCACATTACACTATAGTCTTTAGCAGAATGTTAAATTCCGTTTATAGCTTGGAACGATTTATTAACAGACCTAACAATTGACGTTTGCGCATTGAGCATTTTCAGCGCCATTTTATGAATGAATGTGTTTTTTTTATTTTGATTAAAGTGCCACCTGTGGGTTTATGATGAAGGCGGTTGGTGACGTCATCTCAGCATCGTCCGTGGACCTCCCATTAGCTGTTCTCTTGGAAAATGCAAATGATATACCAAAGAAGTTTGCATTCAGCTTACAACCCGAAAGTAAGTTGGTTGTGCAGACTGCACGCAGGTGTCACAGTTATTGGCTAATTGTACGTTATCGATACTTTTCTTCTAATCCACACTTTGCTTTGTCTCAGATTAGGCCTATGTCTTAGTCGATGAAAGCTGTTCCATAAATGTCGGCTAACGAGGACATGAGATTGTTTTCAACAATGTGTAAACCTTTTCATTTTGTGAACAGCTGGAGAGAGGCTAGACGTTCAGGTGAACATCGAAGATACGTTGGACTTCAACATGGGGAACGACTGGAGCGTGCGTCTAGCTGAAGGAATGAGCCAATTTACTGTCAATGGAGTGAAGGGGTGGGGCGTTTGCCAGACCCTCACAAGGTGTGTTTTCTGTGAAAGAATACGAAACCAAACTATGCCACAAGTAGCATAACAAATCACCTGTCTACGGAACCTCAAAGAAAACGAATGCCACGATGTGAAACGATTGGCGGCTGATATCAATGCACAACACCTGAAAGATATATGAAGAATCAGTTGTTTGATTTCTAAAAGGAATCTCTATAGCTAACCTTGTTGCACCACAAAAGTCATTGGATCCAACTAACGAGGCACAGCATCATAAGCGGGATCTTAAAATTTTCCAAAAAGGTTGGGGAGGGAGAGGAATGGGCTGTCTTCCTTGAAGTTTCAATATAGTATATAGGCGGTTTTTTGCGGCCCTATTGGTAGGGGGGGGGCGGACAGCCCACTGCCCTCTCTAAATCCGCCACTGCTCGAGACAATATAGTTTCAATAAAGTTTAATCAATTTACGCTTATCTTCCTGTTGGCAGGTTCCAAACGGGTAGGCTGGTTCCCGCAACAACACCCGTTCCTAAGCTATACAGGGAGCCAGGTAAGAACATTATACCGACGCAGGTAAAGGTCTAGATTCGATTTCGTTTAACCGGTTTTTTTTTCAGGTATAGTTACAGCACTACGTATTTTACGTTACGAGTTGATGTTACCTGCAACAAAATGAGTCGAAAGTTTCAAGATATTCTTTTGAGAAACATGCCTTTTTTAAGTAGCTTGGTCTAAAAAAAGTAATAGGAATACCCAACTTTTCCATCCATAAAATAAAAGCAGACGTTAGGTTGACAAACTGAATAGGACCGGATCACGGTTGTGGGAGGCCTTGGGCACAAGGAATGTGAGAGGTCCCACGCAAAACAAAAGGCTTTCCCCAGATGATCCTCACGTATTGTTGCGCGAATCTCTGTGTTGATGAGCCTCAAATTCATCCAGTTAAATATTGGTACAGTTACTTCTATGACTTGTTGTGGCGGGTAATTCAAGGTCCGAAATTATTCAGCAAAAGATCGGGAATGGGATTGCCTATTAACGTGGTGCAATGCATTACGGCAGCTTTTGCTCAGATAATGGGGCAAATAATCTGTACAATGGCTAGCACAATTATGTCGCCATTAAAGGGGGCCTCCATTAATAGTGTACCGTGACAGCGTCTTCGGATAGGCCTAGTCTCAAGAACAGTATTTGGTATTCTCCAAATCTTACGTTTCCAGTCTCACAATACATTGTCCTTAAAAGCTACCGTTTAATACTTTCCCTGGAAGCAAAAGCATTTTCATTGTGTTATGGCAGATATCGCAAGCATGGTAGACTCCAAGCCACTGGCTGTGCCGCTGACTGCGAGTTCCTGCCAGGCGTCTTCCCTGACCGGCGGCAAGGGCTCCCAGCTTGCAAAGCTGGTGGCTCTGCAGAACCAGCTATCGGTAGAGGTGAGCAAAATAAATAGGAAACTTAGTAATAATAGGTATAAATGCTACAGTCGATTGCTTGTTTGATTATGCACTGTTCGTTTTTGGGTGAATTTTGGGAATAATATTCTGCCTTAGTAAAACAATGCGGGAAATAGATTCGTTGTTAGTTTTTTCAATAGAAGTACAACAGTTTTTCACTTTTGACTACACACCGAACGAAATAAAAATGCATGAGAGGGCGAATCTATTTATGCACAAAAGAATCCCAAAATACAACTTTTTTGAAAGAGTCGCAGACGCCCGAAGTGGCAAAACAACTAGCACACTTCGTTGAAATAATACTTACACTTAATGGTTATGAGAAATAAAAGTTGACTTTGTTGAGGGGCGCGGAGTGTAAATCTTTATAAACATCAAGTATTTCATCTGTGTTTTCATTATCCATTGCAGTATGAAGTTCCGTCAGGTTTCTGCATCACAACGGCTGCCTTTGAGGCGCATCTACAGGTAATTGAATTGATAATTGATTGATAGACTTGAAATATGTCGCTGAACGAAGAATGGATCTTATTCATTGTGTTATACCTACTATTGCATTACACACAAGTGAGTTTCAGGACGACGCTTACACGTTTCTGACATCAGTTGTATTCCCAATAGTGTTCATATTATGCAAGGTTTTCGATAAGCTCTGACAGCTAATTTTACTCATGTACATTGTTTTTATTCCCACCAATAACTAAATTCTTGACATTCTGATTTGGAAACGCGTGGGTGTGTTATAACTAAACTTGTACTTAAAAGGAAATTGAAAAAAAATGAGTAGGAAAAAGTCCAAAATAAAACTAATTTCAAAAGCAGGAGAAGGTTAATTAGGGTTGGTGCAAGAAACTTTCCTTTCCTGGCGATTATTACCAATGGCGGCGCTGGGTGAACGGATGTTTACAGGAATAATCAGTCCTTGGCATGCCTACACTCACCTCGTCTCAGCGTACGAGCTTCAACAAAATTCGCATTGTTTTATCTCCCATTGCTTTATTTGTTCCCCTTGTTGCCAGGACAACAAGGACTTACGGAAAGCTCTGCAGGAATTGCATGATGTTTCTTGCACCGTTAGAGAGGGCGACCTCGTGACAATATGCGACAGGTAATTGCAGATCATGAGCACCGTCGCTGCCAACTGGCGCCGTTCAACATTGCTCTTCTATTTAACGGAAGCAATTCCTCAATAGTAGGAGGTGCTCTTTAAAATCACCCAGATTATGAGGATATTATGATTATTTTGATTTTCAGGAAAATTATTGAAAGAAAATGTTAGATCAAGTTTAATAGAATGCTAAAGAAAATACTTCACTCGATATCGGAAAGTCTTGATAAAATGACTCCCACATAATGGGTACGTTCTTAATATTCCCTTCCAAAATAGAACCGCCCTTGACAGTGGTCATTTTTTTCGGGGACTGAGCGCGATCTGGTTAGGACTTGCACATTACTTTCCCAAGTCGACCTTTTGATTGATTAATCGTAAGCACGTATATTGAGGATGTAGAGTAAAATGAATCATAATTATAGATTGGACACTGTTGAAGTCTACGGGAATTACTACAGTGATGAAAATACGAATGCAGCCCTCATGGCCTATTATCATGCATGAATTCATAAAGGAATTTCGTGGCTTTTTTTTACATCCGAAAGTACTGCTGCCCAGATTGCCAACACGCCTATCTCAGATGACTTAAAGGGTGAAGTCGCTGGAAAGGTTGCCGATGTATTTGGCGATGCAGAAGGCTCCAAGATGTACGCCGTTCGCTCATCAGCTGTCGGTAAGACTAAGCAAATTCATCACACGCATATGAATAAATCTGGGGTGCGTTCCACTCACGCGGTCGGTGCTAATGTTTTCCAACGTTGACATTTTTTGCGTACCGACTATTTGTCACCAACGTTGGCGAACGCTCGCAACAAAGATGACTGGTCTTCCTGAGTCGTTCACTATGTTTTCCAAAATGGCTGAAACACTTAAAAACGAATTAATCCTGTCTGAGATGAAATGTACCGCGCTTTGCAGTAAGTTATATAAATACTGAATATATATTTACTTCCAGAAAAAAATCATTTATTGAGAATTAAACCTGCCATCCTTGCTTGCGACCGGCTCGGGACTTGGTCGCCGCCCTCCACTCTTCCCTATCCAGCATTAGGGTCGTCAGCTGCCCTATGCCACTGAGACCAACATCCCGCCGTAGCGTGTTGATGTACGTGGCTATCCAAACAGTGAAAAATATAGCATTAAGGGCACCACAATTTTGACAACAGATTGTCGAGGTTGGCATGTGTGTCCAAACAGAGACATAAGCCTCATTAACATTAGCTGTTGGAGCAGTTGTAGAATGAGCTACATAGAAACAACTATTTTGAAAGAGTAGAATCTCCTACAGATCCCTTCAGTAGAAGGTTCAAATCCAGTTGTTGGTCTATGTTGACTGTTGTGTCCTTGGGCAAGCCAAATCACCCCCACTTACCTTTCTCCACCCAGGAGAATGAATGGGTACCGGCATTAGCTGGGGAGTAACCTGCAATGGACCGGTATCCCATCCAGGGGAAATAGAAATATTCTCAGTCGTTTCATGCCAAGGAAACTGGAGATAAGAGCCAGCCTGATGGGCCATATTGGCTTGTGACACTGAGACTTTTTTCTTATCTGTGGATATATATTTTTAAACTCTCTCCCATCGTTGATTTACAGGTGAAGACACTTCACTGACGTCAGCTGCTGGACAGATGGAGACATTCCTTGGAATAAACGGCATGGAACGGGTGAGAGGTCATTTGGGCAACTTAATAATACAGGGTATAACTGGTGCTCTGATTTCGCATCAACAAGATGCCGCATTTGGCTGGACCAAATTTTCGGAAACTGGAAGCTTTGTCTTAACAATGAATTCACTTTTTTGAGTTTTTGAAAAATCTGATGAAGCAAAAGAACTTGATATGTCAATACGGATCTCTGGAATAGAAATTGGTTTATGGTCACGGTGTCTGACTCATATGCAATGGTACATGGTTCAAACCCTGACGGTTATATGGTGCTTGTGTTCTTAGGCAAGCCAGGAATATAGATGGGTAGAGACCAGATTGGGCTGATCTCGATGACATGAGCACAACATTGAGGCCAACAACTCAATATGACACGAAAAATATTCATGATTAAACTTTATTTGTCTACAGATATTTGAGGCGGTACAGAAATGCTGGGCGTCTAATTTCTCATTCCAAGCGGTCCAGTATAGAAGGTAATATATATTGCTTGCTTCCGTTCAAGCATAAAAATGATCTCAATCATTACTATCATAATTCAATGATATAGTCATGGCAACATTCACTGCTCTTTGTAAACTTCATAGAAGCTGATTAGCAAGAAGTACTTCCCAAGTAAACATTTTGTGTTGTAAAAGCAACCAACAATCTACATCTTGGGGTCTAATTCTGTCTGGAAATGAAACAGGGGATCCGGGATTCTGGGTCGGGTCTGATCCAGGACTTTCAATAGTGCATGTTCCTTTCTCTGTAATGTGTCGCTATCACGCTTTTGCAGGCAATACGGTCAATCAGTGGACTCGGCCATGGCAGTCGTTATCCAAGAAATCGTCCCCGCAGAAAGCGCAGGTAATTAAAGATGGTATGACTTAAAAGTGTTTAACTATTGAGCGAGCGGAAAGGGTTATCCTCTCGACAGTAGGTTTTCTTCTGAATTTCAAGTTTGCGGAAAAGATGCTTTAAGAAAAAAAAACATTTTTGAAAACATGCAACCTTGTGGTATTTGAGTAAATGTTCATCACTAAAGTTTTAAAAATAAGTAGCTAATTATGCAAGTTCAATTGCAAAAAGGATGTTTGTCATACCAGATTGTAAGTACATGTAATCACTTCTCCCTCTTTGTGAACATTCCGGTAATTTGGGTTTTCGCACGCGCGAAATTTATTGAGAAAAATATTTCTATACGTCTTTTTGTTCAGGTGTTGCCTTCAGCCGTGATCCGATGACCGGTGACCCAACCAGGATCGTCATAAATGCAAACTATGGGCTTGGAGAGGTAAAGTGCGCCCTCGTTTGTGGCACTTTGTCTTAATCATAGAGGAGTCCGTTCGGTGCAAAGCTCACAAGAAAATGCCACCTTTTCATTATTTTTTTTTAGAATGAAGAGGACATTTGAAATATCTGCAAATTGGGCAGTGGTTAACGCTTTCGGCTGAAAATCTGTATTTGGTTCCCGGAACCGAATTTTCTTTGTCAGATATTTTCCAGAAACACTCCAGCGAACCATGCTTATTGTGGAGTAGCCTTTAAGAAACATTGGCAGCCCTCATCAAAGGGACAAGTCATTCATTTTTAAGACTTGTCTTAACAGACCATACAAGGAGAAAGCTTAAAAATGTTGAGACCAAAGTTACGTTCCAAAATGACCATTGAAATCGTTGGCAATGTTTGTTAACTTTTTCAAATTGGTTATAGTCGGTAGTGTCGGGCATGGCCGAAGCAGACACGATTACTCTACACGTTGACGGCAAGAGGAACCTGACTATAGTGGAGAAGAAGATAGGACGCAAGGAGGAAGCAATATCGGTAGCAGGTAGGGAACCAGATTATAGTAAATTCATGGAAGAATACAATGTAGTAAACTGTATATACTTTACATTTCACGTGGAACTCTGCCTCAGTGAATGCAAAGTAGGACTACGCTTAATCTTATACAAGACTAAGTATTTTCAGCATTTTGATGAATTTTGACAGATGGAGGCGGAACCCAGACAACCAACCAGACTGAGACCAAGGCAGCAAGTTGTTCCGTGTCGGACGAACTGTGCCTCAAATTGGGAAGGATTGCACTCATGGTAAGCAATAGTAGATTCCATTTTCCCCGTCATTCCATTTCAGGCGTCATAGACAACCTTTACACAAATCACGTTGTTATTTATGTGAAAATTACGGACCTGGATTAGAATTGGTGTTTTTTCCTATTACCCGATACTCAGTTCTAAAGTATTCCAAATATTTGAAGATTTGTTCTATTTCTTTACAAATCTTTTTCCTACAGTTGGACGAGTGTTTCTCCGACGCTCGGGACATCGAATGGGCTGCAGTTGGTGATGCGATATATTTACTGCAGGTGCCTATTACATCTTTTTTCTGGCTTTTGCCATCATTTTATAGACCTTTCGTTTGTTTACAAACAGCGCCATTGTGTATGGGCGGCCAAAGTTTGCAGAAAGTTTACACTTTGTTGGCATTAAAGGTAGATTATAGACCATTATCCAAAAAGTAACCGACAAAATTATTGTTAAAAAGCTTACTTGGTTTAACCCTAAAAGGGCCGGGTTATTTTTACCATCTCTCAGCCGGGGGGGGGGGAATTCCGCCCCCCCCCCCTAAGATCTCGGCCATCGAGTGATGAAAAATTTTGAAACTCAGTACATGCATAGAGCAACTCTTCCTAAACATACCCAAGAAATTTCATGACTATAGGTCAAAGGATTTTGGAATTATGGCTAATTAATTATTCATGTGTACGAATGGCAATTCTGCTCTACATGACGTATATGGGAAAATTCAGTTTTCACGGCGCGTAGCTCCGGAAATTTTTTCGCTACGCGGCAACCCGTGGTCCGATTTTTATGTTTTTGGTATCAAAAGATGCTATCTTTGAGGCTATCGCGGAAAATGTTGGGGGGGGGGGATTCCACCCCCCCCCCCCCCTCCCGGCCCTTTAGGGTTAAGATAGAAATGACACTAAACTCCCTGTGAAATTATTCCTTCTGGCATGCTGTCATTTGGAAGAAAATAATAAAAAGAAGGTCATTCCCAAAGATACGTCAAGGGACACATTTTTGGTAATTTCTTCACGTAGCAACAATCAGCTGAATGAGAATCATGTCCCGAATGCTGATTTTAGGATTGTGCCATGACTCAGCAACTTTTGAATAATGAAATCGAGATCCGCCATATTGTGTTTTCTCTGAATATACAACATTCACAACAGAGATGAAACTGCGTCAGGTTAGTTGTTGAACACCCGTCTTTAGATTTTGAGCACTTTTGTTTCTTCAAACGAAAACAAAGTGCACCAATGACAAATGGCCTACTCTACCTACTCTAATCGGAAATGGGTTAGCGAAGTTGTGAATTGCTCAACCATAAAATCCCCCACTAAAAAAATGGGTCTTATTGTGGTCATCCTTTTTTTTTTTAAGGCCCGAGCTATAACAACCCTGGACGTGCCAACTCGGTACGAGTTGCTCCATGAGTTTGACACTGGTCTCCCGGTGGACAATATATGGATGAGTACTGCGAATATACAGTAAGTTGCCGAGCACCAGCTGCCGAAGAAAAAAAAAAACTTCCATATTTAAAGGGCAGACAGTCTGTTTCATTGTTCACATTAATAAATCCCAGCATGCATGCAGTTAATCGATTACAAGAACAACAACGTCCAATATTTAAAGCGAAATATTGAACTGGAACACCAAGATGTACGCGATGAGTGCTAGAATTCGGCGTCATTGGTTGACAGCTAATCTGTCGTTAAGCCATGTGTTTGTCCATACTGCCATATGGACTTGGTCTCAAGCCCCAGACAACAGCAGTAACGTTTATTGTGAATAATAATGTCGAATATGCCTATTTCTAAAAAAACGATCCTCCCTTTTTCCATATTACTTAATAACAAATAGGATGCTGTGTTAATTAGCGTGATGCATCCGTGTGCAGGAGAAGTAGGTCGATCAAACTATAGGGGAGGTGGCACAGCTAAGACGCATAGCAAGCAATGAGATCAAGGAGCATGAGGCAGTTGCTTGTCCTCATGGTGACTGCTCTATGTTCCGACACCCCTATGTTCCGACAACCTAGATTGTGTTACTCCCGGTTAGGGTTAGGGTTAGGGTTAGGGTTAGGAATAGGATATGTGTGCAGTCGGAACATAGGGGTGTCGGAAACATACAGGTGTAACCGTCCTCATGTACATGTGTGCTTTTAAATTTGCAGTATTGTCACGCAGTATTGTCACGTAGCTTGATTACTGTGTGTCTTTATGAAATGCGGACGCATGTTAATTCCCTGTATCGTTTTGGTTTGTCTCTCTATACAGGGAGATGTGTCCCGGTGCAGTATCGCCGCTCACTCTCAACAACTTCTTTGTCGACTGTGATGTCTTAGACCAGGTCAGATATGTCTTGAGATCTTTGTTTTAATTTTAAGATGTACAGTAGAAATTGGAAAAAAAACATGTTTGGATTAACTTTGTGAACTGTACAAAATATATAAGGTTCTCAGAAAAGACCTGATAATTCGATGTGTGGTAAGTATGCTCTGACCGTCACATACATCAAATCAACACTTTTTCTTCTCAGATCTGTTTCTTTTTCCACTTTACCTTCCGAGACAACAATATCTCCCTCAACCCCAGCCAGATGCGACTCGTGAACTAATGTCTTAAGCTGTCATTTTCATATACACTCTAAAAAAAAAAAATAAGAAAATCCATGGTCAGATTGACCAGCAATGCGGTTATAGTTTTGCCTGACCCTATTCCGGGTCAAAGTAACACTTTTGCGGGTCAAAATGAAATTATCGATCAAAGAGTCCTCATAAAATGACCCAGTAAAGTGACATTTTTGACCCGGGAAAGGGTTAGGGCAAATGAAACCCGGATTCTGGGTCAATCTGATTAGAGACTTTCTATTTAGAGTGTAATTACTGTGTTTTCTTTTGCTGTAATAAAGGTTTCAAGTATGACACTCCAACGACCCATATCACTGCCAGCAATGCGCAGTGTGTTAGTGGGCTACAACCACGCATTCATCAGCTTGACCGTAAGTTGTTGATATACTCCTTGTACGAACTCCCCATGATGCGCCTCAGAAAGGGAAGCTGCGTCTCACAAATCAAAGACTCTTTTGCGATCTTATCAATTTATGGGTGCGGTCGTTTAGCTCACCCGGGTCGACACGGGTAAAGGCAGATGGGTCAGCCACGACAGCCGGGTTAATTGGACGCTCAACCGCGGGCCATCACGATCCTCACGTGACGCCCTTAGCCGTGGCCGTAGCCACTGACAACGCCCGTTTCGGACTGGGTGTTACTTTGAGATTTACTGCTGTTTAGTCAATTGTAAAACTCAAAAAGTAGGGCTGAAATTATAGCCTCAAAAGCAGGCGCGGTTCTACGGGGGGGGGGGGGGGGGGGGGGAGGGCTAGGGGGGGGGGGAGGCTGTAGCCCCCCCCCCAAAAAAAGTTGTCTAGCCCCCCAAAATAAATTCCGTTAAAAAAAAATGCATTAGCAAAAAGAATGATTGTGATGTACATGCGAACGGTCTCCCCCTAAAGAAGAAATAGCCGTGACAAGGGTGCATTAGTTAATATAGTGTGAATGATTTTAGGATTTTATTGGCGCTCCCCATTGAAAATATGGCATGAGCCCCCCCCCCCCCCCCCCCCCACCACTTATTGATTTTCGGAGGCGTAAGTGTCTGGAAAAAATAACCGGTCTACATTTCAGCACGCCTCCCTGAAAAATTCTCGATCCACCGTGCTAGCCCCCCCCCCCCCCCCCCAAAAATATTGGTTCTAGAACCGCGCCTGCTCAAAAGTCGCAATGAACTCAATAAATGATTACCTTTAGACTTCAATAAGGTCAACTTTTAAGTCCACTTGAGATTTCCGCTGTCTGGCCGCCATATTTGTCCGTTTCTAGGAATGAACAACGCATGCGTGACATACTTCCACCACTGACTCTGCTCCACAAGCAGGGTCTGTGGTGGCTGACCCGGGTGAGCCCCGAGAATGACGTCAGAGCTAATCGATCATGCAACCGTCAACTTACTCTTGTTAAAAAAAAAATGCTTGCAGCCGAATTTCATTTTACCAAATATTGATATGTTATTTTGTCTTCATTTTAGAATCTGGTGTCGATGTTTGTGAGGATGTCGCCAATGGCGGATAACAAGCTAGGCGGAATGCTATTTGGAAAGGTTAGAGAGAATCATCGGAAAACATTCATCCAAATTATCTGATGCATACATGTACATGCTACAAACAAAATACGGGTTTTTCTTAAATGCAAGTTACGGCAAGAGTGCCATTCAACCTTATTATTGATTGTTGATCATTGAATTTCCGGTAGATCCTACAGGAATTTACTTCAGAAAGTGATAACTGGTGATGTCGTTTCATTCCTGATCGATATGAGCAAAACATTCGTCGTTCTGGTATCTCTTCTTAGTTTTAAATGAGCTGTTATAGGTGTAAAGTTAATTAAAGTAACAAAATACACAGGTATTCAATTCAATTCCATGCTGGTTTATTTAAAAGATACCATCAAATAAAATTTGGTTAACATTAGCTGAAAAATTAATAAAATTTAAAAAGGTCACAAAATATTACAAAGTTGTTCAAGTTATTTTTTCCGATTCCGATCGCTACAAACCAGTCTAAAATAAAACAGTCAAAATACTCAATGGTTACTCAAGTTAATATACATGTAGAAAAGTACTGGAAGGATCATTTTTGTTTATATTGTGTTGTCCTCCAACGTAGGCTTTTGACGTAGACTGTGTACGTGAAGCCAAGGAGCTGAATGAGCCTCTACTGCCGTTGTGGCGTATGCATCTAAATAGACTCCTGTTTCTACAGGTAAGGTGGCAGTTTGCATTGTGGCATAATACGTTTCTCGACTTGTGATTTTGGGCCCCGAAGTCGGGAGAACTTGGCTTAATTTGGAGCGGGTTAATTGGTAGAGAACAATGAATCGTGTTATAATGTGAGGCGGGACACCAGGAGTATCCTAATTTATATTTGAAAATGAGAGATTTCTAAATTATTCTGGAGGCTCGGAAAGCCGAAGCACCTTACATAAATCATTAAAATCATGGAAAAAAGAGTTAAAGACAGTCACCTGGATCGTCGACGTCCACAATGAAAAAAAATATACCGTCCTATTATTAATTAATTCTTAATTCCCACAAAGGCAAATAGTTGGATGCATGTAGGAAAATTATTTAAGAACAAGTCCAAATCACATGACAGTTATGCAGTAACTCGTGTTTCGAATTTTTCCGTGTTGTAGATTTTTCATGCTTATAGTAACTCCATTAAATTGGCCCTCTTGCTGTCACTCTTTGAAAACTTGCAATATGTAGCAAGGTTAGCCTTAATCATCGCCATATTTTCCGTCTTTTCGCCGCAGAATGTTTTGTTCAATCGGCCGAAACTGGAGCGGGAATTTGCCAAGGCAGTGACCCATCTGACGAAGCGATGGGAAACCGCACAAGAGCAGTACGATGACATCTGCAGATACCCGAACGATCGGAGCGAGGTAAGAGCGAAAAAAAAAAAACATATCGAAATCCAATGGTGGAACGGGTTATGATAGGACTACCCCAGTTCAGAAGTGACAGTCGGTCAATTAGTGAGACTGGTAATAAGGACTTTAGGCTGGTCTTCTGAAGCAACTTGGCAAAAGATCAGTGGGGAAATATGAAGCTATTCGCACTACGACGGTGTTTTAAGCAGCACGTCATTTCTTTAGACCTATAATATGATTCTCAATCAAAATCCACAACAAAACAAAACAAGAGAGGGTCTCCCGTGACTCGTGGCCATTTGCTTTAACGATAGTGGCCAAATTACCGCGCATTTCGATTTCTTTTTTCCAATACAAGAAATACTTAATGCGTATAGAATTTTATTTTGAAAGGAAAAAAAGGTATACCTTGAATATAGATTTGTAATGGGGGGGGGGGGGGTCAGGTTGGCGTAGCGGTACTTTCCTCGCCTTCCACCGCTGTGACCCGGGTTCGAATCGCGCCTGGGTCAATATGTGGATTGGGTTTTCAGTCCCTACCTGATTCCGTGGGTTTTCCCCTGGGTCAATATGTGGATTGGGTTTTCAGTCCCTACCTTATTCCGTGGGTTTTCCCCAAAATATTCTTCTGGGGTTTTCCTCTCACTGTCTTCTCTCCACAGGTTTCTTCAGGCTTGCGAGCTACAGTGCCTAAGGCACTTTTGAGGAATCCTTGGTTTCATTACCAGAAATGATTATTAATATATAATAATAATATAACGTGACACGGTCCGACACACACATTTAGAATGTTAGTGTATATAAATCGTTCTCCTGCTTTCTCCATAGAGCAAGGAAGATTGAACACAATGTATTTCAAATAACTTAGTAAGTACCTTTGGTATCGATAATCTTTTGAAAATGTGTCATTGACTGTGAATATTCCCTGTGTCCTGCTTGCAGATCCTCGAGTACCACGGGATGGAGACGCACAAGTCGGCCATTATGCAGCAAGTCGTGGGCTCGTTGATTTCCAGCTATACGGACAGTAAGCGTGGACCATCATGGTCCAGCTTTTTAATTTCGTATAGAACCCTTGCAGTGTGCGCCCTCAATGCGGGCAGTCGTTATTTAGATTCGGTACCAAGGAAAGTACAAACTGTATACTATTACAGAGGAACAAAAGAACTGCCTTAATGACGTCAGATTACAAGGGGTCAATTTGTTATCGGATCTAGAAATCGGGCGAACGGCGCTCTTAGTGTTTAACATAGGCCTAGTTCAAGACGTCCGGCCCAACTAAGTCATGTTATTCTAGACAACAATTTCTACTAAGGGGCTGATTAAACAAATTGGGATGGGACCCCTACCCCCCCCCCTTAACCCCCCCCTTACAACCCCCCCCCCCCCTTACAAACCCCCCCCCCCCCCTTCACCAGATCCGTCATCGGCAAGTACGTCCAAGCTTTACCAAATAAAGTATAGGGGCCTAGTCTTTAAATGTTTCATTTGGTGTTAATAAACCAATTGTTGTTGTTTTTTCAGAGAAACTTCTTCCAAACCACCTTGCACTGTTGCTGTCCTCGTGCCCGGATGTTGAAAGTGCCAAGGTTCCGTTGGCCATGGAGGTGCGTACACAAAGGGATCGATCAAGAAAACAACCGAAAAAGATTGAGATGTTATCAAGATTCTTATGAATTGAATTACAGTTGAAAGCAGCCAGCACACATTGACAGGAAAACTTACCTCTTTGCAACTATCTCGAGCTGTTTTAAAATTGCATTCTTTTGTAGAAAGTTGCCAGGGCCATCTTGAAGGAAGGCAAGAGCGAATCCTTTCAGACAATGACTCCAGTTGATGCTCTGGAATGGCTACAGTCGCCCTCTAGCGGCGAAGCAGGGAGAGACTTCGCTGACTTTCTTCAGCGTCACGGTCACAGATGTGTGAGAGAGGTAATGTGGTAAAATCCAATAATAAACTTTTCCCCATTCCTTCAACCAACCATTCTGTCCTTAAACAGCTTACTGCCAAACTGAAAGTTTAATAATTCCTTTTTAAATTTTCCCATTGAAACACGCAACTTTTAGAATTCCTAGTAACTTATTTGACGTCTACGTTTGTGAATACAATTCCAAATAAAAACGAGATAACTAATGCTGTTCCTGACAAAAACGAATCAGCTAACCCAGCCAAATGACTGTAGTTCCCTCTTTCATTTCTTTAGGTGGAGTTGCGAGACAAATCCTGGAGTATGGAACCACTCCAAGTCATACCATCATTGCAGGTATATCGATAATCGGGTTTGACTACTTAATAATCGGTAACCATAATTCCTTGAATGAAAAAAAGAAACGATGCGCTAGGCCAAAAAAAAAAAAATTGGTCTCTGGTCACACCAAAGTTCCGGAATTAACGCGGGGACGCGGCTTTTTTTTTTTTTTGCTTTTTTTTCTTTTTTTTTCTTCAAGCTTGGATTGTACAGAAGGTGGGGTACTATTTTGCTTTTTTTGGTGTCCTCATGTACATTGGTGTCCTCCATAATTTGCCTTGGTGATCTCGATCATTTGCCTTGGTGCAATTTCCCATTCCTTGGTGCTCTTTGGTAAAAAAATTTGAGGAGGTGCGGCAATAAAGGGCGATGTTGGAGCTACCGCGGAACATTTTGGAAAAAAAAAAAAGATTGACGCGCATGATTAAAATCGACGCGCGCGCTGACCAGAGACCGACTAATTTTTTTTTTTGGCCTGACATTGACTTTGTTTGTTGAATCAATGTTGTTTATTAGTAATTGGCTGACTACAAGACGATGCACGAATGGTTATATCAAAATGTACCCGGTTTTGTAGCACTCGTTCTGGTACTCGTACTCGAGTTATTTCGTACTCGAGTTTTTTTTCGTACTCGTATTATTGGTGCATATGCTCGCAAAAAAAAAACAACCTATACTCGTATTCGTAAAATTACTCGTACTCAATGCAAAACACTCTTTCTCGTGCTCATGAAAATGTTCTGCTGCAAAATATTTTTTTTTAGGTTTATGCAGGAAAACAATTTTCTTCTGTTTGGCAGGCGGTCGCATAGTTTTGTATGCCGAGTCTGACAGCCAAATGTCCCTGAGAACAATAGTATGTACCTTGATACTGCTTGTAGTCATGGACAAGTACTCGTATGGCTGGTATTGTTTTTGTTGTACATTTCCACAGGCAATTCTGGCGTCTGATTCCCACTCGTCGTCTGAGAAGAAACAGGTGCTGAGCGCGGCCGAAGCGATGGACGGTCTAGGACTAGCAATTCCTGCGCTTCGCAGGTAGGCCTGAAAGGTGCAAACTAAGGTTAAACCGGTATCGGATTATGTCTGAATAATCTGTACAAACACCTGTAATCCGGTGTTTCGAGTTACCGTCACCAGCAGAAGAAGTTAAGCCAAGGAGCTCTAACAATCTTATTATAACCAGGCCCGGATTAAGTGTTTCGTAGGCCCTGGGCACCAGTGTTCCGAAGAATGGAGAAGCAAAAGGAAAGGAAGAGGGAATAAGAACAAAGTGGAGAATGTAAATAATAAACTACTGCTGCTTAAAACTCCGCGAAGCTAACCCCCATGGCAAAAGATTGTACATTCTGTCATGTCGGCACAACTTAATGCTGCCGCGCGATGTCGCTTCATGGGGGTTGACAGCTACTGCTGTGCAAAACACAAGCACGTGCTCGCTCGCACAGCTACGAATTGAGCTGATTCTTACTAGTGACGACTCAAAATAACGAGGGCATATTTCGATAGAGAGTCAAGCTACAATTTTGATATTTGCGCCACAGAGCATCTGCAATCCAAAAATGTCCCAGGGCTCTTAGGCATCCCCGGACCCCACGCCTGCAGGGCTTAGCGCTCGCTGTCTAGGATCAGGGAACAGGCCTTGAACAAGGTATGCGCAAAGGTACTGAGCATGTACATGCAGTTTTGCGACAATGAAATAAAAAAATTATAGCTGGATGGAATTTTGTATTTTCGAGCAATTTTAAAGATTAATTTCGAACGATTGCAGTATACAAGCTCTTATATAACAAATGTATCATTCTTGCAGTTGTCCTCCGATAGAAAAGAAAGAAAATAAAACAAAAAGTTATGTGGCGATGGCCAAGTCTTCAGGAGTCGGACTTATGACCCTAACTCAATGAGCCCCTTACCGACTTCCATATAGAACTCTTCTGGGTCTCGGTACCCGGCCCACCACACCTCCTTCCCTGTCCATCCATGTAACTCGAAAGTCAGGCACCATAAAGGGAGGAAACGAGGTGGCACCCTAAGCCTTGCTGCCGAGTCAGCAAAAGAACCCCGTACCTATACGCAGATGCCAACCTGGACTTCGCAGACAGTCCCAACTTGTGAGTCAGCTTACCGACCGACCGAGCTAACTGCTGTTGGTAAATGACGACGGCAAATTAATACTCTTAAATGACAGAACCGCGGGCATAGAAAACCAAAAAATGACCAAGCGGGTTCGAACCCCTAACCCTGGATCCGCTGTCAGACAGCTTAACGAGTAAGCTGTTTCAGTAAGTGCTTTTCTCTTTGCATTTAAAACATAATCATTATTTCCGCAGTGGTAGAGTTACTTTGTGTTTCATAGCTGCACAAAAGATGCATCAGCATCGCGCTATACACATGAATGCTGTTACGTAACTCTTTTCTACAATCATTCTTATGTACCGAGCAGATGACTATTCAGAGTCACTACGAGCAATTAACCTTACCAAGCTCGTCCTTATTCTGTCTCATCAATTGTTTTGCGTCGCGCGTCTTTCGGCCGGCACTGACATGTCGGACTGATTGAGAGAAATTCTAGGAAGTTTCCCCTACCTCATTATATTTATATCAAACTACTGACCCGTTTACAAATATTTACCAGGGAATTTTGAATTTGTTTGTCTGATTCTAATTCAGATCCCTTAGCTAAAATTCATCCTTGGGAAAATACTTACGCCAAGTCTAGTGAATGATGACATTATAATACAATGTCGCATTAACGTCAGCCGGTGCATGATCAGAATCGTGACCACGCGAGTGCAATGACGTCCAGTGGTGTAAATCTGTGCCGGCGAGTGGGGGGGGGGGGGGAGGATGGGGGATGACCATGCTTCAGAACAACAGACTTTACACGTACATTTTATACGTAGGGCCAATGCGTACATGCAGCACAGCGTCAGTTGGTGAAATCGAGAATTCTGAGAGAGACCCTAAAACATTTTTAAAAACTTTTCTCTGCGCGTGTGGGTGTGTGTGGGTAGGCCTATAGGCCTATGTGTTTTATGGCACACTGCGGTATTTTCGTAGGTCCTCCGCCAAGTTTTCGTAGCCCCCAAATTTTTCGTAGGCCCCCATTTTTTCGTAGGCCCTAGGCACAGTGCCTACTGTGCCTATTGGGTAATCCAGGCCTGATTATAACTGGAAACGCCATAGCTAAGAGGACGCCATTAACTGCAAACGTTCTGTGATGGACATAAGTCTACATTGGATTTCCTCACCAGTGTTAAACAGATATGATACTAAAAGTATATTTCTTTTTTCAATTATTTGATATTTTTTCAACTTAAAGATGGTTTTAGCCCTTGGTATTAGACTTAGCTCTGTCCTAGTTTTTTTTTTCTTATGAAGCTCGTACCATCCTTTGCTGATTATAGTCCAAATAATTCGGCAGTACCGGCTACCGTTTCAGGTTCAACCGGCCAGCCGACCACGCAGGCACGGTAAGACGTTACATGTATACTGGAAAAAGTCACGCACGAATCTCATTATTTTAAATCAGTGTTTTTCCGACTTCGATTGACAGGAAAGTTCTTGTTTCTTACCTCTTGCCGAAAGCCAGGGAGGGCGTGGCTGCTCGGGAAGCCAGTAAGGTAAGGGGAAACATTCATGTATCTGACCAGGAATCAGGGTCAGATTTGACCTGACACTCCTCTGGGTCCAAATGACAAATTGTCGTTTAAAACGACAAGTTTCTTTACAAAATATAGAGCACGAAAATGACAAATTGTTGTGTCAAAATTTTGACCAAAAAAAAGTGTCAGGTCAAATCCGACCGGGATCGTGTCTGATTCGGGACTTCTAATTCACTAGACTATCGAGGATCACGGACTTCGAGTTTTGTAACAAAAACTACATGACAATTATAGAATCGAGAAAAGCAGGACCTTTTTGAGATGAACATACTGTTTTGACAAACTAACAACATTTCGTTGTTGGCGTTTACAGTCGATGTTCATCAAGATCAACCACCGCTTGAAAGAAGCCTGTTGGAGACTTGCAACCTGATGGTCAGAGAGGTATGGTTTTATCTTTAGATCTTATTGTCAAAAAATGTACATTATCAATTTAAAAGAAATAAAAAGGCACACGCATCAATAAAGCCAGCAAATTCCTTTTAATATTTGACTCAAATAGCCTGTTCGTATTAGACCTTTACATAGGGTTAAACGCATCATGCATTTATTATTTTTCACGAAAAAATACCAAAAAAGGCGTTGTAGTCTCAAAATTTCATGAAGCCACGCAGAGAAAGTGAAATTGACAATGATTTTAGATTCAAATTTTTCAAACACAACATACTGATTTTTTTTGTACTGTGTTCGGCTTCTTGTGCAGGGCCGACTTCCTGACGAGGATCTGCTGTTTTTCTTCACTCTCGACGAAATCGGCAGGTTCCTGCGAGACCGCTCACCAGCGCTGATTTCACGGTAAGGGAGACCAACAAGGCACCATAAGAAGAGTAAACAAAAGTCAGAAGAAGAGTAATGAAGACTATTTTTAAATCGCTGTTACGCATTCCCTTTTCCCTCTACGGATATGTGATATCTGAAAACAGAGAGGGACAAAGAGGAAAAAAGCGCACCCCATATAGCGGCAAATGAGGTCCCCGCTTCTCGAATTGGCCTTTGTAAAGTTTTGGTTCTAGACCCGCCCTTGCAATCTCCGATTTGATTGACCATTGTTTTACATATATTTGATTTCATAAATTGCAGATGGCAGATAGGTTTATTGCTTCTGTAGACCCTTTTATTTTACATTTGTTTTATACTGTTTTCCCTGCCAATTTTGATGTGGCCTGCGTAGCTGAATACCGAAATGCCTGCTTGAAATGTAGCTTAATGTCACGTGCTCATAGTCTCATGCATATCTTTTAACTGCAGGAAGAATTTCAAAGTGATATTCGTTGCAATTTGTTTCTATAGAAACGTCTAATGTTTTAGGCACAAATGTGGTTTTTTTTTCATTGGCATGGTCGGGTTCAAAGGGCACAGCGAAGGCGCCGTTTGTTGCCAGAGATGAATGAAATGAGGTTCGAGCTGGTGTTTGCTGGTCGACCAACGCCGGTGAGTGTCGAGGGCAAACAAAATATACAGGGTGGATAAAAAAGGAAACCGAGATATTATTGCTAATTGGAACAGAATAGGGCACATGTGAATCAAAGGGAGATATCCTCTGTTAGGGTTGAATCTCCTCTTTAAAATGACACTCTGATCATGTCATTACATTCACGGTTGACTGAGCAGTGACCAATTTTATAAACGGGTCTATTTAGAGAGTTGCGCGACTTTTCATGGCGAAATCTCTTTTTTCCCCACCTGCCTTGATTGGCAACCATACAGCCTTTCACTCTGTGACAAAATTAATGACACATAAACCACAATGAACAGTGGCGCAAGTCTCGAAATAGACCCTTTCATCCAACTGGTCACTGCTCAGTCAACCGTGAATGGTAATGACATGATCAGGGTGTCATTTTCAAGAGGAGATTCAACCCTAACAGAGGATATCTCCTTTGATTCACATTTTTTTTATCCACCCTGTATATTATTTTGCTCGTGTCAACTCAAACATTTTCAACTTTCTCCTACATCAGATTTCCCATATATGATACGTAAACCCGTGTTTCCATCTACAGCAACGATAACATTCCCTTATATCATTCATGAAGTTTTGATACATTTACAATGAGACTCTTCACTAAGGGCGTAAACGCAACACTTTCAAGTTAAACTATGCAATTTACAAAAAAAAACCACACACACACACAAAAACATGCCCCCAATATCCAACAAAAGCCTTAGAAACGGCAGTCGGATATCACCATGAAATATTAAGTCTGTCGTTTCCACCAACTTAAATATGATGACATGCAGTTGTTGAAAATTGTCGTCCAAATTTGATTAAAGATGATTCTGTCCAGCGTTCTTTATATTATTTGAAAATAAAGCCGTTTCAGCTCTGTGACAAGTAGTGATCATGGAGACGCAAGTTCAGAACAAACTAGTTAGATATACTTTTTTTAAACTAAATTTGATTGAAATTAAAACTAGTCAATTCCATTTTGATTTTCTGATGTAAAAAAAGTTAGCATAGGCCCAACTGTTCATGGCCCTCACGGGTCATATTGTATACTGGTTCCCGGTCCCATAAAATATACATTCGAAGTCGGAATGATGATGGAGGGACTGGGAACCAGCCTAGAGTCATTGTCATGGCGCCCTCTTCAGACCATGCATAAGAGCATGGTTTGTTTGAATGGTACCCGCGCTCTCGCGTCACTCGCAGCTTGCTAGATATTCTGCCGCAAAGTTCACTGACCGGTACACCTGATAGCAAATGATGACGTTATCACGCAAGGATGACAAAACTCCCGTGCCTATTCCGAAAGTCAATCCGTCGTTATAGCAGAAAATAATTTTCATAATTGCCACTTCTCCACGAATCTTCCAGCTGCTTCGTGTCGCCTGTCTTTCCGAAAAAATTAATTGAAATTATCATTTTGTGATTGGCAACGCAAGGGCGGAATTGAGTGGAGAAGTACGCTGATGCTGGACTTCTGCTGAAGATAAGATTGGTAATTTCCCTCTGGAGCAGATAATTGACAGTTATTATGACACCACCTCCGGAATAAAAATCCTTCGTGGCTTCTTGATATTCATCAGCGGAATAAAAGAAATTGAACGATGATATCAGTGGTACTGTGGTTATCATGATTCCAAAGGACTGCTTACACAAGACAATTCGGAGCTTACTTAAGCAAAGTGAAACGGCTGATTCATAAGAATTCGGCCCATACTGATGATGTCCCCTACGCTTGGCATAAACGTGGCTTTGATGTGTTAGGGACAGGAAAAATGACACTAATTCTCCAACGCTCTCTGCAGAGAATAGAACTTTGGGACAAAACACCGAAACGTCTTCAATCGGTAAAACTGCTTAATCTTCCCGGAGTGTCTGCTGGCAAATAATCTACCTGATGAGTTACCATCTTGGTTCCTTTGTTTCAGCATGATAATGAAGTTTTTAAAAAACAGCTACTTTGTGCAAGAAATGTAGCATGTCTGCCAACACGTTGATGGTAACATCCATTGGTGGACGAGCAGTCCTGCAAGCTATTACCAAGTCAGCAGCTGACAAACTCATCTTAATGATGCAAATTGCTGGTGGAATTCACTGCATCATGTGACAAACTTGGAATTTTGTGACAGTTTGAAATTGTGACTTTTGTTTACTTTAATTGCCCAGTCGCGAGGTTCACAGTTTGTTTTCAAAAAAAAATATTGCCAGCATCATCAACATAATTACACCAAGTCTTTGTGCGGTACTATACATTGTTTTACCACACGCATTCTTTGTAGGCCTAAACGTCGAGGGGAGCTACATAATTCAGAACAATCTAACTTGGATGGAAGTTTGAGATTTGAACAACTTTGAGTATAGACAAGGAACATGGATCGGTCTTCTCTGGGCGGTACAACAGCCGCTCCGGCGAGTATTGTGAGTTCGAGTGACGGAGTTCTGCTGGTGATCTACGCGTTCATCGGCGGCATAGGCATGGTGGGTAACGGTCTGGTCTGCTTGATCTTCACCGTCAGACGCCAAGCCTTCGGCTCCGTCACCAATCTCCTTATATTAAACCAATCCATGATAGACCTGGTCGACTCGGTGCTGTTTCTTATTCTACGATTTGGTCCCCAGTTTTCTAGTCTTTCGGGCGCCAACGGCAGCGTCTGGAGCGAACTGGTCTGCCGGCTGTGGTTCTCCGAGTACATCATGTGGTCGCTCTTTATCGCATCGACTGTTAACCTACTCTTCGTGACGCTGGAGCGATACTTCGCCATCTGCCATGCCGTGCGTCACCGGTCTCTCTTCACCGTTCGGCGCGCAAACATCGGCCGCGGCTTGGTGTGGTTGATAGGCTTCAGCTACCAGTCCTACTGGGCGGTGTTACATCGTGTGACTGCTGACGGTGAGTGCTACGCGGTCTGGCCCAGCCTTACCGTCCAAGCCTTCCTTGGCACTGTGTTCTTCTGCTGTGAGTACCTCATCCCCCTCAGCATCATGACGTTCAGTTACATCAGCATCATCGTCATGCTTCGCAACAGATCAAGACGCACCAACGCCAACACATTCCAGAGGACCAAACGTAACGTTACCCTAACCCTGTGCTTCGTGTCGGTGTCATACACTGTGTGCTGGACGCCGACCGAATTCTCCTACCTCATGTACAACATGGGCCACGAGTACGACTTCAGCAGCTCCACGCACTACATCTTCACCGTGTTAGTCCTGCTCAATATGTGCATCAATCCTCTCATCTATCTAATCAAGTACAAGCGTTTCCAAGTGGAACTGAAAAAGATCTTTTTCCGTCGATGTTGCGGGTATAATCGGGTGGACTCCCTCCCTGGCCCGACCGGCACTGCACTGTCCGTTGTGGCCGTAGCATCCGGGGGACCGTGGGGCGTGGCGCCACTGTAATAACAAACGCATATGTGACACTATCTTCCCAATTATGTGATGTCTTTGAACCAAAATTGACATCAAAGACTTGCCCTTAGAGATATCACTGAAGTAGTTACATCAGAAAAACAAACTATACCAATTATATATAACAATAGAAGAAGGATTTGACAACACAATGACGTAATATGACTTAAGGGTGCTGGCAAATGTCGCTTTTTTCAATCGGATTGACTATGGAGAGACCATCCGTAGACATCATCATGTACCGAACATTAAGGTTACGAGAAGGAATGTTGGAGGCCCAACGCAACATACAAGACTAACGCTTACTTCCCTCTCATACTGTCGCCAAGCGTCTTATATATGAGCCTCAAATTAATCCAGTTATTTAATGTTATTACTGTATATACAATTTGGAAACCTTGCAATGAAGAATTTTAGTGTCATGAAGTTTAGTCCGATATTCAAAAAAGGTGGTATCAGAAAATTGGCCACACATTCGGGCAGTGGCGCAACTGAACAAAAAAATCCTACAATTTCTAGCAAGTGACCTACCGTGAGCTGCACTTCGTTCACAAGACTTTGTGAAACGGATTAGCCCCGAACCCCGCCAGCAACCTTGGATAGAGTGCGATGGGGGACGAGCGAAGGTAGGCCCGTGCCTTAATCCGCTACTGTACATTAATTTGGTACCGTTGTTAATGAACAAACTTTAGTTTAGCCCCTGAGGAATGGGTTAAATTAAGACTTACATGATATAATAAAACCGAGAGATTGAAGGTACAAACGTTCTTGGCGAACTCGACCATTCATCGCGTGTAACAACGATAGTCTGCTCACGTTATCCTCTGAAATTTGAAGATATTTCTATCCTTCCTTACCCCCCTAAACTGTCGCAAATCGTGATAAGATAACAATAGATGAGAACATTACTGAGTCGGCATGAACAACATAGCTAATAATCACGTGTCACATCACGTGCGAAGCGAGATAAACTGCAAGTATTGAGAAATCTTCGGCCCCGAGAAAAGTCTGATCGCCGCCCCACCTACCTTTCCACCACCATCATCATATTGAAAACAAAAAAGGAACACGTCTTTTGCTCTGAATGAAAGTGGTATTTTTCCCCTCATATATCCGCTTCTTGGTGTTTTTGTTGGGTAGATGTCGGAGGAAGAGGACGTTAGAGCAGAATTCAAACTGGAAGGTGAGTCACGCCATGACCATCGATTTCGTGAAAATATGCAATAGATGTTGTCAAATCATTGAGGCAAAATTATAACAAAGGTCTGAAAAATCTAACTACGTTTATTGTCAGAAAACTTTGGAATTAAAATTAAAGCTCCTTTAATGTTATTTATGTCCTTTCGGGAAATGTCTATCGTTTGTCGTGCTTCAAACTTTAAGAAAAACATTTATTATCATAATTATTTAAAATAAGCTACATAAATATGATGGATAACGGTTGATCACAGACATTTTGCGGGTGAAATGATTCCCTTGTGCATGTAGTTACTGGATATAATGATTTCTCTTTGGTGGCAGGAACACCCATCAGCCAAGGAATTGTGAAGAGCACAGCGAGGGTTGTGACTTGCCTCCGAGATGCCAATAGCATCAAGGTAATAATACTGATGATAAGGGTGTGGCCCAAGAACAGTGGAGTAACTTGGGTTCAGTTTGCGAGGGCGGGCACACTTAGGGGCGTCATTTCTAGAGGGGAACTGAATGCATTTTTTAACAATAAAACGCTTATTTTTGCATTCCCAAAATTCTTGGGAAAGGCATCAACCAGGGGAGGCGCGTCCCCATTGTAGCTACGCCACTGCCTAAGATGGTACAACAAAGTTATGACGTTATGTATGGGTGTTACAGGTGTTAGAATGCTTGAGATGGGTCCACATCAGTGTTATAGACATGTTCCTAATTTACCATCACAGGCTTCATTAGATTTTCGAGTTGGACTGAAGTGCTAAAGGCAGTATAACCTGGTAATTCCGTATCAGATATAACATTTAAAACACGATTCAATTATAAAGATAGTTGTTAGTGGCGTAAACTAAGGTTGGTGGGGGGCAGCTCAAGGCCTGCGCCCCCTTTCAGAACTCGAAGAAGGCAAAAGATAGCTTTGTATTGCTTGAGACTATGACCGAACACATTGTGTTCCCCCCTCCAGAAAATAAATCCCCCTTCTTAACCTCTCCGTTGCAACTGGGATCCCAGTCTACGCTACTGGTTGTAGGAATAGTATTATCTGGCTTAAGTTATCTCGAAAAATTTCCCACATCATCCAGCATGAGGGCCATATAAATACCAATGCTTTATCTAAGAATTCTTGTCGACGTGGCCTGATCTGATCCTGTGCTTTCTCATATAGAAAGGAGACATCCTGATCACCCGTATCACGGATATCGGCTGGAGCCCATACTTCCCCCTCATCGGAGGACTGGTCACCGAGATAGGGGGCGTCCTCTCCCATGGTATGTAGCGAGAATGGGCGCGATCGCGCAAGAAACATTTTAAATGCATTTGATGGATGGGGTTTACTTGGGAACGCAACAACGCCTGTAGGGTTTCGGTTGACGTAGTTGTGTCATTAATATAATAATAAAAACATCCAGGACCTCCATCCACTAGGACATTTTTAGTTCGATGGATACCAGAAGGCGTCCCATTTCAATTCAAACTGTATTGATATAGTTAATTCACTTTTGATACAAAGGTGCATGTGAAAAAGGCACGGAAGGAAATTAGGAGGAATCGTTTGATTGAACTTTATTGGTGCGCCTAAATAAAGTAAAGGGCGTTCCTTCAGCTGTGGCGCGCCTTGCATTGTTGGTTCATTTGTGCCCCTCATACAGAACTATCGCTGATCATTCACGGCGACCCCTTCAATGGCGAAGGCATTGTGCTTGCTGTTGGACAGAGCAGCAGCCCCATGCCGGATTATCCGAACAATAGCTAGCACAACGTGCTTTCGCCATTGAAGGGGGCCTCCTTGCTCGGAATGGTTTGTAGTCATGAACATAACAACGCTTCCTTTACCTAAACTAGGGCCGATGATCACTAATACGTGTATTTCGTTTTAAACATATCACTGATTAATTGTCCTTGACAGGTGCCGTGGTGGCCCGGGAGTATGGTATCCCGTGTGTCGTGAATGTGCAGCGGGCAACAAGTGTTTTCAAGTCAGGTATCAATATAATGAAATATCAAACCATTATGATCATGAAGGGCTAGGGCCACGCGTGCTATTCCGTATTAGACTTTGACCATTTAGTATGAAAAACGGGAGACCTTCCTGAATTTATATCGATCAGTTTGGCATCAGTTTTGACAGATGTCCACGGTTGGTTACAATGGCATCTGAAATAACTACATTTACATTTTACATGTATTTGCTCCACGTATCCTTTTTTTTTAATAGGGCGGCATTGCGTCAGCCCGTGAAAACATCTTTTCATAGCACATGCGTTTTCATCGGTCTGGGAACAAGATAAGGAGATATCACAAGTTCCTGGATGTCTGCGCTAACCTGCACAACCAAAAAACCTTATGTTATAAACTCATAATTAAAAAAAAATAATTTGGTAAACATTTCAAGTTTGATATCTCAGGCGGTTTTCGATGGTAGAAGCCAGACTTCGTTTCATTTTACTTCTATTTTCTGCAATCTCACTGCTTTATGAATTAGATCCAAATGTATGATGATTGCTGGTTTGTTTGTTTTTTATTTCAGACGATATAGTCGTCATGAACGGCGGGCAGGGAACAGTGGAGAAAATAGGAACGCCGAATGCTGCATCTTGAGAAACGCCTCCAATGTCAGCTAAGAGTAGCTTGGACCACATCAGCACTCCTACTTGAAAATTCACGCATAACTAAGACAATTATGGAACTTTTACAAAAACGTGTTTATTTTACCGTGACACAGTGATTTAAAACAAAGGCAAAGTAATGACAAGTTTAGGTAATAGGAAATTAAATTAAAAGCAATACGAAAATGTGCAAGTTTGTCTGTGAAATGCGACATTCCATTCATATTATAAACTTTATAAAATGAACCAAAAATTATATTACAAGTATTTATAGTTGTCTCAGCTTTTTCCATTTTCTGATAATGAAACAACTATAATCTGGTTAGCTGAAGTAACAAAGGGTTATTCAGTTTCAACCTTGAGAGTAAGCATATAATGTCATTGAGGTTTATACTGAGTTTGATTTAAGTCAAACAATGTTACACCGCCTAGTTGTGTCGTCTGATAAACGTTTTTCATTGGAGGTAGCAGTAGCACCAGTCCTTCTGATTTAAGGCGTGTGATCGCACCCCCACACCATCGCACACCTAAAAGCTTCCCGTGAAGTGTGAATAATTGCACTCCTGAATTTCCCTGGACCACAGATCACACACCTAGAAAACCACACGCCTAGAAAAAAACACACACCTAGAAAAATCCTGGTGTGCCTTTTCCACACGCCTGTGATTTTCAAATCAGAAGGACTGTAGCACACGCTAAGTGCATAACTATGGTTTATGATTGATTACCAATTACAATAAGCGAGATCCAGTCTGATCTTGGTTTTGGAAACTTATCAAATGGGATAATGTGTTTAAAAATTGACAAAGACCATCTTAAAAATCATATTATATTCCTTTCCATCTTTTTAAGCCTTCTGATTCAAAAACAAATCATAAAGTGGCAGGGTTATGTTCTCAGTTATGAAGGCTAACTATTCTTTTAGCATCACATGTAAGTTGGGGTTGCTCATAATAATAAAACTTTTTCATAAACTGGCTGATGATTTAGATTAACCAAGAAAAACAAAATTCTGCAATACCTTGACTGCATAATTTGAATTTAAAACCATGTATGCACTTCAATTTTGGTGGTTGTAATTGGATCTGAATCAGCCATTTTTCGGTTATAAAGTTAATAAATAATTTGACATCCAGATGTTTTCTGTGGTATCTTGGTTTTGTTACTGGATAGTACTGGCTAAAACTGCACAGGGGCATTATTTAAAAAAAGAAAAGAATACAGAACAAAGAAAGGGAATATCTCCAAAATCTAGAAGGACAGAAAACTTCTCTAAACTTGTCATAACTTTACGACATGACTGACTACATAATGTGCTAATACAACTCACTGTTAAAAGTATTAAAAAAGTCAAGCTCATCTCCTCCCACGGCCACGCCCTCTTGCTCGACCACGCCCTCCTCTGCCACGCCCACCTCTACCTCGACCAACAGCTGAAACGTGGAGGAAAAGTTGGAATATTAGCAAGAAGTTCAATTGAAAAAACAGCAATATATGTCACTTGAAAAAACTTGTTTGTTAGAAGGATAAGAATGGAGTCACTCGTTCATTTTGCAAAATCCTCACTCTTCAGTGATTTCACTAAAACTGGAAACACACAAAAACACGGAAGGCATAACACAGTGATAACTGCCCTTCTTTGCACCACCAATGAACTTCTTTATGGGTGAACTTGACATCTTATACCCTTAACGACTATGGCACCTTATAAGGCAAACAAGATCATGTTTTTCTTAATGTTACTGTAAAGTTCCCTTTTTTGTGCCAACAAACAAGTTTCATGCTCATATTTCACAAGAAAAACATAATTTAATATCTCAAAGTCTTCAGTTCATAGCATTTTTAATTGCATTTTATTTACCAAAGGCAAAACTTTGTAGATGTTGTCATTCAATAGAAAAGTGACAAATTGGACAAACCACTTTGAAACTGGCATTCTATTTGAAAAACGGAGTTAATATTTCTTACAAATTGTGTCATTTCCAAGTTCAATTTCTAGCTAATGAAAATTCTGATGGAACTGCTTGACAGAAAAATGAAGTCAACCCATTTTTAACTTGCATCATCTACAGAACATTACAAAACGCATGCAAAACACAATTTCACACCAAAATGGCTAGAAATGGCATGAAGCGTGTATCTCCAGCAGAGACATATTTGAACTGGAATATCCTTGGCTCTGGATTTTGTAGAGTCACTAATTGACCAACTTCCCACAAACATACCTGCTTCCTTCTTCTTAGCTTTGGCCTTGGGTGTGTTGTCAATCAGCAGCGTGTCTAGCGGAAGACTCTCTGGGAGGATGAAGTAGCGGATGTTGTTGCCTCGTATGCTCAAGGAGTCCAGTTGAACAGGGTCCCTGTTCTTAATCGTCATCTTCACTGACTTCAGATGTGTGTTCATGCTGACGTCAACCCCTGAAAGTGGTCATAAAATTTACAGTAATTTTTTTTTATCACAAAGCTTCTTGTTAAGATTCGATTCATCTAACAAGTAACATGCTTGATTTCTTGCTTTAGATATTGGTTAGGCATCAAGGTATGGATTTCTCTGATGCCAACAGACCTGCATCATGTTTATGTCACGCTTTCGTTACGTGTGCATTTTCTTATGGGAGCTTGTAGCTCTTGTCCCCCTGGCTCTCATAGGAAAGTGCACATGTAAACAAAGTGTGATGTCATGATGATCCCGGTCTGTGAGTTGCAATGCCAAATTTTTGAATTTACTTTTATTCAACATTACTCAACAAAATATAGGCTATGCAACCAAACACCAAGAAGTGTTGATAAAGATGTATATTTGTGGAAACCAGTTCTAGCTTCATAACACAACCGGACCAAACGTTTCTGCCTTGTTATTTGAAGCAAAGGGATTGCCGTTGTCTTTGCAGAATTTGACGCTAGTTAAAGAAATGTGTAAAATATTCAAACTACCTGTGACTGTTCCGTGTACTTGTGTACCATTCTTCAATTCGATGGTTACCGTCTCATGACTAAGTTTCATCAAAAACCTGTGAATTTGGTAGGGTATGGAAGGAAAGTTACAAATTGATTATTCAATTGGCAATGTATCAAAGGAAATTTATGTAATAAAACAGATAGGCCCTAATTCAACAAAGACCATTTTTTTTTATTGATTTAACAAGCAGACAAGTAGGCTAAACAACATTTATTTGGGAGATTTGCTGCAACCTGACGCCCCTTTTTTCTTCATATATCATCTCAATGAAAGTCGACTACTGCAAAAATGTTGATAAGACATGAATCTGGGACTGAAAAACATTTCCATTATTCCAATTTTGATGGAAATAGGGCCTACTGTCTAAATTTTCTCGACTCTCCACTGCTCGAAGTCCAACTACTGAACTAGACTTTGTAGCCTACACAATTTTGTAAGTGGCGCCATCATGGTCATGTCAAGTTGCAACTTTCTTCCTTTATTTGAATTAAAACTTATATAACAAGACACAACATTAAAAGCATGCATGATATTTCAATTCCAACATTGTCCAGATTAAAGCAACAACATTGTAATTATTTTGATTTTTTTCACGTAATTGGTTAAGTAACGTTAACGAACAAATATGTAACTCACCTCACTAGCTTCATCTTCACTGAGCAGCGATGCTGGTATGCCTTGCTTTCAGACTTTTACGAATAGTATCCGCTAAACGGCAGTAATATCACACAATTCTTTCAACAAGATTTAGGTTTACGATTGATCATATTAAACGAAAGTTTGAGTTATTTGCTTCTCAAACAAAACGTCCAACTTACGCGGCGGCGTGTTTTGATCACTGGTACTATCAGTCACCGATCCAGCGATCCTGTTCAAATGTAGTGCATTTACTGCTCAGGCTGTCGGCGATCAGTGAATGAATTTCACAACCTCGTTCTCTAAACTCGGTTCGTACTGCACCAAACCATGGGAGATGTATAAACTGAGCTGAACAATTAAATTATTCATGATTTCGGTTTCGTTGAAAGGTTTACATAATAGTTTGCCTTTGTTTATTCATTTTTTAAAAACAATAATTCACTTTTTTAAACTTCATACGCCAAATATGCGAATAACTGTAATTAGTATTCTTTCTCAGCCCTTAAAAAAGCGCGACTCTGCAAAATACATGCACATGTATTATGATTTTTTTATACTATTTAAAACTGAGAATTTTCAAACCCTTAGAAAAAAAATGCGGTTCTTTGGGGTTTTTTTTTTTTTTTGGGGGGGGGGGGGGCATATGGCCCCCATGCAGTAGCGTAGCCAGGAATTTTTCAGTGGGGGGGGGGGGGGGGCCGCTGGGGGGGGGCTGGAACATTTCATGGGGGGCGTCATGTAGATCAATGAAAATTTTTTTAGAAACTCAAAATCTCAGTGGGGGGGGGGGGACTGGGGGGGGGCGACCCCCCCCCCCCCCCCCCGAGGCTACGCCACTGATGTCCCCCCCCCCCCCTTTTGATCCCAGAATTAAAGTTCGTGCTCTTGAAAAAAATGGATCTTTTTTGTCCAAATGAACACTCAATTTGTGTGTTTTAACGAGAGAAAAAAAAACTTTATTCCGATTTTGGGCGCCTGCAACCCTTTGAAAGGGCTTTATGTGCACAAAATGAACCCGCCCTGCTGGGGTCAAATTATTGTCTGGCAGCCAATCATTCGATTTTTGGGAAGAAACAATTCGATAACTGAACGAAGGCAGATCAAATAATTCACATTTTGCAAAGAAATAATTTAACAACTAAACATAGGCGGATTTGTCCGTTCGAATGTCTTATTCAAAGGTAAATAAATTTGTATTGCTAGGAAACACATATTATGTAGCATGATATGCGACAGAGGAATCCCCCCTCTTTTGTATTGGTCATTGGGTTACCAGAACCTCAAGAATTCTTTTGAGATATGTAGGGGGAATGTGTTAGGTAACAATAGTCTAGGTGTGCATAGGGTATAGGGAGATGGGGGGGGGGGTACCCCTGTCACAAATCGTGCTGGGTATAAGGAAAGTAGCAATTGAAATATATTTATTTTTTAATTTGAAACTCGAAAATAGCATGGGAAATGAATCCCGGGGGTTTCAGGCTGTTTGAGATTGCCACAAACACTAACACGATTATTTTTTTTTATCCCAGATGGAAATTTTGCAATTGTCTATTTTAGAACTTTTTTTCTGCTTGGAGTATTAAAACAAGAGGCAGTAAAGAGTAAGGCCAAATAAAAAAACAAACATGTTTAGCGTCCCCGCCCGCTTCCTTTTTGGAGGCCCCCTCCTTTTTTTTCTTAAACCGAAAAAAATGATAAATTTTTAACAGTGACATCATTTTGGCATCTCTGTCTATTGTATTTAGCCCACATAAAGCTAGTATGTCATTTCCTGAGTTCAACGGCGGCCATTTAAAAATAAACTGTCGGCAATCATAAAAATCAGCCCGGTTGGACGGCCCATTTTTGAGGAAAAATAAAAAGGGCCTCCCGCTTCCTTTTTTTCAAAAAGGCAGGACGCTCAACATGTTTTTTTTATTTGTCCTAACTGCTTTAGAAAATAAACTACACAACAATAAAACATGATTTCAAATAGGTGCCATCTATTTCACTGAGTAATACATTAGTAACAATGGTTATCGTTGCATTACCCAATGTAACAATAAAGAATACATTCGTAATTTTGCTCTAATAGTATGGTGGATTGTTGTAATTCGAATAGTTTGATTGACAACTGGTAAATCCAGTGTTTCTGACATCTTCTACTTTTAAAATGCAAAAAAAAATGTGAGACTAATTTTTTAATTTTTTTTTATTGTATTAATATAATATACATATTACTTTTCGTATAAACAGAATGGACATCTTTTTTCCAACATAAGAATTTTTTTCACATCCTTTTAAACACTTGTTGGAACAATATGTAGCAGTCTATAGGCTAATGTTTAAGTTACAGTTGAATTTTTGTTCAAAGATCACCAACATTAAGGGTTTCATATTGCTCACAGGCATTATGTCAAAGGTCGCGATCACAGAAAATCAACATGATTTACGGATAAAATGTTGAACAACTAGTGGTGGGACAAATCAGAGATTTCAAAATCCGGTGATCCTAATTTTTTTTCAAACCACATAATGCTTTCTGATTTCATCAGAACTTCCCATCCAATTCACAGTCATGCAACCCAAAAGTGAGGAGTGAGGTGCCACATGTAATGCCCTCCCAATGATTGGGTATAGTTTGCAGGTTCAATGACCACTGGGCTATTATACAGAAACACTACAGAGCTTAATGTTGAAAAATGGGTGGAAACTCTGATACGTCAAATTGGCAGGCTATTCACATACCAAGTAGCAAGTGAATGTAATAACAATCAGAGACCATGAAGCAAAAGTGGGGATGTTCCAGTTGTTGTCTTTAGCCTGTGGTAAAATCAAAGGTAGGCTTGATGTTTTTTTATGGTAAAGGTTTCCAAAATCAAAACGAAATAGTGGAATTTAAAATTTAAAAAAATCCAGATTTAAATCCCATCACTATGAAAACCCCTTTCGGATGTGTAAAGCTTGAGTAAAGCTCCTTTGTAGAGTGCATCTGCTTAAATGCATATCACAATTTGCTGTTTGATATCAGGTCAGAAAAAAACATGTGTGACTGCAATCAAGACTTCTGAGGACCCAAATTCTGTGACCCAAATTCTTCAAAGAAAGGCCTACAATTATTAAGGTACAGTTGTGTAAATGCTCATAGTGTACTTTTCAAAGATCTTTCCAATTATGATCATTTTCTTAGAAGCGCATTTTTGAGCCAAAAGGGTGCATCCTTGACAAAACTGTTCCCTTTAATGGGTTAAGCTAAGATGAATAATCGAAGGCCAGAGAAAGTTCAGCCAATTGAAGGTCATAGGTCAGTTCATCAGGGGTAAGGTCATCAGAGGTCAGGTCACCAGAGGTCGGGTCACCAGAGGTCAGGTCATCAGAGGTCAGGGTTGAGCTGTCGGTCACTGAGCGTGATCTTCTCTCCAGGTTTGAAAGCAGGCATGCCGAGATACGGGCAGCTGGAACAACGGAAGGCATCACCGAGATAGCACTGTGAGAAAATAGGAAAATAGCACACCGCACTGAAATGCCTAGTCTTTAGCCAAGGCTGGAATTCCCTAATACAGTCCCTGACAAGTGTGGTACAAGGCTGCCATGATGAAAGAGGTCGCTATCAACAAGATGAATCAAATTGGGAATTTTGGCAGCGCTAACTGGAAAAATTCCATGCACACCTCACACACCCTTATTCTAGCTAATGCAGCCGCATGAGACATGCTCGGAATTTCCTGGGTAGCACTGTCAAAGTTCCCAATACTGAATAGGAATCATTTTGTGGATAGGGACCTCTACTAGAGCACGTCTTTACTGCACTGGTCAAGGACATGCCCATCTGTATTAGGGAAATTTAAAAACAAATATAGTCTGGGACCAAGACTATGAAATACAATTCAATGGACTTGGAAGGTTAAATGTGGAGATTTGCAGACTGTCAAAGGAACCTTGACAGGGTTTTTACCTCGGACCTCAGAAGCTGTTTGAACTGACAGTCTGCATTTTTTTAAACCTTTCTTTTGATGTAAGTATTTTAAAAAGTTGAGATTTGGTCTGCCACTTGGTACATGTCCATATAATTTAGTGCAAATTTGAAACAAGTCTCAAACTGTCAAAATGCTCATAAAGTGCAATTTTTACACTGAAAGACAAAAGGCAGTCTGGAAACAATAGTATATAGTAAAAAAGTAAATAACTGATTTGCCTCTAAGGCATGAGAAACAGATACGTGGATTCCTACCATCAAAGTAACTTGTCTTTTAAAAAAATCCAGTTAAACCTGTTTGTCCCTATACTGCCCCAATTCGCCCTGCTTATCACTCCTTGCACTGACTGAAACCGCCCAAGCACTTTATAGTTTTATCAATTCTTCAGGGAATTAATACAGTGTAATACAATGCCATCCGAATGCTAACTGAATGGGCAGATGGGGAAATATTTGGGGGAATTGTGCCTTTGATGATACAAACATGGCAACTGACGACCAGAGTATCCCATGAGGAAGATATTTGGCTATCGGGTCATCGCAGATATGTCATTTGAAAAAATATCGGTAAAATAACAAGCAATTTCCAAATTGTTCAAAATGGCTGCCATCCCTTGTTAATTTCTAATTATACTTTTTCAAAGGACAAATCTATGATGGTCCTATAGCCAAATATCTTTCTCATGACATACTCTGACTGTGTGCAAAATACCATGCTTGTATCATCAAAGGCACAACCTCATCACCTATCTGCCATACTAAATAGGTTAATGTGGCTTACACTTCCACAGGACGAGGTGACCGACTTTGTAGCAACCTTTGCTGTCCCTTCTTCCAACTCCTCTGCAAACCCGCATGTACTACACAGACATAATAAATGCATGGACATTAGCATAAATAGAGGACTGAATAATCAGAAACAAGACTGGCAAACCTAATAAAGCTGGTCCATCAACACACAACATTCAACGCCACTGATTAACGATGGCTATTCACTGGAAGTCTTTTCATGCATGTGATCTACAAGATGGGCCAGATTTATTCACTGGTATTACAGGGTAATCCTATATGATAGCACTGCCCGGCTCTCTCCAGTCCACCAGCCTACAACCAAAGTCACAAATAACAGTCAGTCAATCAGTAAGTCAGTCAGTGAGACAGGAAGTACAATGACGACACAAAGCTTGCTCTCCCGGACCAGCAAAAATATAACTTAACAACTAAAAAAAAAACTATAAAAAACCCTCCCCTTCAAACAAAGGGATAATGTAGGGCTGTCCCGAATATGCCGAATATTGGATCATCAACCAAATATTCAAATAGCTTTCTGCCAGTTTGAAAATTTGAAAACACAAAAATCATTATTGTCAGGTGCCACTTTTTTGTCAACACCGGTTCATTGTTCACATCCTTTTAGAAGGTTAAAACCCTTTTACAGTTATAAATACTGGTACTTACTGCGAAGTACCCCAGCACCCAATATAGATCACCACATGCAATATTTACTTGCGCACTCCTTGCGCAAGTTTTTACTGGTGCAGCAAGCAGTCACAAGTGTTCAAGAAGCTTTGCTTGGATTGGGTTAAATTGCTCTACAACAAAAGCCCACATTTTTGATAAGGATAACTCGGGGTAACGTCAGAACACTTACCAGTTTTTGCATGCCTTCTTCTTTTCAGAGTTTGGACCACATTCAGCTGGTTTAAAACACAAATTTGAATCGGGTTGTTTGGAAAATCTTTTACAAATAATTTAAGAGCAATAATAAGCAAACAGGCTTAATTACAAATGTACTTTTGTGTGTGGAAATTGTTTAAAAATGTAGAACGTTAAAAAACACTGCGGGGTAGATAATTTTTTTAAAAGGCAGCCCCAGAATTATGGCATAAGTTGCCTGCCGACATTCAACATTCTCAGTCCAGCGACATTTTTAAGCCTAAATATCTTTTTAAACTGACTTTTAACTAATTTCATTGCTCATTACCAGTGTATTTTTATTTTATTGACTTGATAGACAATTTACATGTTCTTACTTTTTTTTAATCCCTTTTTTAACATTGAATTTTAATTTGTTTTAATTCTTGGTATTCAAATGTTAATTTCTGTGGTACATTATGTTATTTGATTATTGTTATGAAGACCAAGCAATACAAAATTTACTCTTTTTTTTTTTATCTATTACGTACTTCCAAGGGATCTGTTTCAAAGTTTAAAGTAGATTCTGAAAAACAAATCCTGCATGTTAATACCCACATGTAGCAAGGATGTTTAGTTCATTTTTACCAACACACAGTAAACAAATAAATCAATCCATTAGATTTTTGACGATTTGAAAAACGCTGAATAATTAACGGCACTTACCTTTCAGTGAGCTGGGGTCAGGTTTGGTGAAATCTTCCTCTTCAAGTAATTTATCAGAGTCAATTAATTCCTGTTCAAAGAATAGATTACAAGTCTTGAGTGAAGTCTAGACAGCTAGGGGATGTGTTCATCTGCATGAGGCAATATCAAAGTCTATGGTGCAATTTGAGAAAGTTTTATCTAAAATTATTTATCCTTCTCTGGATTTTGCTCCAACTTTCTCCTGGTGCCAAGTTATTTTAACATTTACATGTAAATCTGGCCAGTCTTTCTGACACTAGTCTCAAGCTCAAGGCTCATCAGCTACAGTACACCCACTCTATTCTTGAATCTCTTGAAGCAAGTTCGTAACAACTTGTGCAGTGCATTGCGAAAGCGTATGTCCAAGAAATAGCAAGAACAGAAGCAGAGCAGCACACAGAGTACTGGTGTGATAAGAGCCAGATCCAATACAACTTGTACATTTGTAGAGCGATCAAAAATATCAAAGTCCCATGCACCAATCAATATGAACACGACTGAATAAAGCAAGGCGTATATCACGAACATGACAAACATATTCACAGTAACATTGATTTTAGCCCGTCTATAAAATGCTCCATGGACTGCCCCTTTGTCTTTGGCTGTGGTGTGAAGTTTCCAGAAGATTTGTGTGTAAAAGAAACCGACTGCGACTACTGACAGAAACATGAATAATGCAGTTATGACAAGTCGCAAAACATGAAATGAAGTTCCTGTCTGGCAGCTACCACTGACTGGTTCGTAACTGGTCATTATCACATTGTAGGACATGGTTACAACTGTGTCAATCCATACAAAAGTGATCCCTATTCGGGCATGACGGTTGCTGAAGCGCGCTCGATGCCAGACAGGATGCAGGGTTGCTAGGTAACGGTCAATGGAGGACAACACCAGACTCAGCAAGGCGATGTTGTAAGCACTCTCCATGAGGAAACGAGAAAGCCAGACTCGGCAGAAGATCTTGGAGGCTAGAGTTGGCGGGAGGTGGCTTGGACTTGGCACCAGGAGATTCAGAGCATGGAGGATAACCACCACCAGCTGGGCAAAGTTCTGATTGAACATGATCAGTGTGGTGGGATTGCTGAGGCCGGTGCCCTGCGATACGTATACCAAGCACCCAAGCCCTTGCCCAATAGCGGTGATCAAGTCAAGAAGAAGGCAGATCACAAATAGGACCGGCCTTTGCTGGACCCTGAACATGACCAGGGCTAGATCTAAGTGACCATCATCATCACTTAGGTCAGTCACGGGCTCAAGGATCAGTGTGGTATTCTCTGATGGCTCCATCTAAATTGTCAAGAAGGTCAAACTTCAGTTGAACATAAGATAATTTACATGTATGACCTTTGCCGTATTTATCCCAACAACACAGATGTGCCCAATCAAATTTCCTGTACATCAAACAGCTCCAAATATGTTTTTCTGGGGGGCAGTTTTTGAGTATTCAACACCATTACATTCCACTTGGTGTTGATCGTTCTGTTTTCTGCAGCGGACTGAGCAGTTCTCTACCGATGAAGGCAAATATAAATGATGATGGCTCACAATTATAATCATGGAGAATAACCACCGCCAGATTGACAGTGACATACAATAAAACCAAACAAACACAGCGTCAAATCTGATCATTCCCAAACAGAGGACTCAGTCGACTCGATCATAATTAACTACCTGTAAGATGTACATGTATCTTCTGTTAATGGTAAATGCAAACAGCACACCAATTACCATATAGCTATTAGTTCATTGTTCAAACATATTTTAAAAAAACCTAGAGAGGGGGTGGACAAGTAAGAATTATTAACTTGCAAAATTACAAAATTATAACCTTCCTTCACCATATATGGATGTTTGTTTTAACTTGACTTTCACTACACAAACATTTTTTTCTGAAATATACATGTAAAATATACTATTTTATTCATGTACAGCATTCTTAGGGAAAAAAAAACAACCTTTTTTTATCATGTACTATTCAGGTAGAGTGTGCCTTTCTTATATTCCGATGTGCAAATCTTAACTCATTTTTTTTTAAATGTACTGTATTCTGATATGTATGATGGTAAATGTTTTTGTAAGTTTGGATTTCTGATTTTGTGTTTTTAATTTGTACGCATTGTGACAATTTAGCCTCTGGCTACAAACACAAGGATTAATAAACCAGAATAATAATAATAATAATAATAATATGACAATCCAAAAAAATAGCTGGCATAACGTTTCAGTCCTAGGTCCTAGGACTCCTGTTAGGCCTGTTAAAGTTTTGGATGTATATATCAGGTCAATCTAGTCAGTAAGCAGTTTGCAACAGTTTGATTCATTTTCATGGAATATATCTACATACAGCGATATCTGTTGATTGAAGGTTGAACACGACTCATTGGTTGGAAGTCTATACAGGCTTACATACATGTACGTATACATACATCCATGCCTTGTTTACTTCTTTTTTTTTTCATTTGCGGATGAGTTTGTGCGCACTTGCCGCCACCCGTTCACGACTTTGTTGCAACATCAAGATTGACAATCAAGAATAACAAATGAGTAGAGTAATGAACGTCAAGGTAATTGGCTACTTATTGCATCTCATCTCTTGACAACGAGGCGTCGCCAGTTAATCTTTTTGCAATATGGGTTGGTGAGCTGCACACTGCCAGTCACAATATCATACAATTTACAGTCATGACAGTGGCGTACATACACATGACTCGTGTCCTAATAATGCCATGGTTAAATTCTCTTAATGCCTTACAGGAAACTGGTCTGAGTGGTCCATCTCTCTCCAACACTACGCTTGACAGGGACAGTTGGGCCCAACTCATCAAGTCATCATGAAAATGAATGAATGAAGAAGAAGAAGACGGGAAACCGGTACCCGATTTAAAGAAACCCAACCCCAAAATTCAAATCTCGGAAGTTGCTGTTCAAATTATTTAAAAAGGTTTGCATGTTAATACAACCACATCAGTGCATCATTATAGCACGATAGAAGTGTGTACTGTGAGTATACATGTAGCTGTACGGTGTAAACTGCAACTTTCGTGAGCTTTATAAATGTGAAATATGCTGTGTTTCACATGTTGCCTGGTTTTCATTTTGAAAATTCCGCACAAATGACATTCAAAAGCTTTCTTTTTCATTGTCTGAGAAGTTACCAAGTAATTTATAAAGTTAGTTACGGGTAGCCGAACCCATAATCTGGAACCAGTTCCTGACATCAACGGTCAGGTACTCATTTCAAACGTCTAGGTCACATCGATCAACATGATGTCTTACATTTACGGAGAAAAAGTTTTTAAAACCCTGTTTGTGGCTCATGTGGCAGCGGTTTTTGGCCTTGTCTATATGTACCGGAGGATGTATTTCAAGCATCAAATTTTGAGCCAAATTGGCAAAACAACACTTGCGCCACACAAAATGTATTCAATTCAATGAGAGATATCACTTATCAAGCCCCACATACACTACATGTAGCTTCAGGATTATCATGACTATAAACATAGTGATCCTAGCACATACGCGCATTTGAAGAATGTTTTATGCAAGACTGGAATGACAACTAGCGCTCCAAACGGCTCGACTTTTTGAGGACCCAAATTTTTTTGCGGAGTAGTTTCATGAAAATGGCAAACTTCAAAGGTACAGTTGTACCAATGCTCGTACATGTACTCTACTGTTTAATGAGCTTTCCAATCCTATTCTACTTTTTAAGGATATTTTCAAGTGTGATCATTTCATGGTAAATGCGTTTTCAAACCCAAATGGGTGCATTCTCTCAAAGTGCTCCTTCAATTTTGTCAATTAATAACGGAATAATAAATGTGCTGGGCTGGTCTTTAAAACAACCACGTTTAAAACCAGCAAGAGGCCTGGACGCGATAATGGCCCAGAATAGGAATTCAGAACTACCTGAGACAGTTTACAATGTACCCATTCCTATTAGTCAAGAGCCCATCATGTGGGTTGTTTTAAACTGCCATTAAAACACCGCTGTATGAGGCATGGACGCCAATTATGACCCTCTCATTTACATTTACATTAACATTTATTTCATTTTTCGGGATACATTTGTTGCAACAAACAACAACATTAAATACTCAGAAATACACATGAACATTTTAGACAAAACATACACAGTATACTATTTAACCAGCTCCCGCTGGATTACCCAAAAGAAACATGGTTTCTAGATCTGTCGAGGGGCTCTCCTTCAGCTCCAGCCATTATGCGCATTAGACTCGGGCCATTATCCACGTCCACTGCCGTCCAGGCCTCTAGCCAGTTTTATAGGTACTTGTTTAAGACTAGCCAAGCACATCTTTATTCCCTTAGTAGCACTCACATCTGTTAATCAGCTAAGTCTTTCTGGGACTAGTCTCCAGCTCAAGGCTCATCAGCTACACCCACTCTAGTCTTGAATCTCTTGAAGCAAGTTCGCAACAACTTTAGCAATGCATTGCGAAAGCGTACATTCACATAGTAGCTCGTAAAAAAGTTGATCAACACACAGAGTATGGGTAGAATAAGAACTACCCCCGATAAAACCTGTGCATTGGTAGAACCATCAGTATCAGAGTTCCAGATAGCCATCAATACAAACAAGAGAGAATATAACAAGACATGAGCAACGAACATGACAAACATGTTCACGGTAAGATTGGTTTTAGCCCGTCTATAAACTGCTCCATGGACTGCTCCTTTGTCTTTGGCTGTGGTGTGCAGTTTCCTGAAGATGTTTGCGTAACAGTAACCGACTACAACTAAAGGCACAAACAGTGATGGTACAGATAAGACAAGTAGCAGAACCTGTTGTGAAGTTGCTGTCTGGCAGCTACCACTGACTGGATCGTAACTGGTCATTATCACAGTGTGGGACGTGGTAACAAATGCTGCAATCCAGAAGATAGCGATCCCTATTCGGGCATGATGGTTGCTGAAGCGCGCTCGATGCCAGACAGGATGCAGGGTTGCTAGGTAACGGTCAAAGCAGGACAACACCAGACTCAGCAAGGTGACCTTGTAAGCACTCTCCAAGAGGAAACGAGAAAGCCAGACCCGGCAGAAGATCTTGGAGGCTAGAGTTGGCGGGAGGTGGCTTGGACTTGGCACCAGGAGATTCAGAGCATGGAGGATAACCACCACCAGCTGGGCAAAGTTCTGATTGAACATGATCAGTGTGGTGGGATTGCTGAGGCCGGTGCCCTGAGACACGTATACCAAGCACCCAAGGCCTTGCCCAATAGCGGTGATCACGTCAAGAAGAAGGCAGATCACAAATAGGACCGGCCTTTGATGGACCCTGAATATGAACAGGGCTAGATCCAAATGACCCTCCTCATCATTTGGGTCAGTCACGGGCTTCAGGATCAGTGTTTCATTCTCTGATGGCTCCATCGCAATTAGGGTCAAATTACAGTCAAACATCAAACTCTTTGCAATTATTCACCATATTTATCCTAACAAAAATGGATGTGCTCAATCAAACTTCTTATTGTAACTTCAGTCTATGACACAGAAGGATAGAAACCTCTGCATGGGCCAGCTCCAAATTCCTTTTGTTCACACAGGTTTTGTCTTAAATCCTTTGCCATCATTCTGGTGCTGATCATTCTGTTTTCTGCATCACAATGAGTAGTTTTACATCTTGACAGTCCAATATAAATGATGGCACCCAATTATAATCACGCACGATTGACAGTGACGTACAGTATAAACACACAAACGCAGCGTCGAGTCTGTTTATTCCTAAACAGAGGACTCAGTCATAATTACGGCTGTGACTACACGGATCTCCTCAAACTAGACTGCCCGTATGTCTTCTTTAATGCTCAACTATTAACACAAACAACACACCTACATTCAGTTTCTCATCAAGTCATTGTTCAAACATAATAAAAAAAAAATTAAAAAAAAACCTGAAAACATTTCATAAAACCTGAAAAGGACTCATATTGGTTGGAAATTTACTAATTGGGGACTTGAGTCAGTGTGCACTTGCCATCCACGGCCATTCAGCGCTTTGCTGCAACATCGAGACTGATAATCAAAAATAAAATTTGAGTAGAGTAATGGACATTGAGGTAATTGGCTATTTATTGCATCTCATCTCTTGACAACGAGGCGTCGCCAGTTAATCTTTTTGCAATATAGGTTGGTGAGCTGCACACTGCCAGTCACAATATCATGCAATTTACACGTACAGTGGCGTACATACACATGACACTCGCCCTAATAGTGCCATGGTTGAAGGTATAGGCTAACAGCTCGGTCCAAAATTGGGCCGCCAGTATCAAATAATTGAAAGGAGCAATTCTTACTTTGGCAAGATATGCACAGCTAGAGTTGGAAAATGTGTGATAGGTTTGCAGTATGAGCGGCGGCTGTTTTTGGGTGTTATCACTTTTAATTTTTGTTTTCAAAATGGCCGCCAATATGCTTGTTATACCGGATTAATAATATGTGGTAACCAGCATGTTTTGGCCGCCATTTTTTTTAAAAAGTGATAGCACCCAAAAAGCTGCCACCGCTGCAATGCTATCACATATTCTCCAACTACAGGGGTGCATACCTTGCCAAAAATCACAATGAGCATTATTCCCCTCATTTGATACCAACCAAACCCCCAGGCTAATGGCCTAGTAGTAAACGTTTGCATTTGTTGCAATTCTGTGAAGTGAACTGAATTGGGGGCTAGTGTTTTTAGAATCGCTCCACTGACTTGTTTAAACATTTCTAGTCCACATGTGCTAGAAAAATGAGAGAACAAAAGTGTTTCTTTTTCAACCACCAAGTGCAGCTTGCTGAATTTGTTTTGCATAAAAACTATAGGTCACAGGCTGAGCCTATAGGTGCCAGCAGAGTCATCGCAAAAAATTGACGTAAATGTGCTGTGAAGCCGAGCTGGCTGGCACCTGTTAATGGATGTAGTATTTGAAAAAAAGGTCATTTTTCTGAAGATAGCTTAGCAAAATTCAAATTCCTCTTTTCTTGAAAATGACAGCACACCAGGTGCTAGGTTTCACAGGATGTTTGGTACCATCATTTACTTACAACCAAGTGCATGTAATTTGATAATTTCATTTTTGGAGTTTTAAAAATGTCGTCTACTGCCTTAAAATACTGTTCATGCCCTTAATTTTGTTATAAATATCAATCTTACCACGTCATCATCGGCCATGTCAAACGCAGACAGCGTCCACACCTTCTTGGCTTCTGCTTTTGGCTTCTCTGAAGAAAAAAAGATGGTTGAATTTCATTATTCATTCAAAACAATAATTCATAATGAAAATGTACACATTAATTCAGTTTATATTAAAGGTTTATATGTGTACGTAACTAGGCACAGACTCTGTAAAAAAGACGATTTGTTAGCTGGTGGGCAATTCCACGGTAACGGAAGGACGTTTTCACTCATTAAACAAAATTTCAAATGTGTGTATCACAGACACTGTTCATAGTTACAGCAAACAAATGTCACAATTGTATTGCTATAATGCTACTTTCATTTTCCACACTTTTGGGGGGCATGAATGCCTCCCGTTTATGAATTATGAATATTAATGAGGTCGGTAACGGAAGGACGGTAAAACGGACAAGGGTTTTCTAACTTACTCGCGTTTTGCGTAAACTCTGTGAATTTTATGGGGCAATTATATTTCAAAGGTAAGAAATGGAATCCCTGAAGCTTTATCTATACTATGCCGCCTTTCATTTGACTTTAAGTTTTTCGGTAATATAATTACGACGTTTTAAGCAGATTATGATTTGGTAACGGAAGGACGGTAACGGAAGGACAAAAGGTTTACTCAATTATAGCATGAACAAAATGTGAATTTACACTAATTATACAAATGAAACAAATTGCTGAAATGTGTAACTGAATGTGAAATCAACAATATGCAGACCTGGCATAAATAATTATACCCAAGAAACTATTGAGATAAAGATAGAAGCCTGCTAATTAATGATAACAAAAGAAAAACGAAAACCACCCAAAACACATAATTCACGAACACAAGACAACTACAGAAATGGACTTCAAACCCATCACCTCAATCCTTAAAAGTTTAAATACACAGTTTTTGAGCACTTGAGTATATTGGTTACATGTTCACCAACAACTTTTAATAATAATACCGGTAGGTTCAGTGGTTTACCTAAAGGGTGGGGGGGGGGGGGGGCGACCAGCCTACATGTACATTTAAGGTAAAAACATCTACCGGTAGAACTGATTGCTTCAGTTAGGTGTTGCTTTTAATTGAACTCTAAAATCAATGTTTGAAATCAAATTACAATGATTTAGAGTAGTAACAATTAATTTATAAGCATCCAAACTGAAATTGTTAACTTGGGCATAATTTGTCAAAGATTGCACCTCACATGTCTTACACATGTAAATTGAATGAAAGTGCCTCAAAGTACCGGTACTTTCTGCCATCTCATTTTTGACTTAACTTGCTTCTGGAATGGCTTCACAGAATTCGTATCTTTCTCTATTGTCCATGAATGCTCATGGCAGCAACTTTATGATTTGATTTTCTGCAACAACTCCATACATGTACAAGTACTGGTACATCAGCATATATGTACATGTACATTGTACATGTTGTACATGCCTGTGCCTTCCTTTGTAATAAACACCTTGCCCTGCTTATCCCGCTTTTGTGAAGGTGGTCACATGAATGTCCTTTCAATGCTCATTATACATGCATGTATTTGCAGTGGTTTTCATTTTTCAAACATGAGCGCAAATGTCGTAACATTTGATAAAAATACGATTTGTCCTTCCGTTACCGTCCTTCCGTTACCAATTTGGTAACGGAAGGACGTGATTTAATTAATTGTAATTAAAAAACGAGAAGTACAGCAGTGTCAGTTTTAATGTCATATTGAAGGCCTACCTAAACTTGCTTTGCACAATAACTTTCAATGCATTCATACTGCAAGTTTTAAAAATAAATTAAAAATATGTATTTTTTCGGTAACGGAAGGACATTTTCGAAGGCTGAAATATTAGAAGTCACTGAAGCGAAGCAAATTACGCAAAAAGTTCAAAACAAGTTTTAGTCGGTTTTTCAAGACCAATACTTTCTCATGACAGAAACTGATGGCATTAGTACATATTTTTGGGTGTGTTTTGGTAGAATACTTTCATATCACTATTAATCACATTTTTAGGATTAAAACAGGATTATTACATAATCCTATTTTTTGGTACCGAAATGTATAAAAAATAAAATTCCGACTTCAAATCTTGAAAATATAGACTTTTAGCTTTCATTTGATGCCAAATATGTTTAAGTCACATGTATTTGAATTTTTTGGTGTCATGTCCACTTTGGTGTGGAATTGCCCTCGTGTTAATTCAACAAGTGTGGCTTTAGCATGAATACATTTTTCTTCAAAGATATAGAGATAAATGTAAGGCACACAAAAGAGAAGTGTGTTTATGGTAACCCGACCTTCTTGGACTTTTCAGGCCAAATAGCCGGCGTCAAACTTTTCATTGCCACATTTGGCCAAACATTTCAAATGAAATATATTTTCAAATTAAAAAAACTTTGCAAGTTTTTTTGTGTGATATTGGTCATTTAAACAATAAAACAGGTTAGTAAACAAAGTAAGTATAAACGATCGACAGACAAACATCAACAAAATTACAAAATAAAATTATTTTCCTACCTACCTACCTGGATAACTTTTAGGGTGTTACCATAAAACGCACAATTTTTCTGGGCCTACGTGTTGATGGAACAAGTACTGTATCCATTTACTTCCTTTAAGGATATTTTTTCAATTTGGTATGGAGGAGGTATGTGTAGGGAAAATAAAAACTTACAACAGTCTAAAAATTGTTCTGGGACAACTACAGTTAGAACTCTACTGTTATATTTGCACAGATCCAAAATATAATACGGTAATGTGATACGGCAGTGGAAAATGTCAATCTGTTTTTCAGGCTGTAACAAAATTCAAGAAACACACCTGTGGTTGCCATCTTCTTTGCAAACAGAGGTAACGCAACTGTTGATCCGACTTCAAATGCTGGATTGCTGCAACACAGCTCAATCACGCTGTCCGTACCATTGTCCGTGCTTTGTGAGGTAGGATTTAACAGGGGTGTTTTAGGCTGTGGGTGTTAAGGTAGAAATTATTAAATAAAGAAGTCTAACATATTATTATTGATAAATGGAAATACTTTAACCCCCAACCTACTACGGATGCCCCTTGCGTATTATCTTGCAAACAAACATGAACCATAATTTCATATTAACCTCCTTGATGTCCACAAACCCAGCCACCTTGAGAACAGACACGAGTTTCTCCCTCGTCCTGCCTGGTCCATTCTCTGTCAAATTAAAAAAATGTTTATAGTGAACACATGTTATGACTAATATTTTCAAATCTCTCACAATCAGGTTTAGTTGTTAATTAGAATTAGGGCCTTTATATTAATTTATGGTGTAAAATTGGCACAATGTAATAGTATACAAATATTGTGTGGCTCAGAGTGGAATGGGAGGAATATTATCGCAAGGTAAAATCTGCAGATTTTATTTCATGAGGTGAAGCCGAGTGAAAGGAAAAGTCCAGATTTTACCGAGCAATAATATTCCTCCCATTTCATAATTTAAAGCCACTCAATATTTGTTTTTATAACTGACATATAGATTTTTGTCATTTGATTTACAGTTAAAATGAACTTCTATTTCAATTCAAAATTGGTGGGAAATGTATTTCTCTCTTCCAAACCACCCCTTCACAAAATGTTTGAACCCAACTCTGGCTCTTGGGAACAATAATAATAATGCACCTGTATGGATGGTCTGCTCTCTGATGTACAGCCTCCCACTGGGCTTTAGTATTCTAGCCACCTCAGCAAAGTGGTCCATGGTGTGTATGACAGAGGGAGGGTTGACAGCTCCTAGCAAAGCCACATCAAATGTTGACTTTTTATGCGCAGCTGGAGTGAAATAGAAAAACATCTCTTACAAAATATAAATAAAATCATGAATACGAAATGGCAGCTACTGTTTGAAAGCATTCATGAGACTATACTCTCCTGGGTTTTTTTAAATTATTTTTTATGTTGCAACCCAAAAAATAGATTGTATTTTTATATACAAAAGATATTAAATTGTGAATGAGACATCAAACCAAAAAATGAAAGCACATTTAGGTTTTGGATATTTACTTTACAAACTTCGAATTATTTGCATTCCATTCGAATTACTTGAATTATTTATAGGGCACAAATGCAAACCAAAATGAAACCGTAGTTTCAGGATGTTGAAAATGTCCCCAATAGAAAAAACTATCAAGTATCTTTTTTCCATTTAAACAAAACGTTCATACTGAAAATTTGTAAGGAGAAAAAAATCAAACATGCTGAAGAACACGTGAGTGTTTTAAAGGGGAAAAAGCTACTTTCTTCTATGTTGGACCTTTTCAACACTCTGAAATTGGGTTGCATTTTGGCTTGCATTTTGGCCAATAATGCACAAAAAGTTGCTCGACAATGTTGCCTCAAACTATGCGATTTTAGAATAAGCAGCTCTTTATCTCACCAAGGACTAGTCTATCAATGTTCTCCACTTGCATTTTGCCACTCTGCCCAAGCCCAGCGCCCAACCCCTCCACCGCTGCCTTGATGCCTTCAGGGGCCTGTCCTTCGCCCCATGTCAGGAGAATTCGTTGCCCACTACTGAGGATAGACTCCATGACGAATTTGACGGCTACCAATATTAGCTGTTGAAAAACATGATATTTGAATTAAAGACAATATAAAGAGTAATATCACAACAAATTGAAATACTGACTGTTATTCAACTAAGATCACAATGAATTTGTTTTAATTGCTTTTTGCTTAAGTTGAATAGGGACCTAGGCCTAATGAGGTGTTTCACAGTAATATGTGCCATCTTGCCGACGTGTACGCATCGTCAATGGAAAACTTTGGTGCTTCCATTCATCATGCGGTCATTCCACAATGCGCCTGCGTCTAGCAATGCATGTTCTTTTTGCTCTGTTAGTGTTAACAAGATGACGCGATGGTAGTCCGAGTAACTTTGACGCAACTTATCGCCTTTTTAACATTCTGACCAAGTTACTCGGACTAGCGCGATGGCGGGTAGTACCGTGAAACACCTTGTTGAGTTTGACCAGAAACAGAGATTTTTACAGCGAAATAATAAAGTTTGGCGGTGGATATTATTATTTGGCCAGCATTTATTTCATGGAGGCTTCCTCAGACTGATTGATTGGCTGATTGGCTGATATGTAATTATGTCAAACACCTATTGGCTGCGTCAGCTTTCTTTTATAGTAAGTCGACCTCCAGCATGCAAACATATTATTAAAATTTTATCTAGGCCTAGTAGTTTTTCAGTAGTACATGTAGTTGTACTAGGCCTACTCAAGTCTCAATAGTATTTAGGTCTAAGTAGGCCTAGCACTTTTTTTGTTAAGAAAGCTAGCCTAAAATAATATGATGATATATAAGCAAAACAGAGAAAGCCTTCTTGAAAATAAACGCAAACATGGTAAAACTTGTAAGTTGTAACTAAAAGAAAACCGGTGTCGGCCAAATAACCACTAGGGCTTATTATAATCGCAGTGGCTATCGTTACGGCAGCCATAACGCATTTCCCATTTTCTATTGTTACGGCCTACTGCAACTTTTAAAAACATGAGAAGAAAATATAAAATTAGAAGGAAAAAAGTGAATTTGAACGTTATGATAATATGAAATTCTGACTTTATTTCCCTTTTAAAAAAAATCCTCCAAAGCCTTAGGTTAGAAAAGGAAAAAAATTCGAGTGCAAAACTGAGATGCGAACCCGCAACATACAACCATGACAACATTGCCATGTACCCAAAATCCTACCCTTTTTCGACTGAGCTGTCGCACTGCTCGCTAAAACGTGGGAAAACAAATAATTCGTCGGTCGCACCACGAACCGGCGTATCTCGATTTTTGGCCAAATTGAGTTTTTGTCATTAACGTTATTATTTTATCAAAGTGCTCATTCTCAGAAAGTTTTGTTCCGATCGGAGTTCTAATTAACTAAGAACGCTAATTAGATTGTGCGGCGTTTCTCTAAAAAATGAAAAATGCTGCACCACGAAGTGGCGTATCCCGATACGCCGCTTTACACGCTAATTCACATAGTGCTATGACGTCACAAAGCAGCGTCGACATGAAAAATTGGAATTAAGCGTTTCACGAACCGACGTATCTCTGTATCTGGCACACGGCCACTATTACGCGCGTTGTATAACATAGGAAAAACATGATAAAAATCTGTTTCACGAAGTGACGAATAACTTTGGAGCAGAATTTCTCAAAAACTTAGCAACTCAGATGCACACGGATTGCATACAATAAAGTTCAATCTATAATTTACTAGCAAAAACGAAACAGCTTGAATTCTTACACAGAGAGTATATGGAATGAACCTACAAAATAATGACCAACTTTAAATCGGTTTTTCTCGAAACACAAAAAAATGCGATACGTCGGTTCGTGGTGCAACCGACGAATTATATACCTGCGTGCGTATCAAAAAAGTATCGTAGAGGGCGCAAAACAACGGCTGCCGTAACGATAGCCACTTCGTATTATAATTCACTAAAATGAGTGACAAAAATTGTCACAAACATGACAAACAAAAGTCATGTCATGACACATTGACAGTCGTAAGAGTATCACGCACCAGTACAGTGACAGGAGAATATTTAGAACAAATTTCTTTCCGGTGTGTTTGGTTTGATGATTAAAATGCTACGTACTTCAAAGACCACGAAATTACTTTATTGTTTTTGTGCGTACGTGACTGAACACATTTTCCGCAACCTCATCGTACGCGTACGTACACTGGTGTACTCTGCGTACGATAAGAATTCCCCTGCGTACATGTACATATGTACATGATGTACATGTCGGTGATGGTTGATTAGACACCAGACCAATTGCCGGGGGTATCAGACTATGAGCCAACAGCCAATCAGCGCACAGGATTGCCTTAAGAAAGCGCAAAGATGATTGGCCAACGTACAGTACACGAAATTGAAACAGTGCTTGTGAAGTTGTGTAGCTGAAAATCTCTACAGAAAGTCTAGTATTTTTCACAGTGTAAAATTCTTTTTTTGCAGTTTTTTTTGGACGAGTACATGCCAGAATGGCTGATGTAGAGATGATGGAGTATGTCGACGATGTGTATGAAATGGATTGCCCGAAATTTGTCGATTTTAGCGTGCCTCAAGTCGTGGACGACAACGCCGATGAGTGGTTCAGTAAGTAAAGTGCATGCAAAAATTTATGCACTGCTGAAAACGAAACATACAATTTTTACAATACTGAATACAGCCTTACAGTTACAGGTTACTCCGGCTTTCATTAAAAGGCCCTTAATATACATGATATATGTAGTGTAATATGTGGAGTAATTGCAGAATACCCCGCCACTCGGAAATACACCCCTAAAATCACTGGCTACGAGGTTGGAATCACTCATTTCACTGCAAAAGAAACAATTCAAGTCCATTGCCAGCTACGCGGATACTGAGTGGGGGTCCATTATTTGAGAACGAAGCAACACAAAATGAATGGGAGTTGCTGAAAAAAATTCTAAGTCCAAACCAACAACCCTGTTGGCGGCTACTAGTACGAGGCTACGGAGTGGGAGTCCCCTTGAATATGCTTGAGAACGAAGCAACACAAAAGGAATGGGAGTTGCTGAAAAAATTCTAAGTCCAAACCAACTACCCTGTTGGCGGCTACGCGGTCACGAAGTGGGAGTGCAATGGAGCATGACGCATAGTACATACAAGTTAATCTGAGAATGTTTATTGAGGTCAATCAGCCGTGACCTCGTAGCCGGCTACGAGGTGGATAGATCGAGTGGCGGGGTATTCTGCAATTGTGCCTAATATGTTGGCACAATTGCACTCAAGTTGCAGCAATTTAGCCCAGGCCTAATCTACTGGCATGCTGCTGCTGGCCTGGGGTAGCCCCATAAATGTGGCCTATTTACTGGACTGCCTCCATAAACATAGGCCACACATCCACATGTACAATAATCGTGTCGACGGAGCCAAATTTTGATTTTCACATTTAGGCTTAGTTTGTAGGTTTTTTTTGCTTTAGAAGCATACTCACCCTCTTTATAGGCTAATCAGAAAGTGCTGCCTTTTTCAGATGTATATTTTTCGTGAAATTTCCAGATTCATTTTTACACGTTTGCGTATCAAAATTTCAACATGAAATTTCACAAAAATTAGACATCTGAAAAAGGCAGCACTTTCTGATTAGCCTGTAAAGAGGGTGAGTATGCTTCTAAAGCAAAAAAACCCTACAAACTAAGCCTAAATGTGAAAATCAAAATTTGGCTCCGTCGACACGATTTTTGTACATGTGGATGTGTGGCCTATGTTTACGGAGGCAGTCCAGTAAATAGGCCACATTTATGGGGCTACTGCTGGGGCAAATGGGCATATGATGGGGGAGGTTGTTCAGGAATTTAGATCTCATTATTTATTTTCATTTTATTTCTTTACTATTTTTTTTAATTATTAAAGCCTTGCACTCATATGTGCATTGCAAAATGTTTATTGAAGGTAAGTGTGCAGAAATAGGATTGCGTAGCTAGTTAGTTTGGGGGTCTGACGATAAATGGTTTTTTAATTTCTATTTTACTGGAAATAAGTGGAAAATAATAATTATAAATGCTGAATGAAAATCATGAAAATAGCAGACTAAACTTGCTAAGACTTAGGTTACACTTACAATGTGACTTAAATTGCTGTACATTTTTACGCAGGATAAACTGATAGAACATGTAGGATAGGAATAATTGCAGAATACCCAGCATTGCCCAGCCACTCGGAAATACACCCCTAAAATCTCTGGCTACGCAGTTGGAATCACTGGAAAAGAAACAATTCAAGTCCATTGTCAGCTACGCGGATACTGAGTGGGGGTCCATTATTTGAGAACTAAGCAACACAAAAAGGAATGGGAGTCGCTGAATTTTTTTTAAGTCCAAACCAACAACCCTGTTGCCGGCTACGCGGATACGGAGTGGGAGTCCCCTTGAATATGCTTGAGAACGAAGCAACACAAAAGGAATGGGAGTTGCTGAACACATTTTAAGTCCAAACCAACTACCCTTTTGGCGGCTACACGGATACTTGAACTTGACTTTATTTCATCTCATAATTTACATGAGTACAAGGTGATAGGCAGATAATAAATACAATTAATAGAGATGCGGAATCCATAAGAAGCTTAGCTTGTGGGTATGGACCCCACAAGATACGGAGTGGGAGTGCAGTGGAGCATGACGCATAGTACATACAAGTAGCGCTGAGAAGGTTTATTGAGGGCAATCAACCGTGACTCCATAGCCGGCTACGAGGTGCATAGATTGAGTGGCGGGGTATTCTGCAAATGTGCCAACTGATAGTGTGTGTTTTGAATGCCGAAGCCCAAAGGTGCTACAATATATTTGGAGCTTCGCGTCATGAAATGGATATTTCAACTGTGACCTCATAAAATTATTCTAACCATTGCACTCATAAACATTCATTATGATTATTTGTATAATATTGATAGTGGATATATTGCCGGAGGTAATGCTGGCATGCTAACATTTACTAAAGGTTTGCCGTCTCCGGCAAAATATCCACTGCCTATAATATTAATATAATAATATAGTCTTATAGATTTGCAATGTTTTTTTTTTTTGTAATGCCGTAATGATAGCAGTTGAAAAATTAAAATCGTATTACAGCTGTTAAGTGTTTAAAACGATAGCCACTACGTTAAATATAATCCTACTGCTACATGTACTTTTGTAATGTTAGAATAGAACTAATTTTCTTTTTGATTTGTGCTTGTTAAGGATTTTTTGTAAAGGGAAGAAAAGTCTGAGAATCATTTGGTTTCAATCTGAGGCATGCCCCCTGTCTGCACAGTGGTAGACAAGATGAAAACAATTTAATTATGCATTTTATGTTGTCAGAACATTTGGGACTTACTGTGAACAGTGTATGAGAGTCCCAAAATTAATGTCTTGAAAACATGCAATGCAAGAAAATAAACTGGCACCTGAAACAACCATTTCAACACCACAAGTACTGCATCAATCAACTGTGCCAAAAGAAACACCTGGCATGCCAGATACTAGTCTCTATTTGTACACATTTCTCCATAGTCAGCCACCAGACTAATGACAATGAATGAATAGATCAGGCTTAATCTCAAACAGTTGGGATATGGTTGGATCAATCAAGTCTTTAGTGTTATTTTGAAATCACTTGCCTTCCCTCTCATGTGCAAAATATTGAAGAAAAATCTCCTATAGACTTAAAAATTGAATTGAGTCTTCAAACTTGGTTGGTGAAATACTGAGGACCTTTTCTCTACCCATTGAAAATTTTGGACATTTTTGCTGGCTAAAGAGAGAGTAAAGTTGACCTGATTTCATTTTGCATGTTTTTGAGCACTTAGCCTTGGGCCCCAGTCTGCATTTTATGGTGGGGAGCAGCGGGAGCAGCGGGAGCAGGTTTCTTATTAGTTTCTGATACAAAATGTGACAGCACCCAACTGCTAATTTCCCTTTGTCATGTTTGTAACATTAAAAAACAAAATGTTTACATATTTAATTTTAAACTTCCTTTCTTTGCATGGTGCAGACTTTGACCACGAGAATGGAGTCCCTCTCACTTTTGATGATAAAGCCGTCAGCCCCACAGCCCAAGAAACTCCAACGTCGCCTCTCCCTCAAGTCCCCCAAGAATCACACAGTGTTGTCGGACATTCAGAAACAGATACTACACTGCAGGAGTCATCAGCTCCTGAGATTACAACCTCAGAAAAGCAGAAATATGCTTCACCAAGCGACGATGTTTCATCTGCTGAATCTGAGACTTGTGAGATGTCAACTGATAGCATGGAAGACAAGCCAGCAGGTAGTTTGACAAATACAAAATCCTCAAGATTTTAGTAATTGTGAAAGTTTATTACAACTCAAAATCTTAAAACATGTACATGAACAATTACATATATACCTGTAGTAAATTGTATTTGTTGATTCAGAAAAAACACACCTGAACTTCCTGCATTTTCTGACAGCTTACAACAGTTTACTTAGGTTGTTGCACTTGGGTAGAACTGCTCTACTGTCACAACTATATGAACTAGAGATTAATTTTCTAATTCTTTTCTGTATGTTCATTTCCACATGACGTTTGGATAATTTGATAACCAGACCTTGGTCTTGTATTTAGACATATTTACATGTATTACTAAGCTGCGAGTTACAAGTTACAAATTAAGACAAAAATCTGTTTCCATTTTTCTCAATTCAAAAGTCCTTCATTGAGGTAAATAATATTTACTTGCCAAATTTTGTTGGGCTTTTCAAAATCTTTTTTTTTACATAACTTTTTTTGCCATTTTCAACTACATGTACTTTCCCACTTCTTACCCTCCATGACAGTTCCTGAGAGTGCTGTCTGCAACGTAACAGACGATGAAGCAACAGTGCAGGAATCCTCAGATGCAGAGCAAACACAAGCCCTGCCCTCATCTTGCGTAGATTCATCTACAGCTGAGATGTCAACCGACAGCCTAGAAGACAAGCCACAGAAACCCCAGATGCAAGAATCACCGAAACCTCGCAAGCGGTACGGCAACCTTGTCACCAGCTTTGCCAGGAGAGATGAAGACACAACCACTGCAAGCAGCGATCACAGCAAACTGGAACAGAAAAAGTATGTGCCATCCCTGGATTGGCTTTCATATAGTTCTCCTTCTCTTAGGCAAAAAAAAAAAAAGTCGGTCTCTGGTCAGCGCGCGCGTCAATTTTAATCAACCTTTTTTTTTTCCAAAATGTTCCGCGGTAGCTCCAACAGCACCTCCTCAATTTTTTTTACCAAAGAGCACCAAGGAATGGGAAATTGCACCAAGGCAAATGATCGAAAGCACCAAGGCAAATTATGGAGGACAATGTACATGAGAACACAAAAAAAAGCAAAATAGTACCCCACTTTGTACAATCCAAGCTTTAAAAAAAAAAAGAAATAAGCCGCGTCGCCGCATCAATTCCGGAACTTTGGCCTGACCAGAGACCGAGTATTTTTTTTTTTGGCCTTACTGCTGATTTTTTTATTTTTTTTCAGGCATGTAGCTTTTCCTTGGAACAGCTGATTTCCTTCTTAATGTCCAATGTTTGCCTCTGCAAATTGAAATGCTGGATTGTTTTATGCATCTCAGAAAGTCTTTGTTTATTGGGATGCCTAAGTTACATATTCTGTTTTTGGTGTTGAGATCAAAAGTTGACACATGACTTGGATCAAATTACCGAATCAGATGAAGTTTGACTTTAACTTTCAAGTCTTATTCATATTTTAAAAGTAACAGGGAACACTTTCAGGAGTCCAAAATATTGAAGATTTTTTTTAAATCTTTTTTTCCTCTAAAATGGTTTAATTTAGGCCTCGTTCCCGACAACGATCTGTTGAAGTTGTCTCAAGACCAACACGCAAATCACCGAGGCTGCACAGCCGACGCTCCGCTGAACCGACGAGACTAAAGCGCCCCAGTATCGCCTCCCAAGCCATCAAGAGGCGCTCTGCCAACTCGGCACTGGGCCATCCGCGCAGCAGGGTGTTGTCCACAGACCAGCCAATTAGCAAGCGGCGTAAGATTGGCAGTGAGGTTACCCCGGCCGGCCGGCCAGATGCAAAGAAATCCTGCCCCAAGTTGAAAGCAAAGATCAACCTGACGATGCCGACCACTCCCACATTACTAAAGTAAGTATATCATTACATCTTTGCTTTGCTCTTTCTTGTCTTTTGTTTGGGGAATGTCTTTCAAGAGTGGATCGGGGTGTGGACAAAGCCAGCCTTGGTAGGGCCAATGATTTTCCGCGATCGCGGAAAACGGACGGAATTCGCGGAATCTGCTCCTCGAAACGGAAAACGGAATTTGAATCTGAACAAAATAACTTCTGCAATTTCATTGATAAAAAACACAATTTCATAAAATGTATCAAATACAAAACGAATTGGTGTTGATTGATTGAACAGACGAGCCATATAACAAATGAGCGATGTTTATATCACGATGTTGGTGGGACAAAAACGTTGAAGATCAGAGCAATAAATGTTACGAGATCATTACCGTAGTACGCGTAGTCATGGGAGTGACAGTCCTGACGCACGCCGTAGCTGTCGGCCAGCGCACGGCCACGGGTGAAAATCATCACACTCGCGGCATGCTCTCGCGGCTCTCTTTTGCTCCATCAGCAGTTTTATTTTCCTCTGTGCAATCAATCAACCATTCGTATAACATCTAACTTTGGCTCTATTGAAATGCATGTCGTGCTTAGGTCCAAAAATCTACTGTAAACTATCCTATTTTTGTCGCTAACGTTAGCCCGAAAACAAAATGGCAGACATGAATTTCGCTTCGGCCAGCTGATGTGTGTGATGTCATGGGATTGGCCTGTACGGCTATTGCATGTTTCTCACGTGTGTGGCAGTGGCAGTGCAGTATACGACTTGACTGTGGCGAAGTTAAATACTACGTCTGTACATTGATCGGCCGTTGATAAAATAGCAATCTTTTTGGGGGCAATTTTCCCGCGCTCCAACCAAACGACTATTTCATTATCGTCTTGGAATTATTTTCTGTGTACATGGTATAGGCCTAATGTATATAAACTGCCAATTTTTGTATTGAATAAATGTGAAACGGAATTTTTCAGCCTGAAACGGAATTTAGGATTTTTGCAAACGGAATTTGCACTTTTCTGAAACGGAAAATCATTGGCCCTACCTTGGCCTCTCCTCAAAATATGTGTAAATTTTTGCAGACGCAATTTCGCCAAGCCCAACACCCAGCTGAAGACCACCGAGCAGATGGAGCTGGACAGGATTGCCCAGTTCCAACACAAGCTGGCCGCCATCCGCAAGAAGTCGGCCCTGTCCTACAAGGCTGTCAAGGAGTCTGTGCCGGTCGCACCGGTCCATGCTGCCGTCCAGCCGACCAGACCCGAGGAGTTCAAATTTGAGACGGACGCTAGGCTCAAGAGCCACACAATGGAGACTAGGAAAGACACCAAGAACAAGGACTTTGTGGGCAATCTGCGGAAATATGTGCCATCTCCAGTAAGTAATGGAAATTACAAGATACATGTAGATTGTTCATTCAATTCATTATAAGCAGGTGTCAATAGTATTTCACTGCTAAAAGTGGTTTTCCCAAAATTAGGGGGGAAGCCGTATTTCAAGAAAATAAAATTCTAGGGACTAAGACAAGAAAGCATTTCTTGAAACAAGAATTGTTTCCTTGAATATACCTGAAAATCAGTGGGGTAAAATATGTTGCGTTGTTTTCTAATGGGTGCTTTCTATTTGTGTGGATGATATCCCAGCCTGTCCCCACCTTTGTCCCATAAAATGCACTATGGTAAACTAAGCATGGCACTGTTATGGCTTGGGAATACGGGATATTGTATAAATTTAGGGTCCAAAGTGTGACATTTTTCCTGTCCCTGTTACCTTGGTACTTTGTAATTTGCCATTCAAGTACCGGTATCATTAAGAGTGACTTCAAACCATAATTATTTGTTGGTTAATTTGCTATTCATAATCACTCTTGGAGGATGACTGCATAAAGGAGTGCATCAGAATGATAAAATCACAGATGTCAGATGTGACAGGGACAGGAAAAAAGTGGACCGCAAATTTAAGGAATGACCCATATTTTATTACCCGGGTGACAAGGAAATATTGAAGAGACTTGGGCTGATAAGAATGACTTCATTTCAATACACTAACTATTTCCCTCCTCAGTCCAAACCACATGGCATCACCAAGCCCAGGCCGTTCAACTTTTCAGACAACCGGAAGCGAACCCATGAGGAATCCTTCTCTGGAGAGAAGAAGGGCTACGAGTTCAAACCGACTGCACTAGCTGTCAGCCAGTTCCATACCAAGACCCCAGACCGATTCCGATCCAAGCCCCTCTCTGAGCAAAACAAAGGTAACAAGAAGGTTTTCGAAATGTTGACTTTGTTTCCAGGTTCAGCTGCATCTCTTGCTATTGACAAGCCTTCAATTGCAAAAGCAAACGGAAATACTCTAATGAGGACTCTGTGCACAAGTACCCCCTCAACGGTTACAAAGGGAGAGTTGGGGGAGACCACTGGGAGGGACAGTCGAACGCATTGCTGCTGACTGACGCTCACGCAAAGACGCTGTGGTTTACCGACAATCAAAATATGAATTAGGTGGGTGTACTTAGCGCCATATGCCCACAAACCAGAATGCTGTTACAAATTGGACTTATCGGGTACCGGGAACAAAGGGCAACAGTAGGGACAATGGTACCCCGCAAGTCTGTCTTTAGAAATTGAAGTAATACCTAACGCTATGTGTTTTGAGATTTTTAAGGGGACAGAGGAGAACAAAAGAAGGGGATTAGGGTCGAACAATAGTGGTACCCCATAAACCCCATATGCTAAGTGTGCGTGCGCATGTAGTGTGTCCCTCCCACTGGGGCTGTTGAAAGTGGTCACACAGCGCCCTCTACCGCTCGTGCACGGAGTCCAATAAGAAAAGTTCCGGATATGTGATTGGCATGAATTGATTCTGAATTGTCCCTGTTTTGCAGGACCTGAGCCTGCTCATGATCGGCCCAAGAAGGCCAAACTAACCCAGCCCATGACTCCTGCCTTGGAGTCACGGAATCGACACAGACCAGTCACAGCCATCAGCCAGGCACAGCGGGAAGAACAGGAGCTGGCTGACATGAAAAAGTACGTTGGTAGATACTGAATTGAAATTGAAACCAAAAGTGATTTCAAATTATGTGTTGTACTTGTTAATGTTATACATTTGATTAAAACGTTAAAGGGTTCATGAAATTTACACTGAAGGATATTTGTAGCAAATATCCATTCCTCTGAAATGGATAAAAACTAAAAGACATCCCTTTTTGCTAAAAATGCTTGCAAAGTTCTGGTGACTTTATACTGAAGCAGATGTGAAACTGACTTTTCTGCCTTGAGTGACATCACAGTTTTGCTGTAAATATTCCATGATTTCAAATTTGCTTATTGCGTTTTCACAAAAGCTTTTGATTCTCAATGGCAACTTTGTTCCTCCATAGTTACAAGTTCAAGGCCAGGCCCGTGGATCCCCGCGTTATGAGTAACATCGCCGTCGGTGTGAAGACGGTCCATCACAAGGAGCCTACCAAACCCATCGGCTTTGACTTGGAGATTGAGAAACGACTGCTGGAGAGAGAGGCTAACAAGGTGCAGACTGAGGAGCGTTATGAGTTCAGAGCAAGACCCCTGCCGGCTAAGATCCTAGCTGGCCCTGTGGTGAGTACGATCATAATGTGAAGTCGGCTCATAAACTGTAGCAACAATTAACCCTTACCCTGCCAGACGCAACACAGTGCATCACGTCTGAACGTCTGTGGCACCTTGATGTATTGGGCCATTGACATCAATGCGTTAACAGCCAATTCTGAGACAATGAGAGCTAGTCCCATTAAAAAGTGCCACAGTTGCATTCTGCTACACTCGGTGACCACAGACTCTGAGGCAGTTTGGTCTTGAGATATTTGACAAGTGTTGACAAGATCACTTTGACAAGTGTTGCATGTCGTTTAACAGGTTTCTAGTCAAAACACCCAATTCTTTGATTGACTCAGAACTTTATGGGAAAGCCAAATATATTTGACTTGGGGTTTGATGTCACAATTTTTATGTTGGTGTAAAATTGTGTCTCTGGGGGCTATTTCTCAGAATCAATTTTTGACATTTTGTGAGGTGTAAAAATCCTTTTATATTGACTAGTTGTGACATTCTATTGCAGGGTATTGCCGAGGCTAAAGCTGCAGCCGTCACTATTCCCAAGTCGCCGGCGTTTGCTCTCAAGGAACGAGTCAAGGTCTACAAAGAGAAAGAACGGGAGAAGGAAAAAGACTCGGAGGTAGGTGGATGTCAGACGAGGTATTAGATGACTTGTATAGTAACATTTGATGATAATGCTTTAGTCTGGTTCTTTTAGGTCGGGTAGCCGTCAAATTAAAAAAGAACGTGCCGCAGCAAAGCTCAGCCCTCATAGAGTGCCTACTTTTGGCACAGTGTCCGTGCTAGACATGTAATACAGATACTGAGTAATACGTCTGTTTTGTGTTTTTGTATTATTTGTTATGGACTGATACTCACAAAGGCTATTTTGATGTCCTGAGCGGCCTCCCCCAGTATTCTTGAATGGGTGAAGTAGCACCTTTGGCACTTGCAGTCATGGCTGTGCCCGCTATACTGCTGTGCTTTAAGCCACTTGAGATCATTTACAATAACCTAGTTGAGTACCTACAGATTTAATGACAGAATCCTTACTCAAAGTGAAGATAAGGCCGGTATCAAATACCCTGTGAAATTAGTCTGTCTGAAACGGTATCGTTTGGAAGAAAACTAACACTGAATGCGGTTTCAAAATTGGGTGCCCAGACAATCAGTTTTTTTTACATGCATGAGTAAAGGAATCCAGTTACAAGACCAAAACAATTGGGCATGTGTTATCTCTGATTTCCCAAAATGTATAGTTAGTAGCCACTTAGTTGAAACATCTGCTTAAGATTGTGAGCAATTCTGTTGAAAAAAATTCAAACGGAAAAATGCACAAAAAAATCAAATGATTCTATGTTCCTTTAATTCTTTAATACCCCATGCAGGAGTTTCTTACTTCTCACAACCATTTTCATTTTCAATTTGTTCCCTTCCACTCAGCATGATAGCTCACACATCATCAAGGCCAGGCCCATCCTCCATGCCGGGGTGCCCTTCATGCCCAACATCCAGCACAAGAAGACCGAGCCAGAACCCTTCTCCTTTGATGAGAAGATCCAGGAGTCCAAGGCTCGCAAGGAGGCCAAGATACAGGAGACATTACGAGAGGAAGAAAGAGTAAGCACACAATTAAAAAACCCAAGGTGTAAATGAGAAACTCACTCTGTATTAATTACTAAAGCACAGAGTAGAAATTTTGTATGGCTTTTGTACGGCTATTTGCATATCTGCGTTTGTATTCTATACAGGTGCGTTATCGAAGCTGATACGCCCAAAACCAAAATGCTCAATCAGTTAATGAGCGTTTCATTTTGCTCTGCGCAAACAACACAAACCCCTGTGCGTATCCCCTGCAGATAATTTTTGCCGTGATGTTTTTTAAATGTCATGACTCGCTGAAGTTGTTTGTGTATGTTGTACTTGCGCATTGCATATAGAGCAGGGGTGTGAAATCTCAGCCTTAAAGCTGATTTCAGCTTTTTTTGTTTTGGATGTCGGCTTTTTTCCCTCACTTGGTGTGTACAAAAGTATAGGAGATTTCCAAAGTTCAGGTTTTTTACACCTTTTTCAGCTGTTTTCAGCTATTTTTATCAGTAGTCACTCACACCCCTGATAGAGTACACTTTCAAAATTCACTCCATCTAATTTCATTATCGTTATGTTCTACAAACACGCACATGATTCCCAAATGTCTGCACACAGGACGACTTCAAAGTATCCCCGTGCGTATGAATGAGGAGTTAGCGCTCTAATAATTTAATAAAGCTCTATGCTCTGTACACATCTTTTTATAGAATCTCAAAAGAAACGAAAAATGACTTCTCAAAAGTGCCGAAAATATGTACAAACTACTGAGCCATTTAAGTAATTGAAAAACTGCACATGCGCATTGAGATGTGACTTTTTCAGTTTGTGATAAATATAAATGTTCACAAGTCTGTTGGTCAATTTCAACTGAATCTGCAATGTGCAGTTGTTCATGTAATCCAAAACAAGATGGATTTGTGAAATCATGTCATTCGATTGTAACAGGTTTTGAACTTGCTTGCCATTTCAGAAACTGAAGTCAGTGTTTTGTTTTGCTTTTGTAAAAACAGTTCTATGTATTTTGAAAAGTGATCTCAACTTATACATCAATCTGATTTTGAAAGTATAGTTGTGGTTTTGTTTGCTATTACTGGGACGCTCCCAGTCTGTGTTATCTGTAAATCTCTAAACACATCACTTAAGGTGAGTGAATTGTGAGAAATACCAAAGCAAGCTTCAGAGTGTCCCAGTAATGTGTGGAAGCTGCCACAGTAATCACAGATCACAATAAGTGGGCAACTTGGAACAATCTATACTATTCTTAATTGTTCTTGTATTATGCAGGCTCGTCAGTTCCGTGCCCAGCCGTTACCAGATCTGACCTGGTGCAGTGGTGTCCCTGATAAGAAGGTGAAACCTCCCACCCAGATGGCCCCCTTTAGCGTGGCCGAGAAGGGTGCCAAGCAGGCTGAAGAGTGGAGCAAGAAGGTACAGTAGCTCTCCATATTAAAGGTGTATGACCCAAAACCCAGGACTCAGACTCAAGTCCATTTTTTGGTCTCAAATTCTGTCGCTCGTACTCGACTTGAGTCATGTCCCCAAAAGAGTTGGACTTGGACCCAACAATTATATCTTGGACTTGAAACACTGGAGTCACGTTCTCCTTACCAACAAACCTTTTCCTTGAAAATAGTGAAATGAAAATTCAACGTGTAAAAATATGAAGTACACATATTCCTTTACTGTGTCTTTGCTGGAAAAAACAACAATTTGAAGCACAATGTTCAGTTGTATATTGGCTTCAAAATGGATGTATGCTTGTATAAAAAAATAATAAAGAGAGACCAGGTTAAATCTTTTCTTCACATAGAGAGTTTATTATTTAGTTTGCTTGCTGGCCTTTGAGCAAAATCTATTGGCTTCAAAGTCAGGCCCTCACAATTAATTTTTTTCTTGATCTTAGCAATTATTTAACTGTATTTTTAATTCCTTTTTCAACTCAGATGGAGGAAGAAATCCGAGATTGCAAGCGTATGGCCAATGCCTTCAAAGCTAAGCCAGCCAACATCCTGTATGAGGAACCGTTTGTGCCGGAGAAGTCTACCAAGCCAATGACAGGTAGGTGGATGGAGAGTTTCATGTCACCAAGTCACAATATTGTTTGATATTTAAATTGTCTTCAACATGCAGCAGTCGTCAAAGTGAGAAGCCTGCTCAGTGTAAATAGATGCAGCGGGTCAAAAATCTCAAAGTCACACTACCTTGGAATGCCAGGGGACATGCCTGCTACAGGGGACAACTTTGGCATATTTCAAGGGGACTTGCCCCCATTGTCTAAGAACTGACAGTTTATGGCCCAAGATCCTACAGACTATATACACCTGTTGCATCTGGCAGGTTAAGGGTTAATGTGTGTATAATAATGTTTAGCTTTGTGTTCTATCCACTTCACCAGACATTTCCAACTTCTCCCTGAACACGGAGCGGCGGGCCGACGACCGCAAGGGTTACGAGCAGGCCAAGTATGAGCGTCAGCTGGCCCAAGACACGGCCCAGGCCCAGAGGGAGGCGGAGAAGGAGGAGGAGTTGCGACAGCAGATCAGCAAGCAGCGGGCCGACTCCATCCACAAGGCCAAGCCGGTCAGGCACTACAAGGCCGTGGAGGTGCTTCCCAGCACCAAGCCCCTGACCCAGCCCAAGACCCCCAAATTCTCAGACAGGACACGGAGAAGCTCCCATACGTCGTAAAAGTGGCCTTAGGACAGACTAGACCGATTTATTCTACCCCGCCTACTGCACATGGGCAACATCACATGTCTGCCATCAATGCCAAACTGCATGTTCAAGCTGCGCGCATCATATGCACAGGTACGTGTACACCTGTCATACATGTACATGTACACCTGTCATGTACATGTACACCTGCCATGTACATGTACACCTGTCATGTGCATGTACACCCGTCATGTACATGTACACCCGTCATGTACATGTACACCTGTCATGTGCATGTACACCTGTCATGTGCATGTACACCTGTCATGTACATGTACACCCGTCATGTACATGTACACCTATCAAGTACTTGTACACCTGTCATATTTTTGTCTACTCATTAGACGCTTAACCACAACTGTGAATGGTTCAAACATCGTGGGGCGGGGTTCAATGGATCAATCTATTGTTAGTCAAGTCCATCACTTGTCATTCATAGGACTTCCAATCTCAAGTCAATTGACTAGCTATTCAAGTGAATTGTTACAAAGGCATTTCTTTGTCGCCATTTTCCATCTGTCAATGTTATAGGTGACCCTTATTGTGATTTGACTTGTGATTGTCTTGTGGATGACTTGTCTGCAACCCTGTCGTTGGAGTTGCTTTAATCACAAGTCGGTGTGGTTTTTATATATGGCATCTGTTTTAAATAATTTTAGTTTTTAAATGAAGTAGTTTTCCTGTGAATAATTTGGATAATACTAGTTGCTGGAAATTTGGATGCACCATTATAAGCTGGGTGACCATAACTTCATAAGGTTACGTCGGTAATGGCTGGCGCATTGTGCCTGCCTATTTTTTTTCTCGAAATAACAATTATCATTCAGTTCTTTGTTGTAGTTGGCATAATACAGCCTCCATTTTGAGGGATACCCTAGGAGCTTACGCTGATTGGTTTATGTGTTCTTGGCCCTTAGAGGGCGCCCTTTCTCTTCCCATCAGCAGAATCAGCATCGCAGAAACAAGGTTTCTGCATGCTCGTATTATGCCAACTGTGAAAGGGGGGATGAGTATGTCATATGCCAACAAGTTTCTTGGCATCTTATATTCTCCCAATCCAGGATGTGCGTTTGATACCCACTTATGACTTTGTTGTAATGAGATGGATTGCGAGATCTTAGTGTCTTGATTGTTTGTTTTGTTAATGTGGAAATGGCAACTGTTATGTCTTAATATTCTTTTGCAGAATTGGCTGATGTGTTACTGTCCATATCTTAAAAACTAACGCCCTGAAAACTTTTGTGAAATATTTGTAACTTTTGGCTCTAAATTTTAGCTGTGGTGGCCTCCTGACCTAAGATTTGTCTAAATCTTTTGTTCTACACCAAAAAATCCACGTACAAATATCAATTTTGATATATTTTTAATCCCTAGTAATTGACATGTTTGGTTGAAACATACTTTGTTAACATTCAAGCATTTTTGTTTTTGTTACTTAACACATGTACCATATAGCACTAATTATTTTCTCTAATCTTGTAAATATACAAAAGGTCTTTTTCCTTTTTGTAAATCAGCTTTTTGAATACATGTAACATAATAAGCTGCTTTTTGTCTGTAACGCGTACAGCGAATTGCAGTATTGCACAGTTATTGAGAGTAAGGATTTCAGCTTAAACATTTTCAAAACAGGAAGATTTAACAAAAAAAAATGCAATGCATTAACAAATAGTTTATCACAAGCAAAAAAATGGAATTGAGATCTGTTATGATTTGCTGGCTTGTAGAAGAACAGATACTTCCAAAAGCATACATTGGAGCTTAGTATAGCCAAATGCACCCAGGTTTTATGAACTGAGAAATGATACTGTAAAGTTAATTTTTTACGGAGTCCAAATTTTGTACAGGCACAGATCTGATTATTGCAAAGTGGTATTCCTTTAAGCATTCTCTAACATTCTTACAGCATTTAGCCATTGTCGTGTTGAAATTTATCACAATTTGGGTTCCTTGTATGCCAGGCCCCATGCAGCTTGATGGCACCAGCGAAGTTTGTTTTGTGATGCGTGATTGGATTTTTTCGGGGGGGGGGGATTCAAAGTCTCTTCCCACAGTTTAACAAAATACAATTATTTAACTTGGCTGTAGGGTCATACAATTAACAGTTTGGTGATGGGAGAATCTAGTGAAATTGAAAACAATTTTTAAAACAACCAAAGACAAAAAAATGCAGAACCAGCTAGAATTATACTAATTTTGAAGGTTCAAGTTGTCTTGACGTTTGAAGCTCCGTCGAATATTCTTATTTTTCCCCCCTCCATTGTAATTGTGGTCGTGGTATTTCGTAGTAAGTAGATATTTGTACAGTATGTTTGTATTATACTGGTAGTGTTTCTATTGATGTTTTTGCCATTGTTTTAGTGTACACAGACATGATTTTAAACTTTGATGATTTTTGATAATGTTGTGGCGGAATGGTTTGTAAGACAGAATATTTGTCCCGGAAAAAGTGTTAATAATAAACACAATGTACCTAACACAATATTCAAAACTGTATTTTGAGCTATCCCAGTTTATTGTGTTGTTACTTTCTTTGAACAGAGCGTACATGCACATACATGTACATGTCATTCTCTTTGCGAAAAATGTGTCATTCCTAAAAAAAATCTCCGTGCTATACAATTGTTGTTTTTTTCTCCAATTATTATTTTCGTAGCAATATAAAGTTATTCGCTTTTGAAGGAGACATAGAACGAAAAAGATCCACATATGTTTAGTTATTGAACTATTTCTTCACAAAATTCGAATAATTGGCTGCCAGACAATAATTCGATTCGGCTCTCGCAGGGTGGGTTCATCTGTGCGCAAAATGAGAGTCCTAGAGGGCCGGATGATGCAGATGCCAAAATCGGAATATAGTAGTTGTTTAGTTAAAACAAAACTTACAACTTGAACATTCGTTAAGAAACATACAAATCCATATTGTGAAGAGCATGGGGTATGAACTTGAACCAAATCTCAACAGTTATGTACAGTTCATAATAGCTGATGTCAGTGTCAGTAGATATGGAATTGTACAAACTAAAAAAGTCGAAATCAAAAATGACACTCAGAGGGCATACTTTTATCATCACAGAGCAAGACAGAAATTAACGTTGGCATTGTGACGTAAACAGAACAAAAGATCTGCTGGGATATGCAAATGCATTATAAATAGAACGCAATGAGTTCTGTGTCCATCATAGCTCTATGGTGTCCATGCACCGACAACAATCACGTCAACAATCGCAGACGCGCTACTTCAACGCGTACGTGGGAACAAACGTTCCCACGATGCCCTTGTCAAACTTAAACTAACAATAGAAACACCGCTCATTGGACACAAGTTTTTACTCGTATACTACGCAAAGCGGTTTGGATGCTTTTAGGTCTAATACACAAACTCAAATTGGAAGACGTAGATACGTAGACGTAGATACGTAGACGTAGATACCGTAGATACCGTAGATACCGAGAAAAAATGACTACCTTAGCTTAACGTCAAGGAGCATGGAAAACGAGTTTAACACGCTCGCGTCCACGACTTACCGGATCAGCTACCCGCTTCGTGCCTCGATCCTACCACCCATCAAGTACCACCAGGTACCAGCCATCCAGCTACGGGACGAACCCAAGCTATTACCCCGGGAGTTCCCCATCTCACCGGCCGGTCCCAGCCGTGGGTGGGAGAAAGGCACGGGGCAGGTGCTGCTACCCGATATCAAGTAAGCCGCAAACAATATCATTACTGACCGCTGATAGATATGACACGGCCAATGACCGTGTTTTCTCTGCAGTGTGGAACAAGACAGTGTGGACCAAAAATACCAATCTCTCTGACGGATTCACTATCCTGACACTGACTGAAAGTGACTTGTCGGTTAGTCGGAGCCAACCTATTAGGTTCGTTGTCCACGGTTTTCGGGGCCTGGGTTCGAATCCCCGCGGTGTCTTTTTTGTTCCAACGCACACATTCAGTTATTTACATTAAGACATTTAATTTTCCGTCGTAAAGTACCTAAAGTAACTCAGCGCAATCGGTAAGCTCTACAGTTGGGACTGTTCGCGAAGTCCAGATTAGCATCTTCGTTTCCTCCGTTTTATTGTGCCGGACCCAGGGAAGAAGATTTGGTGGGCTGGGGAAAACCCGAGGTCCCAAAAAGTCATACTGGAAGTCGGTAATGGGTTCACTGAGTTGAATTCACACGTCTGCTTGATCAACACCCATAATGTTTTGTTTTAGCTTTAGCCCCCATGTGTTTTTTTTTATTGACGAGGTTTGAAATTAATGTCCGCTCGGCAAGACTACTGCCAATAATTCCCGATTGTAGATGTGGTAAACATTTTGTGAGAGGTTGGAGGCCCCGGACCCGGTGGGCCCTGCATTAATCTGCTATACTAGCTTGGTAGGGCCAGCTTTTTGAGTCGTTGGATTATTAGGTTTCTTAATTTGAACATCACGTCTTGTGCACTGAAACTTGTTCTTTCTTTATTAAGGATATTTATGCCAACAAGGAAAGGTGACATAAATATTACTGACATTAATTACAAGTCTTGGGTAAACGAAAATCACGTGATTGAATTGATGGGAACAAATATTTTTTGTAAATTTCTTTCCAGGTAAAGATGGTATAATTTCCTTTAAATTTTTTTTTAATATGATGTTTTTAATTATTATATATTAACTATTGAATTGTTGTACTTAATAGATCATTCACAGATAAGCCAATCGTCCGAGACCCACCGCCTCACAAAATAACCAGCAACCTGCCAGCTAAGCTCCAGCAACCACCGCTCCAGCAGTCCACGGCAGACCAGCAGCGGCAACTCGCCGACCCTCTCCAGGGGCTCAGCGAGCCGCTGGCCCCGGTGGTGCCTCGGTGTGCGGACGGTTACCCGGAGGAGGTCACAGAAGGCTGGGTGGAGGAACTGTGCCGGTCCTACCACTGGAAGACCTCGAGCAAAGAAGCGGCGAAAGAAGGGTGCTTACGGGTCCCCGAAGTAAGACTTTAAGTCATGTTGCATCTTATTAGTCTTGCACAAAAGTAATTTTCTATCGTGAGACCTCCGGTTCAGAGCAGAGCCCCGCCCCTCCCTCGTCATCTTTTGACAAGGCAACTTCCTTTTAAGTTAGCTGTTGTGAAAACGACTTTTTTTTACCCCTTTGTCTCTTTTTTTTTTGGAAGCTCAAACCACCGAGTACCACCATGGAGCCTCCCTCTGATTTCTTTGTGTACCGGCCTATGAGGTACGACTCCCACCAGTTGCCCTGGCAACGGGTGGCGCCCGTGTGGGACCGTCTTCAAGAGCGCCCTCACGTGGGAGACAATGTCAGCAGTCGGCAAATCGGCACGCAAACATCTCCCAACCAGATGGCGATACCAACTGCCAAGTGAGTTGGGAAAATCATCGTCCCTTACTTCATGCTAATAGTACCCAAATGCACTGTCAAGCATCTATATTCGATTCTGAGTACTTGTACCGTTCGAGAACACGTTTTGTTGTGCCATATCGATTACTTGCACTTCTGATTACTGGAACGTTTTTTATGCATCATTTTAAAACATCATTGTCATTTACAGCGCTTTTGATGTGCATGTGTTTGTGGGCAGGAGTAAGTAATTCGGATCCCGTGTTTTTTATAAGAAAGTAATGTGCAACGACATATTTTAATTATCTCTTTGCAAGCGATGTTCAACTGCATTTTCTGCCCATGTTACTTTACAGGAAAGCGCTTCCGAAGAAGAAAGAGAACATTTCACTAGACGAGAGGATCAAGCAGTTGGTCAGAGAAAACAAACTGTCCAGCATGTTGTAAGTCATTCATTAAATATTCCGAAATTCGTTAGAAATGTTTCCTGAAAGGTTGCAGATAATGGCCAACTTTCGGCCTCTGTCGTATTCAAGATAAACGTCTTGTTCATTATTTTGAACAGTGAATAAGATTTGAAGGTTTGCATTGTAAAATAAATCGGAAATTTGCGATGACACCACGTGACCGAATTATATTTTGTGAGTTTTGTGTGGTTCTAAAATGAACCTGTGTGCAGTCTGCGTCTAGAAATAGTATGCTCTGTCACCAGCAATGACAACTGTCTCTTCAATTACGCTAGAAAACAACTTTTGAAGGAGCCTTTTCGAAACCTTTTCTCCATTGTTAGCGTGCGGACCTGCCCTGGTTACGTTGGTTACGTTCCCAGGTCACCCCTCAACGTTTCCATGGAAGCGAGCCTCGTTCCTGATCTGCGCACCATGACAACCATGAAGTCGAGTTACAGGTTGGATGAAAATTGAGAAAAAAACTTAAAATCCCATTTGATTATTATTATTTTTTTGCCACAAAGTATCTAGTGTAGGCCATCTCTATCTTTATTTTTTTGCTGGTCCAGGAGGGGCCACCCTATATAGTCCTCTTTGTAACTGACTGACCGACTTCCCGACTGACTCCCCGAATAACTTACTCCCCAAATGACTGGCTGACTCCCTGACTATCACTTGTTGTGACTCTAATTTTTGGCTGTTGAAGAGATCCGGGCAGTGCTGTTGTATAGGATTACCCAATAATGTACCAAATCGGCCTATTGTGCACCATTCTGCACTATATCAAATGAATTGAATTCTTGAGAACTCTGGGACCAGCTTTACTATGCGTAAGCCTCCCTTGTCTTCAGTTTTTGTTTCTACTTTTTGGAGTAATGCAATTATTTTATGGGTTTTTTTTATTCACAGGCCGTTTGCCACCAAGGAATACAGCATGAAGGAGTTTGCGCACAAGGGCCCTCTGTCGCGCACCGTCACGCTAACCTATCCATACAACCCGTATAACAAAGTGGAGAATCGCGCTGAAGAAATCGAACATAAATGGTAGACGTAGAATGGCAAAAATGGATGGGTGGTCCTACATTGAAACACAATGAAAAGAAGACAACTCTTTGCAAAATCAATAGAGATTCATACACTTCACGCTAAATCATTTCAATAGTATAGGCCTATACAGACTTTAAACACGAAAGATTTAAACCTACAACTGAGTTATGAAAACTGTTGTCCAAGCATAATGCAAAATTTTCCTTCGTTATAGTTTCAAGCAAGGGCGGATCAAGAACCATTTTTTTCGGGGGGGGGGAAAGAGGGCTCGAGTACCTTTTATCAAAATGGTGAAGGCGATCATATGGTATCTGAAAGATGGTTTGCGAGGTTTTAATTTATTTTTTGAATATTCAAGACAAACAAGGGTGTCTTCACTCCGATTAAAACAGAAAATAAATCGTGGTCGCCGCACCCCTCCCCCCGCCTCGGATCCGCCAATTGTTCAAGGCTGGTCAATACTTATGCAAATCGAATTTGTGTTCTCGAGTGTTTAGGCCTACTTCGCTGCGACACGTGGCGGCGAATTTCGCTGCGAAAAAAAGCAAACTTTTTAACGGCGTAGCTTAATCCTTTGGGAGTAAAATCGATTGCTATAATTAAACAAACTGAATGAACTTTGACAATAACTGACAATATGTGTTTTTTCTTTGCATCAAATCTTATTGATATACCGTGAATTCAGCCACTGCATGACCTTTTGCAATTAAAGAAATGTCAATGAAAGTTGCTTACAGAAAATGAAGGAAACATGTCTAAGAAATCCAATGTGTTGCTTAGGCCAAACAAAATAAGTCTCCGGTTTCTGGTATGCGCGCGCGTCGCCGTAGCCATGCGCGTCGGCAAAATGAAAAAGTTTTTTTTTTTCAATAAAAGATGATGTCTCAAAACCGCCAAACTCACTGGTTTGACTGGAATCCTGCTACTGCACAATTTTAACGTGTTTTTAGATGGGGTTATGATCGAGAATAAGGTTTATGTGGCCTCTCTGGACTCCCATATATTTGCACTAAGTTTAGTTGGGCACCATTTGCAGTCATCAGCCGACATTTTAAAAAAGTCAGGTAAAAAAAAAAAAAGCCGCGTCGCCGCACCACTTTTTGGACAAGCTCCATACCAGAAACCGGAGACTTATTTTTTTGGGCCTTATTGGCATCTCATAGTTCTAGCACAATTTCTGAATTGGTCAGACTTAACTTTTACACGAATTGTATAACCATTAGTCTTTAACATGCATTAAGAAAACTACAACTCACTAAATAAATCATGAAAAATTAGTAAACAAATTTGGGGGAAAAAACAAGAAAATCATATTTTATCTAATTTAACAAACAGCTCACTGGCTGCAACTAAATGGCATTTTTTCCTTGCATGCAATGGAAAACTTTAAGTTAGTACTTTCCCGGCACCTGTTTCTTGAGTTCTTTAACTACGGGAACGCGCAGTGGGTGTGACCGCTGTGGCCAGGGTCCGGCGGCCCAAAGTTCTCCACTGCCCCGGCGGCCGAGCATATGCTCCTCCAGGCGGCGTGGTTGGAATCACTGTAGACCTGCAGGTCCACCGCCGTGCCTCGGTAGTGGCGAGATGTTCTGGAGTGGCAGGCCCCGGTGATGGCATTGACCTGCGTGTAAAAGAAGAAACGGGGAAATTGGACTCCAAAAACAAACAAAATTGAGTGGTAAGCAAACAACCAACCAACTAAAAAAGACGCGTCCATTTCAGCAGTGAAAAATAACTGAAACCAGGTAATGATACATCTGCATGCATGTACTAGTGAATAACTTAACAGCAGTAAATGTGAATGTTTTCAAATTGGCATTTTCCATATAACAGTAGTTCTCATGACAATCTGCACGTTTGCTTTCTTTGTCCATTTCGGGCAGTTTATGTCAGCAAGATGTTTGTTTTTGGTTTAAATGTACATCTGCAATTTATCACAAGCAACATAATATCAGGGTGGGTTTCAAAATCTGCCCTAATTACTCGCTCTGATGACTTTCAAATTCCTCTCATCAACTTAATTAACAACGAACCCTTCCAAAGTGTTAAGCCGTCTCACCCCTCCCCATCAAATGACATCCTTAAATCCAAGGCTATGAGGTCTGACCTTAATGTTATGCCCGGCGTTTGCTACATCCAGTAGATACTGCAACACCTTGGCGCTCAGACACACCGATCCCCCGGGCGCAGAACCCTCCGAACAGGAGTAGCTATCAGAAACAAAGAAGAGATCCATCACTTCCAAATCAATTCCCGTGCTATTCCAGCTTGACCCCAAAAATAGATTTATTTTATCAATTGCTTATTTCCTAGCAATATAATTCACTTTTGAATGTGACATCGAACGAAAAAGAGCCACCAACGTTAGTTATTCAATTAGTTCTTAGGCCCAAAAAAAAAGTCTCCGGTTTCTGGTATGCGCGCGCGTCGCCGTAGCCATGCGCGTCGGCAAAATGAAAAAGTTTTTTTTTTCAATACAAGATGATGTCTCAAAACCGCCAAACTCACTGGTTCGACTGGAATTCTGCTGCTGCACAATTTTAACTTTTTTTTTAGATTAGATGGGGTTATGATCGAGAATAAGCTTTATGTGGCCTCTTTGGACTCCCATATATTTGCACTAAGTTTAGTCGGGCACCATTTGCAGTCATCAGCCGACATTTGAAGCCAAAAAAAAAAAAAAAAAAAGGTAAAAAAAAAAAAGCCGCGTCGCCGCACCACTTTTGGGGCAAGCTCCATACCAGACTAACCGGAGACTTTTTTTTTTTGGCCTTAGCAAAATGTAAATTGTTAGCTGCCAGACAATATTATGTGACTCTTCCATTGCGGGTTCGTGAAAGCCTTTTTTTCAGAGGGTTGCAGATGTCCAAAATCGGACAAAAATAGGGTTTTGTTGCAAAAATAAAACAAAAAAATTGAAAATTCGTCAGGGAAAAAATATATTTTTTTTTTAAGAGCACAGGCTAAGAAGTTGGAAGTTTTGAGGAATATTGACAAAACGATTTTGTCTGAAGTCTGAAGTTCATATAAAAAATGAATATGATCAACTTTCAAAGCATGCGTCACTCCACTCTCTCAGTTAGAGGGGCACTAGGTCCTGAAATCCCCGAACATTTCATATGTTTTGGATTGTTTACTTAGCCTATTTCAAACATCTGGTTGAAAGGAAACCAACCTAATGTCTTACCGTTCCTGAGAAAAGACGAAAAAAACCGCTTGTTTACATCGGACATGAAGGAGCACGAATACGTTTTTCGTGTCGTTCTCAGTGTACGCTATACACGTTATACACGTTGTGTGTCTTGGGAACAGCGATGACCAATCATCAATGCAAAAAATATGGCTTCTTCAACGTCCGCAAAAGGCGAACACTTTACGAATGAAATCACAACTAGCATCCAAACAGCTCGAATTTATGGGTCGCAAAAGTGGACCCTGAAATTCGTTTTCGCTCGCATAATACAGGAATACAAAAACGCCCAGTATTTAAAGGATAGGTGTGCGGATGTTTATATTCTACTTTTAAATCTTCTTTCCGATTAACATCGATCTCGTTCAAAGCGCGTTTTGTAGCCCAATTGGGCTGTTCCAGGACCTAGTGTCCCTTATTAGTAAGAAAAGCCTTGTCCCTCATCACAGAGATCAACAAAACTGTCGAGCATGCTACGGTATTTCCACTGGTAGGTACTTTACCTTGATATCTTAGATTCTTGGCCGTTGCAGGTGTCCCGTATGTTAGATGCTGCATCCGCTCCGTCATTTGCCCCTTGGGTGTTCAGGTACTTGTTGTTGGCAAGCAGCGTGATTCTGCTGTGGCTCTGCACCTGACAGGCCAGCGACTTCACAGTCTGACTGCAACTGCCTGAAGCTAAAAATATGCCAATTTGATGACGATTGCAAACACTTTAGTTTGAGACGAATTAAATAGATAAGAAGTGGGAAGTATGGTACGCTTTTGGAAATTTCTTGCTCAGGGCTGGCTGCACCTAACTTCGCAGGTGAACAAAACGTGCGATTAATAAAACGGCAAACATTCATTTTGCCGTTACTCAAAAAAATAACACAGTTGCGCTTTAAAGTAAGAACTAAGATGTGAGCCAGGATTTTTTCTAGAGGGGGGGGGGGGGCAAAACATTTTTTTCCCAAAACAATTCTTGTATTTCTCAACATATTCTCGATTTATCAGTTTTAGAGGGTGGCAGGGACATTTTGCCGGAAACAGAATTATAAGTTGCTCTACTTTACCTGAGCAGGTATCGGTGGGTTTCTTGAAGCAGCATTTGATGCCGGCGCTTTTGGTGGGACAGAGGTTGGAGATGTATGTGTTGCCCGGGCACTGGGATGTGGAGATACAGTGTCCAACTTGCCCGTATAGCCAGTGGTTATAGTCGACGCATTCGATATCGCTGTCCGCTATAGTATGGATATTAAAAAAAAAAAAAAAAAAAGACCAATCAAATGGAATTGAGGGTTGCGAAAAAATTCACGTACATTACATTTGCTTAATTTAACCGTAATCGACCAGCCACAATTTCTTTTCTGTCTGAAATGGGGTGAGTTGAAAGACTCGGTTTGTTTCGCTTTATCTTTGCATATCACAATATGAAACAGATAACTTACAGAAGCACATCAACAAAGTAAAGTAAAAAAATATATATAGTCAAGAGCAAATGGAAACAAAAGACAAAACAAAAGCTAAAATAATTAACAATATACCAATATAATCACAACATAAAAACTGGAAACATATAAACAGAAAATGATCATAGCAAAACATAAATATAAACAGAATTCAAAAACAAATAAACAATGTCTTTTCCCGCAGATGGCAAAAGAATCACCATATACATGCATAGACATGCTCAAATTACATCAGAGGAAAAACGAAACTGAAATACCAAAGGAAAGGATCCGAAGAAGTGTGGGAAAAACCAGTTGCACGTACTTGAGGACGTTAAAATGAAAGGTTACAAAGAAAATCAAATCAAAAACCAAATCACAAAGATTAGAGGCAAAAAAAATTACACAAAATAGATTAACATAAAAACAAGCAAAAACAACACTACAAAGGAAACAAGACATGAAAGTTAAAGAAAACATAACACGACATAATCAATCCAGAACCAATTTATAAAGATTGAAACCAAACAAATTGAACAACCTTATTATGAACATAAGACAAGCAAAACAACACTACAAAGGAGTTAAGGCAAGAAAGTCACAGAAAACATAACACCACATAATAACAACTTGAAGCAAAGTTGAACAAACATACACACTCCAATTAAACAACTCACACAGAAATGGAAAAAAAAATTCTACAAAAAAGGAAGTTTGTACAGGAAGTTTGATCAATAATCAAAAACTAAATGATCGTTGTCAATGTGACAGAGAGCCTGGCTTTATCTCTGCTTCTTCTAGGGTCAGAAAACTCTTCAGACTTTTCGTGAATTGGTAAACAATGTCGACTTCCTGGGGTTGCTATATTTTTGCTTTACTCCGTTTCTTGGTCTACATCAGAAATATAGACAAAATCGAACAATTTTTTTTTGGGGGGGGCCGCAATTGATTTTTTTTCACCACATGCACTACTGGAAATATAGTGGAATAAGCACATTTTTAGTGAAATAGATTCAAAGATTCTAAGCCTTCAAATTAGGCTATATTATACGCTTTTCTATTTAACAAAAAATGTAAACCTGGCTTAATTTAAAAAAAAAAAAAAAAACACTGCTGAAAATCGTTGTTTTTTTTACAGCATCCCATATTAATGATCATTTATAAAGATAGAAAGGAGTCGTTTTTCTGATTATTTCGCTTTCCTTAAATTCTTGAAGAAAAAATTCAGAAAAAAATGCAAGTCGGGAAAAAAACTGATCAAACGCTGTGAGCAAACAATTGTGTGTAAAGCTTATTGAGATCGTTATACCTGTGAAGCAGCACTTAACTCCAGCAGGCTGGGTTGGGCACAAGTTGGAGATGTATTTGCCCCCCGGGCACGAGGTTGTTGAGATACACTCGCCCACACAGCCGTAGTCTGGATGGACGTGGTGAGAGCACAGAGGATCCGTGTAGGCTAGGGATTAAACAAAATCGACGGTTATAATTACTTTGATAATTACTTTGATTTTATAATTACATTCTATTTTTACGGGGTCAAACTCGAAAAGTACGGGGAATTGTCTTTGAATAATTTCATTGTGATTTTTCAATTGCAAAGCAACAAATTGAAACTGAACAAATTGGGATTGTTCGTTAACATTTCAGAAATTAGTTCCACTCAAGTAAAGTTTCCAAATTTCCCACCCAAGCCACTAAAAATAAAAAGACAAGAAATATCGATCAAGAATCACAATCTTACCCATTGAAGAAGTGAAACAATTTAGCAGGGCCACTAACACCAACGCAATGCGAGCCATGTTGATGCTGCATGGATAAAACACAAACACACTCAACATGCGCAACAAGGTTGTCTTTACGAACTAATTCTGAGCTGAATACGATTACAGTTTAATATTGTTTCATCGTTTGTCTCATTTTTATATCTCGAGTCTAATCCCAATAATTAAATAAAATAATTTTAATTGTTTTCGTTTTTAAAACAAAACGAAAAAAAAGGTACAACAGTCATGATCAATTAATGTGATTGACACGATGCTATCATAGTGATAAAATAGGATTAAAGGGAAAATACAACATTTGCAAACATCAAAAAATATAACTACCAAATCATTTTGAAATACCTTGCTGGACTGTTAGTGAATGACAGTGTAAAGCATCCTGCAAAATCATGGCACCTGGTATACTGTCATTTTCAAGAAAAGTGGTATTTTTGTATCAATTTCCAACGCTGGTCGGCCGACCAGCGTTGGAAAAAAACTGGTTTTTTTTCAAATACTGGCCCAAATTGACCATCGCACTTGTTTGCAATCGATTACACACCTATGAACGGGTACAAGCCAGCTAGACTGGTTCCCTGACCTTACAATTCCCCAATGTATGTAAACTGCTCTGTTTCTTCTAATATGGAGTCAGGGAACCAGACTTCAGGAAAATGACTGTTTTTCTTGGTTTTTATAGCATTTTCGAACCCAAAACCTAAAAAAAGTCAGTGTAACTATATTTGCTATATATTTCCAACCCCCCAATTCCATCCATTTCTGAAAATTACAGCAAAAGCAATGATGTATATTCCCTTTAAACGCAGTTTACACAGGTAAATGGACGTGCGGTTATCTCGAACATTTTTTGTAAGATCCCTGATGTGGTTTTTTACGATGACGTCATCGGTGGAAAGTCCAATAATGGCAGTTTTACTGGAGTACAGCAAGTACAATAACTTATATTAGCTTCCTGTCATTCTCGATTCCACCACTGATGGGAGGAAAGGCAGCATTTGGCCCATAAAAATTATTTAACCTAACACACCCCACCTGCCACTTTTTAAATTGTCTATCTCTCTTGTTGTGTTCAGTTCTGCTTTCTGACGTGTTATAGTTCTCCCCACACGAGCATTGTTCTAACTCTATAACAGATTTCTATCTCGTGTTCTGAATTATTAACAAGTATTATTGAACGAAATAATATTTATATATTTTGATTTCCTGGTCCTCCCAAGTTTTAAATTGGTTGTAAACTATAAGGCAATTTTATGAATAAGGAAATAAACATTGTGTTTGGAAGGTATTAAAACACTCCGTTTAAGAAAGGACATTATTTTAGTTCTGAAAATCTGGATGGGTGATTTCGCCTCGGGTAATTATCAGCATCCAGACTCCAACAAGTCTTAAACAGAGTGTTTAATACCGACCAAGCACATATTTATTCCCATTCATAGATACCCTTTTCAGTAAAAAAAACCCAAATCTTTTCGGTCTAAAAATCAAAACAAGTCAAAAACCAGTCGATGCCAACCATTTTGTTCAACAATTTTACTTCATGTTTTATGAAACACCCCTCTGACTAAAAGGGACCATAATATGGATTGTCCCTCTACAACTCCTTACCTTATAAGGAGATTGGCGTGCACGTCGCGCGTACTGCGTGATGATCACGAAATCGCAGCTGGGCTGGACTGTAGTGTGAATTTTGGAGTATGAAATACTGATTTACTTGTATTTTATTGCGCATGCCTACGTGAGGAATGTGAACGTTGAACTACCTCCGCCAAAAATACTAGAACTTTTAACGAATATTTCAACATTATTTTAGTTCTAAAAGTCTGAATTGAAAATAGCCATGTGACTCCTCCCCCCCCCCCCTCCGAACAGCACCTAGCCTTTCGCGAAGTCCATCGTGGCTTAACTTGCCGGCATCAGACGAAGTGGCGAGGCCCAAACTTAAAATTTGAAGCTTTATTGAACGATATAGACGAATATAAAACTGTGGCACTAAGTTGGCGGCACCTCAAAGCCTTTTGTGTCCACACACAGATGCACTGTCCGTGGATTGGATGGCTGGATCCGCCACTCAGATGTTGACGTCACGACGGAGGGCGGAGTTACTTGGAACAGTCCATTTTTTGGCGGGTATAGGCAGCTTGCTGTAGCGCAGTTGGCCACTTTTAGACCGCTGCGACAGAAACGTTCGATCTGCTTTCTTGGAAGCAAAAAAGCAGAAAAGTGGATTTGTCCAAAACGTTCGATTTGCTTTTCTGCTATCAAAAAAGACGATTGGCCACTTTTAGACCACTGTGCCGTAAACGTTCGATCTGCTTTCTTCGATAGAAGAAAAGCAGAAAAGTGGACTTTTTGGACCGCCATGCCATTGTATGGAAAAAAAAAGTAAAATCTGCTTTCCTGGTAGCAGGAAAGCAGAAAAGTAGAAAAATTCTTTTTACAAAAACGATCGATCCGCTTTTCTGCTATTTTGATAGCAGAAAACTGAGCAGATGAGCAAAGTTTCCGACCGTACGTTTACATGTACGAACCGTGCGCCGTCAAAAATGATATCACCGTACACGGACGGCCATGTTGGGCCGTCCACTGGAGTACTGGCCCAGCTTGCGCCATGCGGAAAATCACGCTGAGCTATAATGTGTCAGCGGAAAAACACGTGTAAGCGTCGGCGGATACACTTCTTTCTTGAACTGTCCAATTCGCAATAACTCTGAAATGGCTTCATTATTTTTCATCTATTCTTTATCTACATGGCAATGTCTTTAATTTGTCCTGGAAAACTGGAGAAATATTTTTAAAATTGGATTGATTCACGCAGGGTTTGCAGAATTTTCGGGGAAAATTTTCTCTTTTAATTTTTTTTCAGAATAATTTTTTTAATTTGGACAACCTCAGCTCATAACATGATTGTAAAATTCATATTTATTGTTCTCAGAAATGTTCACGTTTGTAGGTAATCTGTAACATGTGGAAATCACGTGATATTTTTTCGGCTGATCAACGGGTGCGGAACGGCGCACGTAATTTTTATTCCTAGGAGGGTTAGGGGCAATGTCATGAATAATTCATGTTTATCCATGAGAACGGACAATGACATCAACAGCATTGTTGTTAGTTACCCGACTAGTTACAATACATTAAAGCATTTTAAAGAACGGTTGTCGTCGAGCTACCACACAGTAGCCTAGTGGATAGCGAGATGAGCTATGGATACAAAGATCCCTGGTTCGAATCCACGTCGTCGCTGCTCATTTTCATCAGTTATTTTTCTTCTCCAAATTTATCACTGAAATATTTTTAAATTACGGGGAAAATAGAACGAGAACCTAAGTCTTGCTATGATTCAAAGTAAAAACTGAATTATTCATGACATTGCCCCTAACCCTCCTAGGAAAAAAAATTACGCGAACAGCGCTGTGTCGTGTGTACGATTTCAGAATCTTCTGGTACTGATCCTGAACGCATGCGGGAAAAAAACTAAGTGGTGCAGAAGTGCATTGGCATGAACGTACATGCTCTCGAAATAGCACTCAATAACCTCGAATTAGGGGTGAGTGATTTGTTATTTAATCAGCACTCCGAGTACTTGTGTTGCGACAGCACTGGCATTGGAGTTGCGGTAGTGAACCGGTACATAGAAGTCAGACAAGTAAGCCTGCATATAGATGGTTGACTATATGCATGCACAATAATGTTTGGTTATGATAAATTCACTAATTCAGCCAGAAAAAATACACTTTTCAGAGTTTCAAATGCTGAAATCACTTATCCAAAATCACTTGATCTAAGGTATAAGCAACAAACTTACTATCAGTATCCAGACAGAACTCCTGTAATCCTCAAAAAAGCCAAATTCTGGACACAAAGCGACCAAAAAATCAAACTTTCAGTCCCAGCAGCAGTGGAAGTGGAAATAGGGAGTGTTCTGACAACCGAACTACTCGTATATGGAAGGACGTTATCGCTCCGCGATGAAATGACTTAACTTTCAACTAGAATCAACTAATAATACAGTTACTCCTAAAATTACTCAAAATGAGCCAATAATCAATGACATCAAGCCAAACGTCCAATCAAATAGGCATGCAGCATTCCCGGCGGTGGCACATAAGGGAACTATTTGAAGGGCTGCGAATGTAAACTTATGCATTTGTTAATGCATGTAAATATTAAGCATTGTTAAGACCGGTTCATACTATTATTATTATTTCATTCTAGATCACACCACCCAACTGGGCATAGAGGAGTCAAAGGCAACATTAATTCAGAGACATGCACGCGAAAGCGGAAGCGAAGCGAACTCCCCTTTCATTGTGACGTTCGCCATTTCCCAAACAAAATCGCTCGGCGTGACGTATGAACCCGCTTTATACAAGCATGGGTCTAGTCTTGGCTCAAGACGTCTGTGAACCAAGAACAATAGTTGAATTGTTGTTTAGCGAACTTGCATAATTTTTGTTTTACTTTCTCGCAATAAACGTCTTCGTTATTTCGGGGACGGGGCCATTTTATGTAAATAAGACCTTCTGTATAAATTCGAACAAACCTGTTTATAGCTCTTGGATTCTAACGCCGGCTAAATTTATGCCCTCCATTTAAAAATGAAATAGATACATGCCCACTTTTAAATAATCAGAAACAGTTTTGTATAACGAAATTTGGTTTTGATGTCAGCGATCAGCGAAAAGAAGAGAAAAGAAACCAAACCAGACAGCCTATATCATATCGAAGTTTTACTTCCTGTTAACCAGTAGTGAAACAAATGACTTTCTCTCTTGTCTTTATTTGTTATACACTGTTCAAATATTCGTGACTCGAATTGACTCGAGCTAAATATTTGACTTGACTCGACTCAACTCGAGTCACGTCTTTAAATAGACTCGACTCGAGTCACAAAAAACAGTGACTCGTTACAACTCTGATGTATTTTCCGTGGTTGACCTTTTCCATTTTAATGTACTTATTTTGTTTAATCATTTATATCGAGGTGTACTGAGTGTACCGCTCGTACTTGCAGCAGCGTGTTTCCCCGAAACGTCCTGCCGCAGCAATCGGGTCGTTGCCCGCTACACAGTACAGTCACGCGCGCTAACTGCGCGTTAGATGACCATCGTGATTTTTAAGAATCATCGACTTAAAAAAACAGTTTACATTAATTGAGACAAGGTTGTTCGTCATGGAGGGTCACTTTCAATAGCTTTCGTTGCGCAAATTAAAATGATTCAGGCCCAAAATACACAACACTGCATGTTTCTATAGAGCGAGCGCAGTGCGGTATCCCGCAATACACATAGGATTATGTGATAGGAGTATTTAAAACATAGGCGTGTCCTAGTGTAGGTAATTTGAATATTTGTTTCATTATTTATTTCAGAAAACCATCATATATACATCTGTGTGGTTGCGAAGGCCTAAGCGTAGTCTGAGTATCACCTGTTAGCCACGGAGCCAAGTCTCTTGTATAACGTCTGTATGTCAAAGCATGCAGATTTATGCGATTCGCGCCTCAGCCAATCGGAGCCGACTTTACTAAATCGCGACGTCCTTTCATTCCAAAATCAGGACTAAAGGTGTGATTGGTCAATTCGAATACAACAACAGCCGGGCGTGTATCGCGTAATATAATACAGAGCGCGTGACCACAGCCTTTGTTGCTAGGGTATTTTTTATCCTATGACCCGCCTATTGATGAAAATCAGGTCAAGATGCGGTTGTCTTCAGTGGCGGCGGAACCGGGGGCCAGGGGTCCATTGCCCCTCCCCCTCACTTTTTCCCCTGGGAGGGGGGGGGGGGCATGGCCCACCGCTTTATGTTGACCCCACAATAGTGTACTCTTGGAAAAGGGCATCCCTGTTGATAAATGATTATGGAAGGGAAAAAATAGAACCAGAACCTAAGTGTTTTTCCAAGGAAAAACTGAATTATGCATGACTTGGCCCCATCCCTCCTAGGAAAAAAAATATACGCGTACGGTGACGGTGACTCAGCATCATATCGATTTCCTAGGGAATCAATCAGCGATCGAGAAATGGTTCGATGGCTCGCCCGCCGGTTGTAAACATTTGCGACGCCCTGATTCGGGGCGAAAAGGTGCGACTACTGCGGCAAATGGGAACTGCCGTTTTGTTCAAATTTATACAGACGGTCCTATTTACATAAAATGTCCACGCCCCCATTGCTACGAAATGACCAAGACGTTAGTGAGAGAACGTAAAAAATCAATTATGCGAGGGCGCTACAGAACATTGCAACTATCGCTCTTGATCACTGACGTCTTGGGACAAGACTAGCACAAAGTGACGGTGCTTTGCCCCCCCCCCCCCACTCTAAAAAGTGATCCGCCACCGGTTGTCTTGCATAATTAATCTGCTCAAATGTAATAGACTATCCTAAGCCTTGCCGTTGTTACACACAGTTAATCCAATTACGTACTTAATTGGACGCTATAACTGAGCAGTGAAATTCATGCCCCCCCCAAAAAAAATGGCTTTTGTAACGTTTTGTTTCTCAGAAAAAAATGCTCAGTATGATTGACATGTTAAATTATAACGAAAAAAGAAATTTTCGACGAGGATTTTTTGCCGACCAAACTCACGTGCATGGTTTTCAGGTTGACCGATTTGGGGGCAATAATGACGAAGCGCATGTTAGCATATTCATTAGCGTGACTCGGCGCGAATTTGCGTAAGTTTTGGTATCGACCAATGAAAGCCTGCAAAAAGGGCAATATTTGTTAATTAATAACTCGTGAAGGAGGCATTTTTGCAATTTATTACTGCACACCGTAATGGATAGGAACCTTATTAATACTCGTGAGGCTTGAAAAGATTTACGGATATTGCAAACACCAGTGTTGCAACTTTTAAAACTTTAAGGCCTATTTTTCCCAATTTCAACGAAAAGTGCTGAACATATCAAATCGATTTTAAGCACATAGTTGGATCATTATAAGGGAAACAAAACCTGAAAGTTGCATGAAGATACGGTCTTCCAAACGACGAAATCGAACATAAATAGTAGACGCAGAATGGTCAAAAGTGATCGGGTGGTCCTACGTAGAAACACAATTGAACAGAAGGACAACTCTTTACGAAATCAATAGAGATTCATACACTTTCACGCTAAATCAAGTTTCATGTCAATAGGACGGACTTTAAAAGCGAAAGATTTGAACCTATAACTGAGTTAAGGAAACTTTCTTTCGTTTTAGTTTCAAGCAAGGGCGGATCCCGAACCAGTATTATGGAGGGGGGGGGGGGGAAGAAGGCTCGAGTATTTTTTTCAAAGAGTATAGCATCTGCAACATGGCATGCGAGGGAGATACGCAACGTTTTAACTTTTTAAACATTTAAGACAAAAAGGTGTCGTCACTCCTCCGATTCAAACAAAAAAATAGTTGGAGGGATGCCCCCTGTCGACCCCCCCCCCCTTCCCCCAGGCCCGGATTAAGTGTTTCGTAGGCCCTAGGCATCAGTGTTCCGAAGGATGGAGAAGGAAGGGGAAAGACAGAGGGAATAAGAACAAAGTGGAGAATGTAAATACACTCGCTGCTCCAAACTCCGCGAAGCTAAAATCCGGTTCTTAACCCCATGTCAAAAGATTGTACATTCTGTCATGTCGGCACAAGCTGCCGCGCGAAGTCGCTTCATATACGGGGGTTGACAGCTACAGCTGTGCATATAAAAAATATATATAAAAATATAAAAAAATCCACTATAGGTTTAAAGACCCCCCCCCCTGCAATCTGGGATCAGGGAACAGGCCTGAACAAGGTATGCGCAAAGGTACTGGGCATGTACATGCAGATTTGCGACAATGAAATGAAAACATTATAGCTGGATTTAATTGTTATTTTCGAGCAATTTTAAAAAATTAATTTCGAACAATTACAGTACAAGCTCTCAATATAACAAATTAATCATTCTTGCAATTGTCCTCCGATAGAAAAGAAAGAAAATGAAACAAAAAGTTATGTGGCGATGGCCAAGTCTTCAGGAGTCGGACTTATGACCCTAACTCAATGAGCCCCTTACCGACTTCCATATAGAACTCTTCTGGGTCTCGGTACCCGGCCCACCACACCTCCTTCCCTGTCCATCCATGTAACTCGAAAGTCAGGCACCATAAAGGGAGGAAACGAGGTGGCACCCTAAGCCTTGCTGCCGAGTCAGCAAAAGAACCCCGTACCTATACGCAGATGCCAACCTGGACTTCGCAGACAGTCCCAACTTGTGAGTCAGCTTACCGACCGACCGAGCTAACTGCTGTTGGTAAATGACAACGGGAAATTAATACTCTTAAATAACAGAACCGCGGGCATCGAAAACCAAAAAATGACACCAAGCGGGTTCGAACCCCTAACCCTGGGTCCGCTGTCAGACAGCTTAACAACTAGGCTGTTTCAGTAGGTGCTTTTCTCTTTGCGTTTAAAACATTATCTTTATTTCCGCCGTGGGAGAGTTACTTTGTTTTCCATAGCTGCACGAAAGATGCGACAGCATCGTGCTATACACATGAATGCTGTTACGTAACTCTTTTCTACAATCATTCTTATAAACTGAGCAGATGACTATTCAGAGTCACTATACAAGCAATTAACCTTACCATTGCAAGCTCGTCTTTGTATATTCTGTCTCGCCAATTATTGTTTCGCTTCGCGCGTCTTTCAGCCGGCACTGACATGTCGCTATGATTGATTTTTATGAGGGAATTTTGTTTGTCTGATTCTGATTCAGCTCCCTTAGCTAACTTGGGAAAATTCATCATTTCAAATGTCCTGCGCTGCGAATTTGTCGACCATCTCCCACAATGCAATAGGAAAAATGAACTCTGCGTGGCAAACTCTCGGTGGCACATGAAACGCCCGAATTGCCCGGCCGTGGACATTCGAAGGGGGGGGGGGGGGCGGGGCTGGACACCACATTACACTTGGACGCTTTTTGTCAATTATGTATACTCGCGCTTACATTTTTAACATACCTCAAAATCCTCATTTTTCATCACAAAAAAGTGGGGGATGTTTCAATAGCCCATCCCCGCGGTCAAAAAGTGTGCGTGTACAAACACTGCCTTGTGAGGTACCGGAACAATGGGAGGTACCCCACAAGGAATGCCCACCGACTTGCGGGGTATACCGTTTTGGTACCCCACAAGTCTTTCACGAAATAGATATATGGATTTTACTCAAAAACTAGGAATTTCCAAGGTGGGTTGATCCGTCGCAAATGGAAGAGTTTAAAAAAAGGGATATGTAGTCCGAATTTCAGCCCAGGAAATCATCTATAGTTAAAATAAGAGCATTTTGACATAAGTGTGCGACGTTGCAAAATTTTAGTACACGAGAACAAAGGAAGTACCCCACTTCTATGCCTATGTAAGCGTGGGTGTGGGTGTGTGTGGGTAGGCCTATGTGTTTCATGGTACACTGCGGTATTTTCGTATAGGCCCTCCCCCAAGTTTTCGTAGGCCCCCAAGTTTTCGTAGGCCCTATCCGGTTCGTTAGTGTGACGTCACCTCCAGCACTTTCTGCACGATTGGAACCGGAAGTTAACGCAGCTCGAGTGTTTGTAGCTGTCACGCCCCAACTATCGCATCGGTCCCAACTATAGTTGGGACTGTCCCAACTATAGTACGGCAGTTGGGTCGGCCCAACTATAGTCTCGAATGTCGGACACTTCGCCCCATTTCCACGTCGCCCCATGTCACTTCGCCCCTAACCACTTCGCCCCATCCCACTTCGCCCCATTCCCACATCGCCCCATCCCCACTTCGCCCCATTTCCACTTCGCCCCATTCCCACTTCGCCCCATCCCCACTTCGCCCCATCCCCACTTCGCCCCAGCCGTTACACGTAAAAAAAATCTCATCTATTTTTTTGGCTTAAAAAACAATTTCAACAGATTCACTAATTGCTAACCAACGGAAAGAATTAGCCCATCACCAAATGAACAATTCATAACCAACCTTTCAAGCTAGGCTCTCCCCTACCAAGAAAAAAGCTTGAAGTAAAAGATCCAACTTTGTTCCCAACCAGGCTATACCAACCCGTCTCCCACTTATCTGAGAACGACAATACCTTTGACATCCTAATTTCACTCTTGGAGGAACCAATCTCATCTAAATGAAGTTGTAAGTGTCACATATCAGACAAATTTTGACGGAACATTTTCCTCAAGGCAGTGAGTTCCTTTTAACTCACTGACCCATACCTACGGATTCTTTTGAATCCAGCCGCTTCCAGCGGCTGATGATTCACAAGCCAATAGGAGAGGCGTCTCTGAATGGGATAGAGCCATCATTTCTCTCATCTGTGTCTCGAGCACCTCATCAGAGAGTTTGTATTTTTCCTAAGTTTCTAGAATTGGGAGCATTTATTATCTGGGGTCTTTGGCAGTTTATTTGGTCTGCACCCCTAGCCTTCACCTTTTTCATACTACATGGGGCGAAGTGGGGATGGGGCGAAGTGGGGATGGGGCGAAGCGGGGATGGGGCGAAGTGGGGATGGGGCGAAGCGGAGATGGGGCGATGTGGGGATGGGGCGAAGTGGGGATGGGGCGAAGTGGTTACGGGCGAAGTGACATGGGGCGACGTGGAAATGGGGCGAAGCGTCCGACACCCGTTAGGACTGGAGTTGCGCCGGATGCTTCATGCTTGATAGATCTTGTTGGATTAAATGTTCGCAAGGCTGGCCGGTCACGTGGTACTGCCTAGTTGGATGAGTTGTCCAGCTGCTGGGTTTTATTATCCAGCAACATTTTGCAAAATTCAAAGATTGCCATGGCCGGCCAACTATAGATGGGCCCCACCCATAGCTAATGTCAAAGGTCCCAAGTCGGACATGTAAGCAGAGCTGTATAGAGAATGTTTTATAGTCGTACATCAATGTAAACTATAGTTGGGACTGCCAAATAAAAATATTGCGGTGGCCCAACTACAGATGGTCCCCACCCATAGATCATTTCATTGGTCCCCAGTAAAGTCAGATGTGTATTAGAGTTGTAGGGAATGTTTTATAATCGTACAACAATGTACACTATAGTTGGGACCGCAAAATAAAAAGATTGGGGTGGCCCAACTATAGATTCGCCCCATCAATAGCTAATTTCAGTGGTCCCCAGTAAAGTCAGACGTGTATCAGAGCTGTAGGGAACGTTTTATGGTTGTACATCAATGTAAACTATAGTTGGGACACCGCAAAATAAAAAGATCGGAGTGGCCCAACTATAGATGGGCCAGCCCAACAATGGAACTTACAGTTGGGACCGTCCCAACTATAGTTGGGACAGGCCCAACTATAGTTGGGCCAGCCCAACTGTGGAACTACAGTTGGGACAGGCCCAACTATAGTTGGGACAGGCCCAACTATAGTTGGGACCAATGCGATAGTTGGGGCGTGACATAGCCAATGGGCGCTAGTAATCAGTGGTGCGCGTGCGTGTATGACGTTTTTACTAACGAACCAGATAGGCACAGTGCCTACTGTGCCTATTGGGTAATCCTGGCCTGCCTTCCCCTCCCGCCCCAGATCTGCCAATTCTTCAAGGCTGGTCAATACTCGACGACGCAAACGCGAATTTGTGGCCTCAGGTCTTTACGCTAATAGCAAATGCTTCATCGTAACTTCATCAATTGGGAGTAAACTCGATTGCAATAATTAAACAAACTGAAATGCACTTTGACAATACCTGACAATATGTGGGGGTTTTTTCATCCAATCTTATTGATATCCCGTGAATTCAGCCACTGCATGACCTTTTGCAATTAAAGAAATGTCAACGAAAGTTGCATACTGAAAATGAAGGAAACACAATAAAGAAATATAATATGTTGCTTATTAGCATCTCATAGTTCTAGCACAATTTCTGAATTGGTCAGACTTAACTTTTACACGAATTGTATAACAATTAGACTTTAACATGAATTAAGAAAATTACAACTCACTAAATAAATCATGAAAAATTAATAAACAATTTTGGAAAAAATAAGGAAATCATATATTATCTAATTTAACAAACAGCTCACTGGCTGCAACTAAATGGCGTCTTTTCATTGCATGCAGTGGAAACATAAAGTTAGTACTTTCCCGGCACTGTTTCTTGAGTTCTTTAACTATAGAACGCGCAGTGGGTGTGAGTGCTGTGGCCGGCGTTCCCCGGCCCCAGGTTCTCCGCTGCCCCAGCGGCCGAGCATTTGCTCATCCAGGCGGCGTAGTTAGAACCACTGAAGATCTGCAGGTCCACCGCCGTGCCTCGGTAGTGGCGAGATGTAGTGGAGTGGCAGGCACCGGTGATGGCATTGACCTGCGTGTAAATAAGAAACGGTGAAATTTGACCCCCCAAAAACAAAATTGATTGGTAAGCAAATTAACCAACCGACCAAAAGAGACGCGTCCATTTCAGCAGTGAAAAAAAACCCCTGAAAGCCGGTAATGATCCATCTCCATGTTTATATAAACACGGCCTTAAGGGGTACCAAAGGGCAACAATAGGGGCAATGGTACCCTACAAGTCGGTCTTTAAAAATCTCAGTATACCCCATATGTAAAACGCTATGGATTTCAACTTAGGAACAAAGGAGATTAAAGGAAGGGAAGCCAAGTGGACAATAGTGTACCCAAAACACGGTTGGGTGTACCGGGGTGGGTTGCAGAATCGGCCCTAATTATTCGTTTTTATAATAATTCAAATATTCCTCTCATTAAACAACGAACCCTTCCCAAGTGTCCAGCCCAAAATGATATTCCTAAATCCAAGGCTATGAGGTCTGACCTGAAAGTTATACCCGGCGTTTGCTACATCCAGTAGGTACTGCAATGCCTTGGCGCTCAGACACACCGAACCACCGGGCGCACAACCAGACGAACAGCAGTAGCTATCAGAGACAAAGAATGGATCCATCACTTCCAAATCTATTACCGTGCTATTTGAGCTTGACCCCGAAAAATAGATTTATTTTATCAATTGCTTATTTCCTAGCAATATTTAAGTTTATATTTTTTAAGAGCACGGCTACAAATCTTTAAAATATCGAAATAAGAAGTTGGGAGTTTTGAGGAATATTGACAAAGCAATTGTGTCTGAAGTTCACTTAAAAACTCCAGGTCAACAAAACTGTCTCGCATGTACGGTATTTCCAAAGGTACTTTACCTTGATAGTTTAGCTGGTTTGCCGTTGCAGGTGTCCCGTATGTTGGATGCTGCATCCGCTCCGTCATCTGCCCCTAGGGGGTTCAGGTGCTTGTTGTTGGCAAGCAGCGTGATTCTGCTGTGGCTCTGCACCTGACAGGCCAGCGACTTCACAGTCTGACTGCAACTGCCTGAAGCTGAAATATGCCAATTTGATGACGATTGCAAAAAACCTTTAGTTTTAGACGAATTGAATAGATAAGAAGTGAGAAGTATGGTACGCTGTTGGAAGTTTCGTGCTCAGGTTTGGCTGCGCCTAAATTGGCAGTTGAACAAAACGTGCGATTAATAAAATGGCAAACATTCATTTTGCCGGTATTCAAATAAAATAATGCAGCTGTGTTTTAAAGTAAGAACTAAGATGTGAATGAAGACCGATAAAAAAGAAGTGGGTCTATTCTGTTTACGAAACATTTTCCAAGAGAACGTAGACTACGTTCTCTTGGAAAATGTTTCCTTTCGGAAACAGAATTATAAGTTGCTCTACTTTACCTGAGCAGGTATCGGTGGGTTTCTTGAAGCAGCATTTGATGCCGGCGCTTTTGGTGGGACAGAGGTTGGAGATGTATGTGTTGCCCGGGCACTGGGATGTGGAGATACAGTGTCCAACTTTCCCGTATTGCCAGTGGTTATAGTCGGCGCATTCAATATCGCTGTCCGCTATAGTATGGATATTTAAAAAAGAACAGAAAAAAAGACCAATCAAATGGAATTGAGAATTGCGAAAAAATTCACGTACATTAAGATTGCTTAATTTAACCGTAATAGACCAGCCACATTTTCTTTTCTGTCTGAAATGGGGTGAGTTGAAAGACTCGGTTTATTTCGCTTCATCTTTGCATATCACAACATGACCCGACGGATAACAAACAGAAGCACATCAACAAAGTAAAGTAAAAAAATATATATATAGTCAAAAGCAAATGGAAACAAAATACAAAACAAAAGCTAAAACAATTAACAATATACCAATATAATCACAACATAAAAACTGGAAACTTATAAACAGAAAACATCACAGCAAAACATAAATATAAACTGAATTCAAAAACAAACAAACAATGACTTTTCCGCAGATGGCAAAAGAATTACCAAAAATACATGCATAGACATGCTCAAATTACATCAGAGGAAAAAGGAAACTAAAATACCAAAGGAAAGGATCCGAAGAAGTGTGGGAAAAACCAGTTGCACGTACTTGAGGACGTTAAAATGAAAGGTTACGAAGAAAATCAAATCAAAAACCAAATCACAAAGGTTGGAGCCAAATTTTTTTTAACAAAATCGATTAACATAAAAACAAGCCAAAACAACACTACAAAGGAAACAAGGCAAGAAAGTTAAAGAAAACATAGCACTACATAATCAATCCCGAACCAATTTATAAAGATTGGAGCCAAAAATATTGAACAACATTATTATTAACATAAAACAAGCAAATACAAAGGCGTTAAGGCAAGAAAGTCACAGAAAACATAACACGACATAATAACAACTTGAAGCAAAGTTAAACAAACATACACACTCCAATTAAACAACTCACACAGAAATGGAAAAAAAATCTACAAAAACAAATAGTGGACTGAAAATTTGTATTCAGTAAAAAAATATGTGCATAAATTCACAAAATGTACAGGAAGTTTGATCAATAATCGAAAACTAAATGATCGTTGTCAATGTGACAGAGAGCACTGTTTTGTGTGTAACAAGACGCAAAAGCATGATCGCTTTATCTCTGCTTCTTCTAGGGTAAGAAAACTCTTCAGACTTTTCGTGAATAAGTAAACAATGTCGACTTTCTTGGGTTGCTATATTTTTGCTTTACTCCGTTTCTTGGTCTACATCAGAAATACGGACTTTTTGGGGGGCGCAATTGGGTTTTTTTTTTCAACACATGCACTACTGGAAATGTCGTGGAATAGGAACATTTTTTAGTGAAATAGATTCAAAGATTCTAAGCCTACAAATTAGGCTATATTATACGCTTTTCTATCTAACAAACAATGTAAACCTGGCTTAATTAAAAAAAAAGAAAAAAAAGAAACAGTGCTGAAAATCGTTGTCTTTTTTTAAAGCATCCCATATTATTTATCATTTCTAAAGATAGAAAGGAGTCGTTTTCCTGATTATTTTGCTTTCCTTAAATTCTTGAAGAAAAAAAAATCAGAAAAAAATGCAAGTCGGGAAGAAACTGATCAAACGCTGTGAGCAAACAATTGTGTGTAAAGCTTATTGAGATCGTTATACCTGTGAAGCAGCACTTAACTCCAGCAGGCTGGGTTGGGCACAAGTTGGAGATGTATTTGCCCCCCGGGCACGAGGTTGTTGAGATACACTCGCCCACACAGCCGTAGGTTTGATGGTCGTAGTTAGAGCACTGAGGATCCGTGTAGGCTAGGGTAAACAAAAAACAACAAAAAACCGATTATAATTACTTTGATCGCAACATTCCATTTTTACGGGTTCAAACTCGAAAAAACACGAGGAAATGTCTTTCAATAGTGTGATTTTTCGAAATATTGCAAAGTAACACATTTGAGCTGAACGAATTCGGATTGTTCGTTAACATTTCAGAAATTAGTTCCACACAAACTAAAGTTTCTAAATTACCCACCCAAGCCACCAAAAATAAAAAGACAAGAAATATCGATCAAGAATCACACTGCTCTTACCCTTCAAAGAAGTGAAACAATTTAGCAGGGCCACTAACACCAACGCAATGCGAGCCATGTTGATGCTGCATGGAACAAAACCAAAATACTCAAACAAGCAGGATACGGTTGTATTTATGAACCAGTTTTGGGTTGAATTTACGATTAAAGTACAATTGTTTTATCGCCTCATATTATATCTCGAGTATTATCACTATTTAATTCAAAAACATCCTGTGACTCCAACAGATGTGGCGGTAGTATTGAATTACCGTAATATTATAGGTACAAGGTTAACAGTAACGTTAGATTAATGAGATTGGCACGATGCAGTCATAGTTTATAAGAGCCGATTAAACGCAGTTATCAGGTTAATGGACGTGCGGTTATCTCGAACAGTTTTTGTAAGATCCCTGATGTGGTTGTTTACGATGACGTCAATTGTCGAAAGTTCAATCATGGTAGATATAGTGTGGTAGCAATTATTAATTGTCTCTCTTGTTGTGTTCGTGTTCGTGTTCAGGGGTTCTGTTACTTGTTACTTTTCTGACGTGTTCAAGTTCTCCCCACACAAGCATTGGTCTAACTCTCAAACAGATTGCTATCTCGTGTTCCGAATTGTTAACAAGGATTACTGAACGAAATAATATTTATATATTTTGATTTCCTGGTACTCCCAAGTTTTAAATTGATTGTAACCTATATATGCAATTTTATGAATGTGTAACCCGTGGTTCACATTTCAAAATAACAGGAACCAAATCTTATATTAATTTAACTCCCTTTTGAAAAAGAACTCTTGACTTCACACAATTCAGGATTTACGTACACAATGAAATATGTTTTATTGCCAGAAATAACGTGGTCTCAAGCAATGGCAATACAAATGAAAAATGCAGTGAGGTTAAATATAATTCACAGAAAACACAGGATCCTGTAAAATTTAAAATACAAAGCTAGAGCTCAGAAAAAAGGGCGCCAAAACTATAAAAATGATTAAACTCGCGATTTCGTCCATCCGCGGTAGTTTGGGAGTCCATACATGGCGTAGAAGAGCTTGAAGACGATGGAAGAACGATGTGACAATGTAGACTAGTTGATGAAAGGTTCAGTTGAAGATGAAGTAGAAATGACGACTCTCGTCATTTGTCGGTACAGTAAAACAAAGGGATACTTGCGAGGTCTTGACAGATGATGTGGCTGTGTCTAGGGCAGTGCTAGTGGCTGTGTCTAGGGTAGAGCTGGGTTTTCTTGGAAGACTTGGTCACTCGGATATCGAGGATCTTGGGTGGAGCTGGGTTGCTCGGACGTCTTGGCTTTGAACGTCAAGGGTAGTGACGGGTCTCCGACTCACTGGAGCACGTAAAAGGGTGTCAGGCGGGCAGATCGGGGAACATTCAGACGGTCCCGTCTAGGTCTCCCTTGAAGTGACACAGCTGGTCCAGTCTTCTTGGTCTAAAACAGAGAGTTACAGGGTGGTCCATGCCACATTACTAATATTATCTAACACTACGAAGTCAGACCAAAATGGCTGACTTTTCTACATGTAAATAACACACTTCCGTAATCACGCATCATGTGCGAAACTTTAAATTAAATGTTAACCTACATGTTAATTAACATGTACAGAAAAGCTCTTAATCATCATGATCATAGAAAAAATATCAAAGAAATCAACTTGTTGCCTAGTACTTCTTAGACAATAATCTAAAGTATTCACTTTGAACGACTTTAAAACCAGGCACGGTCAAAGGATTACTTTTCTCAGTCTCGTACATGAGACACAAATAAAAAATAAAGAACTCCAACTCTTAATCGAACTGTTTATGTACAGGAAACTAACTTCCAAAACTTGATCATGAGATAACCACCAATGTAAATCTCTAAGTTTCGATCCATAAAAAAATAATATGCAAACACCAAAAACTAAGAACCTACAATTTAGATTACACAAATCTTTTCTTGTGTAACCCAAAACTCTATCACAAGACATCAGTTTGTGTCTTTGAGTTTGGGTAGATCAAATCACAAGAAAATAGTCAAATATTCGTAAAGTACTTCAACAAGTACCGTAAGTCGCAACCGTGGAATAGAACTTTAACAAAAATAGCCAATCAGTCCAGACTGTAGGACTATAGTCAGTTTACCACAGAAACATCACGGGTACGATGGGTGGTAAATCCTCACTTCATAAAATACAAAATCTGTTCACAATGCTGAAGAAAATCTGGAGCATTACTCATTCTTGGTTTGACCTCAAACCACTACATGTAACTTCAAAGATAAAATAGAAAATACACAGATCCAATTTACTACACAATTTGCTAAAACACTTGTCTAAAGGTAGCAATAAAAGATGCAAAACTCTCCAATTGAATATCCTTTTAGAGTCTCTCAGTATACAAAATGGTAAGTCTCTCTCTCATGAATTTGTCTAGCCTTACTAAAATTCGTAAAGTCCAGACTTCAAAGAAAAATCAATTTAAGCGATTCTCTTCACAACTTACAAAAAGTCACAGTGAAAAGGTAATGACTATGATAATCTAAACATGATAAATAATTACTCAACTTACCTAAAACAGAGAGCCAACATTCGTGCAAAAAGGAGGGAAACTTGGAATCAGGATCCCCCAATCGAACAACAAAATGATGCAAAATGGCTGGTGAAAATGGCAGGCATGCAGTCAGCACGGTGGCAGAATCAGGAATGCCAAGCTCTGCTAAAATTTTGGGGCAGCTAGCACCAAGACCATGCCCTGATCACATGACTAGCCAGGCTCTCATTGGTCCAACTTCAAATTGTCACACAAGACTCTAATACTGATTGGTCATTTAGTAACCAGGCAGATGAACACTCAGCAGAGTTTGTGGTTTTCACAGCTTCTGCAAGGTGTGATCAACAACCAGGGATTAAGTGTCCCTACATCCTGCTTAGCTCCTGGAAGAGTACACAACTGGTACACCAGTCAGTAATAAAAGGCAGAGGACACAAAAGACATCCTCTATTCTTCCAGGAAGTGGGCAAGATCAAAGACAGGCTTTAACAAAAGTAGGAAAAGATCAAAGGTCTACTGGAACACAAGTCACCAGTAGAAAAGATGAAACATCATAAAAGATTAGAAAAGGGGAAATTATGCAAATAGTAAACACAGTCATATAAAATAATACTATAACCCAAGACCTCTTTTTGGGTCAGGGTTACAAATGTATTATATTGACCACTGTTTTAAATTATAGCTATAATTCTTGTTTATTTCATAAGTTATTCACAAACGGGACCAGGCTCTGTATAAGCTTAGGCTTTTTTTCCTGGTTCCCCCATCTGTCACCATTTATGTTTAATTGATCAAAGTCTTGTACATGTATTAGCATTCTATTAATTTTAGTTATTGTTGTAGTAAATAATCTGTTGCATTTGCATGATATTAATTTGTGACAAATGGCAATAAAACAATACAATACAATTTAATATTCATAATAATCATGAAGGTGATTAGGAAGTGGTAATCTGATGTTGAATTATTATGGTAACTATACTTTACTTTGACAATATGAACATGGAAACAAATTTATTTTGTTCAAACCAAAACAACTTCTCACATGAATACGTGTTATAATGTACGTAATTGTCACGTTTACAGAAAAAGCGACCCCACACTGTACATTTTCACTGGACAGCCTATATGTTGCCGTCCGTTGTTCGGTTTTTAAATGTTTTTCCTTTTTGCTTGTTCTGTCAAAAGGGCCACTTTATATTTTACTGAATGGAGTTATTAACACAGATGGTAAATCTCTAGTTTTTTACGTAGATTTTGATGTTGCTATTATTAATTAAATGTTTTTTAATGTTTAACGGAACGGGACGGGTCGGCTCCTGCCAAAGTGGGGGCGGGGCGTGTGAATTCCACCTAGGGGTGAGGGTGTGTAACTCTCGAAATAGCACTCAATATCTCGAATTAATCAGCACTCAGCGTAACATGTGTTGCGACAGTAAGAGTTGCAGTAGTGAACCGGTACAGAAAACCAAGTCAGAGAAATAAGCCTGCATTCATGATATGGTTCCGAGTTGTTTGTCTATAATTATGCACAATAATGTTTGGTTAAAAATTCACTAATTCAGCTAGAAAAAAATACACTTCTTAGAGTCTCGATTGCTGAAATAAATCCAATATCACTTGATCTAAAGGTATAAACAACAAACTTACTATCAGTATCCAGACAGAACGCCTGTAATCCTCAAAAAGCCAAATTCTGGACACAAAGCGGCCACAAAAAGCAAGCTTTCAGACCCAGCAGCAGAGGAAGTGGAAATAGGGAGTGTTCTGACAACCAAACTACTCGTATATGGAGTGACGTTATCGCTCCGCGATGAATGACTGAACTTCAACTAGAATCAACTTATAATAAATTAGCTCCTGAAATTACTCGAAATGAGCCAATAATCAATGATATCAACCCAAACGTCCAATCAAATAGGCATGCGGCATTCCCGGCGATGGCACATGAGGGAACTATTTGAAGGGCTGCGAATGTAAATTTATGCAAAAAGCATTCTTATTCTTAAGGCCGGTTCATTAGCATACTATTATTATTATTTTATTCATGTCGTTGGAAAGAAAGTCACACCACCACACTGAATACGTGTACATGTATACGGCTAGGGAGTCAATTAAGGCTATATTATTATGATCCAAGGACGTGACTTCCAAATAATACTTCACGCGAAAACCAGAAGCGAAGCGAATTTCATGTGATTAAATGAAATAAAAATTTTCCTGTGATGTTTGCCATTTCTCAAACAAAATCGCTCGGCGTGAAGTATGAACCCGCTTTCACAGTGAACCGTTATTAAAGGGATTTGCCCAATAGCACATCATCACAGGCATGTGTCATGCACAATGACATTAATTCAAGGGGAAAAAAACTTTGTTCGCCTACATCTGTCCTGTTTAAGAACCCTTTAGGCCATGCGCCCTCGAATGGTGTAACCCATAGAGCTATATTAAGTCAATATAGCTCTATGGTTTAACCCCACTTTTTTCCCAAGGCGGTGTGAAACACGCATGTGTCAATTTGCATATTTTTGCATAATTGGTCATTTCTGTCCCATAATTCTGAGACCGGGAAAACTTATAACAATACTTGGTCAGTGGCCAACACTTTACAATAAATTGAAAAGGTCTGTCTTTTTCAATTAGTTGGAGTAAATATAATGTCTTTCACATTCACAAAAATAATAACTTAAAGGGAATATACATCATTTGCTTTTGCTGTAAAATTCAGAAATGGATGGATTTGGGGTGTTGGTAATATTATAGCAAATATTGTTACACTGACTGTTTTGACGTTTTGGGTTCGTAGATGCTATAAAAATCAAGAAAACTACAATCATTTTCCTGTAGTCTGGTTCCCTGACTCCAATTAAGATGTAACTGAGCAATTTAAAGACATTGGGGAATTGTAGGGTCAGGGAACCAGTGTAGCTGGCTTGTACTCGTTCACAGGTGTGTAATTGATTGCAAACAAATGCGGACTAACTAAATATGGTCAGTTGGGGCCAGTATTTAAAAACAACAACCAGTGTTTGCCAACGCTGGTCAGTCGACTCGTTGGAAATTGATACAAAAATAACACTTTTCTTGAAAATGACAGTATACCTGGTGCCATGATTTTACAGGATGCCTTAGACTATCATTAACTAGAGGTCCAGCAAGGTATTTCGAAATAATTTGGTAGTTTTATTTTTTTATGGTTGCAAATGTTGTATTTTCCCTTTAAATGTAGACCAGTCGCAATAGTTCGTCTTTGTAAAATCCCAAGCAAGCAGTCGAGCATGGCCTGTATTCGACTTAAAACAAGAGGGGACCGGGGTAGCATGAATTTAGGTTTCATGAAATACGGACTCATTGGTGGTATTGCGCATGCTCATGCATAGATAATTAGGAGAGGGACCGGTCACGTGAGAGGGTTTAACCAATAAAAGGGAAAAAGAGTCCGATTTTCATACGAGTCCGATTTTTATAGGACACCGGTACAAATATCCTTGAGGGGAGAACATATCTGGTCCGGCCAGACACTCATTCCTAGGATATTCCATCACCCTGGATCATGGTTTTGCACACAAAGAACTTGCCTCTCTCTTTTGATATCAGACTGATGCAACAAAACGAGGTTTAAGTGCATGGGGAAAACTGACAGCTGATTAAGCTGTGCTTCAGGTCTTAGTTTATCATCTAACCGTGAATTTAAAAAAGATAATCTAACAGTGCAGGCAGAGACTGGGAAAATAATTTAAATTGAAATACTCGTCTAAGTTGCATATTAAGTGGGATGCTTACTTTTTGATGACTTAAGTCGATTTTAAATCGGGCTCAAGAGATTGTCAAATAACGCATATCCACCAACTAGAAACCGAGTGCAAATGCTGGTGCCCAAAGCAAGGCGTGTGGTATCCAAGTCGGGCATTTCATTGTGTTCAAAACGACCATCAGCGTAATATTGCTCAACAACTCACAATACTGCTCGTCTACAAACAAATGCTTTACTTTACTACATTGCCTCCGATCAGTTTAATCGATTGAAACAAATTGCAACAAATCTTTACAACAAATATCAATAACGAAGCAACACAAATTCCATTTATGATATAACTTGCACTGCATAATGTCATTTCCCATAACAATATAATACACTATATACAAAATTCACCCAAAAATTTACAATGACCCTTTTTGTCGTGAAGTAAGCAAACTGAAAATACATGTACGATGTTGAATTTCATTTCAAAAATGTGTGCGTGAAATAAACAAAAGTCTTAGTTTCGGGTACGCACAACAATATTGTCACACACACAAAATATTTAGATCAACTGTTCTGTCGGGAGTGTGAAATTGTTGGAGTACATTGTGTAGTTGTCACGAGTCCATGGAGAAGTTGGACCTTTTGCAAAATAATTTGCGCTGTGTGCAAAGGTGCTCTAGTCGAATTAACCTACATGTATGCTACCTCATCACAGCTATATTCGGTCAAACTTCATTCGTCAAACTTCAAAATTATAGTTAACAATAGTTCTGGCGCAAATTTGAGGTGAATGGTCTTTTCTCCCCAATGTTTAGGCCCAGAATAATTGTACATGTGATATGCATAAGTAAGACTCGTGTAAATTAAAAGTGATTTGAGGCTTTGGATACATGGTAAAAACTTTATATCTTGGGAAAAGTTTGCGAATACAGGATGTGAAATGGCCAAGCTGTGGTATATCCCTTGCGTATGAAACTCATCATAAACTATAGATCGTTTGCAATGTAGCCATGCTTGAGGTACAACAGGGGTACGTATGAGTACTAGCGTGTATTGTTAATGAATTAACATAACAAAACACACCTCAAACTTTAAGATGGCTGCTGTATGCAATCCATCTGTAGGCCAAACTACGTACGTAAAGGACACGAAATGGCTGAAAACGCGCTTCTGGAAAGGCGGTTTGAATCTTAATAAGAAAGAGTGTGGCTTCTATAGAGAGAACAAAGGTGTCACTTGATTTTTAATTTATACCCGAATACCCGATGATGACGTCATAGGGTATCTTTTTATGGGTCAGTCACTTAATACGTGAGGTATCCGCAAACTTTTCCCAAGTTTTCATAGAAATTAAAAAGTAAAGTGTAGGTCCGCTCCAAACATGGCTTCTCGTGATAACTCGACAGTTGATAACAGGACGACCTCTTGTGGCACTTCGCCGCCAGTCTCTAGGTGGAGAACTAACGGTAGCAGTCACTGGCAACGTTGCGGCTGTACTGAGGGAACGTATCGCGGTATCGGCTACTGCTCAGACAAATCAGAAAATTGAGGGAACATTGAGAAAAAAGTATATATCGACTTTTTGGCTTCTTGTCGATTCACATACTAGAGAATAAATGGTAAAGAATATCCAAGTTTTTAAAGGTCACAGCTCCGAAAAAAAGCTTATAACAGGTTATGAAATGTATTTCAGTTCATGTCCAAGCGAGTCTTACGTTCAAGTAAAAAATAGCTCCAACTTTGCATATAATGTCCCAATCAATGGCCACGTTTACACAAAACAATACATGTACATTGTACAATGTATTAATATTCATGGGCAGGCGTCTTTTTACTCAAATGTATGCAATATGTCTATAAGCTTTGAGGATTTTATCCTTTTTTTTTTCATTTGGTTAAAGAGGTTGTGGAATGCTCGAAAATATTTCCGTCATTTTTTGGGTATACGTAGCCTAAGGTGTGACGAAATAAAAACGACTATTGTGTCTGTCATGAAATGAGTACAAAAGGTACTTTTGAGAGCTATTTTTACGACAGAAACAATAGTCGTTTTTATTTCATCACACCTTAGGCTACATATACCCGAAAAATGACGGAAATGTCTTCGAGCATTCCACAACCTCTTTAATTGGAAATATTCGTACATGTACTTACAAGATATTGGCTGGCACTGGTCGTTGTCCGTATTGGTCTAACTTTGGTTCTTGTCTGAATGTGTACTGCAGCAAATTAAGAACGGGGGGAAAGAGAAATGTTGCGGAAAAGGTCCATACACAGTCCGAGACAGAGACGCTACCTCGTCGAATCAACAATGCAATCATTTGCATAAACAGATAAACTTGTGGCCAAATGATTGACCAACAACTGACTTCGAACAAATTGTATTGATCGCAAATACCTTGACATTATTATGTTGTAATTATGATGTCATTAAGAGAAAGTGGTAGACTTAACGTCGACAAAATAATGTATATTTTATTGGCGTATGGGCCCTATTATCATAAAGGTAATCAATTTTCCTGAAAATTGCCTAACGATTTCATGTCAGAAACGTTGCAAAGTGCAAACAGGACTGGTAACAAATAACCTGTAAAAATATTCCGAATGAAATGGTATGGTTTAGAAAAAAATTTATCAGACCTGGTTTCGACATCGGGTGCCCAACTTATTTACGTGCGTTATAGCAACGGAATCCAGTTTAATACGACGACCAAAAATTGTGCATTTATCTGTTTTCTCAAAACGTAGTTGTCACCGAGCTAATCTTCAACTTCTTGGAGCAATCTTGTTGCTTCAAACGAAAAATAAATATCACAGAAAGCAAATGATCCTATGTGCCATTAAGCACAGCCTCGCCCCTCAATGACACTGACCTTCCAGGACGCTGTGATGCTTGGTTTCATGTACCGTACAGCATAGCCTGAAAACCTCAGATCGCCTGCAATAACGGATAAACACACACCATAAGGCTACATAATAATGGCACATGGCAAAACACGATTTTGTCACTGCATTTATGAGGAGTGTTGAGGGCGCTATTAATATCATTAGAAATGCATTGTCGTTTGTACAGTATGATCATATTAGATCCGTTCCGAGTGTACTTTGACTAAAATAAATCCTTAATAAAATCTATCTTGATGTCGTCTCTCCATTGAATTTCTTTATTTCGACGCATCTTTGGAATTGTATATTTGCGCAACGGCTTGTTGCAAAGTTGAGCTCTTTTATCTGCACAATCATGTGCCTAATGCGTCGGAACGATGGCACCAACTTGTTCAGCTCTAGCTCTTCAAGTCAAGATCAAGAAAAGAGTTAATTTAATTTGTTAACTTTTCAGGTTACCTTTCTTTTCAAATGTCGGTAGCTGCTGGATCTCTTTGGCCTCCGACCTGTTAATTTTTAATGATCTGTGGAAATGATAGAAATAGGTAAATATTATTCCCCAAAAAAAGTTCAATTGAAACGCACAGGGGTCAACTACGTTAATGCTCAGCAAGTTTCTTGGACAACACCGTGTACATGTACACGTATATTAAAGTAGAATTTCAAAATCCAATGTGAAAACACAATTTATAACTCTACATTATTTACTGCCCGTCCTTGTCAAGAAACTGCACTGATATTTCATTAAAATTATCGACACTTTTCATCTTTATGAAGAAATCTTACGTTCTGTGTTATTTTTGTCTTAATCATTCATGTCAAGTTTTCATATATATACATGTATCTTTAAAGTCAAATTAAACCTATAGCATATTAAATTGTATGCTTGTACAATCATTCGAATAGGACCAATTCACATAGGATTCGACGGTCACACAGGGTAGTGACATGCTGCTATCCTTTCAGTTAATTTGATGCATTACTAGGTTATATGCAACTTTTTTGAACTTTTAATCTTACCCAATGTCATCCTTGAATGTTTCGCGGAGTTTTCTCCCTGTGTCAGTGATATTCTGCAGTAGGGAATGATAAAATCCAAACCAAAATCTACATGAAAATCTAAAATTAATCATCAAGTGGTTCATACAGGTCCAGACTGTTAAATTAAACACCTGTATACTCTGGGCACTGTCACCTCTGAGATGCAGGTGCAGACTGTTAAATTCAGCACCTATACTCTGGGCACTTTGTATGACCTCTGAGGTACTTCATACACGTCTGGACTGTTCAATTAAAGACCTGTACTCTGGGCACTGTTATGTCACCTGTGAGGTGCAGGTGCAGACTGTATTAAACACCTGTACTCTGGGCACTGTGACCTGTGAGGTGAGTGTTTCACACAGGTCCGGACTGTTCAATTAAACACCTGTACTCTGGGCACTGTAACCTCTCGGCAGGGCCTGCTTAAGGTGCACTTTTCACATCCTCCCTCCTGATTGATAATCCGACTCCGCCCTCCACTCTCTCACACGTCATGCATCATGCATGCCAGCTGGCCACGGAGCTTGAGAGAAATTATTCATGCATTGCTTTGAACTGTATAGCAGAGATTATAATAGTCTGACCTCAAACAGTTTCATACTGGTCTATTGTGTGCACCTATATGATGCATGAAGTAAAAGGGTGTCGCCGTACGTCAGTGAATATACAGGGGCAACGTGCGTGATTTGTCACCGTGAAGAATATGCAATAACTCAACTACGCATGCAGACCTAATGTCCGATTATTTTGTTTGAATGAGCTTTTTGCGACGTGTGCCCGGTTCCTGGAAGTATCGACACACAACTTGCCGTCCAAATAGAGAATGCTGAAAAAATATCTGTACATGTACATGAAGGCCTACTTCCATTCATCAATCTATCAATTTAGCTGTGTCATTCATTGTGTCATTCACCGGAGAATGCGCTAGACCTCCCCGGCGCGACCCCAGCCGACTGGAGCACTTGATCCGGCAAAGTCTAGACGCTTAATGGTCCCCCACGCGGCCACTACTACAATGCGAAAAGGTTACATGGGTTCACGTCTATTTTGCTTTTCCAGATCATAAAACCACGGGTATTTAGGCTATTTGTTACAACCTATGTTACGTGTACTGCATGGCTGCACATCTTGCAAAGTTTTACCATTGCATTTTTTTAGGGTAAAGTTTTTCGTTTTCAGCGCAGAATTAAACAACACAAATTTCTAAATCGTAAGATTTCCTCTCGATGCCGGCCTGTTATTGCAGTGACTCACAATTGCGTTAATTTTCTTGTACTGACCATGACTGAGTTACAGGCAAAACACTGAATTTCAACTGCCGGTTTCAGATAAGGTTACTTTGAATGATTTTCCTTATCAAAATTTGAGCACCCTGATTTAAGCAGGTCTTTGATTCCTCATACAAATGTAGCTCAACGTTAAATTGCCAAGTAGCTATCTCAAAAACGATTTTAAAAAGCCATAAGGCCGTTTCACACTGTTATCATCTCAAACCTATGCCTACACATGTTGCATTTAGCAGGGGTCCACCTCGATATGAACCGGGTCCCAACGAACCGTCGGCAAGGTGTATCGTTCACGCATAATACTATGGGTTGTGCAATGTACACGGGTTGATTGTAAATTTTTGATTTTAATTTAGTACAGCATTACAGAGTTGGAGGAATAGCCTGGCCCAGCGCCGGACCCAGAAAAGGGGTTCCAGAAATCTCCGTGTTACACCCAGGTCCAAAAAGGAGATGTGGAAAGTGTGAAAGACCACATGGCATGATCAGGGCGAGCCTACTTGACTGAATGGAGAGGAAAATTTCACTGGAGTCGAACCCACGACCACCGGACAATCCGTTCAGGGTACGAGTCCACGGGTCTACGTTTTACGTCAAGTTATGGACACCTGCTGTGCTGATTCTAATGTGGACACCCATGTACATTGTAATTACGTAAACTGGACCTTTGATACCGTTTGTTTACTTTGCCATTTCAAATATTGATTGGGTGCCGTGCACGGGCATGGTTATTTTCACAGGACGCTCGCTGCCAATCAAAATGAACTGCAAACTATAAAGGAACTCTAAACAACGAAGGACATGAGGAATTTGTAAGATGACAATTTGCCTGGTATTTTCGTCTTGGAGATTTCTAAGCCTATCATTGTTCAGTTGCATTGTCAAGAATTTGAAATTTAACTGAAGACCTTAGAATTCTTCTTGATGCAGGTACTTCTATTTTGTTGGCATTATTTTTCTCTGCCTAGATTGTTAATTGGCCTCGCCGATACAATTCGTATTACATTACGTGGTAGTCATTATCACTTCAATGAAACACTAACGTCTTACTGTCTTAATGTAAAAGGTCTTCACCGAAAAAAAATACGATTAATTAATCGTCCGACGTGCAGGGGTCAAATTTCAAGTTGGACTGGTTATAAGCAAACTGGACATGTACTCAATTGATCACTTTCTCTTAACCTCGTTCCCTGGTTTTCATACACGCAAGGCAATCAATCAAATTTGAAGTCTAACCATTACAATTTTCTGGTTTACATTAATAATAAGCTTGAAAGGACTGTGACTGTCACTAAGGAATCACAAATCGTAAATCATAACTCGATGGCGTGACGAGATGGGAGACATGCCCTGCCCGCTCGAGCCCCCCCCCCCCCCCCCCCCCGCTCACAATTTTTGGGTAGACAAATATGAGCTTTTAGGTATTATTAAGACCCCATCGAGTTTCGCCCCATAAGCTCCACCCCCCTCCGCCATTTGAAATCTACACGAGTTACACGTGTCATATATTATAGGATTTTCTGAAGATGATTCTGATATTCTTTGATTCCAAATGTTTTGTAAACCTACCGCTCCGGCATATCGGGTTGTGCTGGGCTTGAAGTAGGTGACTGTAGCATTCCGGAAGTCATCTAGAGGAAGGAAAGTGGGAAATTGATTTAAGTAAATAGTCGTAAATATTTTGCTCCGAGATATGATAATATCTGCCACACATTTGTCAGTCGGCCTTAATGTATTTTTCCTACTTTGTCTGTTTCGTTTCTGTTTGTATTACGAACAACTGTCCGGTTTGCCACCCAAGTGAGATACTGTTGAACTTGCAAAGTAGAATTTTGACATATCTTGCTACTGGAAACACCTGATGAATCTTTTATTATGACAAGGTTTGTTTTCCATCGAATCAGCCTCAACAATCTAAGTCTCATAGATTCACTATCTATTTGCCACCCTGGCATGAATTCCAATGAACAAATTTTTCATATGAAAGAAAACAGGTTACCGTTGTATGATTGGATATATCTGAGATGGTTGGGTTCTGAATACGTTCGACTACACTAAATTATGATCACAAGGAAGCTTTAGTGACCATACGATATTCTGCGTTTCCGTGATAAATATCACAGAAAGTCATAATGAGACGAATCACGGACACGTGGATGGTCACTTGAGGCCTCCTTGAGATGTCTTCAAGAGAGACAAACAATTTAGAGGAGAGTTTTCCTGGAGATTTTGGTCAATTCCTGGCCCCGCACTCACCTGGACCGCAGGTGCTCGTGGTTCGGCAATGCTCGTCCGGTAGTCTGTGGGCCGCTGTGTCCATGTCCATCCGGCGGAACGTGGGTAGCTTTGGGTGGTACAAGCCCTCTTTGACTGCGGCTAGTTGAACCCGACGCACGGACGGGTAGTTGTTCACATAGTAAGGGACTCCCACTTCAACGGATTCCGGCATTCTGGCGGCGATTTCCTTGTTAAGTCGTCAGTTCCCAAACAGTTTCACAGAAGTGTCGCAAATGTACCGGCTGTGCATGCAGTGTTTCAGCTGGTTTTAGTGGTGAGTGCACGTCGGCCACACAAACACGCATTAACCAGATAAGCCTTATACCCATCCTATTGAGCGTTGGCCCGGCAACAGGGACGCCTCGGGCGCGCGTCAAGTTACGCAACGTCACAATAGACCGACTCGTTGGTTCACTGCGCACAACAATGTCGATCGGTAGGTTGCCTGAAGTTTTGTTTACGTTTTGATTGTTAATCCCACTAGCACTTCTCAGTTCAAGGCTTGAGAATGCACGAGAACTCCCGAGACTTCGTGAGCAGATCATCATTTCTCCACTTAAGATAATTAATCCATTAACCTAACTTCTTTCCTGTGCTGTTTCGAGTTGCACCTCGAAATTTAGATTTTTTTTAAAGCTGTTTTGGTAAGTACGCCGAAACAGTTAGTTCTTGTTTTTGTTAAAGAAATCATTTTTTTTTCGGATCTTCTTTTTTGGCAAAGTTGTGGAAAAACCTTCGTTTTTGTTTTAATTTTTTCTTTTCCGCTTAGAATAAGAATTAGTTGGTATCTAAATAAAGTTTTTGCAAAATATAAGCGAATGAGAAGATGCAAAATGTTAAAGCGACATTACGGCCTGGAATGCGCCAAATTGGGCTTCAAAATTATTTTCATTACGATATTAATTGGAAAGAACATTTAAAGGTGGAATACAAACGTCCGCACAACCATCCTTTAAAAACTGGGCCTTTTTGTGTTATTCTTGCGAGAATTAGAACCATACAAGAAAGAGTTTCGGGGGTTAAAATTTTGCTTCCTAAAAATCGAGCTGTTTAGTAGGCATAACAATCTGCAAGATGGACAGGGCATAGGATTACACGACGCGACGTACGCCACGACAACTTGCAACACGCACCACGCGCGCGTGGCCAGAGTGTGCACAAAAGCAATGGAGAGGGGGCGTGAAATTGTAGTTTGGTTCCCAGACCAAAAGATTCTGACTATTCCTGATGAATGTTAGGTCCGGTAGCCTCCGGTAATACATTGTATTACAATTTACGTCACGTGACTAAAACAGGAGGAATTCCTCCTTTTTCCGAAAATTTCCGAAGTTTGCCGAAGTCGTCTCGTCGACAATCGGATAGCGCTGGAGTATTTCCGAGTATACAATATAGGTTTAATTAACTGCTAATTGCTGGTTGATTTAATTTTGAATGAGGTGATAATTAATATTCATTGCTTTTATTTAGAGAACTTGAAATTCGACGACGATTTTGTGAATCAAATATACTTGGATCGTATGGGCAAACTTTTTGCTGCGTCATGTACAAATTTTGAATTTGACGACCGTTACCGAGATTTTCCAAAACTCGGTCTTCATTCGGCTCCGCCTTCTAACAGTGCTATTTGGGTGCCTAATTTTGAAGATTCCAGATCAACATTAGTCAATGTTATCTTACAGAAACATTAAACTGTATTATCATAACTGTATGATATTACGAAGCAAGTGATTTATTTAAAAATTTGATCAGAACATTAAAAGCTACAGGCGATAAAGCGAAATCGGAAACGAAGCCGAGCTTTGAAAAAGGGTCATCAATGTCGTCATGTTTATTTTAAGCCACGGAGGCTGCCTGACCTAGGATTCATCAGGAATAGTCAGAATCTTTTGGTCTGGGAACCAGACTAGTGAAATTGGCGTTGCCTGTTGAAGAGGCGACGCAGTGTGTCGTAAAAAGTACAACATAATAACCCGACAGAGCATGTATGCACGAAGTGGAAATGTAAGAAAAATGCAATACGGGGGCGCATCCATCAACGGAGCCCACGTAACGTATAATGATGATGATGATGAAAATGAAAAAGATAATGATAATGAGTATAATGAGAATGATGAGTAGGTCAATAAGTGTTGTTTATACCACTATAATAACAACCCTAAATTGCCTCAACTCCAACTTAATTGATCTATTTGAGTTTTTTTGTTTTTTCTTCAGTATCTTTTCAAACAGATCGTACTTACAAAATGCGCCCTAATGACAGTACTGCGACTATAATGCATGGGTGGTATTATTTTTGCATCGGGATACCGCTGGTTCCAAGAGAATTACACGGTTTCTCAGTTTGTGACCTGAGCATTATATTTCTGCTTGATGCCAACGGTTCCGTCGTGGCGCAATCAAATCGCAGGTCGATCTGAGGCCGGCTTAATATATAGTTGCCATGGTTGGTCACCAGCGTCCGTATAAGGACTATATATAACCTTGTCTCGGCATGCGGACTTGGAATACATCCGCCTGATACAAACGAAGTGGCACCTTTTGAAAGCAATCATGACTCGTTCCAGTTTCCCGTTGGGTATTGGACACGATGCAGTAATCGCAATCCGATTGTTTCTTCTTCTCGTCTTTATGCATCTTTGTCACTGCATTTCCGGAGAATTGAAAGGTATGTTACCACTGCTTTTGTTCATTTACCATTCAAATGGATTTCACCTCAAGCGAATTGTGGAAGAAAACTACAGGTTTACCCAGCCAAATTCGTCACGTTTGACATTTAAAGTTATATTGATGAGTTCGTTTGGCGATTTTTGTTTTAAATCGGTCGTCCGATGTTCGTTTTCATATTCAATCACGTAGATTCGTGTTCAGACAGGCAATTGTTTTTCGGCAACATTTTCAATATAGAATTTGCGTCATTTATTTTAGAAACGCAGATTCTTCGTTCCATTTCGCCAGAGTGCATATAAAATGGCGATTCTAAGGTTTTCTTTCATTTCCGTTGACTTCAATTCCGAGTTACTTGAGGTTTCACAACGTTCATGAGAGAGATATGCGTGCAAACTACGCAACCAATTGTTGCCATCTGCATGTCGATGATCATGGATATTCCCGTGTTGTTTTATCTGATCATTTGTATCATCTAAATTGTTTCCAGATCCTAGTAAATCATTTTTTGGGCAATCCTTGCGTCCACATCCTTTGTCTATTCTGTTGTGATCGTTTTCTCATGTTCTCAGACTTTACAGTGTATCCTTTAGTTCCCATTTAGTTTTGTGGAATCCAGGTACTAATTTAGAATTCTACAGTCATAGATTACATTGCACATAAAACGAAATATCTCAACGCAAATTTGTGAAGTGAACTTTAAAGACATTGAAGCCCAACACGGAACCGACACGTGGAGACCGTGTTTTGGACAAAATAATTGTGAATAAAGCGATGGCGTCACTGTATGAAAAAGTACAAATTCTTGCTCCACTGGGCCGTAGCGATCACTCCACTGTTGTTTGGACGAACCTCGAATGTATCTACCGGCCCAAAATACGACTACTATACACACGACACGCCCTTTCATTTGACAGAATTAACCACAACTTAGCAATTGGACTGCTCGAGTTGGATGTTAACCCATCATGTGTCGATTGGATCTCAGACTTCTTAGAGACAAGGCAACAGTGTGTCCGTTATAAATCCACTCTCTCTGATAGGATTACTCTTACTGCAGGAGTCATCCAAGATGTCTTTTTTTTGTTACGTTCTTTATAGCGCTTTCTCTCATTGGCAAGAATGCACTTCAAAGTAGCACTTACCAGGGCCATTCAGCCTACATGGCTAATAATGCTATCGACGGAGATCTAACCACGTTCCAAAGTACAGGTAGGCCTAAGCTTGAAAAAAATGAGAGAAAACATAATTCACTATAAAAAAAATAGCAATTTTTCTTTGGCACCCCCCCCCCCTCCCCCGCGTGAGTCCAAACGGTGGGATTGGGGATGGGGAGAAAAAATCGGAGTGGCCGGGCGGCAATATCAGCATTTTGATGTCAGTGTTAAAATTTTACTTTAAAATCCCCGCCCTTTCGAATTTTCGCGCCGTCTGAAAAAAATATTTGAGTTTTATCAAATAGTTAGGCCTAACAGTACGATCTAGGCCTAGGCCTATGAAGCTGTTCAAGCAGAATTCACTATTCTACGGAACATATCATTTTCCCCTGGTAAACCCTTGTAGGCCTAGTAGACTGATTTCTTTTCCTTTTTTGTTTTTTAAAGAAGACAACTCAATAGTTTTGTTTTGTATATTGGAGGACCATAGGCCTACATGAATTTATCAAGTTGTGGTGTTTTTTCCATTTATTTTTGTTACATTCCTCCCTTAGACGTCGTTGGTAATAGCCATCCATGGTGGATAGTGGACCTAGGCTCGGAGTACACTGTGGCTCGCATCACCGTCACCAACCGCCACACACCGGGTAAAGACATGGCCAATTCCACGGCACTTCTTAACAGTTTTAGTAGAAATATTCTAAGGAGTGGATGCTCATAAGGGCGCGGATGCTTATAATATTACATTTTTTCCTCCAAAATATAGAGAGAGGAACTAAACTGCAATAATGCAAATGAGAGAGGAACTAAACTGCAATAATGCAAATGAGCCATTTTTTTTTCAAAACCAGGTTGAAGTTTTGAACTTTTTCAAGCTTGCAAAAATGACATTTCGTTTGTAAACTTGTGTGAAAAAAAAAGAAGTATAAGCCATTTACCGTGTGTCTTTTATGAACATTATTAATGCGGTACCCGATTTACGATTTGGCCACTTAAGTCTACTTCATTTTTCCGTTCCCATTTTGTAGAAGTAGGTGGAGTATTCATCGTTAATACGTTGGCGAGAGCGGGCCTACACGATGACTCCGAGTACGAGCTGAACCAACCGTGCGGCGTACCGGTTACCACAGCGGAATCAACGCCGGCATCAGTGCACGAATTCTGGTGCGACCCACCGGTCACGGCGCGATACGTCTCCCTGGACAAAATAGTCACTAACACTGAACATAAACTGCTGAATGTTGCTGAGGTGGAAGTCGATACTGTCGATGTGATGGAACAATCGACAAAGGTCAATGGAGACTTTGCCGAGTGCAGTAAGTCTATCACCAGGGCAGTCCACAACTTTATTTTAACCCTTCGCTGGTTCACGAGCGCTCTGCATATCTGCTTACCGTTTTAGCTTACGTCAGCTTCTTTTTTCACGTAAATGAGGGGTTTTGGCTGATGCGCATGCGTGAATGTCCTGTAATTAAGTGATTCTGTGCTTACCGGGTTAATTTTTGCGTAGTGCTGGTATCACAGAATGGTGATCACGAGCGCGCCATTCTGTGGGCGGCAGTCATGAAAATGGGCCCTGGTCTAGGAAATAGTTCATGAAGGAAATAACCAACATGCATCCATGTTTAATACTATGTGGCTTTCTATCTTGTTGCCCGAAACCGACCATTTTCACCATTTTAAAAGCCAAAGTCAGTCTTTCCTTTCTGGTTTTTCTCTTTCCCATAATAGAACCTGCTTGGAAGACACCAGCTACCTTCACGTTGCTGTATGAAGGAGGCTCCATCGCCAATGGTGACCCGCTGACAACCAAGGCGGCCCGGTCTCCGATGCACTGCGCCCTGTACTGCCTCATCGAGGCCGACTGCGTCTCCTTCGACTACGCAGCATCGGGAGGACAGTGTCGTCTTTACGGCCTGAATCCGGCACAGATCGTCATCATCCCGAACGACGATGTCGCAATTTTCTTGTGTGGGCTGCATGGGTGATTTCTGTGCAGCCATTCACTGAGAATCATTGGCAATTATCCTGAAAAGTACATATAGGCCTACCTGATGATTTAATGAGAAACATTTATCAAAGTGAAGATTATAAAAGGACTGGTATCGAGAAAATATTCCGCCTTAAAGGGGATTAGGCCTACGGTCTGAAACTCCAAACATTTCACGTATTGGATTGTTTACTTATCCTATTTCAAAGGTCTGCCTGAAACCTAATGTCTCATACCGTTCCTGAGAAAAGACGGAAAAAAAACCCGGTGGGCATGTTGTGGTATAGGCATGCGTATTTCAAGCCGTGTCTATTCAATATACCGCACACGTTGTGTGCGTCACATAATACACACATCACCAATACACAAATGTCGTTTCTCACAAGTCTGCAGACCCCCCCCCCCCCCCCGAACTACTGATATAGACGCTTGAAGGTTTTAGAAGTAGGCCTACCCCTACCCACCGATCCATAATAATTGACCATTAAACAAGTAGATGGCCATTCCAAGTCGATTTATAGCAGGGCTGATTAGGACAAGCTCATTAAAGGCAGTAAGTGCCCCCCAAAAGTTTTTAAAATAAATAATAAATAAGTGCCATAATGACAACAACCTTTTAAAAGAGCTAGTCTTGTTCAAAGACTGGATTTGACAATTTTGACAAGGCGAGTTCACTAGTCTTAGTAGCCGTTGAATTGGTACTGTTGCATTCAGTATCGATTGTCTCTCTATACCGACCTCACCATACTGACACGGTAATACACTGCAACGTTGCGTTCCATTACAAAGCTGTACACTCGGTGAGGGAGCGAAAGACTAGACAAACATTTAAATAGACCTTTATCATGCTGCCACCATTTTGGTCATGTTCCCTGTATCTGATAACAGTACTGAATGATTTTTTTTTGTGCAAAAGGAACCAGACTATTTTTCCTTCAAGCCTCTCTTTGGTTACGTTGATTTGAATGGGAAAAATTCAAGATGGCTGCAACACAATAATGGTCTATTCAACTAATGCTATACTCTGGGAAATGCAATCTTGGAGAAAATAAGATAAAACAGACAGCTTCTTTTTCAAAGAATTATTGTTCGATACAAAATGAAACCCTTTTTAAAATCCGGAATTTCTCATCGAGTATTTACAATTATATTTTAATTTTTTCAGTATTCTGCAGAAAAGTAAAGCAGCTCTTAAAACTTCTTTTAATTTATTAAAATTGAATGCTCCTAGTGTACTTTTTTTCTCCACAATTTTTAAATGAAATTATAGAAACACCCTTTCCAAAGTGCGCGAAAAGTAAATTGACTAAACAAGCAATTATATTTCGCACATGAGCACAAACTAAATGGCGCCCATGAACGGACGTACGTGCGCACGGCATGCGCAATCCTGGGCGCGGGAAAATGAAAAACCAAAAGATAATCTGCAGAGGGTTTGAGGGATGCCGAGGTCCCAGCAATGTAGGGTCTATGGTATATGTTTAAATTTGTATTTGTTCAAAAGTACCCCTTAACATACCAATTTCTTTTGTTCTACATAAAATAGGTTTAAAAACTCAGGAATTCCAGATTTCAAAAGACATGCATTCTTTATAAAAATCCAGAAATCAGGAAAAAGTTCTGTCACAAAAAAATCAGAAAACCGAAAACAAACATCTGGAAAAAGAATTTCATGTAATCAGGAACAATCCTGACAACAAAATTCCTGAAATCCAGTAAAAATCATGACAAAAGTATCCTGAAATCTGGGAAAACTCCCGACAAATCTCACGCCAGTTCCATGTTGCACATCAAATCAGTCATCAATGCCTGAGTTTATGTCCATTCCAGCAGTAAGCCTAGCTATTGCTACACTCAAGTCCCAGGTCAGATTACCCGCCGACTACCCAATACAGGTTGTATTTGATCCAGGGTTAAAAAAAAACAACCTTTTCTGGGTCAACATGACACTTTCAGGGTCAAAAAATGACAATTTTCTTGGTCAAAATGACACTTGTAATGGTCAAAATGACATTTTCTCAGGGTCGAAATGACCTTTTTCTGTGTCACACTTTCACTAAAGTTTCCGCGTCAAAAATGACCAGGACATGATTCAGAGAAGGTTAAGTTTGACCGGGATATGCCTAAGTGCCATTTTGACCCTGAAAAGCATCAGGTCAAATGACCCAGATTCCGGGTACAATCTGATCCGGGACTTTTTTAGAGTGCTATGTACAGTATAGTATATACTTGCACAATACCTCAGTCGAAAGGGCTTTTGGTTGGAAATAGTGCAACGAACCCGCAACCGCGGTGAAGATGTTGAAACATTTTTCATATGTATTTTAAAATGGTTGAAATTGTAATTTTTAAAGTTTGTAATTTAAATTTGAAATTGTATTTCTGTGTAAATGTTTTTCTCCAATCATTATCTTTCATATTTAACTACAACATCAAGAAAAAAGAATAGTCTGGTTCCCAGACCTAAAGATTCTGACTATTTCTGGCAGTCATTACATTTTGTTAGTAGTCAGATTTTTTTGGTCTGTTAACCAGATTACAAAAAGGATCGCTGAAACAGCATTCCAAACAGAATGATTTGGAAAGTTTGACCACCACACTAACAAACTTTTTAAAATCGGGAACTTTTATCTTCTTCAAAAAATTGTAAATGTGTTATCATTGTTAACATTTTAAAAATAGAAGTACATTTCTGAAAAAGGTTTGACTCAACTGCACTTCAATGCTGCGAGAAAAAGGTTTGTAGGCTCCGCCCCCTTAATACAAGTCGAGCTATCATTGGTTGAGCAAAACACTATGGGCGGTACTACACTCCAATATGATCGGCTGATTGGCTCGTGCATTTTGTACACAAAACAAATATCGTAGCTGTTAGTTGCACGATTTAAGGTATTAGGAGTACATTGAATAACCACTTCTGCAGCAGTGGAAATGATTTTTTTTATATTGTATTTTTAGCTCAATGTTCTTGAAATTTAGGCCGTGCGTTCTATATATTTTTAGGAATAATCTTTGAAACGGAGTAGTATCTTTGTATCAAGTTGTGTTTACTGTGGCATATAAGATAAGCCAGGAAAAAAGAACATCATTATAAAATGGCTACATCCCTGTAAACATGCATGTATTATTTCCCGATATTTATTTATAAGAATTTAAAAAGAAAGAAAAAAAAATGACACAGTGAGCCTGACATTGCACAAGTATAACGTCAAACAGCAACAGACAGCAAGTGGTCAGGACTTTTACTGTCGAACCTCATAAAAAAAAAATTCAGCATATCGTGATTTCTTTTCTAAAGAGCAAACAAAATAAAATCAATAAATAATTATCTGTGGTAAGTTGCAAACAGGTTTATCGGCAAAGGACTCCATGCACGAATGTAGGTGGCGCTTTTTTTTATACACTTCTTCGATCCCAGTGCACGGCCACCGCGTGCTTGAACAGGTTGACGCCCGGATGACACAAAGATGCACCACGAACTTAGCCACAGCGTCTTCGCAATGCGTTCGAAGGTCCCTCCCATTGGTCTAACCTTATCTCTTCCTTTGTAAAATGCGATGAGGGCGCGTACTTGCGCGCGGATCGGATATCATAGGCCGATTGTTTCGGGTGTTCCTTGCACGGTTCTGTACTACTTTCCCATAATCTTTCTAGAATGAAATCACCAGCGTTGCTTTCAAGAGGGAACTTCATTATGGGAACATTCTTGGGAAGTAGTTCAGAGGACTGCAAGTAGTACTTGATACAGTGGGTCCATTGCGTATAAACCTCCTGCAATTTACCCCAGATACTTAGCGAGATCGGCCTTAACTGGTAAACATCATGCGTAGATACATGCACCGCTGGGTTTTGGAATCAGAAATCTACAAAGTAAATTGATTTCAACTGGCCTACACTTTAACAAGGGTTTTGTTTATCTTCATTTCAACTGGGGAAAAATGTAACTTTTAATAAAATACAGGGCCAGAGTAAGGCAGGTGCAATCAAGCAACCTAAGAGGTAATTTGAATTATGTACAGAAATCTAAGGATGTGTCCTGTCACCACAAACACGAGAATTTTCCATTTTGCAGTAGGGGCAAAACCAAAATTTAAGGGGTTATAGATTTGTTGTTTTTTTTACAGGTGAATCTCAATCTGTAAGTCCTGATCTACCTTAGCCCAATTGTTTGTTCTATGAAACATCTTTAAAACCTACTTTTATCCCGTTTTATTCGTTGACTGTTCATTCACTGTAAAACAACATCGGGATTTTTTAAATGTCATTTTCTCAAAATTTACTTTTACAACTTCAATTTAGCTGGTAGTCTATACTTCCAGGACTAAACCTAGTAACCACCTCATGTTCTATACCGTTAGAAAACTGTTGTTTTGCAGAAACCAGAAATAAAACCATCTCAATTCCTTACAAGGTGACGGGTCATATATGGTTAGCTTCAATGGTGGTTTTGCAAAGTGCTTGTCATGGGTTCGAGTCCAACCGGAGTAAGATCAAGAATGTTTCTTTTGCAAATTCTCAGACAGCACAGTGCTTTAAGAGTAAAATCATTAAGGCAAACCAAATATTGAAATTTACATTTCACTGAGATAATTACATCATAAAGGCTATGTTACTCCAATAATACTGTATCTTAAAAAGTAAACAAAAAATATGCAGCACGCAAGAATAACAAGATTTTTTCTGGGATGTTAACAAAATGATTCAGTGCAAAACTTTTGTCAGTACAGTAAATTTCAGTATGTTATAAACTGAACTATTTTGAAATGACTAGGATCCCTATTACTGAAATAAGTTTGATTAAGCATACAGCAAAGAGTTTTCACAAAAAATGCAATTTTCCCTTCTATTTAAAAATCTGGATAATCGCTCACTACATGTTTTCGCTGTGATTAGATGCATAAAAACAAGCTTTATAACTTGGCTCTTTGAAAGAACACACACCTGTTTCACTGTTGATTATTTTGTTGTTGTTGTTGTTGTTTATTTCAGGCCATTAGCAAACGCAAGTACACGCTTCATTTGTTTGGCATTGGCGTGGCTCGGGTGTTGCTGTAAGAATGCTGTGATGTTTTTGATGAGATCCCCGATGACTATGGGTAGATGCTCATGGTACTGGTTGGTGGTCTTGTCGTCTGAGAGAACCAGCAAGGCCTCGTCGATATATCTGGAAGGAAAGAAAACATAGCTTACGGTGAATAGGCCAATCAATGTATCCCAGGCACTGCGCATGTGGACAACAACACGTGCGCCTCGTCATGCCACATAGCAGTGATCTAGACATGCACGTAATGCACAAGGGCGCACACAGAATTTTGTCGGACATTCATCATGGCCGCATGCAAAAATAATCACATATAAGGTGTTTGCTTACAAAATTATTAGAGTTCGAACGGGGAACCCTGCCTTTGGAACCATACCAGCTGGAACCCTGCCAATAGAACCATGCCAGCTGGAACCCTGACAATGGAACCATGCCAGCTGGAACCCTGCCAGCTGGAACCCTGCCAGCTGGAACCCTGCCAGCTGAAACCCTGCCAGCTGCAACCCTGCCAGCTGGAACCCTGCCAGCTGGAACCAAGCCAGCTGGAACCCTGCCAGCTGGAACCCTGCCAGCTGGAACCCTGCCAGCTGAAACCCTGCCAGCTGGAACCCTGCCAGCTGGAACCCTGCCAGCTGGAACCCTGCCAGCTGGAACCCTGCCAGCTGGAACCCTGCCAGCTGGAACCCTGCCAGCTGGAACCCTGCCAGCTGGAACCCTGCCAGCTGAAACCCTGCCAGCTGAAACCTTGCCAGCTGGAACCTTGCCAGCTGGAACCCTAAGTGGGCGCCATCTAGGGATGTAGGAACTCACCTGAGTTTGAGCTTGGTGTTACTGCCGATGTCATGAGAGAGCTGCTGGATGAGAGACAGCAGGACGGGCTGGTCCAGGGGGCAAGATTCGCCGAACAGCTGATCAGGGTTGACGGAATTGCATACAAAGAGAACAGCACGAAGGTCTGAGGCACTCAGGGCCTGTTGGAGTAAGGGGAAGAATACTATTTAGTGTTACCTATTGGACATTCAAAAATATGCCCCTCACATCACTTTTTACACCCATGGCTCCATGGTCGTACTTTAAACTACAGTACACCTTTGAATAGGGTCCAAATCTATGCAACTATTTCCTGTGTGGTTCTTGTCAGAGGGGCTGCTGTTTGGCTAAGATATTCAGGGTCAATAGTTCAACCAACTTTAAAGGGGCACTCACAATGTTATTAGGCTGTTTGAATGAGGAACTTATGAAATATGATATTGCTTGGACTAGTTCTGCTTGGCATTACAATTTACATTTATCGACTCTTAACCAGTCCCACGCAAATACGCATCTCCTGATATTTTGGCCGAGTAACCAACTTAGTACATGTAAGTAAAGTATGCTACAAATTCATTACTATTAGCAACGTCTGCCTTTTGCTAAGCAATATTTCCTAGTTAGCAATACTTGTATTTTTGCTAAGTGATATATTCTGATTAGTGTTTTCTACTAAGCGATAATCTTGTCTGCGATATATTCTGATTAGTGTTTTCTACTAAGTGATAATCTTGTCTGCTTAGCAGCATCATGGAATTGGCTCAGGCCTTGGTCACACAGTAAGCAAAGACTTACACTCTGGAAGGCCTGTATGATCTGACCCTGCTGCAGCAAGTGAGTGATCTGCCCCTGGATCTGTCTGATGTCAGGCGCCTGGGGGACTGGGGTGGGTGCCTGGGACCGCACCACGGCCGCAATGCTGCTCTCCACGTTGCTCTGGTGGTCACGCAAGGCTGCTTGCAGCTCCTCCTTCAACAGTTTGCGCACTTTGCTTAGGATATCTTGCTCCATTCTGACAACAAAATGAGTTTTTTTCTGGTTACTTAAACTATCATACTAGAATGCGTTTTGCGGATGACATATTACTGTAGTCATATCCATCATGACTCCACACAAGAAAACACATCAGTGGTGAAATATCACAAGCTTTCAATTCTGGTTGGACTTTTATCAACTTTGCCAAGAAGTTCCCAACTTTCTGCAGTTTGCATCTCTTAATTGCCAAAATCCGGTTTGCAATTCTGTAAGCTCTGTCTTTTCCACAAATGGGCAGTTCCAGTGTTATGTAATGTCCGTAACAGAGCTTTTAAGAGCTCAGTGAATAAACTTGTCAATGTATTTTCCAAATCTTATACATCCATCATCTGGTAGTGGTCAAGGAGATTACAGACTAGGAGTTTTGGATAATTGCTCTGAATCATTAATTAGATATCATGGTTAATTGGCTCTGTCATGGACATTGCACTTCCTATCATAACACTGGAATTGTCCTAACACAAAAAATCAAAGGTCTTACCAATGTTCTACCAAATTAAGAAACTTTATGAGTTCCATGAAACATTACATATTCACACACGTATCTCTGTCTGCCAAACACAAAAGACCCCAAGTGAAAACAAAAATAAAGAAAGTCTGCACAAAAACACTGAGTGTAAGGGGTTACCGGTAATCTCAAAGAAGAAAACCACAGGAAATTTCAATTCCATATAACTTTATGAGAATTTCTTTAAACTGTTTAAAAAAAATGTACTTTGTAATCCAGTGCGTATTTCAGTTGCCTCCATGTCACCGATGAGAATTGCATCGAGTGACCTTGCCCTTGAAATGGAGTTTGCATGACACCTCCGCATGAAAAATTTATATAAAAAATCTTTTGTGCCGAATCAGCAACAATATTAGAGAATAGATGATAATGCATATTCTTAAAAAGTTACTTGGAACATGCATTTTTTTTGGGGGGGGGTCTAAAATGACTGCATACTTCTCATTGGATTTCTGTAGTTGTTTATCCATCTCTGTCTGCACGCTGTTCAAGACGCTGTCTTTGAGGGCTTGTGAGCTAGCCTTGAACTCCTCTACTAGGGACAGCAGCTCAGCTAGGATAGGGTCTCTGGATTCCCGATCCTTCTGTCTCAGCTTGTTGAGATGGGACTCCAACTGGTGAGTGTCTGCAAAGAGAAGGCATTCTTAAAGATCAACTGTCCGTGTTCTCCAACCGATTCCACTTTTTTCTCCAAATGATTTTCAACTTGTATTTTGGGAGTCCGCAACCCTCTGAATTTTTTTTTTTTTAAGGGGTAGCCTTTACACACGCTGCAGATCTGCTCCATGGGAACACTAGTTTCAAGTCCTTTCATTGTCGAATCTGATGGGAGGCAGGGATCAGACTTCCCTATGGGAACTAAATTCTTGTCAGGTTGATGATTTTTTCGTTCAATGTCTCATTCTAAAGAAGGGAATAACATTTGTATTGCTGGGAAAAAGCAAAAGTTTCAAAACAGAACTTTTTTTGTGGATAAAACTTGAAATTCCAAGAACAGTACGTTCTTAAGTCAGAGTTGTACTATGTCCACAATAAGTCAAATCACAAAGTAAAGAAGGATTAACAATGATGAAGGCGTCCTTTTTTTAATTTTGGAATTTTGGACAAAAGCTTTTGAAGCTGCCACATTCGAAAAGTCAACATTGAGCTGAACAACTTGACTAAATAATTTATTGAGCAATACGACTTTACTTGGGATTTTTTTTATTTTGGAGTGGGAAGGTGCTAAGATGAAAGTTGAAACCGTATTCAAGAGAATGTTATATGATGCAGTATTCCCTACTTATGAAAATGCATTGAACACTGCAAAGAAAATGCTACTTAATCTTACAGGTACAGCAGAATAAGTTTTTTTTTTGGGGGGGGGGGGGGATTGCAGGAACCAGCCTACCCTATGAGGACTGAATTATCAGCCTCGACTCCATGGGCGCGTGTGCATTCCTTCACTAACCCCTGGCCGTGATGAACATGTAAACGATGCTGACTGGCTATTCAGAGCGTACTGCGTGCGTATTTTGAAGACTGCACGCCCTACAATGCTCTCGCGTGCTATGCACGTCACTTCACATACGAACATTACTTTTCAAAACTGCGCAATGCCTGTACGATATAGATTATGGCAGCCTCGTTTCCCCCCCCCCCAAAAAAAAAATGTATCTTCAGTTGTAAAGGGACGAAAGAGGTACATACATTTAATACAAATCCTTGCTAAATAACGCGACATCGAAACCTCATGTTTATAAGGATTGATTCTTAAAAAAAACCTTTCAAAATTTTAAACATGGCGTCGCACATTAGATACATCGACTGCAGTCCTAATTTAATAACATTGCAAAGAAAATGCTACTTAATCTTACAGGTACAGCAGAATGAGGGTTTTTTCAGGGGGAGGATTGCAGGAACCAGCCTATCCTGCGAGGACTGAATTACTGATTTGCTGCAAATGATTTTGTAAAGTAATTATTTCATAACTAGTAGTAGACTAATTCAGTTTTCCGTCGATATCTCTTTTCAAAAGTCAATGTGCATTGTTACAAAAATGGCAATTTAAAAATCAAAAATCGATTTTCTGGGATGTGAAAAACAGAAGTAGCACAGACAGTACAAATTAACAAAATGTAATACTGCCTTCATGACTAGGCTGTGCAACACTGAGCAATACACAAAACAGTTGGAAAATGTCCGAAGGAAGTTACTTCAGTAACAATTGAAATCCTGAAGTCCCAACAATCGGACAGAATGCCAAGATTCTAAATGACGAGAGTGTGTCCCACTTACATTGCCTGGTTCCAGCCTCAAAGGCTGTGTTGACTTGCATGAAAAGTGACTGGCAGGACGTTTCAAAGGCCGGCACCACGCTGGTTCTGAAGGCCTCTCTGTATGTGGTCTGGATCGTACTGCTCAGTGCATTGGCAGCTGATTGCCCTATTGCCTCAGTCGTACCCTGCAAATATCATGTATTTGTGAACAACACTCAGATCAACAAGATGGTACACAAGAAACACTAAGTTTTCTTCAGTGTGGGCTCTGTGCACAAGTACCCCCTCAACGGTAAGAAAGGGCGAGTTAGGAGAGACATCTGAACGTATTGCCAACGATACCTGAATCTCAAGCAAAGACGCTATGACTTTGTGCACATTCACAATCCAATTAGCCATGCGTACTTCGCGCTATATGCGTGTGAATCAGTACACGCACGCAGTGTGTCACCCCACCTGAGCTGTCAAAAATTGTCAAAAAGCCTTCCCTTGTTCACGCATTAGGCCAAAAAGTGGAGACAGAAGAAAAAAGTGCATTAAAAAATCTGAGAGTGAACCTTTTGCCCATCATTGTTCCTCATTTTCACAGCACTTTACCTTGAGTGGCTTTCAGCCTTGTAAGGATTGACTTCCAATAGGAAATACACGCAATGTTGTATGTTGAACCTGCCTTTTGCTTGACCACTTTGCTAGCAATAGTTACAATGTGTTTCCCATCACAACTTTAATACGTCATCATGGATCGTAAGGAAGTTGCTTTGAATCAGTTACAGCAGCCATCCTAGGTCAAGATGCATCACACATCATAAACTAAGTTTATGATGGATTGCAGGGATTGTGAAACACAGGTCACACAGAGCTGCATAAAACCAGACAGACTGCTAGGCAGACACGGTGAGGGAAGGGAAGGGAGAGATCCTCCTACCTTGGACCTGACCAGCTTGCCAATGTTCTCTCTCATCAGCTGATCTGTGGCAGTCAGTTTCTGTGAGACTACAGTGCTAAGCTGCTCACTCATTGGCCCAATCAGCTTCCCGATTTCTAAGGAAGAGAATTTAGAACAAATGTGACAAATGTGAAAATTGCAATAATTCAAAAATGTGGAGAAACAGATATTATATGAACAAAGAAAAAACAAGACTTGAGAATCTCTTGATGTGACCCACTTGCATGATCTGCAGTGTTGTCAACAAAGGGTTTGATTGGGAAGGCCACCATGATACTGTGACCCATTCAAGTTTTGCCACCCTGCTCGAATTTTATTTCGCCGCTATTTTTTACATCATCTACTTCACAGTTCAGCCATTACAGAGGACTACTTCACAGTTCATCCATAACAGAGGACTATGAAATAAGTAAAACTTAAGTACAACACAAATACTTTAACACGTCGGCAACCTCTGTTAGTGCCCGGCTGAGGTATGAACCTGAATCGAAAGAGTGCCCTCTGTGAAGTTGCACCTTCGGAACCTGTGTCGCAAAATTTGTTTTTCTATGTCATCCTGCTAACTTTATACTCTTTGTAGAAAACTGAATCAGGCAATGACAAACAAATGGGCAAAGGAGATCTCTTTGTACCTGGTACAACCTTGTTCTCAATCTCAGTGCGCACCGTCTTATCCAGACGACTGGTGACGGATTTGTTCAGATTCTGCGAGACGCACTCCAAGAGCCGCTCCTGCTTCTGCTTGTCCAGTGACTGCCTCTCCTGCAAGGCAGTGTTTAACCTTTGACCTGCGATGTCAAAGGTCGCTAAGGAAAAACCACATCACTGTGACTTCTAGTCTAGAATTATTTTTTCTCTTCAGGCGTCTAGTCCATAGACTATGTAATAGACTAGGGGAAGTGGGAAGCTGGACTACACGATTTTTTCTCCTTTTCCTGAGTTTTTTAATTAATATTTTCACACATCAATGGGTAAAGGAGACCGAGTGCCATTCATTGTTGCCTAGGAGTTGGGGTTCCAAAAGGATACGTTCCTGCTCGGACTGTTTGGCCATGGTGGCTTCCATCTTGGTGCAGAAGCTCTTGTCCAGTTTGTCAATGCGGGACCTCATGGACTGGATGATGCTGTTAGCCTGCTGGGACTTGGCAATGTCCTGCTTCATCTGCTTGAGTTCCTGCTGCTGGGACTGCAGCAGGCTCAGCACCTGCTGCAAGGTGCTGCTGATCTGGAGGGGAGAGATGAGTGGAAGGAAGTGTTATACTGCTGGTGTGCGCTGCAGCGATGATGGTCTGTGCTGTACGTTCTGCTTAGCATGTTCAGCTAGGAATTTCAGCTAGGAATTCAAACTCATTCCCAGGGCTACTTTCAACCTGGTAGTTGGTAGATACGTGCGCTATATAAGACTCTGATATTATTATTATTATTATTATTAACCTTCATGCCAACAGTAGCCCCTGGGATGGTAACTTGCTTCCTGTGTCTCAATTTGATCTCGCAATAGCAAGAAATGGATTTGTATTGTGCACTTGGTGATTGTAATTTTAGACGTGAATTACGATAGCTCACTGTCCAATCCTCATAACAAACAATTCTCCCTCGTCTATTTTGCTTTTTATCATATTTAGTATATCAGATGTTGAATGGGTCAAATGAAATATTTGATTGTCACATGAAATTGTGAAAAATAATACAAGTTTTTCAATCTAATGCCATGTCAAGTTGAATCAGTCTGTACTCTAGACATCACATTCAAAAACAAATATGACTGGCAGTATTGATCACCTGACTATTCTGCAACTTATTACCATATCCAAGATTTTTGGATATGTTAATTATCAAGTACCAGGGAGAGAGAGCAGCTAATGGTAGTGTACTGCTCGATGCTATAAGGTTGGTAGGCATTGGCCCAGACAGTGGGATAAATCAAACCTACCTCTGGTATATCCACTCTAGCCTCGCCCTCAGTCGGCAGTGATTTCCTGGGTCGTGGGGAGGTCCGGCTGTATTTATCTCGTCGCTGCTTCTTGGTTTTACTCCTGGCTCCTGAGGGAGAAGTCGAGTCGGCTGGCTCCACATCAGAGCTGGTCGTGTTGAGGAGAAATAAGAAGTGAGTTGATTTTTCCAATTGAGAAAAGCAAGCTTCTTCAAGAACATCATGAACAATATATCCAACCATGGGTCCTCTACACAAGGATAAACAACTCATCTGATCTTGTGTACAAAATGTACGGAATGGTTTGTCTAGGGGCGCAATATGCCGCGTCCGCACATAGAACAACGAATAGAACATGTAGAACAATGCGCGCGCACCATGATCGCGTCCTGACAGAAATTTGACCAACGAAAGACTGCAGTCATGCGCCGAGTCTTGCGCACTTGCACGCACGACGTGCAAGTGCCGTATCATGTCTCTAACCAGAAATTTGAAACAGTCGTTTATCCTTGTGTAGAGGATCCGTGATCCAACTGAGAACACCATGACTAATCGCAAAAACTTGGCCCAGCCAAGGTTACCACGCCCAATTGAGAAAACTATACCAATCAAGAACCTTGACTGCCCAAGAAACCAGCCGACAGTTTAAATCAAAACAATTGCTGACTTCCCTGACGTAGGACATGTGTTTTTTTCTCTCATACCCTAGAGAATGTCTGGCATTCTCAGCATCACCTCAAGTGACATGTGTCCCTCTGGACCTGATCATAAATCACCAATTATAAATTGTGGTCAGTCAATGTCTTTGACCAATGGTGCTTGCAATGCTCAAAACAATGCACCTTAATTAACTGTTGCGCACAACTTCTCAGGGGAGAAAAAACTGCAAATAGGCTGGCGGCCACTGTTGATCTCCACGAGTAACAACCTGGAAGCTCCAGTACATAGCTTCATATGTCAAAGATTAATGCTTAACTTCATATCAAGCCATAAAATATTCCAATAAGAGCTTGCTTGCGTGTACTGACGACCATGAGAAGTGATTAAAATACAGGCATGCCAGTTTCATCAAATTTGTTGTTAAAATTTAAAAAAAATTAAAATATAAAACTAGTTGAGCGACCTCACCTGTGCTCACTGCATGACTCCTGCCCCTGGACCTCCAGCAGCTGCTGAGGCACCGGGGCCATGGCTCCCCCACCCAGGTGCTCACGGCTGTCATCCCCAGACTGGGGGGCTTCAGGTGTCTCACCCTCCTCCCCGGGGGTTGGGGTGGGCGTTCCCCTACCCTGAGGGGCTTCCTCAGAGTCTTGGCCTCTGCAATGGGAAACTTTCTGAGTTTAGCCCAAGACAATGTGAAGTGATCTTAAACAGACTTTAAAGATACAGGAACAAAAACTTTATCTGTTTCACAAATTTTAAGAAAAGGAAAATAAATTCTTGGGGAAAAAAGTGTCTTCACCTGGCCAGTAAAAGCAATGCACAGCAGAAGAAAATGATAAATGCTCGGACAAACTGATCGAAAAAGTTGGACAAAGTGCCATATTGCTGCAGTAACTTAGAATATACACAATGTAATTGACTGAGTACTTCTGTTTTTGTTCTGATTGATATATTTAACCCTAACCCTGCCAGATGCAACACAGTGCATCAGGTGGATAAGTCTGGTGCACTTTGATGCACTCAGCTATCAACACCAGTGCACAAACGGCCACTGATGAGACAATGAGAGCTATTCCCATTGAGCAGCCTGTTGCAGTCGGTGACCACAGACTCTGAGGCATTTTGGCCTTGGGATTTTTGGCCTGATGGATCTCGCTACACTGGGCAGGCTTGTCATTTTGACAAGTGTTGCACAGTGCTGCGCTTAGCTTGGTTTCTAGCTAAAATACCCTGGATGGTAAGGGTAAATGGTCACCCTCTGGTAGAGACCACACTTGAAGGTAAAAGTACAGTGGAACGCCGCTATAACAAGCATCGCGGGATCCACAGAAAATGTTTCGTAATAGCGATCATTGGGTACCCCTTTTTTAGGCAATAGTAAAGTGGCGTTTCTCAAATCCCTTGGCCGCACGAGGAGTTGTCACGAAACTCTGAAACGGGTTGCTTTCCATTCTACTCCTTGGGGAAATAATAGCTACCTATCACTCTTCAACAATCAACAAGATGTAACCATGGTTGATTAACATTCAGGGATTAAAAGTGGCACAAATAGCATTTCATATAACCGGTAGATTTTTTTTTAATCTGTTGACTATTTTCAACAGCAGCAATGTTCGGCACATTTTGTATATTACAACCGGAAGCAAAGGATGATGTTCAGTATAGCTGAATGTTTATTAAAGCGGTGTTCGGTATAGTGTTCCACTGTATTGGATATGGTAAGCTATATTTCTTGACCATCAAAGTATTATTGCTTGCCCTGTAAAACAAACACATCTCAAAAACACAAACTTGATATGAAGGGGGTTTATTGAAGTCCTTTGGTTTATCTCCTTGTGTACAGTAAACTGATAAATCAGTTTGAAATAGCAGCTACTGAAAACAACAAGTTGACATATCAGCTCAACTTAAATTGTGCTTCACTTAAATGTTGTTTGATTAAGCAATTAATTTGTCTGCCTCACCCAGTCTTCTCTTGCTTGGGGCTGATGACAACCACCTCCCTCCCTAGTGCTGCTTCCATGTTATCCTCCTCGTCCATTTTTCCAGTGGGTAATTGTGTCTCCTGTACTGGCTCCATGGAGGAGTTTTCTGCCTTCTTGACAGCAGTGTCCTTGACTTGATCCAGGTCAAGAGGGATGGCATCTGCAATGACAGGAATGGGTGGCATCTCCTCAACCTCTTCCTCCGGAAGATCCTCGTCATCCTCATCTCTCCCGTTGTCGTCTTCAGCTTCTTGTTCTTGATCTTGCTCCTCCTGCTCCTGTTCAAGACGTCCTCGCAAGATCTGTGCCACCTCTGCGCTTGAGTCTGAGATCCGCTTCTCTTTCATGCGAGCATTCTCCAAGAGCTCTGCCAGGTCTTCTGTGCTTGCCGCGGATCGGGCAATCATCTCGGGGGATGCTAGGTCCGTTGGAGTCGGGGGTGGGGACTTGGGTCCTTCATCCTCTGAACCGTAATCCTCCTCAGCGGCAGGGTCTTCCTGAGGTAAGGCGATTGGTGAGGGCCTCCGGGGTGACTTTGGGGTGTTGGGGAGGCTGGATGCAGGGGTGAGTGTCATCGGGGTAGGGGTGGTATTCTCCAGGGAATTGTGGGAGCTGAGGAGGTCATCGCCGCCACCGGAGGTGTTCATGGCAGAGACCTGAGTGAAGCTGCTGGCACTGGAGTTGCTCTCCCGCAGATGCTCGGCCAGGGTCTTGGCACTGCTGCTCTTGATGGCATCCGGGGTCATCAGGTAGGGCTGGGAGTTGGAATGGTTGGTGGACTCAGAGGTGAAGGAGCTGGTCAAGGAGCCAGCAGTCAGGGAGCTTGTGTGTTGGACGGCAGGGGACCTGTCCACATCCGTCCGGACGGATCGATCGGTGTCGTTCATGCTCATGTCTGACAGGCCATCCTGTAGAGCTACATTTAGAGATGTTTAGAAGTTATTGTTATTAATTGAACACTGAGAATTATATTAGAAAGAGAATTATGTTGAAGGTTTTTTTACTGAAAAAAAATCATAGCTTTGGTTCTCCAATTTGCACAGTATTAAAAATATTACTGTTAACTGTTATTTTTGGGAGTGCCCTCTATCAAAATGACACAAGGTTAATATGTCAACATGTCTTTTTTCTGGATGGTGTGTCCTCCCTTTCAGCCTGACATGAGTTAGGAAGTGGTGATCAAGATTTTGACAAGAATAACTATTTCTGGGGTAGATATTTGATCCCACACCTACCATATTCATCCTGTGAGGCAGAGCTAACTGAACCGGCCGTGTTGCCATGCTCTACTGAGGGGTTGGGCTGAAAGCGAACTTGTAGGTCCAGCACCGACCTGTAACAAATACCAAACAAATTCCTGTCAAGAATTCTTACAAGTAGAACGTCAAACCAAGCAATTGACTTGAGCAGGGCTTCATCCTGCTACCTACTGATTACGGTACTGGTGCTCTACCACCTGGGATATCTAGCCCTAAGTTTGCAGTCCTCAATTATGTTAAAGTCTTTGTTCAAAAGATGCCAGTAAGAAGCCATAACCCTAACGTTTATTTCTTTGTTCAACTTCTAATAATTATTTATTCCGGGTTTATGGCTACAGTTTATTTCACTGGTTAGTGATGAAACCTGGCTCATGTGCATTTTAACATCCTGGAACTAAGGATTCTGCGCTTACGGGGTTAGCACTAAAGCTTTTATCTCAGAGTGGAGATCGTAAGCACGAAATTCAGTGGTATGTCATGAAATTGGGTCCTGTAAATGAAACGACCTAAAGGACTTTAATATTCTTGTGACGGGGCTGCAGAAACGCAAGTACTGTCATCAATGATAACGTACCTTGAGTTGATGCAGAACATTTTGACGGCCACGCCGGTACTTGCCATGTGACTTGGTTCCACGTCACCACCCACCATTTCAAGCATCTCACCTGAACAAACAATACACGACTCGTTATTAGGCAAACATGCCTTTTAAAAATTGGAATAGTTTTTTTCATTTCGCCAATTTTGTTTGTGATGATTGAATGGAGCATAGAGCAAGGAATCATGCATATTTTGTGCCTGGATAAGTTTCATTCGCGCTGCGAAAGTTATCTAGACTGTCCATCAAAAGTGATAAAAACTTGCTTTACTAAATGTAAAAGTATACTTAAGGTGAATGATTCTTATGTTCAATGTTGCAGTTAGTCACGACGGTCGCAGCTGGCCAGCACTGGCCATATATCGCGTTGCACACACGGCACTTTTATTCAGTGTGCATACCTGCAACGACCCACATGCTGTGACCGATGACCGGAAGTTTTGCAGAAACATGTTGCTGTTTCGTTTCAAGTATGCCCGGTAAAACCTCGTTATAAATACATTTAAACCAAAAATACATACACAGAAGAGAGAGATTCTGGTCTCGGAATTACTGCACAGAAATTCTTTCTCCATTGATGTTTGTTTGGTATTTTTTACGATCTAAATTCCACCAGTTACACTATGTGTATGTATTATGTAGGGCGTAGTCACTGGTTCCGGTCCAACCACCAGAATTATCATGGCTTTGATAAGAAGGCAGTGGGAACCAGTGAATAGCTATGGCACAGGCCTGAGCAGCTGGCCGGACGCTGCGGCATGCACGAAACTCATACAGCTGCTCAGCTTCAATGTCGTGCATGTGCATTTTAGGACAAAATAAATTAAGGTGAAGTAGGGATGAGCGCAAGCGATATTTTGAGTACTACAAAGCACAAGCTTGACCTGCAGCCAACGAGGTCACAATAATCTCCCCCCCCCCCCCAAATTTTTACATCAGTTTCACATCTATCTCGAGAAGTCTGAAATCCGCGGATTGATGAAGGATTCCAATGCCTGAAAAGGGGCCTTTTAGGGTCAAGCCCCACCCACCTGAGTTAAGCTCCTCCCCGTCTTCTCCCTCCTCCAGGAGGGGCTTCAGACGGCACTTGCCCGCATCCACAATGGCAAAGCTGAGGGCAGGCTGGGTCAGAAGGAAGTCCGTGATGGAGCTCATGTGGGCCTGACCTTCAGCGTGGTCCTGATGTACCTGTAGGACATACAGCACCTGTTGGAAAGGAAGGGGGGGGGGTTGGAGGAGTTAACGGGATATGTTCAATCTGCCATGTCAGCAAAAGCGTGACATCTTTGAAAAATGTACGCAAATATATTTGGGTTTCGCAAATGACACCTTTTTGAGAACTTTTCCAGTCTTGGGCCAGTTTCCACAGAGCTGTTTTGCAGAAAATATCGCTTAGCAGATTACCTTACTTAGCAAAACTCAGCTAAGAGCCAGTCACAGGGAATTCATTCATATGATGGTTGGACTGGAAGCCTATTTCGGCTTTCCAAATCATTCAACTAGTGCAAACGTCTGTCCCCAGCAGCGCCATGGAACTTGGCGTCAATTTTGAATGGTTTTCGTGTAGAACAGGGTATCTTCAACTGGCACAATTATGAGAATATTACTGTTCATAGATCAAACAGATTGGTTCTTAGTGTGCACTCCCACAAATACATGTTTCCTCACAACACCAGTGGCCTACGATCCTAACCAGAAACAGGGCTTATCTTCATGGAGTTCCTAATTAGAAAATGTTGCTGAGGAATGGGGGGGGGGGCTAAGTAAAAATCTGCTTAGAACCTGCAATAATAAATAAACATGACATAGCAATAAGGCTAGTAACCTGGTTTTACTAAGCAGATATTTTCTATGCTAAGCAATTTTTGATAATGAGCAGCTCCAGATAAGATGTTGGACTCCGTGCACGAATAGTAGACAGTACTTTTTGACTACTTTCAAGAGCTCCAGTGGCAGGGACACAACGCGTACACATACTGGTTCATGTGTGTATAGACGAGTCTGAGCACGTGCTTACTGCTCACGCACAAGATCCCCTCCCATTGCAAACCGTTGTGCATGCCTTGGTACAAAGCAACTGCCCCATGATGGATTATCTGAACAAAGCCAGCACAATGCTTTCGCCATAGAATGGAGCCTGTGTGATAGAAGTGATAGTATACCAGGATGTCTATGGCGTGAAGACTGCACAACTTGTTTCATTCTAAATGAGCAACACCCACAGCGTCTTCCCGTGAGTGTCAGGCGTTGTTAGCAATGCATTTGAATGTCCGTCCATGTAGTCTCCCCCTCTCTCCAACTGTAACCATTGATGGGGTAATTGTGTACAGAGTTCATAAAAATGTTGAGAATGCAGTATGTAAGACCCACTTTTGAGTATGCATGTCCTGTTAGGCATTCTGGATTGACAAAGGAACAAGGGGAATCGCTCGAAAAATTACAAAAAAGAGCATTTTGCACAATCCTTTCCATTGATGTTTGGGAGCACGTTCCCTATGACCTTATGTCGAATAGGATACAAATCCCCTCTCTCCAGCAAAGACGTGATCATCTCTGTTTAAAGATTGGTAAAAACCTTCTCTCATCTCATAAATACCGTGACTGGCTCCTACCCAAAAGATCAAACAATCTCCGCAATACCAACACCGATACAAGAACCAACCGATACAAGAATAGTGCAATCCAATTCTTAACCAACCTTCTTAATAACAACTAAGCTCTACGTCTCACACCCTGGTGTGATATTTATCCTCATTTATTAACTTTTTTTCGTAATCTGAGCAATCCATTTCTCCATGTTTGTTTTCCCAACTGTTTTTAAAGGGAATATACAACATTTGCAAACATCGAAAAATAAAACTACCAAGTTTTTGCGAAATACCTTAATAGGATGTTGGTAAATGACAGTCTAAAGCATCCTGTAAAATTATGGCACCTGGTATACTGTCATTTTCAAGAAAAGTGTTATTTTTGTATCAATTTCCAACGCTGATCGGCCGATCAGCGTTGGAAACAACTGGCTTTTTTTCAAATACTGGCCCCAATTGACCATCGCACTTGTTTACAATCGATTACAAACCTATGAACGGGTACGAGCCAGCTAGACTGGTTCCCTAACCTTACAATTCCCCAATGTATGTAAACTGCTCTGTTTCTTCTAATATGGAGTCAGGGAACCAGACTACAGGAAAATGATCGTTTTTCTTGGTTTTTATAGCATTTTCGAACCCAAAACCTCCAAAAAGTCAGTGTAACTATATTTGCTTTATATTTCCAACCCCCCAATTCCAACCATTTCTGAAAATTACAGCAAAAGCAAATGATGTATATTCCCTTTAATCAACTGTTTTTAGTCAATTTTTTTTTTTTTTAATTTATTTCATTTTGTACCTTCATTCTTGTTGTTTCATGCATTATTTTTTAACTCTCATTATGATGTTTTCCCGTCTTGTAATTATTTATATTGTAATGCATACAGTTTTAATACCTCTGTCTATTTTTAAAATGTTTTCAATGTAGACCTGCCCACAATTCAGCCTTCGGGCTGCGACAGGAGAGTGAAATAAACCATGTAATAATAATAATAATAATAATAATGCCATGCTAAACACTGACCTTTCTGGTGATGTCAGTGACAATCAGGAAACTTGCTGATAGATCAAGCTTGATTTTCAGGAGGGGTTCAGGGAGGAGGCCTGGTTGGGTGAAGCTGAGTTTCTGCAGGCATGTCCAGGTAACAGTACACCACATCCTGATCTCTCGGTTGGCGCAGGCTCCAGTGATTAGGAACCTCCAAAATGGAAGACTGCGGAGCCGGAAAAAAAAGAAACTAACAATTAAAAATGAGGCTTAATAGTGATGAATTCTTTTTTTCAAGAGAAACTCCAGTCTACTGGACAACACAAAGCATGAAATACTGAACAATCATAAAATAAAGATAAAATTTTAACATTCAACCTCAAAAAATGATGGCTAATTTGCAGCAGGTTGTGTGCATTCTTGCAAGCATTACTACTGCAAATTATTTCACTCTCTGCCAGAAAGACCAGAATAACTAATGTATTTCAAATTGAAATGTTAGTAGCAATGCTACAGTCAAACATCATTGTCATAGTCATTGTTACCATCACTGATAACATTAAAACGTCCGGCATGACTTACTCTGGTACTTTATAATTGTGACTGTCACAAAAGATTTTGTGATTGCCACCGTCATTGTGACTGTCATTGCAATTACTGAAAGCCTTAGGCATGACTTACTGTGGGTCTTGGTACTTGTGATTGTCACAGAAGATTAAGGCCGAGAGTGGTCTGCCCTCATGGGACAAAATCGATGTAACGGTCATCTTTATTTTGGTTATTACTGTCACTTTCATTGTAACCATTATTGTTATTATTAATATTTGCAACTTGAAAAAAAGTCAAGTCTGTCATGAACCAATGTTGCCCACCAGGCCTGCGTTTATCTTGGGTTTCTGTGGCTTGACACGACAGAAAATATTTCTGTTTCCCCTGGATGGGATGCTAGTCTATCGCAGGTTACTCCCAAGCTAATGCCGGTACCCATTTATACTCCTGGGTGAAGAAGCAAGTGGGGTGAAGTGCTTGTCCAAGGACATAACATGTGACCAGGAGACAGATTCAGAACCCCTGACCCTCTGATCATGAGTCACAAACCCTCACCACTAGGCCACACTCCTCTTTATTAATAACCATAGGCATGACTTACTCTGGATCCTGGTACTTGTGATTGTCACAGAAGATTAAAGCAGAGAGTGGCCTGCCCTCATGAGGGGAGAATCTGTGCAGCCTGGAAGGGGCCTGATCTGGTGCATTCATGTCCATCTGCCAAAACTTCACTGTCCCGTCTTCACTGGCTGTGGCTAAGACTTGACCATCGGGGGCGACAGACAGGTCGGTGATGGGCTGAGGAGAGAGGCAAAGAGATTGGAGTCCATCACAAAGCAAATCATAATTCACGTAGTATCACAGGTACACTAATGAAGGAACGCCTTAGACATGAAAAGCTTGTGACTCGACTCCAGACTGGATGACTTGTGATTTACTTGACTATAAGATGTTTGGCTTAAGAATTCCGCAGGGGCAATTGCTAGGACAAATACAACTTTTCATTCTACTGCATGTATGAATAGCTTTCAGAATGATCAACACTTTACATGTCTTCGAAAAAAATACAAACAAACAAAAATGGAACCCAATTTCTGAAACTGTTGTACGAAGGAAGATTTCAACTGACTGGAACCCGCCAGCTGACCCAAGTAAGCTCAGCGGTCCAATGAATGTGGTCATTGGGTCAAATCTAACCCAAGCATGCTGGTGAATGTTTCTCAAGGTAAATCTGTAATCTGTAAAGTGCCAAACCCTATAAGTTTAAATCTCCTTAATGCAAAATTCCTTTAAAAAAAACACATCTTTTTGAGTCATTGATTTCAGTAACCACAGCTATGTCAGAATTAATCTGGCCAGCTGACCTCAGTAATCTCGATGGTCAAGCAGTTACAAAGATGGTTGCAAAAGTAAGCAGCAGATTGTTGTTCAAGTCCTATCCTAGCAAGCTTGTCAGGTTATTTTTTTTTTGGGGGGGGAGGGGGTTTCTCGCAAGCCCTAGGATAGCACAAAGTATACATTGCAACTAAAATTGTGTTGGTGAAGGTAACACCCAATATCTAAATCTATCCCTCCAGAAAACAATTGAATCTGTGGTTTACCTTAGTGTGTCCGCTGTAAATTCGGATAACGCCGTCAGTAACATTGTCTGCATTCACTGAATTACCAAACAGCTCAATTACGACGTCCAAGTCCCAAAACTCTGCCTAGAAAAGAAAAAGAAAAATCAAATGTTATCTTAAGTACTAGGGAAAGTAACCTCAAAAACAATAACTGTGCTAGAATGGTAAGAAATAAAAGCAATGTGTGACACTCGGTCAACTGAAGTAACTTAATGTTACTTTCGAAAAAAAAAAACATCAGAATTTTTTTTAAAAAGGTCATATGTTGGTTACAAAAATATGTGACTTGCGAGTCAGGAGTCTTTATCAAAAAATCCACGTCATGATGGTCTGAGTCTTTTGCTGGAGTGACTTGAGTCGAGTCTGAGTCACTATAATTGCGACTTGAGATGGACTTGAGTCCCGAGTCCTAGCCTCGAGTCCTACAATACTGTAAGTTATCTTACCCTTTCTTCATGCGTAACGGCCAGAAGTCGGCTGTTCTCATCACTGGCTGAGCTGGTGTCGCTAGCCGAGGGGTCATCAGGCAGGTACGGACACCAGACTAGTCGATGATAGTCGGTGGGGTGGGTGGTGGCCGGCCGGGTCACCTTCAACTTGGGGGAGGGCCTTGGGAAGTCCGGTCAAGGAAAGGTGACTTGACTTCTTTGATGAGACAGTGGAAACTCTTTTTTCTTTTATTTATTTTAAGTTGTCTATTTAGACGACTTAGAATTCAGATACTCTATTTAGTTCACTGGGGTGACATTGCCCAATACAGTCCACATGAAGGGTTTGTATCCAAATAAACAGAAAATAAAAATTGCACCAAAACAGGAAGGGTTTACAGAAATCTTAAACCCTTTCTCACAATTCAAAATTTCGGGAACGCCTTTCACACTAGTGAGAACCCAGCATGTCTTCTACACGGGTCAAGTGATCTACACGGGTAAAATGCAGAATCTACAGCTGACCCATGCATGCACCAGTGTCAGTGTAAAGGGAATGCCATGCCTAGCTGTGTTCAAAGGGACCCAGTTACACTCATGGTTGACCCATGTTGATTTCAACATGGGAAGATGGGATGATAGTATGATAGGCATTTTCTGAATGTAAACCCTTTCAATGCAAAATCTGTGAGACTTATAAAGGATACATAATCTTGCCGTCAATGTCGTTAATCTGCCAGACTGTCAAGTTGCCCAGTCGGTCGATGCAACCCAGAACGTTGGACTGATGATGGGCAAACGCGACGTCTGTGATGATATCCTCAAAGCCCTTCAACAGCGCCCTCACAGAGGTGTGCTTGTTCAGGATGCGCAGCCCATACCCACTCTGAACTGAAAAATCAAAGATAATTTGTATGAATATCCTGGGGTTGAATATTGGGATTTTTGAGCCTTTGAGAAAGATTGTACTAGGGTCAAAACCAGGGATGTATAAATTTGACAAGGAATTTTTGCCTTGAAATTTGAGGTATAAAGGAAAGTATACAGAAACGAATGGTGCCAATATTTATAGCTCAAAAACTCATCACTACTTGCCTATAATGTGCTTTTACCCTCAGTTCTGCATGCTGTGTCCTAGCCCACAGCACAGAAATCAAATCAAATGTTTCCAAAATATAAATTGCAATATGTGACTTGCAGACCATTCAAAACATATTTTTATGTGGTTTTATACAAAACTGATCACATATTAAGAGAATAACTCCTATTCACAACCAGACAATGGTGATAAGTATAGTTTTAAAGTGATACATCATGGAGATTATTTCAGAGTTTGAACAATTTATTCTGAACCAAGCCTGCTCTGTCCATGGTTAGCATGCAGTTAAAGTCGACAAGCGAAAGTTATTGACACAATCTTCATCAAGTACACAACACCTGTTTGATTTCCAATTCATTTCCCTGTCCCACTAGTTTGTGTTCACAGATACTTACTTTTCAGGACATACACCAGGTAGGTTTGGTTGACAGCCACTAGGTTGCCCACATAGTACTTGTGTTCCCAGTCGTACTTCACCACTGGTGTGGTCTTTACCTGCAATTTATATTTTTGAATTTTATAATACGCCAAAAAAAAAGAAGGTTGTGTTGCACTTGCCCTCACCTGACTGACCCAAAAATCTGGACATCTCCGCTGGTTTTTTCTTATTTTGTTTCAATTGAAAAAAGTTAAATAAATTTGCCCTTTCTGTTTCTTTGTGATGCCATAATTTTGTATTTCATTACAAAACGTACACAGGGGCCTTCCTAATTGGTAGTATAGTTCAAATGTACCGTATTTTGTCCATGTAACTGAGGCCAAGGCCTGGGGCGTGTGGTGTAATGTACTACATACATCAGACGTCCAAAACAAGGAGAACAGGTTGGATTTTTGTTTGGAATGAAACATACAAGACAGTTGAAATTTATTAATAATAAAAAGTGAATTTGTTGAAGAGCACTTGGAATGCAATTTGAATTTAGTGAAAATCTCTGACACTCTGAATCTGACAGTCCAAGATTCATAATCCTTGATCGTTTTGTCGCAGCCTTTTTTGGTTACCTAACATCATCTCATACACCCACCTTGCTACTGCCTGGAGCTGAGCTGTCTCTCTTTGAAGCTTCACTAGGGATGACACTGACCTCCTGGCCATACACCGGTATCGATCCACTCCGGTCATCCCCAACCAGTTCACTGCATTATCAATGAAAAAAACACTAATGGTTATACCTGTAAGCACCTGTACAACATTGTATTACAGTGTGTTTAATTCCTGATGAATCCATAAAACCAAAGACTGTTTGGGTGGTTTTGGGAGCTTACAGGGAATAACAGGCACAGTGATTTGGGGCAGTACATGGACCAATGGGCTAATTGGCGCAAGAATAAGTGAAGTCACATATGCTTTAATGGTACATAGGATGATTTGCCGTTCTGCCTTTTTTTCATTTAAAGCAACAAAACTGCTCAAATTCTTAGGTAGAATGCAAAAGAACCTGTTTAAGTGGCAGCTAAGTGGCTACTGTACACTTTGAGAAAAAAGAGAAAACATGCACAAGTTTTGGGGTCTCGTAACCAGATTTCGTTAATAACGCACGTACAGAAATGTGCCCGCTGGCACATTTTTTAAAATCTCCTCTAATGATTGTTTTTTTTATCAAAGTAACTAGATTTCATTGCTAAGGCACATACAAAAGTGTGCCCGGGGGAACACTTTTTTAAAACCTCCTCTAAAGATTGTTTCTTTCTATATTTGGCAGAGAAAATCACAAGGTACTTGGTACAATTCCTATCTCCTCCTGAACAAGGTTTTCCTCATTAAATCAGTACTGTGTTTCTGGTAACAATGTTTCTACGTGCCTTTAATTCATGACTACTCACATGGTTTGTCGGACAGTATCTGTTAGATTCATCGGTGTTCCCGAGTCACCTCCGGCCTGAATAAAATCCTTTGAAAAAGAAAGTAAATACAGTCAAAAAGTGTACTAAGAATGCAGGGAATACCAGCAGAACTGACAAGCACTGAAATAGTTAAGCACAAAAAATATCTGCTTAGCAAAAAAAAAAAGGTTACCAACCAAAATGCCATGCAATGTATATTGCATTGTGACTGGTGCTCAGCTAATTTTGCTGAGTGTATAAATGTGATTAGCAGCTCCACACATGGCCTAGTTTCATGGTGCTGTTTAACAGATGGCAGAAAAGTTGTGCTTACTGTAGCAGGAAACTTGACTGACCTTATTTAAGCACTATTTCACGGTGTGATGTGCTAACGGTTGCGCGCACATGGAGATTTATAATGTTACGTTATTGACGAGTTAAAAAGTGAATTTTTCCTCTGGGGTTAAGTGTGCTTTTGCTGTGCTTACTGCTAATGGTCACCATTAATAGACAGAGGTTCTGTTAGCAGAAAATCGTGCGCTTAGCAGTGACATGAAATCTGGCCCTGGTCTGTTTGGACACAGTTCCTTCAGTACTGTATGCACCATTTGACCATGTGCTCGGTGTCTTTTCTAGCATCTTCAGATGTTACACATATGAAAGATAATTATCACAAAGGTGCAACTCTGGCAGAACAGACAATAATTCAATTCTATAATTATGTCAGTGACAGACCAATAAACATGATATCTAATCAATGACTCAGAGAAATGATCCAAAACTCCTAGTCTGTAATCACCTTGACCATTACTAGATGATGGATGTATAAGATTTGAAAATTAAATTTTCAGGTACACATGTATTCACTGAGCTCCTAAACAAACAAAAACATAATCGGATTTCATTTGTAATGTCTGTGACGCCGATTTGCCCGAAGCTAATGTACAAATACTCATCAAACATCTTGAATGTTATCAGAGCACATAATAAATTGCAACAAAAATGAAACATGAAAGAATAATGAGTAACTCTCTTTAATTATTCAAAAAGGTTTGGGCATATTTGAGAAATGTTACGATATTACCAATTAGCAATCAAGTCACATACCTTTGGTGATGCACTGTCAGCACCAAGATTGCTGTTGAACGGAAGAAAGTCAGTAAAACCATTAATACACCATTATTTGATCAAATAAACCACAAAAGAAACTGATTACATACAAACACACCTAACAGTTATAAAGTTGAACAAAGAAATTGACAGAAGCGAGATTCTATCAGCGACCTCTGGATTACTCTATCGATTGATGTATCCAGCTACGTGTTGGCCTTTTTCCACGTTGTCAATGTCTTTGTTCAATGACGCAAGCCAGAAGCCATAAACTCCTATAAGTGCTACTTATACCTTTTTGTTGAAACCACCCTTAATTAAGTGAACTTAACCAATTCTGGCAAGAGAAAAACCAAGACTTTTAATGGATCAAACTTTATGTTAAAATGTTCAACGTCTTTGTCAAAGGGGTGATTAAAAACAATGGAATTTTTAAAGTATCACCTTGATTTATCAAGGCACTATATCTTTTTGTTCAATACTCACTTTGCACCATTCCCTTCCATGCTGTGATGAGTAGCACTACCAGCATGTGAACTATATGCTGAAAGGTCAAACCAAATATCAAAGCTTAGTTCAATAATTCTTTCATCTTCTCTTGTAATAAATTTCAGAGTGCAGTCTGTCTGACAATATTTGAAACCTCAAGATATAAGGATTTTGTCCCAGTTTCAAATTTCAATGCAATTTTGTCCTTTCTGACATTTTTTTTTACTCTCAGAATTTTCATGCGACGTACACTTTTTATAGGCCTTCAGTTTTTTTTACAGTAAATTTTGACTATAAAATAGTTAATCTCAAAAGTTTTATGGTGACAATAACGATGCTACAACTTTCGATGTGACAATCTCACCGATATTCAAGTAGTTTAGGACACCTCTTATGTTTTAAAGGTTCTGTTCATAAAAACCCTGCCCTCTTTTCACAAAATTATGCTACTTAGATGATTCCAAACATACGAAGTGACTTTTCCTGCTTTATATAATAGCTAAATGTTTAGCTATTAAATCCCAAATATAAAGTGGTTTGTAAGTAAGAATTGAGGCTTTGCATGGTGGAGATACTAAATAATGAAAGGTTTGCGGAAACACCATGTGCGACTAATTTCTCAACTAAGAGAATGGTTCTGAACAGAACCAGAGGTATAAACTTGACGTTCCGGTCAGTATGCTCTGACCAGATTCTGACCGTCTTCACTCTCCTGAAGACGGTCAGAGCATACTGACTGGAACGTCGAGTTTATACCTCTGGTTCTTTTCAGAACCATTCTCTTAGTTGAGAAATTATTCGCACATGGTGTTTCCGCAAACCTTTCATTAAGTGGTTTGTCGTTCTCTCCCTAATCATGTAGTTTAGGACCCTGTTCCAAGAGAAAGATAAGACACTTTTAGTTTGGGAACTTTAACCACAATAGTTAGTTACCAGCAGGAAAAGGAACTTTATATGTTTTAGTTCGCTAAAGTACCATATTGAATATCAGCAGGCTTGAATTGTAGAAAGAGGGCAGGGTCTTACTTTTAAATGGAAAAAAGTATGGGGTAAAATGGTGACAGCGCCTGATCTGCTGTGACTCGCACGTCTCTAAGTAAGTGCTAAAGCAGGTAAGAAAGTCACATTTTCTTCCAAAGTAGGCCTAGACATTGCTAGCTCAGCTAGGGGCCAACTAATCAAAATACCAAACACCTACATTAATCTCAATAAAAGACTACTTGGGGCTGCAATGGTCATTTTGAAAAAAATTGACAGTCATTTGCAACTGCCAAAAGTTACTTTTGAATGGAACAAGTTAAAAAAAAAAAGTAACCTAAGCCTCAAGATTTATACCGTTCTCGTGCTTGAATGGAACAGGGTTCTAAACTACCAAGTACATGATAACCATCTCACCATTCACACATACATTTATTTCGTTACAGAATATTGCAACCTGACGCCACATTTTCATCATATATAGTATCTCAATGAAGGTCAGTCGGCAAGATTACCATATGCGAAGTTCACTAATTTTCCTCTGTATTGACTAACAAGCCCCCAGAAAGCAATTTCATGTCATCAAAGTCAATTTGAGCAGTGAGAAAATACAAGCATTTTCTTAGAAAACACTTAGAGTTTTTCAGTCCACTCTCATAGGGTTTGAGTGAACTTCGTATATGAAATCTTTCCGGTCAGTCATTGAAAAAATGTTGCATTAAATATCATCGACTGATCGAGTCAACATAATTGACACAGATAACGCTTGCAACGCACGCGCATTGTCCAACGCAAATTGAATGCGAGTGCGTCAAAACATATCCTTGTCGTTTTAGGTGGACATGGTGGACTGACGATAAAGCCTTTTAAAAAGGACATGAAATAAATCTGGGACTGAGAAACATTTTCAATTTTGTTAGAAAAGTGACCTTTGGATACTACATTCTTTCCATTAAACTTGTTCATCAATCATTGATTTCCAACCCGACCGCAAATCACCTTGGCCTTGCTGCATTTGCGCAGGTTTCCCCAAATTTAGCAGCTCTTTCAAAATCTGTGAAGCATCAGCATGATCACTGTGATGACTGCCGCTCCTTGAGCCACTTGAACTGTTGAAAGAGTGATCCATGTAGTCTCAATTTCGCTATTTTGTTATGCGATTATAACTCAACAAGACAACAGTCTCAAGATTGTCATTAACTTTCGTGCCGCGCACTTCGCGCATGCCGCATGCACTTCGCAAGAATTGGACTGCGCATGTACTTTGCCCTTTGAACTTACAGGTCAAATCACTTTCAATTAAACTGACCATTTCCCCCAACAATTAACTGTGAAAAATGTAGCTGAAGTATCCATGTCCTTACCTGTATTCACACTTTCTTTTTTTGTCTACGTAAAAATTTTCCGGGAAATTATTCTCTATTGCGATAGTTAGGGGAATTCCAGTATCCCAGAATGCCTCAAAATCCAAGATGGCTGCGCCCATGGCGCTTTTTCGGAGATGTGTTTAAACAAAAAAACAATATTTTCCTCTTGTTTTCTGCTTTGGAATTTCCGACTGCCGTATGGTTGTTAAGCGTGTAGTTGTACACGACAAAATCAAAATAAACCGTGCAACCTTTAAGGTTAAAATTACCTAATTGAATTGTCGTTCACATTGAACGTTACGCGTTGAGCACGGTTAGTGACTCGGCGCAAGAGGGCGCTGTTTCCTATAGCGCCAAACTGAAACTTTATTGGGTTTTTGGGTGTTGGCAGGGTTAGTGTGATTTTGCTTTTCAGTAATTAATCGCGCTACTGTTGGGTAATTAGATGGAAAGAATGTTACATCCTGACGCCAGTTTTTCAACGTATAGTTTCTCAAAGAAGTTCATTCATTGCAAAACTGTTGAAAAGACATGAATCTGGGACAGTGAGAAACATTTGTTGGACATGTTGGAAAATACATGTACTTTTGAGTTTGAAAATGCACTGGATAGTGGATGGACTCTGCATTAGAAAAAGAAGGGTTTTTTATGTATATTCTGAATGATGCCTGATCATGGCCAGTCATTGCAAATTGTTGCATTTAATATAATTAATATCCTGAGTCTGAGCATAGAGTGTGAATTCCTGATTAGCTTGTTAAGCTGGACATGCTGGAGTTACTCAAGCTAAGTCTGAGGAAGGAAAACGGACATGAACATTGTCATTGACAGATTTTAGTTATTAATAACAACATGAATTTGCAAATTTTTTTTTTTGGGGGGGGGGGGGGGTTTGGAGGAATCACTCAATTCTACATGCCACAATCATTTGACAATCACAACCAATGTGCAAAACCACCGTAGTCATGGAAGTGGTGTCGGATATATTACCTGGCATAGTGAATGTTGTCAATGTCATGATATCAAATCGGAAAGAATTCCATACATGGACATCACTAATTTTTCCCTGCTGTGACCTATCGGCCATCAGAATTTAACATGTCCTAATTAAAAAGTCAAATTTAGCAGGGAAAATATTGAAGCATTGACTGAGAAAACTCTTAGAATTTTTCAGACCAGTCTCGTAGGGTTTGTGCACAGAGTGATGTCCAGTCTTTCCATCATATTGTCTGTTTAGACTCTCAGTAACTTCAGACCCTACCAATACCTAGTCCACTGCCTGGACTGTTCTCGTGCGATCAATCGAGAGTGCGCCCCCACATGCGCCTGACCCAAGCCACTGCACGTGCATACAGCAGACTCTCACACCCGTTTTTTTTTCTCCAGGCGAGTGTTTGTGGAGAGGGCGCCCTACTGGGTCTGTGACCAAAAACAAAAAACAAAACAAAAAGTCCAGAATCTGGACTAACCAATACCTGATATTCGTACTATTTCTTTTGTAAATGTTTATTTTACCTTGAACGGTCCTGCTTTTTTCCCTTTCTTAAGCCAGCAGCATTGTACAGCATTACCTTAGCAAATATCGGCAAGAGCTGAGAAAATGGAAGAATCTATCCTCCATCTCGGAAAATCTACCATCTTGGGATTAAAAAAAAGGGGCCTCCTTTTTTCGAAAAGTCAGGAGGCGTAACTAGTTAGAGTTTTATTTGGCCTAATGGCCCAAAAAATGTATGTCATGATTTTGGGAAAAGAGCAGGCTTGGAATTTGCCCATTTTGCTTTCCTACAGTGCTTTGTGTCTGTTATGCAAAATCCAAGCAGAATTGCAACAATGTCATACACCTGCCAAATAAACTATATGTGCAGGTTACACAAATATAAAATGAAATATGTAATCAAAGTGACATGCCAAGCATTCACCAATTATTTTCAGCTACTGCTTGTGAAAGACAACCAGTTCTGCGATGAGTAAGATACTGCTTAGAGACTGATGAACGGTGTCTATAGTTCCAACAAGCCCCAGCAGATGAGGCACGTGACGGCACAGCCCCTGTCCGAGCAAGGCTGGGGACGCTGCCAGGCAGGGTTCCATGGCGTTGATATTGGAGTGGAGGAGACGACGGGAAGAAGCAACCAGAAGAGAAAACGGTCCAAGACAATGGGTCTGGAGTCATCAGCTGGTAAGAATCTCTTGCAGCGCGCATCATAAAGCACAACGGGGTCCCGGACCTAGAAGTTTTATGATGACGTGTTGACCATCGTTTGACTAGCAGCATTCACACATTGCTATTAGTGCACAGGCGTATGTTATATCATGAATCAACCACTAGTGGACTAATGGTCCGAACTTGCTCTGAAATTTAATGTCATTTGTATTTAGACATTGTCACCCTTGCTTACAGAATTTGTTGACTTTCACCATCCTAAAAGAGACCCTCCATTTTTCACTGTATGTTTATCAGTTGACATATGCATGGTTTAATAATGTGTAAGTTACACAGGGAAAAACGTTATGACACTTTGGTGGCTGCTTTACAATGACCTCACAGGGAACTATAGATCATTCCGAGCACGCTTTCACTGTACATTCACTTCAATGGTGAAGAATTGTGCTAGCTATCTGGCTATTGTACAAAGCATCGATCTGCAGCATGAAGGATTATCTGAGCAATAGCTGGCAATACATGTAGTTCAATTCCAACGAACAGAACTTTGAAATTAGGCCTAATCCTCTTCACTTGCTTTTGATCATACCCCCTCAGACAATGAACAATGTTCTCTAGACATTGACTGGAGCTCCAGCAGTGACAGTCCCTCAGATACAGAGCCCCTCCTGCATCAGAAAACACCCCAAAACGCCCCCAGGAAATCCCTCAAAAGGAAGAAAAGCTGTGGGGAGTCAAGACGTAGGATCAACCGGTGGTCTGTGAAGGGCAAAGCCTCTTTTGAGGGTGATGATGTTGACATCACTGATGAGGAGGACAAACATGAAATAGCAGTTGAAGGAAGCTGGGTGATGATGCCTTCTTCAGCAGCTAAGAAGCTTGAGTCCTCCCCAGAAGACAAGAAGGTATCATCAAGATATTAAGAAGTCTTCTCATTAAATATCCAGCAGCCGGTTTCACAAAACTTTACGCAATGGCAGAGCTCCACTTGTGCAACAATTTATTGAGTAAGTTGCGCAACATTTCATGCTGCATTACATTTCAGTTGTGACAATTTCACGAAAGTTTCATAGTGCCTAAGTCCGCAACCTGTGCAACAAATTATGGCGTAACTTGCACAATCATTTTTGCTGGCATAAGTTGTGGTGTAGCAACTGAAAATGAACTATTTTACCAACAAATCGTGATTGTCGTGGAGCCTGTTAATGACAACTTATCAAGGTTGATGCAAGACACTCACAGCTTTGTGTTTGAAGTATTAAGTGTTTAGTGAGTTAATCTTTGACCACGACTCTTTGAGCATTTCGCTCATAAGTTTTCTGAATCCTGCAAAATCCACCACTGTGTGGATAAGTTATGGTACATTCCTTGTGTGAAGGGTAACGGGGAAAGGTTATATTTGGGACCCCAAAGACACCCACCCACTCTTAGAAACTTGATTTTTCTTTTTTAATATAGTTTTTTTTTTTTTACATTTAACCAACACCTGTGTCTTGATGTCTACTTACTGAGGCTGGAATAATATAATTTTTAATAAACCATCATGACAAAAAGAAACTGGACGGTACAATTTACAGTTTTAAAGAAAAATTTATTGAAGAAATTATGAAGTTGTAAGCTACCCACTACAACATTAAATTTATGTCGATCTTTTTAATCTGTAGACACAGCTGGACATTTCTGACTACGATTCCCCATCAGAGGATCAAGTCACCACCACGTCAAGCTCTCAGCAGGTAGGAATTAACTTCCCTTTTGCAGTTTTTATCAAAACACTGAAACTTTCAGATTGCTTAGAGCCACTTTCATGGGTCACTATTAAATAAACACAAATGAAAAGAAATTAATTGAGTTTCCGTTAAGATTCATTGGTCCCAGAGTGCACAAACTTCTGTTAAAACAAATTCAGAATGGTTATTCACCGGAAGTCTTTTCATGCATCTGGTCTACATAATGGGATGGATTTTCAATTAGCCCATTCATTTGCATTATGTGGTAATCCTATATGACAGCACTGCCCAGTTCTCTTCACTAGGATGGCCCTTTTGGACCAGCAAAGGTATAAATAAAGTGGATAAAGTTATTGTTTTTCAATTATTTCCAGGCCTCCAGTTCCCTGCACATCTCGGACCAGTCCCCTACCCCTCAGCCGTCCCCCGATGCAAGCCCATCTAAGGAGAGCCCTCGGACTGGCACCGAGCTGCTGAAGAAACTCAAACTCCCTGCAAAGACTCCTGACAAGAAAGATGATGCAAGGGGGCCGGGTGGGGGTGGCGACTCGGCCAAGAAGAAAAGAAGGTTTATTAGGTAATATGTACTATCGTTAGCAGCCCAGGCAGGGAGCTAGACAGAAAGGTTTCAGAGTCTAAAACTGGCTTTTGCTCATTACTGACATAAGCATTGTATTCTCAGTGTTGTGCAGCCGAGTAAACATATTCTCAAGCCTGCATGGGTGGGACTGGAACCCTTGACTCTCTTCGTATTTGTGCAGATGAATAACCATTCAACAAACGAGCTGGCCGGGGTCGGTTGCCCAATTTAAACCTGATATAGCAGTATTTACCACAATGAATGAATGGTATGATAAAATCTTACAAGTCTAAACATTAACCCATTAGTACCTATACTACTTGGTATATTCACTGAAGAATCCTTAAAACCAAGTTGGTTTTGGGGTGCTACAGGGAGTAAAATGTAAGGTAGTTTGGTGCTATATAGGGGCTGTGGGTTAAGTAATATTTCTGGGTCTGCTTTTTGGAAGTATTTTGGGTTTCAGACAATTTGTGTACAATTCACAGAAATTGTCTGGATTTTTTTCTTCTTGTTTTATTTTATACTTTGTGCAGGATCTCAGAAGGGAGGGGGGGGGGTTGCTGACATAGGCCACAGAGCCGCTTATCCCTTATGTAACAATTATAGGAACCAACAGTTTAGCATCTTTTTATCAGTATGTATGTCAACATTTCATTTCAAATTAAACAGGAATGCGTTAAGTTCTGAGATGCTTTATTCATCCTCAATGAAAACGTATCATTCGTAACATCAATTAAAAGGCATGCAACGTTTCCTCAGATTTTTTTCTTCTCATGAATACCATTACAAATTGAAACACACTGTACAAAGTCTTGTGTGATTTGGAATTTCCTTCGTTGTTTCTAAATTCCCAGCTGCATGCCTGAACAATGTGTAGTTTCATTAAAGTGTAGGAAAGACTGCAAAAAACTTTTTAGCCAATTACTGAATAGACCTATCCATTAGGCCCCGCCCCCTACGCCTGTGGGCAACACCTCGTGTGCCTCTCCAGTGCCACAATGCACGTTCCTGCCATACACATCATACGCGTGTGCACGCATGGCGGAGTTTCATGCACATATGTTAGACATAAATCATGGCTGTGATTGGTCAAGATGCCATTAGCCTATTTGAAATATGACGGAAACAATAGGAGTGTGCTGTTTTATTTGGGTAACGTCTTTTATATGATCAGTCTATTGTGATCCCAGGTGGGATTGAATAAAGCAATCTTTAATTTTTTGAAATTGTCTGTTTATTCTGAAGGGGTGGACTGGCAGAGGGATTACAGAGAGTCATCAACAGAGAGAAATCATCCACAGCATTCTGGGGGCATCGTACTGCGGACACCACAACACCTCGTAAGATAGCATGCAGAATATTGTAGTATTCCCAAGATTGATATATATTTGGAATGTTGGAAACAAAATACTTAACTGCGATTACGCTGGGTCTTATGATAACTGGAATTTTGCATTAAATGCCTAGAAAACCGGCATTCTGGAATTGTGTAATTTTTCAGGCCACAGATATGGACTTGAAGTTTCAGATTGCATCAACGAAGTTACTTGAGTTTGTTTTACCAGACGAATGGTTCTGATCCACTGTCATGCTTGGAACAATTACATTTTAACTTACAACAATTACATTATAACTTACATTTTGCAATCTAAGCCACAAAATGCATCCTTAACAGCAAATGAGCAAATGAAAAAGCATCAGTTTTCTAGGAGACAATCTTGAATTTGTTTCTTAAAGTTTCAAAAAATATAAGAGACGAAGACTTGAAGATGTGCATGATTGTCAATAATGACTCTGTAAGGATTTTGAAACTGCACCATATATATGTATGACTTTCTATTTTCTTTGGGAGTTGTGTGTGATTCTAAGAAACCGGATAATTCAATGTTTTGAACAGTGATGTGTTTCTCCAGAAGATGAAACTGAATAACAGTCGACTGGTTTGCTCAAAACATCACAATTCACTGAAGAAATAATCCAACATGTTTCCACAGATAAATGCTGTACTCATGTTTAGAGGCACATCCCAAAAATCTCAAGTAGATATCATTTTTGTTTTCCAGAGAGCTTGACGCTGGACTTGCTTGTCCTATCCGTTGAGGAGGCGAGAGGGTTATATGTGACGCGATGCCAGATGCGCACTTTGACCTCTGATGATGAGGTCACCGAGGAGATGTTTGTTCTGTTTACTCAAGCCAACGGGAGGCAGCTGAAGCTTGCTGTGGGGTCAAGGGTCAGAGTTCACCCTCCATGGTAGGTAGTCTGGTTTTCAGACCCAAAGATTCTGCCTACAATTAATACGTCAGATAGGCGCCCATTTTCAAAAATATATGAGGTTTCCTGAATACGTAGTCATTGACACCTGCATTTGTTCGTAATAGCTCTAGACTCCATCATGCTATTGGAGGCACTGTTATCAAAGCAGAGGACGTCGTGGACATTTCCAACAATAGGTGGCTCTCTTAATTGCGACTTATTTGCTTACAGACACACTATTTTCCCCACCCCTGCGCTAGCGATGCCTGTACTGAGAGACATTAAATGGGAGTGTCTCTCTTTTGTTATAATTTTAAGGCAAAAGTTGACTCTACCCAACTACAAGGAGCCTGTGATTCTCTGCACATATTTCTGCCAGTCGCTGGATGGTTCAGATGAATCAAATGCACCAACTCAGCCTTCAGTTCCAAACAAAACAGCTGGGATGTCTTCAGACAAGGTATATGGACAAAATGTCTGACTTTGTGTGTGTGTGTGGCATTTCAGTGTAAATGATTTTTAAAGGTTTTTTTATTGTATCATCATACCAGCACAACAACGGGGACTTTTCTCACTCGGTCAGTTTCGACGATCGCATGACAGTTCATTTTCTTTTCTTCAAGCATTCTGATGGACTCATGATTTCAGGAATTCCATCCAGGTTCAAAGTCAAAAAATTTGGAGCAATGTTCTTTCTTTTTCAAAAACGATTTTGTAACAAACTCGCTCGATAAAATGACAGAACGAAAGTGATGTACGCATGTGAGGTGTGTAAACCGAACAATAGGTGCATTGTTAATGCAACCACAGACCCAGTTAAAATTAATGACGTCCTGGAAATATCCTAGCGTTGATTTACGAAGCCGCTGATGTGGTTTATGCAGCTTTTTATTTTTCTTTTGAGCAAGTAATCCACCATTGTACAGAAGCAAGTAGGCATCAGGTGGTCACTTTTCCTGGTGGCTTGTGGTCGTTGTGTACAGATTTCAGACTCCGTATGGAAGCAACATGAGTGGTCGTTGGTCGCTTTAAGCAGGTGGTCATTATATACAGCATTTAAATAACAGGATTTTTCAATGGAGATTTTTAAATGGTTGTTTTGGACAGGTGGTGGTTGTATACAGGGGGTCGCTAAGTCGGGTTAATTGTAGTTTTACTGTTGGTATTTTTGTCAGAACGTTTTACTAGAAAATCTGTGATGGGCCTTTGATGTTGACTACTGGTATTCTCAGGTCAATGAGGATATATATCTGTGGAAAATAGAAATACCAGTTTAGAAATGTGGGGAAAATACCATCTGTGAAATAAGACCCAAAGTGTGGGAAATTCATAGAAATAGTAAGGAAATCCCGGTGTAAAGTATCCAGTGCAGAAGCCATTGTGCCAACCCAGGGTCATAGGATACGGAGTCACTGCGTAACAATCTTAACAACTTATCCTACCACTGTTTACATTTTCTTAATTTTTTCTTTTTTAATTTGAGCACTTGAATTTCATTGCATTTCCCCTTGTTGAATCTTTGAATAAAGTGCTGGGGCGGTATAAGGAGTAACAAGCAGGGCAGTTTGGGATGGTTTTCGGGACTGATTTTGACACCCATTTTTTATCTCTAAGACCAAATTTGCTTGATTTGGATGTCTTACTTTGAAAAATTTGACTTTAAAGGTAGGGTAGATCATTTGTCATTTGTGCATTATTTTCGTTTGAAGCAACACAGAAGTGCCCAAAATCTAAAGACGGGAGCTTAACAACTAACCTGATGAAGTTTTAGCTCAGTCAATGCTGTTTATGTCAAGAAAACAATATTCTAGGATCTTGATTTCAATTCAAAAGTTTCATGTTCTGAATTGCTCCCTAATTCAGCATTTGGAGCATGTTCTTATTCGGCCCATTGCAGCTACGCGATGTCACGCACTGAACTGACGAGTTATAGCAACGGCGTACGCGCGAGCATCGTGTCAACGCTTGCGCACATCCGTTCATGCGTATTCGCCGAATTACAAAAATGTGTCACTTGATGCATCTTTAAAACTGGCCTTCTGTTATTGTTTTCTTCAAAATGACAGCATGCCAGAAAGAAGAATTTCATGCTAGGGAGTTTCATGCCATTACTATCTATAAACCAAGTAAGCTTTCAGCAATAATTTTGTCAGTTAATTTTTGGATAGCTACAAATGATCTGCTCTACCTTTAATAACTGTCAAGCTCTTTGATGTGATTTTTTATTTTCAAAACTGATTTTTACGTCCATTTCGTCCCAGCAACTGAAACCCATACAACTCTTCAACCCCCTCCAACCACACGCCAAGACTGAATCTACTCTGCAGTCGGTACTTCCAGATACTACGGAGGCCCCTTATGGCCATGTGTCAGATTCGTTCCTGGATAGTATAGCACAGAGCGGGGGATATACGACAGCTGGGATGTGTGTGAGAGCCAGGATTCACAGGGTGCACTGTCGTGGGATTAATGCTGAACCTATGTCACTGAACAGGTAACCAGACATTGGTGCCTTTATTTTCTGCAAAGGGTTTTGATCAATTAATTGAATCAATGGCAGGAGAGTGTTTAGGTTCATTTGTAGTAAGTGTAAGGTTAAACAAATTTAATTGACTGGACTGGGTTTTTAATCTTTGACTTCGTTAACACAACACTGTCAGTATTTTTTTAATTTGAGCAAATTATTCATTAGCATCATGAAGTACTGTTCCACTAAATGGAAATTTTCCCTTTCCCTTCCCCCCCCCCCATTATTCTTTTTATAAAGCAAAATCGTTACTCCATCTGCAAAAACATTTGTCTATCGGCAAAAGTGCCACCTACTGTCTGTTAGTGTCCAAGATCATAAAAGCATCCTCGGTAGTCAGATGATATCCAACCCCCAGCTACCCCCTCCCCATCCCCCAACCATATCTTCCAGCGTTGAGGGTCTGTCAGCAAATTTATTTTCGCATCTTTATTAAATTTCAAAAATTGAAAGGGCAACAACCTAATATTGATTTACATCACCCGACGCAAATTCCATCTTATGAATAGTATTCAAATTTGTTTGGCGATGCCCCTGCTCAAAGCTGTGTGCACAAAGTCATGTTGTTCCACACATGGAGCTCTCACAGGTTGCCACCAAGTCCTATCTACTGTTCATGCCAAGATTCATAGGGGATTCCACTACTGTCTGGGATTCCAGTAACTGCAGTAGGTGTAATCAGAATAAAAGAAAGTATCAGAAAGGTAAGAACCATTTTCTGTTTTGATACAGGAAGCAAGAAGAAACCAGCAAACCTGCTCAGGAACCATCATTAAGGGTAGCTCAGTGGGTCCTCCTATTGCAAGACAACCATGGAATATTCTGTGAACTTCATGTGACCCTTGGAAACACTGGAGAGGAGGAGGAAGAAGTTTGGAGGCGGAGCCTGAGAGGAGGGGAGGGGAAGATGATGGTGTTTGCAGGACTCAAAGTCATGAGACGAGTCAATCGAACAAGGTAATGTTGGATGGTCAAATATCACCAGTATCAGAAATGACTTTATATATTTACAAAGCAGCGATACTTGATATTTGGTTTTGCCTGTCACAAATTGTTTATCCATTATTGTGAGATGAAATTTGAATGCTTGTTCTTGTAGGACTATCTAACCCACTATCTTCGGCTTACCCATGTCGAAGTCTTGACCAACGTTTTTGCTGGATTGAGTGGACTATTTGAGTCAGATGTAGAGCAAGTTATGCACTTCGTGAAGTTCGCATCAGAAAAATGTAACTTTGATTACTGTAGAATTTCTCCATAACAAACACGATTGGGTCCACAAAAGATTGATTGGTGTGGACTCCGTGCACAAGTACCCCCTCAACGGTTGAAAAGGGAGAGTTGGGGAGACCATAGGGAGGGGCGTTTGAATGTCCAATGCTCCAGCATGGCTTTGTGCATATTTAGAATAAACTTAGTCATGCGTACTTTGCACCATTAGTGCATTCAAGTACGTGCACACAGTGTGTCCTCACGCTGGGGCTTTCAAAGTGGTCAAGGTGCCATTTAATATTTGTGCACGGAGCCCATAGCAGGCCTTTACAAAGTAATTTGCAATTGACCTATCGCAGTAGAACCGCGTTAGAATCACGTCAACGCAGCTTGTGAAATATTGTCCAATTACATGATATACAAATGGACGCGGAACGCGCTAAATCTGAGACAGTCAAAACTTAGTGTACAAAAACTCCATAGGGTTGTCTAAGGGGCGTGGCTAACTCGCAAACGGCGATAGGTCAATTCTTGCACTGAGTCCTAAGAACCCATCAAATATTCTCTGTTTTTATTGGTCCAGGTCTCCGGGTCTATTCTCTCTGATTGATTCCCTTTGGTCACCTTGTGAACATCCCATCAGCCAATCAGAGACGGAATCTCAGGTAATCTCTGGCTTGAAAAATTATCATTTGCTCATAGCAATGCCCTATACGAGAATGCTGGTGACAGCTAATCTCCTTAACAACATATTGAAAAAGAAATACATGCATGTATTTCAGATGGTCAAAGGAAAGTGTTTACCCAGTTCTATCTTGTAAATGATCAGTCGACTACTGCGCCTTGCACAATTGACAAAGAGAGGGTCTGGATACCATCTGACCTTTTGGGTGCTGTTGAAAGTGGACGATCTTTGACACTAGAGGACATAGGTGGTGCTATTTGTTTCAGCACATTTGTCGACAGATGCATGATTTCGCCAACAGGACGACAAGTTTGCCTACAACAATACGCCTTTTCGGAGTTCCAACTGCGCATTCATAACCTGTGACAACGCGCATTGTTTGTCTCAAATGGCCTTTGACATCATCGCGCCACTGACTTTACAAAAAGGCTGTTTGTGCATTGTGGGTACTGTCAAAGGGCATTTAAGACAAACAATGTGCGTTGTCACAGGTTACGAATGCGCGCAGTTGGAACTCCGAAAAGGCTTATTAATTGGGGGGATGTCTTCACTGAACACAGTGTGCCTAACTAAGCCATTCCTTTAACTCCCTATCGCTTGATTACCAGTCTCAAGGACTTGCATCACCACAGAGCTTCTGCTACATCCTGGGAGTGCAGACACTCAGGAAGACCCTCAGAGAAGAGGTGCCAGACAGGGTGAGAATACCCTACCGAGAACCAGTGATACACACATTGAGAGAAGTGCAACAGGTAGGTGCATATAATGTTATGAGGATCCAAAATAAAATCATTAAAACAATGTGTTTTAATCAGTACAGTGGTAAGCCCTCAAATAGTAACATGTTTTTTAGCTGGTAATGATAACCTGTTTTCTTTGTTTTTTTATAATTATGAAGTTGACCAGAGCAGACTTTAATCACTTCACGCTTGGATTATTATGACATTGACTGGACCCAGGTGCGGGATTGTTTTTCACGAACCTCGATGCCAGACGGGTTCAGGCCGTCATCTGCGGGTAGCACACCCTGATATTTCCGGCCTCGCTCGCTGCGAGCGGGTCGCAAGACAGATATTTCTGGCCTCGCTCGTTGTGTGTTTATGCGTCCATTCCGAATACCACAAAACCTTTGCGTGTATGCACGTCATCCAATGTGAACTGGTAAAATCTGTGACCTCAGGAATACCATACCAATGCTCAACCAACTGAGCTATCCAATCAGATCCAGCATTATATTAATGAGATGGAATCTGGATATCAGCTGGCCTGGTGTGATTATTACATTTGTTATGTAAAACTTTGCCGTAAATTGATTTTTTGTTTGGAATTTGTTTAGCTGTCTGAAACATCAACTCAGCGAGTGACTTTCTACGCCAAAGTGATTCACGGCCATCCAGAGACAGATGTTCACAATGTGATGCAGTCGCAGCTACAACAGCCAGCCGGCGGCAACTCAGTCTGGCACCTGTTCCTAACGGACCACTCGCTCAATGCTGAATCAACAGCAGAGGAGGAATACGAGTCGGGGATTGAGACAGGAATGGCCAGAAGAGGTGATTCAGCTGGTGCTGGTTGCAGTGGTTGGAGTCAAGGTGCAAGACCTGTTCACGTTCATGTCCGGGCCTCCTGCTATCTGATGGAGTCTGTGGAGGAAAGTTTGGCGAATCCTGGTAGTCTGGTGCTACTCAAGGATGTGTGCTTGGACCAGGGTTAGTCAGTTCATACAGTTGAAGTTTACTATATGTAACATAAAAGCTAACCACCACATTTTTAGGGGTTGGGGGTTGGGAGGAATTGTATGTTGTGCCACAGCATAGTGAACTTGTTCTATTTTTGTATACATTTTGCTGGATACGGTGGATCCAGGATTTTCTAAACGGGTGTCTGTCCCTACGTTAGGGTACAAAAGCATTTTTGCTTCACCAAAACCTAAATGTTGTCCTTTGTGTAATAATTTGATGTTATGCTTAACCTGTAATATTTCAAATTATTTAATCTGTAATATTTCAACTTATTTAACCTGTACATATGGATTCCTTTGGGGAACTAACCCAACGGGCCGGTTTTTACGTGCAACCTCTATGAGAGAATGCGGCGAAAAAATCATTAAAAACGGGCCTTTTTTCACATCTGTCGCCACCACTTCATTATTCGACAGGGTATACCTTAGATCTCACTACAGTGTGACCCTAACAATATACTCTGTCAGAAAATGAAACAAAAACTGAATAAAACACTGATTTTCACTCGCGAAATGATGTTAAACGCTGCATTTTTAGTCAAAAATCTCCCTGTTTTTGTGTGTAAACCACGGGTTCAGCCAAGAACTGGTCCATTAACATCATCACAGCGTTAAATAGCCCCACCTGGGAGCTTAGATCTCTCGAGTCATTTTTCTTCGTCTCATCAGCTTTCCAACAATATAACCCTTATTGTGATTGGTTAAGGTTTAGGCTCGCTTGTATTCATTTACTAAAGAATTGTTCATCTAAACTCCAATAAAATTTGCCGTTGCTCAATGGCTCAGCGCGTAGGGTCTGTTTATTGTACACGTGCTATGCAGTGCTAGTGTATACACACAGAGCCCAGGAGCTCTTATCTCTATGTGTCCAAGGTCATCTGGCTGTGCGCATTTGGCCGGTTTACATGGGGTCTTTTTGACCACAAAGGATTTGATATGATATTTCAACTTATTTAACCTGTAATATTTCAACTTAGTGTAAACACTGAACATTTCCTTTTCCAAGGACAGCATTGAAATAAATGTACTATTCAATCAATCAAAATCAATCAATCAATATTGAAGTTAAAAATTTTGTTTTGGAGGGGGGGGGGGGAATGAGGCATTGCAGTCCAGTTGCGGGTTCAGGTTTTCTCAAAGGGGACGGCTGGGATGTTGCAGTTAGACTTGAAGACTTGAAGCAATCAAGATTTATAAAAAAATCGGGATATTTTTATTATGTTAATTATCAACGCTTGTCAGTGGGAAGGGGGAGGGTGGGATGGTTAGCCACCCCTACCACCCCTGGATCTTCTCTTTAAAATGTTGAACCATGAACGACAGGTGAAATATGAGTACACTGTAAACCAGTAATTCTCCACAGGTGGTTCTCTGTATGCTGACGCCTATACCACAATACAGAGAGTTGCAAGTGAGAACAACAAGTCAAGCGACTTGGAGATGATTGAAACTGTCCACCTGAAAGATGACATCATCATCAGCAGGCTGTCACATGCTCCCATTCCACCAATCCCAGCCCTGGATCTTCACAGTGAGGAGAACACTATGGTTTCTGTGACAGGTATGAAGCAAGCTTTCAGTAAATGAATTTAAACAATCAGGGGTAGATCTGAGTTGAGAAATGGAATTTGACCTATGTGAGAAATAATGAGTGAGAAACTTTCTTCGCACTTTACTGAAATGGAATCTACCATTTTAAGCTATTGCAAAAGAATAAAAGTGACACTTGCATTTTGCAGTGTGGGTCATCATTTGGTTGTCAAGATAATGATCATTAGCCTATCAGTGAGAGGAATGAAATTTTTGAATGTTGCGGCAAAAATGTTAGCATTGGAATCTGTCGTTTTATGATTTGTTTTTCGGTTTTGTTTTCTCTTGGCCAGGAGTGGTGACGGGAGTTGATGAGGCGTCAGCTTACAGCTGGCCAGCATGCGACACCTGTGGTAATAACAGACTGGAAGCAGAGACTAGCAGGTACATCAGTTAGGTAGTTTGATCAGAACTTCAAAATCGTGATGGATGGCAATTTTTTTTACGCACAAGCAAAAAAAACTTGTAAGTGATTTTTTTTATTAACATGCATTTCTGCGAAATAGCCTTCAGGGATTAATTATTTTGAACCATTTTCCGTTTCTAATAGTGGTTCCCAGTTGCATTGTGGGACGTGTCAAAGGTCAGTGACGTCACCCATAACTCGGATGCATCTGGAGCTGTTTTTCCATTGTCCTTCGCTGGATAACGAGGAAGCCGTTGTCAAAGTTCAGGTGAGATGACCGCAACTGTAGGCCTCACTATTTCAGCTAACAAAGATTTTTTATGAGCTTTTGTCAAAATTTAATCAGGTTGGTAGAGTGCCGGAACGGCAATCCATCGGTCCTAAGTTCAAGCCCCGCTTCAGTCATTTTCTTTGTTCAACTTTAAATTATTAAAATGCACCCAGTCAGTTTGCCTTTGTGGTTGAATCAAGTCTGATTTGTACTGAAATAGACCATATCAAATAGATCCTCCGTGTTACAACAAATACCATCTACTTTTCCTGCAAGGAGTCAATATGAATCTGACAGGGCTTTCGGAATTGGCCCTTAAAGTGTAGTGATATTGATCATTCAAAACAATTTGGGTACAAAATATGATGACAAAGTTAATGGCAAAGTAATGGAGAGTTGAAATTTGCTTTTGATTTCAGTTGCTGCAGTCCAGCATTGAACAGGTCCTGCCCACACTCAGCAGTCAGGAAGAAGGCTACGACCTGCAGTGCATCATGGGAGTCCACATTGGACCAATCAGCTGCTTTCTGAAGACCGTTGCTAGGCAACCTGGTGAGCCAGTCACCTTTGACCTTGAGGAAGTGTCCCTCGGGGCCGGGACTTGATTCATTGATGAGAATCAGGAAGATTGGTTTGGTTTTAATGTTAAGAATCTGTAATAGAGATCACTCTTGTTGACTGGGGTTTGTGGCCTAGTGGTTAGGTTTCCTGACTCGTGATCAGAGGGTCAGGGGTTCGAATTCTGATGCTGGCCACCGGCCTATTTTGTGTCCTTGGGCAAGCCACTTCACCCCAATTGCTTTTCTACCCCCAGGACCATAAATGGGTACCGGCATTAGCTGGGGAGTAACCTGTGATGGACTGGCATCCCATCCAGGGGGAATAGAAATATTCTCAGTCGTTTCCTGCCAAGGAAACGGGAGATAAACGCAGGCATGATGGGCTTTATTGGCTCGAGACAGATTTTACTTTTTTACTTCAGATGATCACCGAACAGAAGTTATGCAGTCTTTAACAATTTGAAATATTAACTGCCCTTTCCTATACTTGAGTACGATTTGTTTTTGAAGCCAGACAGTCACTGTTCAAACGTGTTCAACAGAGTTCAGAAGAGGACCCTCCCCCTTTCAAAAAAACACATTCTACAATGAAGCAAGCTATACAAATTTTACAGTTTTATTTTCTTTACGAGCACATATCAGAGAAAAATAGAAGACCTTCAATCCACACAATTAACCTAAGAAAAACCTCAAATACTTTGAGGTATTTCTACCGTTAGTTGAATAGGGCATATAGAGCAAATTTAAATGAGGATGTTGTATCAATGACATTTGGGGTAAAAATGGAAGTGAATCAAATGTTATTGATGTAAGTTTACATGTTGCTACAATTCTAAAATTAGTTTTTAAAGATTGGAGTAAAGTTACTTCATTGCTTCAATAAACGCGGTATTTCTCAAGTCTTAGTGCACAGAAATATATCATTGTTGCAGCATCCTGATTCGTTTAAAATGCAGTTGACTCTCGTCAGTGGCGTAGCCAGGAATTTTTCAGTGGGGGGGCGCTGGGGGGCTGGAACATTTCATGGGGGGGGCGTCATGTAGGGGCGTCAATCGCTTCTCAAAAGTGGGGGGGGGGACATACCTTGATCAGAACTGATGTGAAGCGCGAAGCCCTTACGGCGTGGGGGTTCGAGGCCCGCTTAAGGGCCCCGAAAAAAATTGGATTGTAGATGTTCTGTGGTGTGATCTGAAGCAATTTCTTACCACTTTCCTCCATGCTTTAACTAATATTTTCTTAGCAAAAGATAATTATTTGAACATCGTTTTCGAGGTTGGAGTCATTGAATCAGCTATCGGTATTCTGAGCTATAGGCGTGGGGTTCGGGGCACGCTTAAGGGCCCCGAAAAAAATTGGATTCTCGATGCTCTGTGGTGTGATCTGAGGCAATTTCTTACCACTTTAACCAATAATTATCTTAGCACAAAAGATAATAATTTAAACATAATTTTCGAGGTTTTCTCAGCTAAAGGCATAAGAAAATTTTTTGAACATTGTTTTCGAGGTTGGAGTCATTGAATCAGCTACCAGAATTCTGAGCTATAGGCGTGGGGTTCGGGGCCCGCTTAAAGGGAATATACATCATTTGCTTTTGCTGTAATTTTCAGAAATGGATGGAATTGGGGGGTTGGAAATATATAGCAAATATAGTTACACTGACTTTTTTGAGGTTTTGGGTTAGAAAATGCTATAAAAACCAAGAAAAACAATCATTTTCCTGTAGTCTGGTTCCCTGACTCCATTTAAGAAGAAACAGAGCAGTTTACATACATTGGGGAATTGTAAGGTCAGGGAACCAGTCTAGCTGGCTTGTACCCGTTCATAGGTGTGTAATCGATTGCAAACAAGTGCGATGGTCAACTGGGGCCAGTATTTGAAAAAAAAGGCAGTTTTTTCCAACGCTGGTCGGCCGATCAGCGTTGGAAATTGATACAAAAATACCACTTTTCTTGAGAATGACAGTATACCAGGTGCCATGATTTTACAGGATGCTTTACACTGTCATTCACTAACAGTCAAGCAAGGTATTTCAAAATGATTTGGTAGTTTTATTTTTTGATGTTTGCAAATGTTGTATTTTCCCTTTAAGGGCCCCGAAAAATTTTGGATTCTAAATGCTCTGTGGTGCTATCTGAGGCAATTTCTGACCACTTTAACCAATATTTTCTAAGCAAAAGATACATTGTAGTACATAATAGGGACCTGTAAATGAGACACGAGTTCAAAAATCTGGGGGGGGGGACATTTGATATTGTGTCCCCCACCCTTCAAAAGTGGGGGGGGGGGGACCCAGTCCCCCTGTCCCCCCAGGATTGACGCCCATGGCGTCATGTAGATCAATGATAATTTTTTTAGAAACTCAAAATCTCAGGGGGGGGGGGGGGCACGACTGGGGGGCGACAAGGTTTCATGGGGGGGGGGGGGGCTGTCGCCACGCGTGGCCGATCGGATTCGCGTGATATCGTTGACTGAAACTGTGTGACCCACGGACCACCTGTCTATAATACGTGTTCCGTGGTGTGAGCGAGCAGTGCAGTGGGTGTTAATACGCATTTTAGATTATCATTATGCGCTATGTCACGCCGGTTGTCAGCTTACTGGTCCGCGGTCGCCGGTCGAAGGGTCGTTTCTCAGTGGTCATCATGTGGATCATTCGCGACTATTTAGATTTAGATCAATGATAATTTTTTTTAAAACTCAAAATCTCAGTGGGGGGGGGGGGGGGGCGACTGGGGGGGCGACAAGGTTTCATGGGGGGGCGGTCGCCCCCCCCCCACGCCCCCCCGGTGGCTACGCCACTGACTCTCGTGAATACAGACCTTGTTAATACAAATTTTGGTTATAGTGAACATAAGGCCTGTGACTGTGCATTTATGTGCACAATGAATGGGACTGATGCTCCTCTTAATACAAAATTCTGATATAACAAACATATTGGCTATAAAAAGTCCAGCTGATTTTATATTCAGAGTCGACTGTATTATGGCCTGTTGACAGTTTGTTGTTGCCTATGGTCTTGTAAACCACACTGACTGACTGACTGTCAATTATTAGACTTGATCAAGTCTCACTTTGGCCCCAATTTTTAGGAATAGGATTACCCCGCAATGTCAATATGTTGGCTAATCCGTTTTAGTGTGAAATGTGGACTTGATGTAATACAGACTCATTAGTTGTGGTGCACATGCCTCAACGAACATAATAAGGACACAGTCAGGTCATGTGTGAGTCTTAGATTCCATATAAGGTAAAAAAAACCCAGATTTCTTAGGAGTACAAATTTCATATGACACCGGCCCATTGTTTAGGCCACATGCATGCAAACATTTGCCAGTGAATCACCATTCTGAACTGATTGTGCACTCTGGGTACGGCTGTACTATGAGGCTTGCATTGTCTTATTATTTTCTGAAAGTTTGTTTTTTAAAGTAAGTTAGACTGATACTGAAAATGAAATGATCGCTGTGTGACGGCATTTTCGCTGGGATGGTGTTGTTCTAAGGCAGTCCCTTGTCTTGTTTTGAAACTGGACATGGGAACTGGACAAGAGCAGTTGCACTTTCAATGACAGAGTTAAACATTACATAACTGATAGTGATACCGATAAGCTTCCTGCATCTCTGTTCAATTTCTGCAGGTGTTTTCCCTGTCCGCATTTTGGATGTAAAATTACTCAACACTGCTACCTGTGACTCACGTATATACCATATTTTTTAGTTGTTAAGTTAAGAGTGTTTACTGTGAATGATTCTATGGTGTATTTTTCATGATACTGTTTCCTTATATTGTGGCAGAATACACTCTTCTTCCTGGTCAGAATTGTGGTTTTTTTTTCATATTTTATTAAGAGTTCTCTTTTTGTGGTTCAAGCACTTCTTTCTAAAAGCAATTAAAGCTACTGTAGAATGACTTGTTTGTTTTTTTGGTTTGTTTTTGCAATAATGTAGATTTTACTCTGAAAGTAATTGTATTCAAATGAGGCATGTGAGTTCTTTCAATTGTACTTGTTCCTTTTTTTTCAAGTGAGGGACTCTCCTAAGTGTTCAAAGTTACAGCTGCCTTTCGGTCAGTTTAAACTCTCACTTGGGTACTACTACAGTGGCATAACTAAGGGGGTGTGTGGGGGGGGGTGTTACATGACCCTTCTCCCCCCCCCCCCCCCCCCCCCCCCCCCAGCAGATGTCCATACTTCGCGAGTCAAAAAAAACGAATCCCAATTGTCGGGACTATTGTTTTAGGCAAGTTCTGTATGTTGCACTTTCAAAAACTAGGATATTAAAGCCCAATGCGTAAGCTTTCTTTTAGTACAAGAATCATTCAAATCACTCATGTACTTTTCAAGTTACGGAATTTTAAACACAACCACCGTTTAAAAGTTCTGTCCGATCCACGGATCACTAAAAAGTGTGCGTTTCTTTCAGCAAGACGAAAACAATTCACACACATCCCTATATGTGATTTGTTACTTCTTCTTTTTTCCGTGGACAGAACCTTAAAACGGTGGTTGTGTTTAAAATTCCGTAACTTGAAAAGTACATGAGTGATTTGAATGATTCTTGTACCAAAAGAAAGCTTATGAATTGGGCTTTCGTATCCTAGATTTTGAAAGTGCTACATGCAGAACTTAAACACAATAGTCCCGACATTTGGGTTTCGTTTTTTTGACTCGCCCTGTAGTTACGCCGAATTCAGTTTAAGTCAGTTAAGTCAGTTTAACCTAGAGCTGATTTAGCACTTATCATAATGAACTGAAGTTGTTTCTGACTAATGTCCAGCCCACGGGTCTTGTTAAGCTGAAATGTGAGAAAATATGGAATTTATTCCTAGGCACTTTCAAATATTGTTTTGCTGCTAACGGAATATAAATCAAAAAAGTGATTAAAACTGCTGCAAAACTGCTTACCGACTGGATCGACCTGAATATGTACACATCAAAGAAGTGCGATAACGTTACGTTTCGACCCTTAGGCCAAAACAAAAAAGTCTCCGGTTTCTGGTATGCGCGCGCGTCGCCGTAGCCATGCGCATCGGCAAAATGAAAAAGTTTTTTTTTTCAATGAAAGATGATGTCTCAAAACCGCCAAACTCACTGGTTTGACTGGAATCCTGCTGCCGCACAATTTTAACGTGTTTTTAGATGGGGTTATGATCGAGAATAAGCTTTATTTGGCCTCTCTGGACTCCCATATATTTGCACTAAGTTTAGTCGGGCACCATTTGCAGTCATCAGCCGACATTTGAAGCCGAAAAAAAAAACAGGTAAAAAAAAAAAAAGCCGCGTCGCCGCACCACTTTTGGGGCAAGCTCCATACCAGAAACCGGAGACCTTTTTTTGGCCTTAGCAAGATCAGTCTGAACAATCCTGATAGGTTGGGTCGAAACGTCATCGGGTTATTGAACTTTTTTGATAGATGTATAGTTCAGGTAGTATTCTTACCCAATTTATTCAAAAAAAGAAGGAAAAAACAAGGAAATTTCGACATTTCGTCTATCTTAAGTACCAGGCTTTAAACAATTGTATCAATTTGTCAACGACTAACAGACAAATATATCTTCAGGAAAACCTACGCCTCTCATATCAGAATGTTTTCACTTGATTAGATTTTTCAGACTGGAGTTTCGTATTTTCATTGCTGCAAGTTGATCATAGGATATACATGTGCACCGGGGTTTTTTTCTTAGCGAAACGAACTCAGTTTTGACAGAAATTTATACAAATTCATGCGCCTGTTTTTTATTAAGAGGGAACTTTCATCAGAACCCATAAGTTTGCCCCCATCCAAAAGTAAAATGTCCTAAGCTAGACCTTGGAGAAAATATCGGCAAAATCCCAACGCAACATCACTGAAACTGAATTTGTAGTTTCTTTCTCTCTCTCTCTTTTTGTGTGTTAAAAAAATAGGACATGTAATCGGTCTTT